AAGTTGTTTTTCATCCCTCGGAGTAGCTTTGCAACTACATTTCATCTCCAACTGAACTTTCTTTCGTTTGTAACCACCCGCGTAAAGTACACTATATTTTCTATTCCGTTTGTACGCTGAATTTTGCTATATTTCAGACGACCATAACATAGAGGGTATAAAAATGTACATAAAATAAAAAAGCTCTTTTCAACGAGAAATTCTTCATGTTTATCACGTAAAAATATTATTTTTGGCCCGCGAAAAGCGAGCGCGCCAGACCAAAATATATAGCTTGCAGTTTCACGGAGTTAGGCCATTTTCCTTGCTGTACTCCTACTGCAAATCGCACGCTATTGGGACAAAACTCGACGTGTTTGGTCTCTACTTCAGTTTTGATTCATTTAAATATATCGATTTTAACTTAAAAATTAACCTACCTTTATTGTTAAGTGAACAAACCACCGTTTTAGGTAAAGTTTTTGAGTTGACTTTTCTCGAGTGCTAAATAAACAAATCGCTGTTTACAAAGATACCAGCTCTGTCAACGTGTTTTTAGCTGAAAAATCGATGGGAAAATCGTAGCGTTTCTTTCTTCTGTCTTTTATTATTTAAAGATTTGATAAAATCAGGAAATAAGGCACTTGTACAAAACCAAAACATTCATTAGTCTACAATTTGATTGTTCATTATCATTATCGCACAGTTCACAATAAGGAAACTGTGAGGAGATTTTAAATTCACATGCCGCGTGCTTGTTGACCTACAAGTTCCCGAGAGTAACAATTTCGGCTTTTCGGGAAACTCTGCTTCTCTTATTTGATAGGAAATATCAATAGCCCCATAAAATTCATTAACTGCGCCATGTTTCCAGAAAATAAGACTGGAAAATAGTATTTCCACTTTCCACCATCAAGAAATTCCACGTAGAAATAGTATTTGTAGCGTGGCTGCGTGACCTTTCATGAGAAGTAAAAATTGTTTTTCTTTTTTTTAAGAAGACACCTCCAGAAAGTTCTTTATCCTTCTGTCATCTTATTTGCCTGTTTTTTGACTGCAAATATCATCTGCATTTGCCATTATTTTCGCTGACTGTCATGGCCTTTCCTGCGTGCACGTGCGAACAAGTTCATATACAGCACTCTTTCGAGTTTCTTTGCGTGGTGTCGGGCATAAGTGTGTAGGTCTGGCTCAAAAGATATCTGCGCGCTGCAACACGAGTTTCTATGTTTTCTCCTTTTTCTTTATTTGTATTTTTATTCTCCTCCTTGCATTATCACACATGTATGTTTTTTTTTATTCCCTCGGCGCGTTCTCTCAGATTTGGAAGTAGCCTATGAAAAGTAAATATTGACCAGAACTGAAACCTTTTCTATCACTATTTGTTTCAAAGAACCCCTGTTATTTATAACTTTATTTTTCAAGAGAATATGTTTTTATTTGCCATTTACTTCCATTAGTACATGAAACTAGGTCCCGATAAGCTTTTTTGTTTCGTGACTCCCAAAAGCTGTTTGCGACAACATCAGTTGAGAAATCAAAAGCAATTACACCCGAGAAATTCGCTTGTAGCCTTCTACGCGCAGAAGGCAAATCCAAGTAATGAAGCTTTCTAAGACCTCTGTAAACTAGAGACATTACGTGACGTCGAGGGGTCAAATATTTACACTAAATATGTTACCCTCAAATAGATTACGTAGTCGTACATGTAACGTCCGAAAAATGTCACGCATGTATAACACCGTAGGCGCACCTGGCGAATTATATCCACTGGCTTCAATAGTAAAGAGACAATTTATTTACTATTTGCATATGAGCAAGCTTATTTACCTTACTTGTAAAACTCCTTGATGAAGTCTACTATTGTCAGATGAAATGCGTGGGAGATAAATACAAGTTTTTACTTTCTCAGTTCTTGCACCAATTTAGGTACATCATTGGGCTTTGATCACAATAATGAAAAAAATGTGCGTTTCCCCACGCTCGCCACATTTATTCTTTGGAAAATTATTTTACTGGAGGACGATGTCACTTAGCTTGGTGCGTCTTAACTCTGGCCGACGAAAATTATCGAGGTGAACCCCATGAAATTCTTGTCAAATGTTTTATAAACTTTGTCTACCCTTGATTTGCACGCAATAAAAGGCAAATTCCGAACGATATTTCGAAATATTTTATTCACTGGTCAATTTATGACCTGTTTTATAATATTTCATTTTTCCCAGTAAATTTAAGAGAGGGTCAATTTTTTGTGACAGCCAAAGATAGACATCTCTGAAAAGCCTCTAAAACTCTTAAAGAATTTACACTGCCGATAATATTTTCCTCCTTCTCGCAACAGCGTAACAGACATTGTCAATCCTTTGTGGTGTAGGTGTATCAGTTGTATTACGTCTTCATAGTGATGCCGTATAAGAAATCGAGTGTCTAAAAAGCTCTCAATTCTCGCGCTGGCCAGGGACGGCAAAGCTCACACCTCTAAACTCGTGGGTGTACAGCATAAAAAAAAAAAAAAAACATTTGAGAGACGTCAATGTATCCCAAACATGCGTTTCGTCCAAGAAGAAGCTTATTCTAGCGCGCATTGGCTTATTAGGAGATTACGAAGGCCGCAATTTCACGATATGCCTCAAATATCGTGCACAACTTGGTATGATATTCAGACCTTCGGGTTTGTAAATGCCAGTATCCTCGTCATAAAAATCGGACACGTAAAGTTGAGAGAGAGGTGAATCTGAAGATGGCAGAAGAAATCAAAGCTGGTGGCGAGTCTTCCTGGTGGCAAGGTGACTGTAAACCTAATAGAACGCGTACTGTAACTGCTATCTTAGAGTCAGCAATGAATAAGGGAAAAGGGCAAGAAGAGCGCTTATCTGAACATCAGTTTTCCTAACTAATGATTTGCGACTGAAATGAACTTTATATCATATGATTGCTAGGGATACGCAGGTACTGTAGAGACGCTCACATAAATAGAGGTGGGCGACCCTCCCTCTGACTTTAGAACTGCGACAAGTTTATAGCGCAGACCAACTGTCACAGTTTGGAGCACCTCAGGGTCTCACTAGGCTCATCGCATTAGAAACCTTCAGCAAACTAATCGAAGAAGTGGGTGGTTATCAGCAACGTGCACGGATCCCTGAACGCGGGTCATCGCGAGAACTATATCCAATCCGTCACAGACAGAACAAGAAAGCGAGATATTCTTGCTAAGAGGAAGGATGTATCAAGACGTTTCAGTGATTGGCTGCCATCCAAAAGCACCCTAACAAAGGCAAACACAGTGAAGCTGACAAAAAAATCCGCCTATGAAAAGATCAAGAGAAAATGGACGAAGACCGGCTTGCCATTTTAAAGGGGGTGGTTACGTTCAAGGTTGGACCTCAGGTTAACTTCTGACGAAACATCCCTAACTACATAAATGGACTTTGTATGGGCTCTTTGGAAAACACAAAAACCAGCCACCTTTTCTCAGAAAGCAAATAATTATTTCCTTGACATGAGCTGGACAGGGGAGGAAGCTAGTAAGGTAACCGCCTCTAACAAGGCAGAAGATAAGGAGTGACCTTGCAAATTTAGACGAAGACTGCAGGAGAGGGTACAGCTGCTATCAAGCTAAAAAAAAATGATAAAGATCTTTGCATCTCACTTTTCAAAGTTGTCAAATATTTGGATGAATCGAAAAGTCTAAAAACTCAGTCGTTTATTTGCCTCTGTTGATTGACAAGCCGTCAATCAAATTGACTGATACTTGAGGTGGACATTAACTAAGGATCAAGAAAAACCGGGGGTGGTCTAAATCCCCCCGGAAAAAACTAAAACAGAAACCAGTTTGTATTTTTTAGTTTTGGGGTAGATCCTTTAACCTGGCAAAGTTTCGTTTAAATCGGTGAGATTGAATGTAGCACGACTGCCCGGTGCTACATGCCATTTTTCTCGGATTTCTTCGACAATTTTTACCAACAGAATTCCAACCTACAGTTGATTTGAAAATGTATCTAAACAGGTGGACTACACAAACATACTGTTTTACAGTGACAGTGGTCAAAAGCAACCGAGGAAAACACCGAGGTTCATGCACAATTAAGCGAGTATTTTCATGCGACAACTACATGTTTCGAATATTTTAAGTGTGCGAAGATTTTATTTCGCTCACGCTCACGTATTTACAACAACATTTATAGTTAAATGTAATTTACTCCAAAGTTATGCCAGTGGGATATATTGTAAATTAAAGAACAATATATGCCACGGGTCAATTTCAGCTAAAAACACGTCGACAGAGCTGGTATCTTTGTAAACAGCGATTTGTTTATTTAGCATTTATATTATATTTATGGTCGTCTGAAATATAGCAAAATTCAGCGTACAAACGGAATAGAAAATATAGGGTACTTTACGCGGGTGGTTACAAACGAAAGAAAGTTGAGTTGGAGATGAAATATAGTTGCAAAGCTACTCCAAGGGATGAAAAACAACCTATGAAAAAATGAATTCAAGATAATTTTTCGTTGTCTTGTGCGAGCGTTGTGAAAATGCACTGAAAGCCCAATAGAAATTATGCAATTTAGGTACGTTTTGGCCGATTTCGAACTTTCATATTTTTTTCCAAAGTAAAAACTCGCATATTATATATTATTTTTGATTTTTGAAAACGCTTCACCAAAAGGTTCTTTTTGAGCAAATAAAAAAAAAGTTGAATTTTTGCTCTTGTCGCCGGATTCTCGAAAATTACTGACAACCTCTCTCAAGTCCTATTACATTACTTTCAGCTCTAATTCTCCCTGCACCCCATTTCCAGGACCACCCGTAAAATGGAAGAATTTTCTCCTCCAATCATTTTCTCAATAGTATATTTTGAAGGCTAAATGTTTATATCTTGCGATAAGTCTTTAAAAAAGAGAACAACAGAAGAGCGGGGTGGTTGGAGGTCCTGTTGTTCTAATTATCCAGTGTTCTTAGTCAGCCTTCAGAAAAAAATTTTACTCACTGATGTCTATGAATTTCGTTTTTCAGGAAAAATGCTGTGGATATTTCGATATTTTCTTGCCTGTGTTTCGGTCACCAGCCTTGTAACCGCTGAGGATCAATGCAGGATAGAAATTAACATTCGTGGCATGACTCTCAAAGGTTTCGTTTTCAAGAGAATCACAGTAGCAGCTCCTCATATCTGTGATATCTTATGTGAAAGGGAAATCACCTGCCAGAGCTATAATTTCAACAGAAAAGAACAGATCTGTGAATTAAACAACCGCACAAAGGACGCAAGACCCGAGAATTTCCGCTCGGATCCAGCGTGGTTTTATATTCGTCGTTTGAACGGAAGAGGTAACTATTCAGCCAATAATGTTGGATAATAATTATCAATATTTTGGTTATACGCTCGACTTTGCTTACAGTCCTTGTTTTCTGATCTCCTACGCTCATCGGTATTGATTTTTCTATCATTTCTCAATTCTAATGATGAACGATATTAGTTCTTTCCCTTTTCTTTGTAGTTGCTTTGTAGTTTCCCACCAAAAGCGTAGCTCCAATTAGTGCCGATAGACACACAACCCACAATTTCTCCATTCCCTCTGACGAAGGGCTAGCGCTCGAAACATTTGTTTTGAAACTCTGGACAGTGGTCAACTTACGTTATCAAGTCACTTGATAGCACCAAATTACCTTGTTATACTCTCTCACCGACGCAGCACCACAGTTTCTTTAGAAACTTACCCCCTTTATTCAGTTTAACTTTTAGTTAACTTCTTCACCCACAGAACAGCTTTGATGCATGTGTGAAATAGTGATAACAAATTATTTCTTTCTTTCTTCTTTAAAATGATACAAAAAGCTTAAGGTCTGGGAAGAAGATAAAAAAAGCTGGTGGGTCTAAAGGAAAGGTTTAAAAGTGAGGGGGTCCCACTTCCCAAGAGAAGGGAGCTTGACAGAGCGTTTAATTTATCACATTCAAAGGCGGAAATTTAAGTGAATGGGATTATATCCTCATTTTAATTCTCTCGTATTTTTCAATCTCGGCTTTCGACTTGTGCACCTACATATATTTAATTTTCAACATTTTTACCATTACCAGCTCCCTTGGGTTCGATTCCGGAGTTACCAGCGCGTTCATGCCGAGAAATAAAAGCAAGCGAAGGAAAAAACACTGAAAGCAACAAATACTGGCTGGATCCATCTGGCACAGGGAAGGCAGTTTTGGTTTACTGTGATATGAATTTGGAAGGTGAATCATCATTACGTCACCCTTAGTTTCACTTTCTGTTTGAATTGTAGATTCTTTTAATAGCGTCCCTGTTTCTTCAAAAAAATCCCTACAGTCCTGAAAACATAGCGTTGCGCAGTTTCGGCTTTATATATTCAATTTTTGTTTATAAAAGAGCCAAATAGGGCAAAAATACACACAAAGGGACACGCTTAGAACAAAATACACTTTCATAAAAATTTGACCGACATCTTTATTTCAATATTTTAGTTATAAAGCAATAGTCTAATTTGTTCAGAGACAATTGAGTCTTTTTCTGCAAGTTATGCAGCCGTGATTGTCAATACAGTTCTATGCAAGACTATTTCTCTGCTAAACTAATGTTTTTGAAACTTTTACTCCTTTCTCTTTCAATCACCAACTAGATCATGATGAATGCCTCAATGGAAACAATGCCTGCGACGTCAATGCATACTGTACCAACACTGTGGGTTCCTATTACTGTACCTGCAAGGAGGGATACGCTGGCGATGGACGCTCGTGTTCAGGTACATTACAATTAATTTAGGCGATGTTCATGCGAATATCTTGATGGCTTATGTTTTCGGCTTACTGAGAGAGCAGTCGAATGAGTTATCGAAATAATATACATTTATTCGGTTGGGGGATGGGGTGGGGGAAGGGGGAGTGTAATGAGTTTGGCGACAACTAAGAAATGTTTTGCGACGGCTGAGAAATGTTTTGCGACAACTGAGAAGAGTTTGGCTACAACTAAAAAGTGTTTAGTGACAAATAAAAATGTTTTGCGACAACTGAGAAGAATTTGCTGACAACTAAGGAGGGTTTTGCTAAAACTGAGAAGTGTTTTGCCACAACTAAGAAGTGTTTTAATTAGTTTTTAACTAATAAAGGTTTGGCGACAACTAAGGAGAGTTTTGCGACAACTAATTGCGTCAACTAAGGAGGGTTTGGCGACAATTAAGGAGGGTTTGGTAGCAACTGAGCAGAGTTTGGCGGCAATTAAGAAGGGTTTGGTAACAGCTGAGCAGAGTTTGGCAACAATTATGGAGGGTTTTGCGACAAGTTAGCAGTATTCTTTGCCACTTAAGGAGAGTTTGGCGGAAACGGAGGAGAATTTGGCGCAACTAAGGAGAGTTTTGCGACACTTACTAGACCAAATGCAAAAAACTATACTTACAACACAACACCGAAAAACACCTACTACACCCGAAAAAAACCTATTATACCGGACAACACTTTCTATACCAAACTACACCGAATTACACCAAACTTCGCGACACTATACCAAAGTAGACCTACTACAACTATTACACCAAACTACACCGAACTGTACCTACTACATCAAACTACACCAAACTTCACTTACTACACCAAACGACGCCTAATTGCATCTACTACACGAAACCACACCAAACTACACCTAGTACACCTACTTCGGTACTTCTCCACTGCATCAAGGAAAAAGTGTTGATTTTTACCGTTGACGGTATGGAACCTTGTTCTTCATTAGTGACGGTTATCATTGATTTATTACCAATTAGACGGATATACATATCCCTAACAATAAACGCGCATACAAACTGTCGCGCTAAGAACTCTCTTTCCACTGTTCAGATAAAAAATGGAACGAAACGGTCAGCTGCGAGCTGCTTGCTTGTAATATCTGGACGTCAAATACAAGTGCATGTTAGGTAATTTCACATAAAGAGAGATATATTATGTATATATACACACACACACATATATATATATATATAATCTCTCAATGTACATAATCAGTATTTGCGTCTCGTTTGTTAGGTAGTCTTCTGTCATATTCAGAGCAATTTTAATTTCTAAAAGAACGGGGAATATATGACAACGAAAACACGAAATTCCCCACATTTACTTTAACGATCCGACCACTGCTGTTTTTCTCTTTTGGCTGGTTGAATTTGTTAAGGAGTGGAAACTTGAAGAGGCACCCAAAGGAAATTTGCTTGCAATTAGTCAGAAGCTTTTAATAAGCACTTAAAGCTGATATAGCATTGCTCCGGGTTTATACTTGCGTTTAGTTTCAAAGACAGGTTCCGAATCGATCGAAGAAAGACTATTTAAAGAAACATAGCTGAGTCTATCTGCTCGCAGTCCAAAACTTCTCCAACATACACCGTTGAATCTAATAAGTGTGGTAATCTTGCTTGAACATAGAATTCGTATTCATCTGCCATGTTATAGTTTGAGTTGTGTAGAAAGCTGACTTTCCCCAAGAGAAATTCAAGATGGAGGCTTCCCTATCCCTCGCTCCAAATGCCTTTTGGGTAATTTTCAAGAAAACAGAAAACTGCTGTACAACAAAACAGTAGTTGTCTCTAGGACAATAGATGTACATTGAGGAGAAAGAAAAGTATGACAAGAGGGTTGATGTGTATTTCCAGCAAAATGCCTGGATGGAGGAAGAAATCAACATGCAATGAGTCCAGGACACACATTCCAGGAATTGGGAATGATAAAGAGGAAAAAAGTTCTATTTGCAGACAATGCCAGCTTCCGAATTCAATAATTCCGTGAAAAAAGCAGAAATCAGATCAACACTACAATTTACATGCTGCCTGAAAACCACATTGATAAGATCCAGCCCATTCATGCAGGACGTGGTCAGGGGATGAAAGGTAAAATTGGTGCAGCAATGGAAACATGGCTGGAAGAGGAGAAAAAATCTCGATAAATGGCAGGATAGACTTTCAGCAAAGGACAAAACGATCTTGATAACCCAATGGACTGGGGAGGTGTGGAGTGAGTTAAGTAATGATGGGACCTTTTTTCAGAGCAATTGTGTGAGAAAACTGGCTGTTTGCGAAAGGCAGATTGCTCTGATGATGTAAAGATCTCACCCCAAGGTTTGGAAAATTATCAGATTTAAATGGATCTGATAATTGGACTGGAAACTGAATGCTGACATCTTGCTCTCTCAGTTTGCTCGTAGGATTGGGGACCAGTCAATACTTACATGGAAGAAGGGGAGGGGGAGGGAGGGGTGGCTGGTGCATTTTGAATTTGCTTGACTTTAACTGAGTCACGAGTTGTTTATCACCAGAACTGTTACCCCTCCCCTAATGTAATATTATTATTATTAATTAATGCAGTTAATGTTAGTTCCACCCACGAATTAATGAAAAAGTTGCGCTTGCACATTGATTTCATCTATGGGAATCTATGCAGTATTTAATTTTTAAAAACAATTTTAAGAACACCTTAAGAACATTTTCAGGTTGTTTTTGCAGAAAACACCCAATGTATAAGGACAAAATCAGCCTGAACCCCCAAAGCACCTGTTCCTTTAAGTGGGTTTTTACTGTATTTTCAGCATGAGGGGACGCAAATCGTCTGCACTGTAAGTACATATCAAGCTCTGTAGGTGATTTAATCCCATTTTAATCCCATCCGATCTCACAATTTACGAAAACTTCATTATTCTTGTGAAAAATGATAGCCGTCTTATTGAAACTTGATGACAAGTATAAGCCGGCAAAGAAAACAGTGCAAAAGCAATTATCTGTCACATCGATGTCAGCAGCAACAGGATTATGACACCTTACAGTCCCCATACATTTTCTTAGACTAAAAGTCTAAGAAAATGTAGGGGACTCTCCGGGATACTTACAGTACAGACGATTTGCGTCCCCTCATGGACAAAAGTAACTATGACAATTTCTTACCAGTATCATAACTTCTATTTTTTTGTGTATGTGTTTTACGAAGGATTTACAGCTGTTTTTACAAATCTTGGTAAGAGGGGAATAAAGGGTCCAGACTCAGTTGGCAGTCACTACACAGGTCAGGATCATGACGGACAAGTCACAGTGTCCAGCGGTATTCAACTGTGGACTGTGCCACTCACTGGTGAATACAGAATAGAAACAGTAGGAGCCTCAGGGGGGTACAGTAAGGACAGTGTCATCAACGGAGGGAGAGGGGCGCGGATGATTGGAAACTTCATGTTGACCAAAGGTGAGAACATTAGTATACTTGTTGGTCAAAGAGGAGAAAAAGCGTATTCTAACAGAAAAACTGGCTCAGGTGGAGGAGGTACATTTGTAATAAGAGGAGAGAACAAGCCTTTGATCATAGCCGGAGGTGGAGGAGGAGTTGCAAATATGACAGAACAACATTCGGGATGTGATGCGTCCATAAACACAACAGGAAATGCAGGGTATAACTCGCCACCCCTGTCTGGAGGAAGTAACGGAGAAGGAGGACAAACTGATAAACTGCACTCTGGTAGGTGAACAATTTCTCCCTTATGGATACTGAATTACTTTTTTTGCATTCTACTGCCATCCATCAGTATTTCAAACAAAGAGATGGTACTTGTTGCTCAAATTTGGATTTTTTTCAGAATTACTAAAAGCCATGATATGTTAAGTTGCTAATGTCAATTGTAAATCTCTTGATTGTAGGTGGTGGTGGCGGCGGCTTCTACAGTAATGGAGAAAACTCCAAGATGTCTGATGGAGGGGGAAAGGGAGGTAAAGGATTTCTGAACGGAGGAGAGGGTGGAATACATCGGGGTGGGTTCGGAGGTGGGGGTGGATGTCTTTACTAGCGTGAGTTACCTGGGGGAGGTGGAGGGTACTCTGGGGGAAGTGGAGGTGCGAATAAAGATATTTCTTGTGGGGGAGGGGGAGGTTCTTTCAACAACGGAACAAATCAGCAAAATGAATGTTGTTATAAAACTGCTGGACATGGTAAAGTGATCATAACATTTCTCCACTAAAATGCATGGCAGCACTTTCCTTAGCGTGTAGTGGTAATTCTGTTTTGAAGCGCTAATTGATGTTTGTTTTTTTGCCTCAAACCCACAGGGTTGTCAGCCCGTGCTAATAGAGGAACTATTTCAGTGAAAGTACTGCATGATGTACATAGCTTTTTAGCGCCTAACACTCTCAGAGGTTAACTCCAATAGGTTCACTTCCAAAGGTTCACTCCTAAAGGTTCACTCTCAGAGTTTCACTCCCAGATTTCCACTCCAAGAGGTTCACTCCCAGAGATTCAGCCGTAGAGGTTCACTCCCAAAGGTTCAGTCCTAGAGGTTCACACCCAGAGGTTCACTCCCATAGATTCACTCCCGGAGATTCACCCCTAGAGGTTCATCTCCAGAGGTTCACTCCCAGAGGTTCTCTCCTAGAGGTTAACTCCTAGAAGTTCACTCCCAGAGATTCACTCCTAGAGGTTCACTACCACGGGTTCACTCCCAGAGTTTCAATCCCAGATTTCCACTCCTAGAGGTTCACTCACAGAGGTTCACTCCCAGAGGTTCACTCCCAGAGGTTCACTCCCAGAGGTTCACTCCTAGAGGTTCACTCACAGAGGTTCACTCACAGAGGTTCACTCACAAAGGTTCACTCCTAGAGGTTCACTCCCAGGTATTCACTCCTAGAGGTTCAGGGAAAGCTTGGTGGTGATGAAACCATTTTCGTCAGCGTAATGAATTAAACATGGCTCGTACGTTCTCAGTAATAATAATAATAATAATAATAATATCCTTTATTTAAACACGATAGGGTTTAAAGCTCAAAGCTTGTGGGGTCGTGTGAAAAAAAGATGAATGAATGCATGAATATTTAGGTGATAAACAACAAATTATCCCAGCTTTTTATTCACACAAATTCTTACACGTTAAAAGCATACAGTGTTAGGGTGAGGCAAGATAATAGATTATAATTTCCATGGTAAGGAAAATGTTAACCACAAATTACCTTCGCTGATAGAATAAAGAAGATACAAATGCCAGGATTGTTTAGACTTAAAATAGCGGGCATGGGGGGAAGTTAGTGATAATCGGTCAAATAATAACATATGGGCAATAAAGACTAAGTAATAATTTTGTAGAGAAACAGTTGTGAAGTCAGCTCTTCATATTCTTGTGTATTTAATGTCAATGAATACATGTAAAGGTCCATTATGCAGTCAATCGTTTTTTCTTAGTCAGCTCAAAACCAAAATCTATTTTCACCAATGACACAGCCAGTGTGACCCAGTTTCTTCAAGGAGTAAGGGGTACGTTTCGAAATAAACTGTAGTGTTGCGTCGGTGGGAGATTATAACAGGGTAATTTAGTATTTTCGACTGAGTTGATAACGTAAATTGGCCACCGTAAAGAGTTTAAAAGTTGACGTTTCGAGCGTTAGCCCTTCGTCAAAGCGAATGGAGGAATTGTGGGTAATGTCTGTTTTTATATGAAGAAAACTGAGCTACGCTATTGATGGGAATATGGTGACGAAAAAACAAGAATAAATTAGTTGAATGAAAGGCGCTCCTCATGATAATGTGGGGATTAAGAGTGCCGACTTGAAACAAAAATTTTTGTTCTTGAGTTTTCCGGCTTTCCGAACTAACTGCCTAGATGTAGGGAAAGACCGCAGACTGTTATATGCTGCTTAGAATGATTAGGGAGATTAAAGTGTCCTGCGACAAGTTTGGATGCGTCCTTGTCATTTCTTTCTTTCATGGCCCCATACGTTGAACTCATTCGGACATAATTAAGAAAAACTAGAAAAACGCACACCGTAAATTGCCGCATAGAAGCCCCCCCCCGCCCATATGACTGAAAACAAAAAAATACATCCAATTATAAGCCACCCCCCGATGTAAGCTCCCTTCTAGCTTTTCCTAGATAGGAACTCTGTGCAGTTTTAAAAATCATGACGCGCGGAACAATAAGTTTATTACTTCCTTCTGAGTATCAAAGATGAACCTTCGTTTTGTTACGTTTCAGTTTTGTTCGTGTTATTAGTTTTAATTATGTTCCAAATGTATCGAAATGGGAGTAACTGCAGAATACCCTGCCACTTTGGTCCCCCTCATTTACATGTGTCCGGAGGCTTTGAAGATCGTGGCATAACACAAGAGACGCTATTCTTATTCAATGACATGTGAATGAGTGGTCGGGTATTCTGCAGTTTAGCCAAACCTGAACTTAACTTCAATGGACGCAAACTAAACCTGAACTAGCGGAAAATAATAAACTTAGTCCAAATCATGCAAAATGCAGTATAAAACCTGGCATATCAAACAAAGGGAGCACACAATATAAGACTAATTAACATAAACTACAAGAAAGCTAAACTAGCGGAAATATAAATATTCCGGTCAAGTACTGAGGACGCAATATTGCATGCGTGAGATCGAGGCACTTCTTCGGGGAACAAACAAATGAGACAGGAGGGAGGACTAAGGAGAAATAAAAAGAAACACTTCTCCATGCCGAACCCCTTCCTCTTCATTTTTTAGTTAGTTTCGCTGTTACTTAGTCTCACTATCAGGTTTTTAGTCAAATTTTTTTAACTCGCTCCAAGCCTTTGTCGATCTTACCGATCGATCCAATATGGCGACTTCTACTTTCAGTCTAAGCTCGTCCTCAGTCCTCAGCTTTAAACTTTAGTCACATAAGCGGACTTCAGAACCACAAAATTAGGCGATTGAAACGAGAAGACTTGATACAAGAAGCCAAGGTTTACTGAAGGATCAAGATTCTCTGGTTTTGAAAGTGGTTATCTCACGTGAGAAAATAGTCCCAAACACAAATGTTTAAAACAAGAAAATCCTGTATCTTCATCCTGTTTTTATTGATACACTCTTTTTCTAGATTAAGGTTATCTTAAGTAACAGCAAAGCGGACACCTGTACATGGTCTCTTAGCAATAGGGTTCGTAACTGTACATGTGTACTCTCATGCATCCAAGTTAGACCCAATTCTCCTTCGCAGACTTACTTTGGATGTCTTTCTTTGGGTTGAGCGTTGCGTGACGTCCCTAACAACGCCTGCGATGCGAAGTTTATTTATGTCTTAAGATGAAAGACTAAACATCTTGAAAATTCCGTTTTAATATTTCAGTTACAGACACAGCAAATGAACCACGAAGTAACTTAGGCAGTGTTTTCTATTTACTTTAACTTAATCAACTTTCTTACGTGTTTATCACAAGTAGTTCTGTAAACGTTAGCTCACTTCAATTATCGACTGGTCGAGTTCAATAAACGCACCTGTCATTTCAACTGGTAGATGATAAGGGTACAGTTACCCCAACTTTGATTGCTGTAGGTTTCTCATGTAATCCTTTCCTCCAACTGAGTCGTTCCAAAAGTTTTGTTAGCACCTAAGAAAGTGAATTAAACAATCTGCAACACATGAGCACTGCATGGATCTGCTCTCTATTAATTGAACCTTTTTTCGCTGCATGTAAACCCTTGACAGTAAGAAAGTGAGGAGCAATGCACGAGGGCTGATAAATAAAACGAATGGGTAAGGGAAAGTGATTGGATGATGTGGGGCTGAGGAGGAGGTTGGCTGACCAGACTTCCCCTCAACAATTATTTGGTTGCTTTAGTACTCACTCGCACGTGACAAACAGATTTAACGTGAAGAAATTGGCTTTGGATATTACTGAAGGAAAAAGGTCCAGTCTAAGGAGACGACAACTAGCAACAACAATTCCAACAAAAGAAAACCTTGCTGACAAGAAAACTCAGTTTATTTCTTAAATAAATTTGCAAGTTAAATAATTCCAGAATCAATTATTCCCCAAATGTTCATTTATTTTTGCACGTTCCCAAAATCTCGTCCCCAGACCCTTTTCTCTTTCATGACGTCAGCAGGTGTCGTCATCTTTCCTCTGGATTTTTCGAAGGGCTTCTTTCAAGTCTTCCCCAAGGGACATGTCTCGCTTGGTTCTCCTGTGGACCAATAGATCATCCATTCTTCTTTGCTTTCTTGGCAGTTCACGAACGAGAGTTTTCAGCGTTTTACGGCGGTATGCGTCCCAATTTACTTTGTCTTGTAGGCTCTTTTGCAGTGATTCATCGTTAGGATAAGGTGTTTCCTACAAACAGGAAACAGGGAAGAGTCGTTTTTCTGGCCAGTTTCTGTCTATTAGGGGGGAGGGGAACTTTCCTGAAGCAGTATACCGCCCATTCTTTTTATACACTTCTTCGATAAGCCTCTTGGAACTTTGGAGGAACACTCGAGGAGCTTGGAAATCAGGGGCCGAACTCAAAAGTTTTACAAAGTGCAGTCCGTTGCTTCAATTAAACGCTATAGGTTTACCAGCGTGATAAGCAATACATTTTAACCAATTAGAGTGCGCATGGTATCTCTGTTACCCGACATACAGTGTCATTTATGACTAGAAAAGTATCACCAAATTACCCTGAATGGCTATGTTAGGTGACTTTTCATTTGTGGCAAATTCGAGGATGCCCAGACGCACCTTTTCCCCTGGTTATTTTTTTACCTTGGACACTCGTGATTTCTCAGAGTTGCTTCCCTTACCGTAACAAGAAGTCTTCTTTTCATCGCGTCAGTGCAATGAGCGAGGTAAAATTTCTTAGAGATCATAATGCATTCTGCACCATTGCTGACCTGTGAAAGAAATAAACAGGAATCAGATAATCATCGAAAAGTTTCTCTCGGTAGCAACTCTTTCGGACCTTTTCTTTGAAGCTTGATTCCTGTGACTCGATGCAATTATCAAAAAGCAAGTGAGCAGGATATATTGTTTCTTTTTTCCCCAGTCTCCTTTTGTTCCCTACGGAGGAATTTATTCATAGAACGAAAACGCCCATTGTTTGCGGCTATCTTTACTGCGCACGCTCATTATTCAGCACGCATGAGTGTCGTGCATCAACTGTGTCAATCTCTTGACCAGACGTAAATATACTTTTCTTTATTTCATAATCAAGCTTAAATCAACATTCCTTTCATTTCATTTACTCAAACGAAGTTTTAGACATTGCTACAATGAGTGGTGTAAGTCTCATAACCAAGCAACATTGTTTTGGGAAAGAGATGGGACTTTAAAGACACTTATTATACATGAATTAGTAGATTTCTGTTTATAAGAGTGCAGGGTTGTCGACCACAGGGTTGTCGACCACGCACTATGCAGAACGAGTGTCATTAATGAACCTAGTCAAGGCCTACGAGTTGCTCATCAACGAGACTCTTTGGCTCTATGGTAGAGCCGCGGAGCGTGGAGTCCGAAAAGTCAGAGATTCAATTCCTTACGAGGACTCAGAATTGCATCTTTGTCCCCAGATCGTGACAAGACGGTAAAACATCTTTCTTTAAACCCATAAACTGTTTGTTTATAGATCGAAGCGTATGAACGAAGTGTATAAAAACATTTTAACCAACTGACCAGACTAAGACTAGGCTGCTCATCAAACACCATTGAAGACACACCCTGAAGAGAAAAAACAAAAAAGACCAGCGAGGAAACATTGCCATCATGCATTTTTGTGTTATTACTGAGGATTGCACCAAGATGAAGACACTTAAATGGTTGTATTCAAAACGGCTTGCTTACCTACTCATTAAAGAAAGCAGAAATTACTAAACGGCCTATTTACTCGACTTGCACTTGAGTTCAGTTAAGCAGTAGAACCCGCAATGGAAGAAAATTTCCTATGATTCCCAGAAAAACGTCGGTAAAGATCACTGTTACGACATGTCTATGTTATTCAACCGAAAGTACAAGAGACTGCACGAGAGGACGAGGAAAAGAAAAATGTAATGTCCTTACAAAACAATCTCCCTTTGAAAGAAGAGCAACTTGGACAAACATTGGATGCAGATCTGCCTCTGTGATACGAACCTCAGTCTGAAAAAGAGGAAATAAGAACAAGGTTTAGTCACTGCCAAATGATGTATTTAAGAGAATTGCTTTTTTATTGTCATAAGTTTTATCGAGTAGTCTCTGTTTACTTTTCTGGAAATCCCAATGGATGATCTAACTACCTAGTTTACGCCATAAACTAACCGGTCTTTGTTCGCCCTCGTCAATTACAGAAATTTTGTGCAATGGAAGTTTCTTTTCCTCTTCAGACAGCTCTTCTGAAATACGAGAAAATGCTCGTTATATTAAGGAGATAATAATAAAACGTCCGACACACTGGTTTCCAATAACTCTGGTCAGTTTTGATTTCGACAAATAATAAGCTTTCGCAAGTGTCATAGCATAAACTATCATTCAAGTTATCAAGTCTTTTTAGATTCACGTTCTGTTTTGTTTTTCTTTTAATTTTTGTTCCTTTTGTTTCTTAGAATGCACAATCAAATTCTGACTGAGTCGAAGATATTCAGTCAGTCTCCCTCTAACTGGTGTCTCTGTGACTCTGCGTTGGACAAGAACTATTGTATGCTCTGTCGTCTCTAAAAAACTGATGTGAAGTATTTACCTCGAATCATGTTTTAGTATTTTCTTTTCATATTCAAACTACTATTTTATGATTTCTCTCACATGGAAGGAAATTTCATTCGTCGAAGAAAAGAGGGTTAGTCAAAGACTTGAGATACTTTTCAGCTGATTCTTACCAGAGGGAGGAATCACAGTAGACTTTCTCACTCTGCTCGTACGCCTCGAGGGGCTGGAAAGAGTCCTAGGTCGTGGGTTAGAGTCGGCCCTAGGTCTCTGCTCGTAATCACCCGCATCAACTTGCAAACTGATTCTTTGACGAGGAGGGGTCGTTGGCGCCTAACAAAAAAGAAAACATATGATTTGTTCATGGCTTTGCTGTACTAAGAAAAACGCACCATGAATGTTGTAAAAATTAAGCTTACATTTTAAAAATTCGCGAAAATATTTTTCTCGCGTTTTATTGGTTTGGCATTCACTCGTGACATCAGAAATCTAACTTTTCTCGTTATAATCTAAATTTTAGAACACTGCCCGGGTGATATCAAAGGAACGCTTCCTATAGTTCTTATGTTTTCAAGATACTTGGCCGAAACTCTTACAAATCAGTCAAATTACATTCTAATCTAAAATAGTGTGTACCGAAGCCGTATCAAGGTTTTTTACCGAGGATGAAGAAGAGTTTTCTTCTTCCACTGTTGGTAAAGGAAGCATGTTGCTGCTTTTGCCTCTGTAATCAGGAGTCATGCGTTTCTGCAGTCGTCTAGGTAATACCATGGTAGTATTTGACAGTTTCCTCAATTGTACGTCATCCACAAGGTTTGTTTCACTTGAAGTTCTCTGAATTACTCTAGGTTCACTTGACAGTTTTCTTTTCCATTCAATAACATTTTTTAGATTTTTTGACTGTTCATCGGTTGATTTAACGAGGGACGTCTTTGGAGCACTAACAACTCCTTTTCTTCTAGAGATCGGAGGCGATGCTACTTGAAAACCCACGGACTTGATCGATTTCTCGTCGGGAGGTTTTCGATAGCTGTTATCGTTATTGCCTGTTGCAAATGAATTCTGAGCCGCCGCTACTTTATCAATTGCAAATACATCAGCGGTTTTTTCCTCGTTTCCTGAGTCATCATCGTTGTCACTTTCGTGTGTTATGATACCAGACCTGAGACGCATCTTGGGTAACAAAAGCGTAACTACGGACAGCTTTGCTTTGACACGTTCTAACTTGTCACGTGATGAGGCCTTAGGAACCTGGCTCTTCACTGTGAGCGGAAAAAGACGGCTATGTTCAAAGATTTTTCATGTCATTGTTTATATCCAGGTAGTTTCTTAAAGAGGCAGAAGAAAAGATTACGAAATGAGATATGAGAAATGAGAAATGTTGACATATCACCGTTTTCAAATCCAACAACCCTGTCGTTGTGCTGCGTGAGACAAGATTTGACTTCTCTTAGTTTTTTCAACACCTGACAGCTTCCCTGTATTTAATAAGGAGAATGAACACGATATAGTTTTGTGATGTTGCAAATCATCGAATCAAATTCGAAATTTCAGCAACCAAGAACCTACTACAAATACCGATTTTATAATGTATATCCAGTCCGAATGATTGCTGTCTCTAACAAGGACAGAGCCACTCCTGGAGGAAGAGAGCAAAACACCGTTAATTATAACGTGAGGTGAGATGACAGAAGACGTAACACAATAGCAATTCTTGACTGAGAGTAGAAAGGAATACGGTTTAGCACTGATTTCACGTCACTGTTGGATCTGTCAACATATAAGCATATTCCTCACCTAAAAAAGTGGAAAAGACATTTTTTGGGGTTTGAAGCCATAAGCTCTACTGGCCACCCCCTCAAGAAGTCTATGCTCCTAAAGCAAGAAAGATTACATTAAAAAGTGTTCAATTTTTCTTTGTTATTTGTACATGAATATTATAATAGTCATTTATAGCAATTTAGGTACATGTTGCTGACATGGTTTTTTTGTGGACTGAAATACTTAGAGTCTTTTAGAATTTCCAGCCTCTATTGAAAAAAATGACTTGTATACTGATCGGAAAATATTTGTCAGTCAGGCTATGATTGTTTTTATGAAGTAAACATGGAATAGCTGTGGGTGAGAGGTCGTGTGGAATTTAGTACGTGCAACACTAGAGACCAAAATTTCTATGTATTTTCACATTCAATCATGCCAGGACTTGAATCAGTTAGTAGCAGAACTCAAAATAATCACAAACGAATTAAGATAAACAAGATCGGATATTTTGATGCCGCAGAGCCGTCGGAACAGGTGTCATTTATTTTGCGATTTTTAGGCGAAAGTAAGGTAGTTCGAGGCAAGCACGAGGAGAGCGCGAGGCAAACGCGAGAAAAACACGAGGCACACGTAAGGGGAGCACGAAGGAGAATTCCGCGCCTCTTCTCGCAAGTGATTCACGTTCCGCGTTTGCCACGCACTTAACTCTACTCGACTGGAAAACGCGAAGAAATGACCGTGTTCAGCAGGGCTGATACTGCTTCCTATCCTTACTTGATAAACTTTTGATGATCAGGGTCGTTTATGTTCTTAATTCCACCCGCTAACATGAAGATGTCCACAAAGTCCTACATAAGAAGCAAAAAAAAAATAAAATCGCGTTGGTCGGTAAACCATGTCTTTATCCCCTTTATCGCATCCATGTGGTACCTTAAAATAAGGAACTACATACCAAAAGCCCTAATTTATTCCGGTTTCCTTTAAATCTATAATGCACATTTTTGAAGGCAAAACGTCTGAAGTCCTCATAAATGTTTCAAATTGTATCTCACATATTGTATGTTTGCTGTGCGTACCTCTTTAGAAATCACCAACAGTTCAATAGGTTCCCGCGAAATTACGGTGGACTGGCGCCGAGTGTCGTGTAGAATAGCCAACTCCTGTGGTTGGGGAAAAAAGTGCACCTAAATATTAGCCTACAGTTCAATTATCGCAAAAACTGATAAAATATGGACATCCAAACAAATTGTTGATTTCTCTCTTGGGGCACGTTCCACGGAGACACATGGAGAGAGGCTCTGCGAAGTCTTCTCCCCGAAGGTTGTTTGATAATGAAAGCTAAGTACTTACCCCAAAACTATCACCACGTCTGAGGAAATGAACAGTTCTTGCGAAGCTCTCATTTTCTCCCAGTACCGTAACCACAGCTGAAAAGTAAAATTTCATGCTTTTCGTCTGTTCCCATTCATTGTTTAAGCGATCTTATTAACATCGTGTACCTTTAACGACATGTTATTTAGATGGTGTAGTCAACATTGGGTGTCCGTGAAACGCAGACTCAGGGTTGGGGTAGATAACTCTCTCTCCGTTTTTTTCTTTTTTTTTTCTTTTTTTTCCCGACCTTGAGTCCTCGTTTCAAGATAGACGTCTTGCACTTCATCTCATAACAGTGAAGAGTTTCCCCGAATGTTGAACTTCACATCAGTGTAAACTGACCTGAACCAGAGAGAACAAAGTAGAAAGCTTGTGGTATGTGACCCTGTCTTAGAATTGCTCTCTTTGTCTGGTGCCTGAAAATGAATCAAATGCAATCGAAATCTTTGACTGGATAAATGATTTGCTTGTTATATAAATTAACGGACACATACGTTTCAAACCAACCAACTTTGACGAGCTTTTGCTGAATTCTCTGAGGATATTCTGCAAACGATCGAATTGATCGCAGGGAGAAGAGAACCTGAGAGACAAAATGAAAAAAAAACTCTTTTAAAAGTTAAGCTTTTTCGTCAACAACCGATAGCTAAAAAGGGCACAAGCTTTGCTTAAAGAACGCCATCAGTATTTTCTTTAGAGGTCGTTGAAAATCATGATGATTCTGATTCGGTTTGTGTCAGCAGTATTCGAGCGAAAAGACTGCTGTAGTTTAACGTGACTTATTTTGACGAGGTATTCTGTCACAATACTGTTCGACGCAAAATGCAAAAGAAATACCTTTGCTAGTTGCTGTTCTGTTCTCTGTTCTGGTTGAATTGATAAAATTAACTTCACCTCAGCGGCAACCCGCATCTGGGAAAGGAAAAAGGACATCAATAGAATAACCTACTTCTTCTCTTCTTTCCAAAATTGCATGTTTTTGACACTTCACAGACGATAAAGATTAGAGACTGGGCAACAGACAGCGAACGAATACTAAAGAGGTAGGAACATGGAACTCGCATAAGGTCAGTTTACCTTTCTGTTAGCTTTGAAAAATGAAGCATCAAAAGCAAGTTCCGCTTCCATTTGATTTTCTTGTTCATTGATGTACTGTGTGAAAACAGTGTGAGTCATCTGGGTCTCTTCTTCATTATCCCTTAAAATTAAAACAGACATAACGGAAAAAATACCTCAGGAAAGGAAGCTCCTTGTTATTTTTATGAATATTGAATGAGCTGAAACTTAATTCCAAAACTCTTACTGATAACCCTTTCTCTCGTGCGAAAGACCATTCTAAAACTTACCCCTTCGAGTTACTGAATTTAGCGATATTTCATTTACATTGTATTTCTTTTGAAGTAGAAGGGTTACTACATCAAACGCTTCTTACGACAACTTACTTTTCATACTTGTATTGGCATAGTGATGCCGTCATTTGGACAAGTTTCACTGCTCGACGAAATAACTCCAATGGAGGTAAAAGCTATTTGAAAAACAAGATGGTAAAAATGTTTAGCGTTGCCGAGAAGTTGATGAACTGCCCTTTCTCTTTACTTGATGAAAAGAGTTCTATCCCCGCTTATGATTCGGGATTTTTTCTGTCATTGACAGGTTCTCAGCCGTCTCTGTTCTCTCTACCCACAGAGAAAGCACGGAAAAGACAACTGGTCCCTGTCATTAAAAGCGGTTCCTTTGTTTCTGCATGCCTCACAACAAAACTCTTTCCAGTTGTTTAGGCGTGTCCTTTATTCTACGTCACTGTTTACAATCTTTGTATGTCACTCTTACATCCCTGCTGTGTTCTAAATATTTACCTTATCAAAGTATTCCGTTTCTCCCGGTGTCCTGTTCTTTCCCCATGAGTCCATGGTACTACGTCGACGCCTGCGCATCTTGATCCCTACTTCGGCTAGTTCACTCAAAGAGTATATACTCAATCGATGTCCCTTCGCAGACGACGTTTCCGAAGATCCATTGTTATCACTCGGAAATATGGAACCTCTCCGAAGACCACGAGCATTCTTCATCCTGGAAATTCCGGCGGCTGCCCGAATGGTCGAATAGTCAGCACTGGTCTTTGATCCATAAAAACGTTTCGAAGAGTAACCCGAACTTATAGAGATGTTGTCGTCTGTTGAACCGACAGTTGTTGCTGAATGGGTCCGCTGGCCCATGCGGCCGGCTGATCGCACATGCCGAATGGATCCTACTCCTTCCATATGACCTGGCTATTAAAACAAAACAATTAACGATAGGCTATAAATATTACTTGTTTGTGTTACAGAAAACCAGCTCTAAATAATGATGACATGAACAGTTGCGCAAAAGTGGAAGGGAGTTTAGAGAAGTACTGAGCGAAAAAAATAAATCTTTACTGAAATTACTCAAACGCGGGTGTCTAGGTTTCTTTCCATTATCTAATTCTCTCCGCCGCATTAAATGTGTAGAACGGACTACACGTCACTGAAAAGCTGTGTACAAAGACCTAACCGCCTTGAAGAATCAACATAAACAGGAGCCCATGGGCTCCTAACATGAACATGTTTTGAGTGTTTTCTCCCTCTATCTTTTAATTAATTGTATTTTTTGACGCGCAAAATTACAGCACAAGGAAGCCGTTACTAGATAAAAGGCAACGGTAAATCAAGAAGGAACCTAGACAGCTAGTGAGAGAGAAGATAAAAACGAACAAAAATGACGACATTTAAAGACGTTAGTATTGACTGTTCAAGATTCACAAATCTTAAGAGAGCTTTTTTTTCTTCCACGGGGGGTAATTTTGGTTCTTTTTGCACAAAAGTTAATTAGCGACTTCATCAAGCGATTTATCACTTAATCCCCCTGTGCTCTTAGACTTCAACAATACTAACAAGTATCGGAAATCAATTCAAATTAAAAGAATTAATGGAACAATATGGAAAATGATTGCATTTCTTTTAATTAGTTTACAAAAAACTTAAATCAGATAATTTCATAGCTTTTCTGTCTCAGGTGAAAGCCAAATGCCATTTTCTTGACGATTAATGTTGAGTGTTCTTACAAGAATTGATGAGTCATTAACAAACCGACGCGCACTTTACGTTGTGTGTACAGGCGAAGCAAGTTGCTTTGCCCGTAACCTTTCATCTTGTCCAGCGATTTTTTCAATAAATGCCAGCTTTGGTTTCTTTTAGTTTGGTTCACTCGTTGTTTTGTCTTAGCGAGAAAGCTTGTGACCTTCAAGAAATCGAATCCATTCTGACATGCGGATATAAAAAATTAACAGAAAACGTCATCGAGCGAGGCTTTGCCTCCGCCAAGAGCGGGGCTCAAGAGTTTTGCCCGAAAACAAACAGACGGAAGACAAGCTCCTTGCCAAAAGAATGATAAGAATTCCAAAGAAAACTTGGATGAGCCTGATTTTGCGATGTAACTGCGTGTTCTAGTTACCAAACAAGTCACTTACATGACTTACCGTTCAAGTTCCAGACACTTAGAGACTAAAAATGCTGTCCTCGAGACAAAAAGCTGTCATTCCTATTATTGGCTTTCCGCGGACATAAATCCTCATCTTGTATCGACGATTTTTTTTATCTTTGTTGTACTCTGCGCATATCTGTTGATCCTCTTTGTAAGGATTACGGTCGACAGCTTCAATTCCGAGCTTGTGCTTTGACCACCAAGGAATTTATACCCTCTTATTCAAGTAAATAACCACTGATATTCGGTAAACAGTAGTACAATATTAAATTACAGCATGATCTAAAGGTCTTGAACGTATGTGAGACGCTTCATATTTTAAAGACCTACCCGTTACTCACCAACGTTTTGGTTCGGCAAAGCTTAAGAAAGATATTGGCCCGCTATTAATAGTTTTTGAGCCCTAACGGAAACAAACAAGGAAAAAACTTATCAATATTCGCGGTGCCGATAGTTTTTTATATCGCTAATATTTAACCACGATTTGTGGGGAATGGTGACTTCATTTGAGTTTGATGGGAGGCGCTCGGTGTCTTTTCTTTTAGGAACGAAATAAACTCATGAAACATGCTGACGAAAGCCGATTTGCTGTTTTCATGTTTACTGTTTTTATCTGGAGATGTGAAGATATATATTGGCCTGAATTTTTTAATTGCCCCTTTTAAGAAAAGACACTTGTTCAATATCATCACAGTGTTTTTTTGCCATATACTTGACACGCTTGAAAACTCTAAGTCGTGTGAAAGACTGTCTTGTGGCTCTTATAAATTGAAGTATTCATCAAAAACGTAAAATGTTAATATGCTGAGTCCACTAAATTAAGAAAACAATAGACAACAAAAACCTTTTTATTCAGTTTATTTTCGAGACAAAAGCACCCGTTTGTGCATTTTAGTTTCCGCACGACTCGAAATTCGAATTTCTCTGAAAATACATCACTTAGATCTTCAAAATCAGAGTAACAGTCTGTTAATTGACATTTTGATTGTTTTTGGTTTTGTTTTATTTTTCCTTATTGCTTGTTTTCTTCACATGAAATGGCTGCTCTAGTACGAAAAGTCAATCGAAATCGCCCTCTACCTGGGAGACTGATATGCCTATTCGACCTGTATCAAACTTGAAATTTTTGGTGAGTGTGCAGTGCGTTAACTCGCTTAATTTTTTGTTCGCTTCAGCCTCTTTTTCAATGAAATATTCTAAACGGATCCCAAGTCGACCAATGGGAAGCTTTTCTATTAGGACAACCGTTAAAGGTTCCATTTAAACGATCAGGATAACAACAGTGTCGGAAGAATTCGGTCATTTGTAATTTCTTGGATGTTTTTCCCTACAGGGTTCCAATTCTTGCGCTCGTTCTTTTCCCTCTTCTTCTGTTCACATCACTACACAGCAAGTTTTACTTAAATGAGATTATAGCGGGCTATTTCTCCGTAAACACATTCATACTGGTACAATTCAGTTTAAAAATTAAAAAGATTGCAAACGTGATTGCAAAATATTTCCTGAATAGACTGATGCATGATGTTAGGTGAGAGTGTTGACATCCCGGCTGTTTTCTTACCGCGTTATGGGGAAATTTGTATTATTCCTTAATTTTTTGCCTTATGACCGCAATAATTTTAGTCCAAAGGAAAATGATGTAAAAATCTCACATTCGATACCAAAATGAGTGGTACCTCTACGAAAGGGCTTTAATTTGCTGCCGTCAAGCTGCAAAGAGTTCCTGGTCGATAGGAATCTGGGGAGAGCAAACTTTCAGTGCTCTACTCTTCAAGTCCCGCTCTCTCACCACTCCCGGTAGTTTGTGCTGTGACTCTCTAAGGGCAATTAGTCAGAAAGAACGTGTAATGATTTAACAAAAGAAACACGCCACGTTAAAAAATTTTCATGAAAGCAAGTTCACCAATGTAAATTTTAAAAGTTTTCTTGTTGAATCATAACAGAATTTTTCCAGAAATATTACCATCTTAATTAGCAAAAAAAAAAATAAACGAATTTCTTCTTATCGAAGAGCCTTCACTTCAACCTTATACCTACAGCTCTTTCCAACGGTCGAGAACAACGGCTCAGATATAAATGGGTCTTTATAAATAAGAGTAAGAAAAATAATAAATACTTTGGGGGCGGGGTGGGAGAAGATCTTACTTCAACATTTAACCCTGTTTATTTTAAGATGTAACTTAAAAATTGACTGATCTAGATGAACAGTTCTGATTAATAAGCAAATTCTTCAGAGCACAATGAAACGATAATATCGTCCTGTGGACGTGGTCCTCGCTCTGCTTTGCGTCCATTACCTATTTTCATTTGGCTTATGAAAACAACTGCCTCACGCGAGGCTCACGTGAGGCTCACGTGACAAATAGCCGTTTGCTATGGCTAGTGCGTCAGGACATGCGTTGTCAACGTGGTTAGCACTGTTTTTCCTCATAGGGGCATCCCACGATGGCAGCCGTTGTCGATCCAGTCACCTGCCCTGGTTCTTCTCGCGGGCTCTTTTTCTTTCCAGAAAGCGTTGCCTAGCAGCCGTGAGAGATTCTTGTGTGTTCCGTTTCGATATTTTAACGACGTCTGTAACAGTGCCTGAACCAACAAAAATGAGGTGAAATTATAAAATGAACAAATTGCAGTACGGTTAAACGTGTCAGAGTCCTCAAAAAAAAGAAACACACCTGTTTCGGTTTCGTTTTGGTCTTGTAAGTTCCCGTCATGCTTGCTGACCGTTACTTTTCCCTCTGCCCAGCCAGACAAGGAATAACTGTCTACTTCATGTAACCTGGGCAGGAGTTCTCCCACCCACTCATACCTTATCTAAAAACGAACGTGATTTTGTAAGTGGCTGGTCATCAGGAATCTTGTAAGCTACACATTTCAGTTTTAAAAGTAAACTCTTCATACAATAAAGAAGAAAGACAAGGAAAAAAATTAACACTCACTGGGCAAACTGTTCTGACATAGATTTTTGAAGTCCAGATGATGTCATGAAAAATTATCCACTCGAGCTGATCTTCGCAACCAAATAGCTAAAAAAATATATAAATGATCAGTAGGCATTCTTCAATGAGATAAATGCAGTAGTGAAGAAAAATGAGAGTGAATGCTCCATATGACCTCATGCACTTTTTAAGCTCATTTTTCTTTTTACGATCGTGCAGCGCGACCATCCGTGTAACAATAATCCTAAAGAATGATTAATAAAACCGCTCACTGCGTCCCTTCCTAGCATGCAGACATGTTTTCAAAATTTAATCATCATCAGAGTCAGTTACAATTGCAAATTGAAACTTCAATTGAACTTCTTCATCTCTGCAAACCACTATTGTTAATCGGAATATTAAAAGCTAACTCTACCGTTGAAGATGGGTGAATATAAACTTGTGTACCATGTCCGTCCATAGTGCGGAAACTGTTTCCCGAACTGCTTCTAAAAAGGATAAGACACAAAAAGATGCCATGACATTAAGAATAATAAATAAAATTGTAAGGCGCTTCAAGGAACGAATGAAAGTTTAAACTCTTCAGGCGCAGTAAAAACGCGCAATTGACGATTGTTTTAGCGTCTTTTCTGATTGGTTAGGGAAAGAGGTGGGACTTTTCCTGATCAATTACAAAGCGTAGTAAAGTAAAACTAATGGAATCATGAATTACTTTTGACATTCGATTAGGAATTGTTTTATCGAAGGAAGACTGCCCGATCGAAATGTAAAGGACACTTCAAAGAAAAAAGGATGACTTACTTCCGCGCTACATTGCAGAAATATCCACTGCACAATACTCTCCTCAGCAGATCTTTCGAGCTAATTTTTGTACTGTCTGTATTCCTCTTTGGAACAGAGTCTTTACTAAGCTGAAAAGACAAAAATAAAGGAGCCCGTATTCAGCTTTGAGCTGGCAATGAACCGGGAGAGTATTCGACAAAAGCTTATTAACTATCTGATAAAATGTCTCATGTATCAATTTCACTCTTGGAAGCACTCAAAATCAGTGTAGAATATGATAAATCAGTGTTGGTTCTTCACCTGTCTTTGCAAGATGGTTTCCAGCTGATGGTGTATGTTGTACGCCATTTTCAGTGCTCTCCAATGAATGTAATGTTCACGACACCATCGTGGAGGTGACGGACTACAAAAAACAGGAGAGAGCAAAACTTTACAAGGATCTAACACTATTGGCTAATAATAGTACATAGAAAAACAAACTTAGCACAGGAATACTAACCTAGAATGACACTGCCTGTAGACAAACAGGAGTGTTGCAAAGTCGTTTGTTCCACCGGCTTCCTCCGCCAGTTTTTTATGAACCTGTGTAGCTGTTGATAAATTCTTTTTCCCTCCCGGAGTTACAAAGACATTCTCCACAGACAGCATGGCTGCCACTGCAAGTACCGGTTCTGTACAACCAAGGCTAGCTGAGGATATTACTGTCCTGGAGAGGCCTGGGGAGAGTGGAAATTCCGTCATCTGACGACCTAGTGTGGTGACATTTCCACCTCTGAAAACAAAATTGAAATTTACGTTTTTCAATATGAGAAAAAATTACACAACATATGAAAGTTTAAAGCCTTTTCCTTGTCTTTCACTGGAGTTCATAACAATGTCTTGTTTTCAGACTCACCAAATGAGTCCACTCATAGAAGGAATGAGTATTACAACTTCCCTTTTGATAGGCTGGCAGCCTTTTGTGGGTCATCACCTCCCCTTCCCCCTCCCCCTTTATCCTCTCCCTTTCTCCTTCCCACCCCTTCCCCACTTTCCATCCCCTTCTCCACACACTGACTTATTAAACAGAAAAGTTCCCAGAGCCACATGAATACAAAGATTAATGAAAAATTACCAGACTTGAAAATCTGCTCTGGACTAAAGATTCAATTTACCTGTCCAATGCTCCAAAATAATATAGTTGTTTTAATGCTTCTAGAATCATTCTCTCTTCTGGTGGATCAATGTACTGAAAGCTAAGAAAACATAAAAATATCTGTATTCACAGTTAAAGTTTCATTGCTGTGAATTGCTGATTACCAGTAATCAAATTATCCAAGCCATAACACAAAATCCAAAAGGTTAGAAAGTAAATGCAAGCGATAAAAAAGGTCCTGTGGTCACAGTATTGTTTAATTGGTTTATCCTTAGAGCTTTTTCTTTGGGAAAACTCAACAGGGGTACAAGTTTTCTTTCTCCTCACAGTAGTCCTTCTCTATCTGTAATTGTTACCAGTCCTTTGCACTCATTCCTCAGAGAGTTTGGAGAAAGTGAGGTTGTCCTTAGATGATGATCACTGAATGTCAGAGTAAACTTGCAACATTGTGGAGTGTTACAGTCAGGTATCCCAGTAATCATGGCAAAAACTTCTGGTATTTAAACTGAATTCCAATCTTCTTGTAACTGAGAAAATACAACATTTGTTTTCAGACCTAACAGAGGACGTAACAATGTACTTACCCTAAAACATCATGTATTCCCATGGACTTGAGATAGAGAACCACATGACTTAAACTTGTTCTCTGAATTTCAGGAATTGTTTCCTCTGTCATGGCCATCTCATAGACCTCTCTGAAACAAAGAAACACAAAATAATCTCAGACAACTATACATTGCTAGTTCATAAACTGTATAATCAAATCTACTTACTTAGAATAAAGTCGAAAGCATTTTCCTGGTGCAGTTCTACCAGCCCTTCCTGCTCTTTGAATGGCTTCAGATCTGAAAAAAGAAAAAAACACGATGTAAAGATTGTATGTCATTTCATGATGCAATACTATCAAAGTGACTGATTATCAACTGGCTGAAAGGAAACAGCTTCTGTTACAACAACAAAGAAGAGAAATTAAATTAATTAAAAATCAAGGTTTAAAAATACATGACATTGTACATTACTAATAATACCTTGATGTCAAAACAACGGTAAGGGAGTCAAGTCTTGTACGTGGATTATATGATAACTGCTTCACAAAGCCACTGTCCACAACATATCTAAACATAAGTCAAGATAAACAAAGAAAATTACAGATTAACCCCCTTTGAAAACCACTGAACCTGAATTCAATTTCAACCTGTAACATTACAGCAAGTAGGTAAAGGAACATGTAGGTTGAGTCTGTACTAGAACCAAGTAGCCAACCCAGCTGCAGTTTATCTCCGTTTCCATGTAGTATGAAGCAACTACATCTAGGAGTATAGCTACATGTACTCCTTCCTGAATGGGATGCCAGCCCATAACAAGGTTGCTACCCCAGGCATTTCATTGGGCTTTCCTTCCTGGTTCTTACTCATACCACTGGGTGGAGAGAAGCACTGCAAAAGTTAAGTGTTGTGCCCAGAGAACATAAAAAAATGGTGCTGCACATCACAACCCAGAGTCCAGTGCACTAACCATCATGTCAATTAGCATCTCCCTTCTACAGTCACAGGGTAGATGGTAGTTTTATTTCTTATTCATATTTTCACATGTGATAAGGTTTGTGATATCACAATGTATGTGTCTGATTATTGTAGTTCTGATACCCCTAAAATTTGAACCAAATGTTGCTATCAAGAAAAGACGGACGAAATCTGATTCAAGAAAAATTACACAATAATCAACATAATGAACTTGTACATGTAAAGCTACATGATAAACCTTTCTGAATATTTATACTTTTCCTATAATCTAATTTAAAGTACATATGACACAAACTGTGTACACTGTTTTTTTGGTAATTAGATATGTAAGGTAAATATTCTGATTATACATTTGTTAACTTTTATGTTTACCTTATTCCTTCTATAGTAAGTGATGTGGCTGCAATATTTGTTGCTACAACTACCTTCCTCACTGAAGAACTAGGAGGATCAAATACTCTTTTCTGTAATTCTGCAAAACAGATATGTTTTATTGTAAAATCAACAAACATCACAGAGAAGTTTACTAAAGGAATCTTAAGTAGATGAAAAAATTGCACAAACCAGTTGTCATGGAACCATATAAGGGAAGAATCAACATGGCTTCCACTTCATGGTAATGGACATCGTGGCTATAGTCAATTTTCTCAGCTGACTCATACAGTTTGTCACATGCATGTTCAATTTCATCCTGTCCTGTTAGGAAAACCAATATATCCCCTGGGCATTCCTCAAGATGAATCTTCATCACTGTCTCTACAGCCTACAAAATATTGAATTGAGTTTATCAGAGACACATCAAGTAAGCAGCTCTTCATTCGCAGTTTCCAAGTCAAAAATTGGAATTTAAGGTGTTATTTTTCGTGAAGGGAATAAGACAGGAGAATATGGAAAAAAGTTTGCCTTAAACATGACTATCAAAAGCAAACTCAACCTACATACCATATGTTGCATGAGATACAAGAATCATATCTGAGACAAATTTATTAGAGGTAAGTGACCATTGCACATTTCATGAATAAATTTTACAGACTCACCCTTTTCAGATAACTTGGTGTCTGCAAGTCCTTGACACCAACATAGTCCAAAAATATATTTTTCACAGGAAAGCAGCGCCCTGGAATTTCAAAGACTGGACAGCCATCAAGGAATTCTGAAAACTTCTCATGATTTAAGGTAGCTGACATGATAATAACTTTTGGGAGCCTTGTAGGCTTATCTTCTGCATTGAAATTTTTTCTCCGATCATGAAATAATTTCCTAACTAAACCAAATAAGATATCCTGCAAAACAAAGAAGAGTAACTTTAAGCAATAATCAAAATCATTTATTCAAAATAGTTGCAGTGCCATTGAGTGTATTGTAAGGGAATATCTATTTACTTAGATCTAGTCCAAGGAAACATGCAGAAAGGCACCCTCTAGGTTTTCCACAGTGACCCTTCACTCCCATGGTCTAGATATCAATTCTCTTTCCTGTCCTCCATACATGTCTTAAAATTGTAGCTTTGATAATGTGCACGTAAATGCTAATTATAAAATATCCCCTTATTTCATCACTTTTCTCCTGGACAAAGTATTGATATTTATTAAACAAATTACTCATCAATCACTCTGAGGGAGAGGTTAAAATTAAATGAGCACGAGTAAACCTTTTCCAATATAAAAAATCAAATCAACTAGGACTTTAATAATTGTAATATTGCACTTACTGTATCCAAACTTCTCTCATGAGCTTCATCCAGAATGATTACACTGTATTTGCTGAGTTCAAAATCATCAAGGAACTCCCGCAAAAGGCAGCCATCAGTCATATACTTAATCAGAGTTTTATCACTGGTGTTATCATCAAACCGAACTTGATATCCAACCGTTTCTAAAGGAACCAACATGTTTAAGAGAAATATAGAAACTAAATATACCAACAATACAAGGTGCTTGATCATGTGTCACTAATGCCACCTTCCTTTGTCAATTTATTTCCGGATTTTTCCATTTCTGATGAAGTAGGACAAGTGTCTGGAAGTCTCAGTGGACATTGTTGATATATGTTTATGTTATGCACTAGACTCAGAGAAAGTTGGCTTATCTGTGACTTTCTACATATATGACTGGCTGATTAAGGATTAATTACTTAATCATAGCTTGTTTTGAATACTGTAATGAAAATACTCTGTACTATCAAAACACTTTGTGCAAAGAACTCTCTTAGTGACATGCTACTAACTTGAAATCTGCATAATTTTAGTAAAAATAGTTTCTTGTTCGTCTATTGTGTTTATTTGTTTATATAGCTTATTTATTCATTTTTGTATATCACTCTTGTACTTTTACATTTAGGAATCAGGTTATTAAAATCTTAAGTCTTCAATGGTAAGACAAATATTGTCTCTACTTAACAACAGCTTGATTTACTTAATTCAATATCACGGTAAAGTTAAGTATTTAAAACTAAGAAAACAATTTAAACTAATTAACATGAGAGCGATCTTCCCAGTAATAAACACTACTTACTTTAAGCAGAAGAGAAAATAAGGCCTGAAAAAAATTCAGACCTGTAGGGGATTTGAACCCATGACCTCTGCAATTCTGATGCAGCGCTAGTTGGCTTGTTAGCTCAGTTGGTAGAACACTGCTCTAGTATCACAGAGGTCATGGGTTCAAATCCCATTCAGGCATGAATTTTTTTCAGGCCTTAATTTCACTACTGCTTAAGAAGTAATCATAACTGCGAAGAGTACTCTCATATTTATTTCTTGAACAGCAGTTCACATATAGGATTTTCATATATTCACTGTCATTAAAACTAGAAAAGTAATAAAATTGATGATAATAATAATAATCATCATCACCATCATGGCAGATTATAATAAATGCAATCTTCATACAAATAACTTTGAATATATCTGTATACTTCGGCTAGATTATACAGAACACTTCCAGCCTGCACTTAAAGTAGACTGCTATAGCTACATGTAACATTAAGCAATTAAACTATTAGCTTACAGCCTGATCGAATTGTGTAATGGATCCTACATTTATTTTCATGAACCATCCAGTTTCCCAAATCTTATGGCTAAGTATAACAATCTCACCTCCTAAATGACATTTCATTTCTTCAGAAACGCGCGTGGCTACTGAAATTGCTGCAATACGTCGTGGTTGCGTTACACCGATCATTTTTCCTCTGGATGTAAAACCAGCTTTGAGAAGATATTGTGGGAGTTGGGTTGTTTTTCCACTCCCTGTCTCACCGACAACGATTAGGAATTCATTTTCTTCCACTATCTGTACCAGTCTTTTTCTATAATCCCTGATCGGTAAATCCTCTTTGAAAGAAGACTTGGAATTGTGTTCTCTTTTCCGCTTCTTGTCCGCCATCTTTTTTTTTCGAGGTAAACATTCATGTAAGACACATTGTAGTGTAGTAGGAGATACCGCTGCTCATTAGAATGGAGAGTCATTTTCCTTTCAAAAAGCCTGGGCTTGCTACGAAAGAAACATGACGACGATGTTGGAGTTATTTATTGTGGTGTTGAAGTGTTAAGTTGTTTGAGGAATCTTGCCTTTGTCACGATGAATAAGGGTGGACCTGGAGCAAGAAGACCTAAGACAGGCCCAAGAGGTTGGACAATTATTCATCTCACAAACTAACATATTGATTGAAGCCGATGGACGTCGAAAGGAGCCAGGGAGCTACTTTCTGCAATCTTATCCGAAAACATTTTCATTTCAAACCGTAAAATTACAAGCTGGCCTGGTGGAAAAAATTCAGGGTGATCCCCACAGGAATTGAACATATGTACCTTCTACCTCTTAACTTTGATGCACTTAATACTCACTTAGCCATGGAGCTCGAGACTGGAGTATCTTTCAATCAACAGGCTACAAACATCACATATCTATGTGTTTAAAAAAAGAATGGTGATTTTTATCTATTTAGAATACATGGACAAGTAATAGTATTTGTTTTAATTTGCGTGTCAACATCAGCTGCCTTTTCACGCCTTACATAAAGTATGTATGAAATAAAGTTTGAGATGAATACTGAGCACTTTCATATTTGATTCTACAGGTCATCCTCCACCAGGAGACTTCATAGCCCTTGGTAAGACCTCTAGCTACTTTACTTAGCCATTCTCCAAGGCTATAGTATTATAGTTTCCTTTTAAATTGCTATGAGAAAAGTGTAGATAACTCTTAAGAAATATATATATTTCTTCCTATATTTGTTTCTGACAGGGAACAGAGGTTCCAGAACCTCAGAAAGTGAACTTAAGCCTCTACAGCCACTGAAACCTCTCCAGCCACTGAAACCATCACAAGCTCTGCCTCCAAAGAAACCAGTTGGTTCGTCTGTGTCTGACAGGAAGAGAGAACCCTCTAGTATTCTTACTCCCCTGGGTGGAGCTAAGAGGCCAAAGCTGTCATCTCCCACATATCCTCCTCATTCATTTAAAGGAGGAGATGGAGAGACCAGCAAGAGACCTGGAACTAGTGTCCAATATATGTCGCATGGGCAAGTTACACCCATAGAAGGTATAGTCCTCATTTTTCTCTATATGAATAGATAATAACAGATATTTCTGCCGGATCAGTTTTCTAGAATTATGTGCATATTGCACCTTTTTAAAATTTTATTCTGGTCTTTAAGCTACACCCCATAAGGTATAGGAAACTTTAAGTCAGACTGAAAAAAATTCATGGCTACTCTGCAGAATCTTTCAGCTAAGTTTTGTTAGCTTGAACCACATGTACAGTAAATGAATGTTTTATTCAGACCTGGAGAATATTCACTTGTTAGTTTACTCTCTTCTTCTGCAATTACACGTACAGTGAACCCTTACTTTAACATAAATTTATATTCATTTTGTTTATTTTACTTACAGTGAGTGCATTAGAGCTTGAAGATCAGGTCCTTGATGCAGACGCAAGTGGTAACAAATCAAGAGTAGATGCTCTTTTATTAGGGGCCATAAAGAATCTAAAATCAAACAAAGCCAAACCAGATCAATTGATGATCATGAATCTGATGTATCTGGCAAAGAGCAGGCCTGAATATTTTCTCTCCAATAGAATTGTCGAGGTGGGCGTGATTGACTTGTTTCAGCCTTTTTAAGTATTTAATTGTGAAACTTTACTCTTGGTTCAATATTTCATTTATCTTCTTTTGTGAGTTGATGTGATGTATCTATGTCCAGACCACATGTTACTTGAACAATTTTTTGAAACATTTAGCAAACCATGACTTTGACAACCCTATAAATGCATCATGGTGCTGATGCCTTTTTAAGGCTTATACTATTTTCATGATCTAGATTTTCCACTGGCATTCCATTCTGATTAAAATGAGAGATCTATTTTAACCCTTAAACTCCCGGAAGTGATCAACATGTGACTTCTCCTTATAATATCCATACAATATCCAACAAACAGGTAACAAGAATAAGATATCAGATAGAAGTTTTTATCTTGATCTAACTCCAAATGATCATAACTAATTCAACTTGTTAAAGGGGAAATTTTTTTTCTGGTCTCAGTAGGCACAACCATACTTTAATAAGCCCTCATAGCATGGGAAAAATTTCATTTAAAATGAATCGGGTATTTCCACATGAAATTCAAAATTTCAACAGCATGTACTCCAAGGTACAACCAAAATACTTTCTATCGAATATGCATAATAATAATTGTGAAGTTATGATCGTGCTTAGTGAGACTATAAATGTAACTTAAGATGGTGGTGTACTGTAGGCACTCACAAGCATCTTAAAGCGTGAGGGTGGCTCCTTGAATATTAAACCAAACAAAGGATCAAATGCTTCAGTACCAATGATGGCATGTAACATCCTGCTTTATGCCTTCCAAGAGGAAGATGACTGGCCAGAGTCATTTGTGAAAGTTTATGTTGAAGATGCTTTAGGAGACAGGGTCTGGGTCGACAATGAATATTGCCGCAGTTTTGTTGAGAACATATGGACAGCATTTGGGACTAGAACTGTGCCACGAACACTGTCACGGCAACATAGTGATCCCACTGGAAAGCAAATGACATCTGAACAGACTGCTGCTGGAGGGACAAAAGATGAGGAAGAAGTTGTTGAGGAAATGGAAACATCAACATCACTTGAAGAGGATGATATTCCAGTTATTTCAAGGTAAAATGAAGATTTTGACCTTCAGGATTTTATAGGATCAATCTTAATCAATAATCTTGTGAAATGAAATGATTGATTTTAATCATTCTGATTAAAAATTTATGTTCATTTACATTGTACATTGTAAATCTCATGATCTTGATATATCTGTAGGTTTATGTCACCATCTGTCGAGCACAATATCCGCACATACATTCTAGAATTAGTTCAAGATCAGTTAACAAGACGGCAAACACTGGATAGTGTCACACGTAACCTTCTAAAGCTGCTGACAGTAACTTGTGGCTACAATCATATCCGATTGTTGGTGTCTCAGAGGTTAGAGATGTGGCTGCAGAATCCCAAGGTAAAAAGTCTGGCTATGCTTAAATATATCTTTATACCAGCAACAAAGAGTACTTATACACAGAGATACATGTATATAGTAAATACTTAAAAACTTTTTTCTGAAAATCTGCATTGTTGGGAACATGGGGTTCCGAGGAAAGCTATAAATACAATACAGTATGACAAAAGTTGACAAAGTTCTCATTGAAGTGTATCACTAATTTGGGCACCAAATTACATCCTTGCTTTTGCTTCAAATGTTTGTGAAAACTGCTTAACCATATCTCTATAGAATTTATTTCTAATTTATTGTTTTTAGGGTTCTTGGTAACATTGTTTATCATTTGCACTAAATTCAATTATGGTATTGATATGTACATGTATCCTTCAGAAATAACTTTGCTCCATGCTCTTCCTCAGCCATCTTATCATAGTAAGTGTGCCACTTACAGGGAATAAGACATACTAAGAGTATTTTTTTTTTAACATGTACATGCTAAAAAATCTTTAAGTTAGGGTGATGAAACAGTCAGGTCATTGAGAGGAGTGTGAAGTTGAAAGTTAGTGATAATATGTATGAATATTTGGTTCAACAAGATGATTTGCAAACAGCATTTTAACTTCCAGCCATTCTTATTTAATTGCATTGTCTTCTTAATTATCAGTTAACTCGTCCAGCTCAAGAGCTGCTTATGTCTCTTGCACTGAACTGTAACACACACAGTAACGAAGATGTTGAAGTGATAAGTAACTTGGTCAGAATGAGACTGAAGACAAAACCACTGGCAAACCACTACATTAACTGTATCAAGTATGTAGATATCCTTGCTGATATTCAGTAAAGTGTGCTTGAATGCAGTGTATGGAAGGCTGTGGCAGAGTTGTTTTATAGGAGATGCTATCTGTGCCATGCTTAAAAGACACAACTTGATTTGATAGAATCAAGATTCAAGTTTTTGGGAATCAAGGATTGAGGAGTCTCGTTTTTGAGCCTTAGTCACTCATTTGTCAATATGTTTTAACTTTTGCAGTATTTTCTCAACCCAGATTTACCAAGAAACTGCTGTGTAAACCCTATTTAATGCATAGGAGGAGCCAGGCTGGGGGAGGGGGGAGGGGAGGGGAGGAGAAGAGGGGGGGAGGTAAAGAGCTGGAGTAACTAGAGCAACACTGAACTAACATCCCATCCAGGGGCATGGAAAATATTCTTACTCACTTGACCCTTTAACTCCCAAGCTCTCATTAGTAATTATTCTCCTTACTGTTTGCCATATAGTTTTTGTGACGTTAATTTGGAGAATTTGGTATTGGATCAACTAATAGTCCTCTAATTAAGATTTCTCTCTATTCTCATCACTCGTCTGCTTGATGTTTATTGACATTTATCGATATTTATTGATATCACACTCCCATGAGTTAACCCTTTAACTCATGGGAGTTAAAGGGGGTAATTCTATAGATTTAACACTAACAGCAGGCAATCATGAGCTCCTGTACGTAATCACCTCTGACTGGCAGTACCCCATTGTAAATACCAACTTTGCCTTTTTTTTCTTGTAGAGAGTTAGCCAACCAGCATACAGAGAATTTACGAACAGTGTTGAAGCATGTAATATACAATGAACTGTCCAATGCTCGCAATCCTAACAACATGGTTTTGCTTAGTACTCTGTTCCAGAGCAACCAAGAGAAGGCGGCAAAGGTCTGTAATTTTTGTTTGTTCTGTTACTCTATTAGCAGCACTCCTTTCAATTTAATAAATTTGAAAATTTTATTTAGACCCTTTTGCATTTTTTTTCAGTTGCTGGCTATGGTGTTTCAAGACTTACTTACCAACAAGTAAGTGAAATAAATTAAGAATGAAGTGTTTGTGATGTGTACTTCTAGACTCATCAACTGGTAATCATTGATAATAATAAAAAAAAGAACTACTAGGCAGAACTGTGCAGCAGTTTGGAAATGTGATCGTCATTAACACAGGCTTTGTCTATACAGTCATTAGTTCTTGTTTCAATATTATTATGTATTGTTGACAGGAAATATCATCAATATCAGGTTTTGATTACTGACTGACTGCATGAAACTGCAATCAAACTTAATCAACTGAACTCTATATCTTTGTCTGATTTGATGTTTTTGCCTCTATTTCCATCTACAGAGAAGATTATTTAAGAGCCTCACGGGCCTTGTTGAGAGAAGTTGTCAGAGCCCTCAGACATGATATAGACTTTGTGGCATTGTGTCGTGGATTCATGAAGGAAAGAACAGAGACTCAGTTCAGGGATCTGGATGCTGTCATCAAGGTTTGGAAATTTTATAAAAGTTGTAGAAAAAAGTGCTCATCTTGGCAATGGAGTTGGGCTTGTACCAGTGAATCATTTGTAGAAGAGGCATTGCTGCATGAATGTATGAACTTGATGTTATATTTTTTCTTCCAAGGAACGTATGCTACTTTCCCTGGCAGATCTTATCACTATGGCAACTTTTCTCAGTATAACGCCCACTGTCAAGGAATCATTCAACAGTACATCTGCACGAGGGGAAAAGAGAGGTCAAGTTTAATTGTTTGTTCCTTGCTGCAATATTTTCAAGTGCAATAAAACTTTGTAGCAGTGCTTATTTTTACTGACTGTTGGTAGTATGTTGTTAATTTATTGTAGATGCATCGGTACTTGAGGAGTTTCAAAAGTCTGTGTCCACAATCCAGCGTGATGCTGTTTGGTGGTTGCACATTGTAGTCCCTAAAATGTTCACTCCAAGTGGAAAGGATTTCTTATCATGGTAAGGTGTACATGTGTATGTATAAGTAATGAAGAATTTAATAAATACACCAGCAAATATATAATTCATTATGCTTAAAATCTTTTCAATCTCAGCATAACTTTGTTGTGATCAATTAGTAACTGTACATGCATGGTGCAGCCATTTTTTTTAAATTTGCTTCTTTTCATTTTCTAATTTGAGTCATTTTTTTCAAGCATGAATAAAGTGCTCTTCCTTGATTCTGCTGAGAGCTACACTGGAAAAGACAACTGGCCTCCAGAGAATGACAGAAGGTGAAAATATCTTCTAAGAATATCTACTAAATAATATCTATAGAACTTTTTAAAAAACATTCATATATAAATGCTACAAGCTTGAGGTACATGTATCTGTTGTATGATATGTATTGAGTTGTTTCAATCAGTCATTTTTACTAATTGAAACAACTTGGACTATGAGCATGAGTTAATTTTTTTTCTTTTTTCCTGAAAGACCAGTGAGTCAAGGATGGAAAGTTGTGATTTGCTTATGTTCATTCATTTCTATCCATTTATTTTTGTAGTTTAGAAAGTGTGTTAGTTTGACTGTTAGTTCTTTGGTATCTCACCATCGGAAAATAAATGCATATTAACTAAAGGTGTTCCATTTCTGTATTTTCTCTAGTTTGTTGCTGAGTATTGTCAGTGAAGTTCCTGTACAAGAAGATACATTGATGAGGACCATTATCATAGGCCTCTCTAACGAGCTGCCACTAACACCAACTGAGACCCTGGAGATAGCAGATTCATTGGTCAGGAGAGTTGCAGCAATCAAGCTGCCATCTTCCTGGATGCAAGGATCACAGTCTGGTCTGTGGAGATTCTGTGCTTAGTAGAGATTCATTCCTCTAAGTTTTTCCATCCTTTGTGTGTATTCTTTCTTAGTGTACCTTTAGCTAAATGATATTGTCAGTTTGAGGTCAACAATTTAACAATTGGTTGATATTTCACTATCAGGAGACACATCTCTATCTGTGAATCGTGTGGAGCTCTTGGATGCTGTTCTTAATCTTTGTGCTTATCACCATCCAAAGGACATCATTCTTCCCTCAGGGTATGTTCAAGCTGAATGAATAAAGGGAGTGAGTTTCTAAAGAAAATGTGGTGCTGCATCAGTGGTAGAGTACAACAGGGCAGTTTAGTATCATCAATTGAGTTGATAGTTGTATCATCGATTGAGTGGATAGTTGGCCACTGCAAAGAGGTTAAAGGCTGACATTCAAGCTTTCGCCCTTCATCAGAGCTCTGACAAAGGGCTAATGAAAGGTCAGCTTTTAAACTCTTCACAGTGGCCAATTTATGTTATTGGATTAATATCAGTATCTGGGCAACTGCCCACCTACCCCTCCCCTAACCCAACAACAGTCTATTGATAACAACTCAGGGTTAATGTTGGGTTAGGGGAGGGGTAGGCGGGCAGTTGCCTAGATACTGATATTGATCCATGTTATCAACTCAGTTGATAACAATAAATTACCTTATGTACAAACTAAGCCTAGATTTGCCATACATTTGTTAGTTTGTGTACATGTAAAGGTTATCTTTTGAACTGTAAATATTATGAGGTCAATTTGCTTTTCAAATAAGTCAATTGTCTCGCCAATTTTATAGATATGCTGCTCCAAAATTAGCAATTGCTAATCTCTACTGGAAAGCTTGGATCTTACTTGCCATAGTAGCTTCTCTCAATCCATCTTCAATAGGTAAGCTAATAAATGGTAAGGTAAATGGTACATGTGGTTCAGCTTTATTTAGTCTGTTAAAAGAAAGAAAACACAGAGAAAGCATCATGTGAAAAATATATATTGTGTGATACTTAAAAAGATACTACAGCATAAACATAATCCCTAGGAATATAATTTGTGTTACTTTTATTGTTGGTTTCATAGGGGCATAGGTCAGAGCATTTTGCAACTGTATTTCAAAGTATTATGGGTGGTCTCCCTTGTTTTAAGCATGAAAGGTCAAATAAATTTTCAAACCAATTGAACAACCCTTTAAGTTGTCTAATTTTCAAGAATTCCAAGCAATTCCAATTTTTAGGCAGTTAAGGAGGTACTACATGTGGTAAATTTTACTGTTTACAACCTGAAAAGGAGAACACTGAGTATTAATGAATCTCATTTATTTTAAATCAGTCAAATTACCTAAAGATTAATGGTTCTTATCAAGCTATTTTTCTTATCAAGCTATTTTGTTTTTCATGAAGGTCAATCTGGATGGGATAACTTCCCGATGCTCAAATGCCTGATGGAAATATTGATGACAAAGTAAGTAAACCAACATTTAATCCTCTAACTCCCACAGGTGACTAAAAAGCAAATTCTCCTTTCCTTTTCAACACATTTTCAAGCAGAAGGGTGATGAGAAGGAAGAAAAATATCAATGAAAGGATTTTGTTTGATTGAGCACGGAATTCCCAAAGCAAAAATCAAGAGTAATGTAATAGAGACAGTGCAGAGAATTTATGTTTTGATCTAGGGAGTGAAAAAGTTACATGAAAACTCTTCTAAATAGCTCATATTTGCGTATAGAGTTGTACAATGTACAATATTGTTAATTTTTTTGCTCGGTAGCAACTTTGCATTTCCACCACCAACTGCTGCTCTGACAAGCGAAGAGAAGGATGAGATTCTCTCTCAAGAACTTCAGGTATTACCTTGAGAACTTGCCATAATAACATTTCATCATCAGATCTAGCAATTATTTTGATTTACTCTCAAAATTAAACCTGATGCAACAAGGATTTAAAGCCAACCACTTGATCTGGGTTAAAGTTTATTCTTCCTTTTACATAAGCTACGGAAGAAACACTACTGTACAATTTCCGTCTATCAAACGATTGTGAGGTTTAACACCATGCAATTCTGGAAGGATGGGGTTGGACGGGTGGGGGTTAGGGGCGAGGGGGGATAGTGAGGAGGTAACTATCAACAGATTTGCGTTCCAGTTAGGGCGAGTAACCTTAGTGCAATTGGCTTCATTCTATAGAAGCAGACCAGGGTCATGGAGGCTATAACCTATAAAGTAATACACTGCATTTCTGTTTCTGTATTTGTAGCTGGCACAGGCAGAGAAAGAGGAAATCCTATTGTTTGAGTCGCACTTGGCTGCAGCCACAACTAAAGTGGCCATTACGGAAAGTAACAGCCTGTTACTGAGTCAGCTGATCAGCATGGACCCTGTGTAAGTACAAGTCAATCTTTTCTTTCAGAGGAATAACACTTAGAAAACGGCTTCACAAAACCGGCAATAGAGAATTACAAGCAAACAAAAACGGTTAAACTTCTCAATTTTGAAGAGTGAGGGTTTTGTTTTTTCTATCTTCAGAGGACCTGCTCGACGTCCCCCGCAGAGTGTCATTGACCAGCTAAAAGCAACAAACAAGAGTCTCAAACTTGGTCAGATGTTATGCCGCAGTCGCTCGCCTGATTTTTTGTTGGAAATCATCCAAAGACAGGTTAGACAGTGAAATCCATTTTTGTGCGGTCGAATTGCGCATTAAGCATTATTTACTCTTTACCTTACTCACCAAAAGCTACTTTTTGCGCCTCATTCCTAGACCTCCGCGCAGCGTGCTAACATCAGTTTATGATTATTTTTACACTCGCGACGGACGTCGCCGAAAAGGAGGGACTACTCGTAATCTAGTAGAATATGGCCAGACTTCTTGATCAAAGGTCTGGAAAATATCGAAAAAGTTCTTGAAAAGGTCATCCAAAGTCATGGAATTTTATGACAACTAAAAGATACAAACCTAGACAATATTTTACGTGTTATGCTTGTGTTATTTCAGGGTGCATCACAGAGCATGCCATGGCTGGCAGAGCTTGTTCAATCCTCAGAGGGTTCACTGGATGTCCTTCCAGTTCAATGTCTGTGTGAATTTTTGCTCCTGGAAAAAACAGGCGAGAACAACAAAGAACAAGATGAAGGTTCTAGCAAAGAAGTGCAAGATAAGAGAGTTGTAAGTAGCCAGCGCAACATGTTGTGTTTCGATAATTTACAGGCACACACAACTGCAGCACTAAACATTTACAACCTGACATATGGGGTTTATTAAGTGAAAATAATAGACATTTCATGAAAGCTACCAGTGATCAAAGCCCTTACGGTTGGGATGGAAAAAATTGCATGAATCTCGTTGTTTTTAGTTGTTTAAGTTCTTTTCCGCTGAGCTGCTGTATGTTGGGTTTTTTGTTTCAGGATATACAGCGTCACGTCTTAGGACGTCTAAGATCACTATTGTTTGGTTCTGAAGCTGATGCCGACTCCACAGGAGAAGTTTTGGAATATTTCATGCGAAGATTGTCATCTGTACAAACAGCAGAAAGAGATTCAGCAGTTAAGGTAGAATATCCATTACTTTGTGAGACACAAACTGAAGCGAAGTTTCTTTGATTTATAAATTGTACAATGAACCAATGGTGCGAGTGTTCTGCATGGTTAGGCAAGCCATTTTCAACGGCAAGAGAACCTTTAGAACGGATTATCAGGTATTGCGGTAACATACTGTTGTAACGTTGTTTGAACCATTAATTTAGGGCTTGGAGCTAGTTCTATCCCAAGATTCAATTAAAGTGGGAGATCACGTGACTGTGGTGTGTGAGGAGGAGTTGGAGGGTGATGCCATGATTACCACCATGGAAGAATTGTTCTCGCCGCCATTTCCTACAGCCAGCACAATGACCAAGACTTACAAATGGCTGTTGGTGAATTTACCCAGTCTGCCGCACTTTGAAACTGTCAGAGCCACCTGCTGTTTTGCTTTGAGACAGGTAAGCTATAAAGAATATTATTCTTCAGCCTAAGAGGGGAACATTGCAACTTTTTTTTAACGATATCAGTCATTGAATGTATGCCATATTGAGGAGGGATGCGCTCATCCATGTAAATACCTACTAGCGCTATCTTATGATCGGCTCTGTTTGTCGGGTCAAACACATTTCAGGCTTTCCCGCCTTTTACTTTTATGAAGTAAGAACTGTATTTTCAGCCCTGATTTGTAAAACTATTTCGTCCCCATTAAAAGGGAAACACTCGCAATATATTTAGAAAATGTTGTGACTGTAAAATTATTTCTAATAAGACGACTTGTAGATGGAGTAGATGATGAGAAGTGTAACACATGATTCTGCCCTCACTAGTCATGTCAAGTTGAGATTATCTCTGAGAGAACAAAAGCATATCTGATGTTCCTGGCCGAGCATTGCACTGACAATGGCGAGGAAGAATTCTTAGCCACAGTTATTGTGAGTACTTTGTTATTTTAAACATGTCGTTGAATTTTCCTGGTCTGTTTTATTTCTCATGTTATCTTGTTCTTGTTGAATCACATAGTCACTATAATACTGTTGCGTCCCCACTTAAGTTTTGTCTTTCTTCCAAGCACTATCAGGTTTCTCTTGACTGTAGAGGTAGAAAAATATGTCCAAAATCCACTTTCTTTAAACAGGGAGAATTGTTGGAGACGAAAATTGCTATCGAATATGGTTGACGAGGAGACATGTCAAGGGATTTGTGAATGGTTGTAGAAGGGAAATTCAAAATTTGATTCCAGGAAGTTTCGCTTGATAAGTCACGGTGGTCTTTTCTAAAGTGAACAAAGAGCAAGATTTTCATATTAAGCGCGCTTACCAAGGAAAACCTGCTTCTTAACAGTTGATAATGAAAATATTGTGTCCTTTGCCTTTGAATTCAGGACATTGCACAGCTGATAATCGAGCGGCCGACCATCATGACTCCAGTACTCGGAGAAGGCCGCACTGGACAAGAAACTTACCAAGCACTATTGAGGCTGTATACCATTGCCTTACAACAAGCCATTGATATGCAAGAAGGGAGCTTCTCTTGGGTAAGCTAACAAGCTTGAACAAGGTTAGCCTTTAAAGTCAAGTTATTTCTAAACACGAGCCGAGTAGCTCTGTCTGCCTGAAGTTATCTCATTTTTCGTAGCATTAGGTGACTACTTGTAAAAACTGCACCTGTATGGGATGCTAGTCCTCGAGAGAGCTTCATAATTGTAGTCGTAAACTGCCTACTATATAAGATGTCATTTGATGGGAATGAAATTAAAATTTTGGTTTACGGTTTGTATTTTTGCAGCAGGAAACACAAGACCAGTTGTTTGTGCAGTGGTCCAAGGACACAGAGTATTCTGGGAAGGCAGCCACTCTACACGTGTTGGTAATCCATGCTATGATTGTGTTACTGACCTATGGAGAACCCCAAGGTTAGTCAACAAATGATTCTCTTGATGCGGACAGATTTACTTTAGAGTTATTCTTATAACAAAAAAATATTTCGCGCTTTTTGATCTAGAGACTTTAAGGCTAGATAAAGTCGTTAGCCTCAAAGACCTCTAACTTTCAATTACCTTCCTTCACTGAGGATGATAATTTGGTGTCGAAGTGTTAAGGTTATCTCGACAATTTTCAACTACAGTAAAGACAGGGGAGTAGACTTATATTCCTTCTAGAAATGCTAGTTATTGCGATGCAATACGTTCAGTTTATACAAGGAACAACATTATGGTTTGTGCATCTTGAAAATTTAGCCAATTTGTTTTCGTTTTCAAGGGTCGTGTTAACTTTTTGCCATCTTTTATCATCCGTGAACCTTTTTCGGCTTATTATTATTATATTTTTTAAAACTATGATTTTGACGTTATCCTACATTAAAGGCATGTTTCTACGTTGCCAAAAGGTATTTTAACACAATTGAGTCAACGGTCGAAGTTTTTGTCCCTTCAGGAGATGTAAGTCTGTACACGACTTTACTGAATGCCTGGTGCCCTGAATATGGACAGGTCAAGGTCTATCTGACAGACACGGGCGAGGAGGCCATTCTGCTGCAAGAGTGGCTCAGACTGCGCATGATCAGGTCCCAGGTCTCCAGAGTGGTCGATGCCGGTAAGCATTGTCAATCATGACAGGGAGCCCTAGTCACGTGATACAGCAAGAAACCCTGAACCTTCGTTATGTCCTTGAGTGATCCGCATGTAACCACTCCTGACAATATCAATTAGATAAGTTTCAACTAAACAAGTGGTCTTAAATGATAAAATTAACACCTGGGGGGGGGAAGAGGGTGATGTCGTCAGAAAGACCAAATTCTGTGGACTAATTCATGAGAAAATGTCGATCGTGAATCCCAAATTCTGGTCCTTTTTCAGGCATTTGTTGTGATAGTCTTTTTTCTTTGCAATTTCTCAGCTTTAAGTGAGTTGGTGCCATCGCAGCTTGTGCTGTTTGCTCAGTCGTTTGGAATCCCAGTCAGTAGCATGAGGTGAGAAACACAAACACGCGCTACGCTCTGAGGGCTGTAAAGAATTTATAAACCATTCAACGGGTCTTACAACAGCCTTTTCCAGTTCCATGATGTATTACATGTGGTCAGAAATGGTCAAATGACCCTAAGTAAGGCAAGAAAAAGTTATACCATATCCTATCGTATGATTCGGACCGAGACCCTGACACGCCATACAAGACACGCTTCAAAAAATTAACTATTAACAATTAAAAGTAAAAGCAAAACTATTGATTGAGAAAAAAGACAATCTATACCAGGAGCCCATTAGTAATGGGCTCATGTCTATACTTAAATTTGCTGGCAACCTAAAGGAAATATAAACAAAAATTTCTCAAGAATATGCATGACATTCTTTGTCCTGGTGTTCCTCAACTTTCTTTTTCTCACCCATTTTACATTTTAGCAAGCTTCTTCAACAGCTGGACAAGGCGACTGAGGAGGATCCTGTCGGTATAGAAGAAGCTGTGCTGGATAAAGGTTTGAATTACCAACTTTCTATTTTCATGTTAATTTTTTCTACCTTATGCATGTCCAATTAATGCCGACTTTGTTCCCGGTACCTTTGTTTCAAAGCCTTGTGTCGTATTTAATGAACTGTACACGTGTTGTGATTGGTCCGCAAGTACCAATGATCTCCCAGAGAACAGAAGTTTACGATGTCTTCTTTGGTTATTTGTTTGTTGTAGAACGCAAAGCCATTGAATTTCATGTTTTGGTGCGTTCACAAGTAGATCACAAAAGAAATAAAATACGGACGGCAGAAAAATCAGTGACACACTTGCTTATCGCCATTGTGCCACGTTTTTCTTCGAAATTAATACAATAAGTCATTATGGATCCGAACAGAAGGTTGAGAATTACATGGAATCTTTCAGATAGTTATTGAACTCATTATGTCAAAAGACTTCGACTATCCTTATGGACGTTCAAACGCTCTACTAACAGTGTATCTTACCCTACCAGGTTATATGGTGCAGCTTGTTGAGGTTCAACAACTTCGTGGAGCTAAAGGTGGGGATTTGTTTTGCTGTTTGCTGACCGGAGAAACACCAGAAAAGAAAGACAGTAAGTATTTATTTATTTTTATCAAGTAGCTGCCTTATTGAGCTCTGTTTTACACTAATATCTTTTTCTTAAGGCTTCTTTTCTTAAGATATCACCAACATGTTTTTCCTGATTAAGTCGCATTTCTCGAAAAAAATTTTGATCAAGGAGAGTTTTTAAGGGAAACTTGCCAATGACTGAATTTGCTAGTGCAGTTGACTTGACATAAATATGACAAGGGAATTGTGACGGGTGTCATGGAAATTCTACGGAAGTAAGTTCTCGAACCGACGTGGTTTAAAAGAATTTTTTACTACAGCATATTAGTAGTGAACCACTTCTCCTTCAGAAAGAAAAATGATGGTGAAATGTGGGTTCACTGAACTTTACTTTCCCCTATCTTCCCTCCCGGTCATTGCTACCTTTTAACCTTATCATTTTGCACTCACAGACAGTAATTTGGCAGCGCTCGATGGAGGAATCACTCCATTACCGTTGGCTGCTCTGCCAGAGATACCACGCGCTAAAGATGAAGACATGAGGTTTGATGATACATCTTTTACTCCGCATGAAAGCTTTAAGGAAATATTGCAGTTTGTTTTCCGCAACTGGTAACGAATATCGAAGCGGGTCTTCGAATAATTGTTTTATCAGTAGAGATATGCCACACCTCTGATAACTCTTTGGTATTTGTTCCTAGTAGCGACGAATCTTTTACCAACAAGCAGATTGCAGATGAGGTGTTCAAGGTAAGAATAACAGAAAGCCATTGCATTTTCAGGCAACGATGAAAAACATTTGTACTAAAATACATGCAAAACTCGGTTTTTTTTTTCTTCAAATTTTTTTTAGTTTTTTCTGTCACCCGAGGACGAAAGTTCAAAAGAACATTACAGCATTGAAACTCGTGTTAAAAAGGTAAGAAAGTTTTCTCTGCTCGGACAACAAGGGAGTGTCTCTATGGTGTGTATTTGTCATCATTGTCACCCTGAATCTATGCTTGGCAGGAATTTCGTCTACTTGTTACCTAAAAAAATTACAGGCAATCAGAAAGCAATTTTCAGCAAATGGACCACATCAAAGAAACAAGCGTGCAAAACTGCCTAAGTCAACCGAGGACTTTGATAAAGTTACAACATTTTTAAATTGTTGAAATTGATACAGTTGTGAGGAAAAAGGTTGTATTCCTTTCTTAAAACATAGTTCCAGGTTAAGAGTAAACCTCTCCTAAGTTTTTGGATAATTATTTCTTCCTCCCTCAGATACTGACCAAAGATCTGATTAACTCAAACCGAGGGGAAATTCCAGAGGACTCACTCGCGGAACAAATCATGCACAAGTTTATCGCAGTAATAATATTTTCAATTTTTGTCCAATTTTTGTCATCTTTGACCCATTTTTAATCAGTTGATAAGTGTCTTTAGATTCCTTACCTGTCGTATTTGGATAATAAATCATTCCAACCACCCTTTTCTTCAATTTGAGCCCGAACGACGACTTGGCGTACATTTTCTCCTTACTGTGTGTCTGTTGTGTGAGGTTTCCCGTTTTCTCCCCCAACTCCCTTTAATGTGCATACGAGTAGTCTTTTTCCCTTGAATTCTCGTGTTCTCTTACGCTCTTTGTAACTTGCATAAAAACTCTTTATCTATTTCAAAATTGTGTTACTATGCATACCTGCGTCGAAAAATGTTTTTAGATGGGAAGAAGCTGTGTTTCTTATACTGACCTGTGTACTCTTTTGTAGGTTTTGGATTCTGATGATAGCCAGAGATTACTGGATGGGATGTTGAACAAGACAGCTCTATCTTGTTCCATTCTAAGGCTTTTAAGATCTAGACAGGTTTGTAATCTTTCCGCTACAGCTCCTCGCATCTGTCTATATTCTTATTACTGATAGTTACCTTTTGATGTCTTCCAGATGGCATTGACAAGGAAAGGAATTCATTGTGGTTTTTTTGACACCATCAGTAAATTGTCGCGCCACAGTCTTACAGGTTAGTCAGTATGATTGGCAGCTATTTAAGGCAAATTTCTCAATTCTGATTGGTTATTCGCGCGTCTTCTTTTCACGATGTGGGCGCAATTAACGTTGGTTTCTAATTACAGTTTTTTTGTGATTGATTGGATGTTTTTGTTATGGACACCTGTGTACGTCGATTGCGTGCACTCAATTGGGTTCTGAGTAATTTTTGTTAACAGACCGTTTGGCACCTGGTTTAGAAAATAACACTGACGTTTTCCAATTAGAGAAGTCCAAAGAATTCTTAACCTCAAAGTATTTAATTTTTTGTTGAAACAATTGGCTAGCGATTGGTGTTCTTGTTGTGGGGTAGTCGTACTGACTAGTGATTTTAATTTATCCTCGCTCTTAATTTGTACTTGATCTTATAAGTTATTCATACTTACTACTTGAGTTATTGATTTGAAATAAATGTACGATCAACCAATTAGTTGAACGAATTTTGCTCTGGCCAATCACGACAAGGCGAATCATCTAATCAGCCAATCAGAAGTTAAAATAAAACATAATCAGCGTCGAGCGCGTGAAAACTGTAACAGTGCAGGAGGGAAGTGTTAGATGTATAACTACATGAGTTGTGTTGGAAAACAGAAATAAATGAAACTTAAACAGGACTTATTCTTTTTTCCTTTTTTAGATGGGCCACTAAGTGCTGCTGTTTCACAGTACAAGAAACAATTAGGAATTAAAGAACAGTCACAACCATGTAAGAACAGAGCTTTCCACTTTGTTATTACCAACTTTTGTGGGAGCAGCTTGGCATCCACTCTCAAACATTTAGTGATAAGCGGGACGTTTGCATGTGCATGTTAGAGATTTACAGGGTTTCAACTGATGATGATGTTGCCAAAAGAAGAAAAATACATTCAAGAAATTTTAATTCTGGGGGTTTCTTTTTCTTTCAATACTCAGCGAAAACAACGCGCATGGTTGCCCATATTTCCTTAACTAAAATCATTAGGCAGATAAGGCTATAGTCAAAGAAACTTTTCGTGATCTCATTGGCTCATTTCTTTTTTTTTCTCTTCCTCTTACCCGTATTTTAGCTGGAAATGTCCTCGAACAAATTGCGTCAAATGCAAAGGCTGATTATGCTTCTCTGGTCAAAAAGTTTCTGTCCGCATGTAAACATCGCATGGTGAAGCCAGATTCTATCAATGAAGAGATGGCAGTCAAAGGTTAGAGCTGCTAATAAACTTTGTGATATCCTTTAAGTAGTTGACTTATGTTAAGTCATATTGAAATGGTCATTAGAGTTAGTCTTGAATTGCCTGTTTTCTTTTTGTTTGGCAAAGATAAGCTGGCAAATTTGCATATTTTGAAACCTTTTCTCTTCAATCTAGCTTGTTTGAAACTTAAAGAAGCGAACTCTCCGCTCTACGAGGATTTCATTAAGGCCATCACCAAAACGCTTATTTCAAGTAGAATTCAGAAAGATTCTGATTCGAATACGGCGGTATGGACACCGCAGCAGTCTCTACCCTTGAAGACATGCTCAAAAATCCTCGTCAAGCTTCTTGAAGAGTCCGATGGAACAGACTCGTCCCGTGACCATTTGTCTAACGGGCTGTTAGTGGACTGGTACGAGATAGTGGATCCGGAAATTGTCCACGTTCACCCTCTGTTGCAGCGGCAGCTTCTGTTCCAGGACAGAGAGAGCATTCCCAGCGGGGACAGGTCGCTGACTGGTCACGAGGAGCGCTCGCCATCCAAATATCTCTTGAGTTTGCTAGCGCATCAGGCATGCTGGGAAACTTTGCAGGACTGCTTGGATTGGCTACTGGGTCAAAATGACAGAGGAAACAGGTATGAACTGGAAAATCAGGAAAGCGCTCGAAGTTGTCTGAAAACCAAGAGTAGGAATAACAAGCTAGTAAGTGAATCATGTTATCCGGCGAATGATTCGTTAGGGAGATTAGAATGTAACGATGTTGTTGCTTATCGTGAGCGAATGTACCTTTTCACTGAACAAATCGGTTTGTTTATTTTAAGGCTAAATCCAACAACTGCTTTGGATTTTGTGTGGACCTGCTTCCATTGTCCTCGACTTTGGCAAGGCAGAGATCAAAAGTCTACCGCTGTGGGCAGTCAAGGAACCAATTCTGTAAGAGAACATTTTTGTTAAAGCTCATTGTAAAGCCTTGGGAATGTGGCATCTCCTGCTGTTAGTTGTCACCTTCAACATTGCCGTTTTCGTTTATTATTTGTCATATCTTTTCTTTATGATTGTTTCCACAGGCGGTTTTTGAAAAGCCAGTCCTTGATTTGAGCCCAGCCCAGGTCTCCTCGCTTACGGGTTTCATTTTGTCCGAGCTTTCTTCTTGCGTTGAGGAATGGTGCGAAAGAAAAGGTACGCCCTAACATTTATCACAAAACCCGCAAAGCTAAAAAAATATTATTTTTTCGCGTAACTTTGCTTTTCTCTCGCCAAGGTCCCAGGTACAAGCGTTTCCTTGAAGAAATAAAAGATGGAAACCAGGTTATGTCGGAAGAAATCAGGTAAGATGAGGAGTGAAGGAATTTTTCAGATCAACTCACTACTTCTCCCCACTCTGAAAACAAGCTGTAAGGAGATTTTACATGAATATCACGCATTTATCGCTTGTCAAGGACAAGACCTCCAAAAAGTGACATTCCCAAACTGAGAAAACAACTGAAGTTGAGATGGTACCGCCCTAACAAGTCTCGATGTGTTTTGCAGTAAGTATGTTGAACACTGAGTACACTGGTTTCAATCTTTCAGGGAGGAAGTTGAGCAATTTGCAGCGAAAGTGTTAGGGAGTAGACTTCAGTTGATCACACTCTGTTGCCATGGTGATAAGAAGAAGTTTCAATCTGCGGTCAGTTGTGCTTTGAACAGTTCCAGGTAAAAGAAATACATATTTTATAAGAGTGAAAAGTTGGGCAGTGATTGTAGGCGAGATTACACACATTTGTTGTATAAATCAGGAAAATTATCACAGTTTTGCAACGTTTCACAAGGTTTGGATTGTTGCATCGGTTTATTAATCCACCAATAATTCCTTAATCTTTAATACCATAGTATGGTGAAATGCATTAACGTAAAAACATCAGCAACTTAAAGGAAATGTCAAAGGTTAAATTTTTCCTAGGTTTGAAAATTTCGAAAATGTCTAATTATATGTTTTATTTCAATTTGTCACTAAAGGAAACAAGAATTGAACCTGTTTAAAAAATTATTGAACCAAAGAAAAAATTGAACCCGAATGTCAGCAATCATTTTATGATGTACATCTAGAAAGTTAGGGGTAAAACCTTATTTCATCGAACCTACGACCAAATTTCAAACGTTATCCAATTGTTTTTCTGTTTTTTCATGTAATAGATGGTCGAAATGGTTCACAGGTCAGTTTTTGGTTCAACTTTACCTCGCTCAGCCAAGGGTGATGAGACATGTCAAGAATTTCCGGTCCTTGACAACTTCCGGTGTCGTTAGTCAGTCACGCTATTGTCAGGTATGTAACGCTTCTCTTTTGTCATGTGATCGTTTTATATTGCCTTCTACTTCAAGTACCTTTTTTTAATAGTTGGATGTCCTGTGCCACCGTGTGTTGTCGAGTCTGGCTGAATCGAAGCCTGGTAAGGAGTACGAAGACAGAGCTTACAACTCAAGTCTACTATTGAAGAAACTGGCTTGTGAACATCCCATGCTTTTACTAAGGTACATTCTTACGATACTGGAGCGCGAACAGTTGTCGTTGTGCGGTTTATCTATTTCAAACGCAGTGTTTTCATAAAATAAGGTGCTTCGAGAGAATGACGCGAGTTTTCGTGCAGACCGATCACGGAGCAGAGCGAAGCAGAACTTTTGGGATTGGGGATTACTTTCTAATTTAAATGGAAAGCGTGAAGCGAGAAGCCACCTTCGAATAATGATAAACTCCCTGATGGTTCAATTTCAACTGGTTGCTGTGCCATTTTGTTTGTATCCAGTTATCCTCCGGGGAGGACAAAGTAATTTCGTGAATAGTATCCCATGCTGAAACACAGCATACCAGGATGGAACTCAAACTAATCAATCGATCCAGGTTCCTACGAATTATTAATCAGGCCACGTGACCGTAGATACTATCAGGAGTTAAACAGTTCTTTTCCTTATCTTTTATAAGGCATCTGCCCATGATTGCGGCACAGCTCAGAGGCCGTGTGCATCTAAAGCATAAGGAGTTTATCAATCAGCAACATCTCCTCGTCTTCTCACACATCTTGGGAGTTCTGGATCTTCTAAGACCGCATATCTTCAGATATGACAAGGTTTGAAACTCACAACATACCTCTTTGTATCTGAGCAGTTAGATTTAAAGGCCGGCCATACGAGATGACGAGTCACCGCGGATCATTTTATAGTTACCTTTCCCTCATTGTATAAATTGAAACCCGTTTTTTACCCGTCTGCAGGGTAAAGTGGTTTTCACAAAACTCATCTTTGCACGGGTAGCGAATTTCCTCTGACTGGAACTTTCTGTTGCATTGTTCCGTTGCATTGTATTTCGATAATGGAGCAAACTACTGTTTGATTCGATATAACATCTTGGAAAAAATTTCGCCGAGCACCTAGCTGTCGTATTATTAGTGCTGCCTTCAGTGTTCTTGTGGTACCTCTTATAGAGAAAATGTAGTAAGGTGTAAGAATGATAGTTTTTTCTTCAGACTTCAACATGCGAACCCAGACGATAAACGGAAAATTACCCACGAGCACTTACCCAGGTTAACATTATGTTCTCCACTTACAGACTAGTTAAGCCTTGATCGCTTTTCGCCTGGAGTTTAAATGCTGTCACTGTTAGACGCATTAGTCAAACAGCTTAAGTCACAAAGCTCTCTCAAGAGTGCGGTTTTCAACTACAAAACATCTTTTTCGTTATTTTTTTTTACACAGCTCATTCAAGAAGGCTTGAGGGACACCTTACAAGCGTACTTTGGCCTTATTCAGGTATGAGTGAAGAATGTTTTGTGTAGCGTTTTAAAAGCATTTTCAGAGAGACATTGCTCAGTCACTGATAATAAGGAGAATGTCTTTGACATCCTCATGCACAGTTTTGGTTCTTTCTCAGGGTGAGTGTCTTCATCACAAAGAGCTGGCCGCGGTTGTTACAAAGTTGATGCCTTTTCTTCAGCATTTCTGTGCAGAATGTCCTGACCAAGCTTCTACAGTTCTTCAGAAGAGAGTCTCATTGTTCCAGTAAGTGTGTGGACTATTTAAAACACACTTTGTGTTTTCTCAAAATCTGTTTATTTTATTGCGAAGTGTTGAATTTCCGTCTATGTACACTCTATCAACTAAATGAGCGGATTTCTTCGAATAAAAATCCTAATATAAATTCCAATTTTTGTGTTACTGTTGAAGGGACCTGTTACAAGAGTTCCCTGCCCTCCCCTCCCTTCAAAGTGTAGTGAGCGCCATCTCACTTTCCTCGAGCCCGCACTCAGATGACCCCTTGACCCACGTCAGCGTTACTCTAGGACCATCATCGGAAGGAGCTCCATCAAGTACACAACTTAAGGTCCGGTCTGTTATTACACCACCTGAGAGCATCTCGTGGTCATCAGCACAGCTCGCTCCTTTTGTACAGCGGCTTGCTCCTGGACAGCCTCTTGATGGTAGAGTAGATCTCTTGCATTCATCTTCAAACTTTTCCACAGTTGTCCATTCGAGTGGTTGCATAAAAATGCTCTTTATTAAGAAAAATCCAGCTACTTGACTCGAGTTTGCCCTCGTTTCTTTCGTGCTGCAGATGTGTTAAAGGTTCTTGGTGACTTGGATGAAACGTCTAAAAGAAGAGTAGACATTTTGGATCATTTTGTGGTGAGTTCCAGTCTTGTTAAAAGGGACAGGCAGTTTTCGAAATCGAACTGTAGTTGCATGACAAGCTTTAGAGTCGTTTTGGTCGTTTTCCCAGAACAATGGCATGGTTAAGATTTAATCGATTTGCTTACGGTTTGATTTCAATGAAAAGGCAATTTCCTTTTTTTATCTTCTGTTTGTTTTCAGCCTCATCTGGTTCGACTTCTCTCTGATGCAACGAGTACCTGTCGGACCCAGGCGCACACTCTACTACTGCGGCACATTCGGCAGAGCCCAGGGTATGTTTCCTAATCAGTTTCCTATCCAGTTCTAAAGCGAAGGAAAGTGAACGGAAAACTGAGAGACTGTGACTGTTCATACTAACAGCCTTTTCAAGGCAATGTATTGTTTTCCTTCTCCCGATTTAATAAGTGTACTTTACGTCATTGCTTTCTCGCGCGTTCATTTCAGTTAACTTGTCTTATACTCCCAAGTGGAATTAAGTTCTGAGATAATTTTCTGGCCAAAAAGCATGAAAAATGAAATAGCGAGGGTCAATCCTTGACATTTTCATTCGATGTTCAGCGGACTAACCATTTTCGCTCATGTCTCTTCTGCATCGGTGGAGCACGTCGGGTGTGGGTCCAAGATTTTTATGTCTCTGTTGAAGGCGGAATTGCGAGTTTCGATTACGCTTATTGGATCAGTGCCTCTTCTCCAAATTTGTCCTTCGTCTTGTTTAAAGAGTCGGTTTCGACCGCCACGGATTCGGCGTCTGTAGGACGGAATGTAGAGATCGAGCTTGTTCATGAGGTTATCGGATTCCACCATATCATAACCAACGATATTATCAACCACCAACGTCGTCCTATGTTTTTGACGCGCTTCCACGCTTGAATTACTCGCAGGTAGAAGGAAGTGACTGCAGTTATAACTTGTATTATACAATCAAACTCATTCAAGCTCAACCATATACTCTGCACGTGTTTTTCTGATAGGACGGCTGTTAAGTTTGTAGAGACATACATGGATTGTCTTAATTCAACGGAGCCGGACGTGATTTTGACGGCCTCAAAATTCCTGCCCGAATTTATTGTCCTGTGTAACGGTAAGTACGGGAAATCGCATCAACGTTTTAATTTAAGCCGGTTACCAGCGGTCTACCGTTGTCTGGCAAACTCTCGTGTTTGGGTTTCGCCTTTCGGCACAGCCACCCACTACATTAACAGAAGCTGCTTTTGGAGAAAACGTTTTGAATCCCCTTAAGGCGCTTGATGTCTTAAATGGTTGTAAACTTGCACGTTGCCGTTGGCGAGCATTTCCTTCCATTTCTTTGCTATATTCTTAACCCAGCTTAAGTTTTCATGTTTCATCACATAAGACGATGCGGAGTCTATACAAATTGTACCGCGATTTCTAGAAACTTCTCGTCTTTACTTTTTTCGCTCTAAAATTGGACAAGTTATTGTTGTTCAGAATACGTTAGAAATCGTTTGGGTCCGATTTTGGATTTCTCCCAGTTTTTAATTTTTGTTTTTTTTCATTTATCTTAGAACACTCCGACTCGTTACTTCAAAAGATGTTTTCTCTAGCTGTTTATGAAGCTCACGATGTTGGAATTCCCTTGTTAAAAAGTATACAGCTGCTGAACTTACATTAACGTGGCATCTCCACCGCCAAACTGTGACTAAGAACAATCTGTAATTTTACAGTTTTTAGTCGTCACGCTGTTTTCCCATTAAAGGACTTCTATTGGCAAACCCTGAGAGTTGACCACTCCTGTGATCTGTTATTCTAAAGACTGATCCTATTGTAAATTCTCCTTTTAATTTCAACACAATTACCTTTCAGAAAACTGGACTTGAGAAGTAAGAAAGTTAAGATAAACAGAAAATGTTGTCTCTATTATTGAACAAATTCTCAAGACCAGCCAAGAAATCAATGTATCGTTATTAATTGGATGAATTTGCATTAGCATCTTGAAAGTAAAAAATGTTATCGATTATGTAGCAGAGCAATATTATTCCAGCTGGCCCCTTGCACTGAAACAGAGTTTTGACTGACGGACGAGTTTGCTACTGTAATGATAATTTTAGAAGAATTGTATCCTCGTGTAGTCTCGCTGTGGGTATTTACACTCGACTGCGTCTCGCCAAATTACGAACCAAACTCGCGTCGAAGCGTTCCAAAAAGGTACAATTAGTTATGGATTTTGGTCACTATTTCTCTAACGTGATTTAATGTAATCTTGATTTTTAACCAGACCCCGTTAATGTAAGCACTAAGATAGTGTGAGTTGATTTTATAAGACTTACGAACACCGTCCAACACCCTTAAGCGCTGTCACCCCTGCTGTCGCGTTTTCATTTTGTTATGTTAGCATCCAAACACCCACAGCTTGAGACTTCAGCTTATGAAAATACTGAAAAACACAATTACAAAGAACAAGAAAACAAACTGTGAAAGCCAAAAGTAATTGTGTTATTTCGGGGGTAGACAACTTTGCTCCTGCAGTTTTTTTGTTTGGTTTTGTTTTTGTGTTTTTTTTGTTTATATCTCCTACTTTACCGAGAATCTCATCAAGCTGCACATCCCAGTTCAAACTTATTTTTCTCATGCCTAAGTGGCCTTGGACACAAATTTTTTTAATACTTTTAGAAACGTTTAATTCTGTGCGAAGTACCGTGACAAGAGCGGATTCAATTAATTAACGCGCAAATTTCTTTCGAATTAAAAGGTCAAATTGCGCGTGTGTAGGCGTCTTAGAAGTGTGTTGTTTAGACTAGTTTGATTGTGTCATAGGACTGTTGTGTTCGTGTGAAAGGTGATATTAGGTTACACAAGAAATCGCCTTTCTGTGCGATTATCGTACAACTGTCGTTGGTCTTTTTCATTAGTTGATGAGAAAATGCCACACATATAATGATCAAAGAGTCTTTGGAAAATCTTTTTTTAAAGTGGGCTTGAAATAGTAACCTCACGGCCAATTTGACTATGAAAAAAGTTAGATAATATCTTTCATCGGAACACAATTTGATTCAAATCGCTTTATTTATTGAGCAAATAATAGAATATCAATCGTTAGCTTATTTTGGGCAACTGGAAGATTTTTTTTCATGAATGAATGATTACAATGAAATTAAAACCGCCAACTAATTGTTTTCACAGTAACTTGACCGCTGTGCATGTAAAGTTAAGCACTTTATATTTCTGTTTGCTTTTACGTTGTTCGAATCGCCATACTCTGTCAAGGTCAAGCTACCACAGTAAAAATTTTGGGAAGAAAAATAAAACTTCCTCCTCGTAACGATTCTTCAGTGCAACAAAATCCAACAAATTATTGTGGTACAGGAACATTTTCCTTTCGTTTTGTTGGATTGAAAACAAAAAGATGAAATCAACATAATTTACTGATTTTTATTAGAAAAATAATGTTGACTAATTATAATGTCACAGTTACTGAAGATTTCCTGATTGGCACGAAGTCGCAGAGACGTTTGAATACGAAATATAAACTAAAACCCATTTGACGTGGTTAATTCAAACATTTGTACCGTTTGTGAGCTTCATTGCATTGATTACGTCCAAAATTTTTCTAGAAGGAAGTTGGCGTGGTTTAGCTTGTTTTCGTTGAGACTAAGCAGGAAAAACATGTCGACCTCTAATGGGTTTGTTTTGATTCTTTTTCCTTTTCATATCTCTTTCATATCCGATATAGCTGAGATGATTTTAAAATTACGAAAATTTTTTTTGCTAGGATGTTTTTTGAGCCATAAAAATGATGATTTTTTCTTAATGTAAACCGAGGAACATCTGCCTTCTCGACCCTGCTTATGTAACTATTTTGTTATTTCACACGCAACTTACAGCTCTGTTCACTTCTGCCTATTTTGGTTTTCAGAAAACTGCATCTTTACAAAGTGCAAAGGTAATTTTAGCCGGCAGTGTCTTACTTCAGTTATCTTTCAATGGAACCGTTCAAATGTGATTTTTCCATCCCGTTTTCACACTGAAAACAAAACAAGAACACATATCGTGAACATGAGTGCATTTTCGCGTGAATTTTGACTCCTTCAGTTTACACACCTTGATCTGTGTCAGTCGAGCTTGATATCGCTGCGGTGTCACCACCAGCCTCCGAACTCGGTGTACCGAATACTCGTAGTCTGGCCTCTTGCCACATATTTTTACATAGATCCTGCTGCATTTCATTAAAAACTTGCTTTTCGACTTCGGGAGCAAGTTTTTTAAAGATCTTGCCCCTGCGCTGTGATCCAGGCGACTGTCTGTTGCATAGTCCTTCAGCGACTTCTAACAACGAACTGCTCTGTTTCGCCGCTTCAGATTTGCAGGCTTCTGAAATCTTCACAAACACGTTTTCATTCTCGTCATCTTCCATGTGAATAGAGAAGCTTTTGCCTATTTTGTTCAGTGTATTTTGTCGTCTAAGTGTCGTCTCTGTATCGCAAAGGGTCCCACTTTCTTCCAAGTGTACTTGTTCGCTACTTGTCATTTCTGCCATATTTCAGCTTGTTCTACTGATACTATTCACGTCGTCCGCTTCATAACATTTAACACCGCTAATCTGCATAGTGAAGCCTTTAAAACGTCTGGTTCGCTTCTCATTTCCATAACATAATTACATTCTTTTGTTCTCAGATCTTAACGATACCCACGCCATACACGAAATTTAGCAGTATTTTATGCCCAAGTAAGATGCCTAGTTTTGTCTTCATTGGAAATACAGCCCAAACCTTGCAGGACTCAGGAAGTCTTGGCTACTTAAATGAAATGATTTACCGCTTGCAAATATGATAATTACGATCTTGAGGGCATTGTTACTCTTGATGCGATAACACGATAACAAACTACAAAATGCGAGCCAAGTTCTCTTTTCTCAAGGGTATTAATTTTTTTTCAATTAAGGCTTCTTTGCTATACCGGACACAAAAGAGTATTTCGTGTGCCGTTACAATTTCTCGGTGGCCTTTGTTTGTCAAAGTACAACACTAAATTCTATTCTTTCGGCAGGATTTGAACTAATGTAGACGAAGTGGTTGGTAGAATGCGAAACTCGAGAAACCCTCTGCGCTAGAAACTCATGAAAAGCGATCATTAACACACGAGCCGCAGCTCTTTCAACATCAGTGCTCATTTACAGCCGTTTGGGAGTACTGATAAATATCTTAAATAAAACACCTGTAAATGGTATTTTAAAACAGATAAACACCCACAAATTTCAGGTTTATGTTCATTTATTCTTTTTCTTCATTATTACGTTTTTTTTTAAAATTTCTTTCTGTTTTAAATGGGTTATCGTGGTATTTCATGATAAAATTCTTTAAAATATTTAATTTTTCCCTCATTGCTAACTGAAGTATTTCGCGGTAAGCGCAGTCTTACTTTCTATGGCGGAAATTCTGGCGATGTAATGCCTGCCTTGAAATCATGTTATCTGAGAGGAAATCTTTATAAAGCTCATCAATATACCCATTTCTAACGTTTCATACACTAACTTCAGGAAATTTGTCTGTTAAGATGACAGTTCATCGATGGATCATCATTAATAGACTTGCTTAAGATGGCGCTTATTCTTTAAATGGCAGCCTTAGCTAGGTTTTGGTACCAGAATGCACAAGAACAAGAAGGAAAATCAACAGGAGCATTTTCTTCTGCCCTGTTTCCTTCTCTCTCTTCTCTCCTACGTCAATCGTAAAATGCGAAAAGGGTGGAATCAAATAGTTAACCAAATAAGGCACATTCGTTGTGGTGCTCGCTGAGTGAACCCTCCCCCTTCACACACTCCCTTTCCTTGGAGCACTGCCCTTTCTTGAAAGAGACGGGATCAGTTATAACTGAGAGAATCCAAAACACTTTCTATTGTTTTTAGCCAATGCAGGGTGTTTCTTTCCACAAAAGAAACGTGAAATTCAACGGATTTAACAGAATGCTCCATGAAATTTTTAATTAGGTTACTGTTCACCGCTTAAGGGCTACCGGAAGTGCAGTAGTATAAGGTGTTTTGGAGTTGCCGGGTTGATCCTAAGTAAATATATCTTCCAACTGTTGTAATCGAAGACGTACAAGACCCTGCTTTCGAAGTTATCTTACAGAAGTCAAATACTGAAAACAAGATTGTTTGAGATGTTGAAAAGACTCGATACCCTTAATAAGAATTGTTTTCATTTGTCTTTCTCAAGTGGCGGGGAAAGTGGAAAAAACAAATCTTTGTCTGGAGGGACAAATTCCTCTAGATACTGACTGTATGATTATTCATAGAAACTATTATGGAACTTTGCACCAGCCATTCTGCCGAAATCCCTTCTCCCTACTTAGTGTCCGTAAATGGATCATCTATTTACCACTTAAAATGACCCCAGGTTAAGGTGATTGATCAAGGACTGGTCATCTGTAAGCCCCCGATGTCAAAAACTTCCTGTCTGTCTCCTCTGCTTGGAGGATTTCTGAGTGCTAATTCTTCTTGGACGCTAATTCTTATCGTAAGCTACATGCAAGTATTTATATTTGGCTCACAAAATTTCGAGTCACGTTCTTCACTGGCATAAATGGAGAAAGATGTTGTGAATATTCAAACTTAAGCTTTATTATTTCTTTACAGAACAATTCACTCTAAGCAAAAACAATTTTCTCTCAAATGTGAAAGGAAAAAATTTACAATGATATCATATAAAACACATCACTTTTTGGCATTTAACATTGCTTAAAATAAACTCTCTTCGTATGAATTAAGCTGTAAACATTCATCTTCGCGTCATATGCAATCCCTAAAATGGGCTATCATTTCTAATAGCGTCTAGTTTCTATTTGTAACGGTAAAATATTTACAGACTTTTTCATTTCCGAGGTATTCATATCACGAGATAAATCCAAAACTCTTATCTAAATTCCCTTGCGTTAGCTGACGGCCTATTTTCAGCTAATTTCCCTACATAAAAGGCTCATGAGATTCTCGTCTTCTATTCTCTAAACTCCTTGAGACTCTTGCTCCATAGTGGCAATGTGTTCTTTAGCTCTCAACCGAAGTGAAAGCAGACTTGAGTCGTTACGAATTTCCAAATTTTCGACCTCGCATTGGGCCTCCTCCGAGCTGGAGGCTGCCGAGTCGGTGGACTTGGGCGAGCACGAATCGTGGGGACTGGACGAGGCAGGTGGCGTGGGTGAACTTGGCATCGAGGCAAATTGAAACGCCGCTACTTGCTGTCGTGCGCATGTCCAGAAGTCGGTGTTGTAATACTCGTATGGGAATAGGGTGTATGGTTCGAAACCTCCACAAAAGCGAGCCAAATGACTCGGGTAACCTAAACCGAAAATGGTGGGTACATCATGGCGACGTTTTCTTTGTTGTTTGCGCCATTTTGCCCGTCTGTTCTGAAACCAGATCTGTAAAAAACAAATCACACCGTTGATTATTACAATTTGAAATTGCAAGACCCTATTTTCACTTCAGCATTTATAGAACAGGATTATCTGATGGTGAAAAGTACCGCGGCTAAAGAATTTTTTCCAGCTGATATTACACGTAAGTCATAAAGAGTTGGTTGGTAAGATAAACAATAAACTTCAACTCAAATTTGTCCTGCAATTGCCTTGTGTAAGTAAGAGCTAACCTGGACTTGAGCTTCTGATAATCCAGTGCTGTTTGACAGTTCAGATCTGGCCGCTACATCAGGGTAGTGGTTTAGGAGAAACACTCTTTCCATCTGATAGATCTGTGACTTGTCAAATGTTGCTCTGTAACGCTTCTCGCTGTCACCTCCAGTACATCTCTTCGTTCTTTTGGGAGGCCTTGTTTTCTCGGATTTTGGTGTAATCCTCTCGTTAGTTTCTTCTTTGCCTGTTAGAATATGCCAGTTGGATCATAAGTCTAAAAAATTCACAACATCTTCCTCTTCACATCACGATCGCCATTAACATCTTTCTCACCCGTCGATTTATAATGTGTTAGTTTTTTTCGGAGAAATTACCTTTTGACAAACTAAGAAGCGAGCGACTTTAGTGGATAATCCCTCTTCAGAAATTTCTTCAGTTGAAATCTTATGGGACTTAAATATTTTCAAGTTCCACTTTCCACCTCTAAGAATCACTAAAGATCTCCATATATTGTTTCTGACACTTACAAATCTTTGCAAAGCTTACAAGATGGATTTAGCTGATCCAAGACTTTCTGAAGTTTTTCGTCTCTCTCGTGAGCCTGACAGAGCCAATTGTTGAAAATTCCCTTGAGATTATGGAACATTAATTAGTCCCGCCCAATTAACTTTTGAGTGAACATTTCAAAGAATAATGTCACAGCCCGAGCAATCAACCGACCAACCTCACATGCATGATTGTTCAAAGTGTCGTCGCCTACAGTTTTTTTTGGGTTGGACGCATTGCAAGCGTAAAACGAGAAAACTTCGCAAAAAATGTTAAGGTTACATTTCTACAGTGAAATACGAGTTTGGTAAAGTTTGACTGATAACTTTCCTTGAGGCTAACTAATATCTTCCTAAGGAAAAATATTTTACTTTTAGAAGAGTTTGACGAAGCTGTATATTCCTGCTTAAGTTATCAATAAGTGACGTCTCCAAAAGTGCGATTTTCCAGCTAAGAGTAAAGGAAAATAAACCACACCATTTCGATGAAAGGAGTTCTATTACACACCACAATGCTGAGTCGCTTGTTCATTAAAAAACTGCCTTATTGTCAACGTAGCTCACGATTTTCGGACGTGCTTTTTCTCTATTTTTCAGAGCCACTTTTCCTAAGGAAAGTTTCATTGAGTTCTTCTCATTCAAAAAAAAGAAAAGAAAGAAAACATACATTATTAGAAAATTGGCATCATCGCATCATGTTCCAATTTATACACAGCTTTCACCCCGATTCAAACTAGCGGCATTTTCGTGACGAAGACATGTTACAGAATATAAATCAGTGATACAAAACCAAGCTTAATTTTATACTTTGGAACTAATTATACACAGACTCTCTGTTTTTCATATTTTTCCGAATTGTCTTCGTTCGGATAATCCATTCTCGATTTTCTCTTGATTTGGCAGCTCTAGTAACACCACTTGATTATTTCGTAACCAATCGACTCAATTCACTGTCCTTTGTGAAAAAATACACAGATTTGAATGCAATCGAAACTATTTACGTTTCACAGTACTAAGAAATAATGTGGCTATTCTGCTTTGAAGTTTAGCCATGGAATACTCTTGTGGCATTGGGTCTTTCAGAATGTAACACAACTGTTCCCCTTAACGTTTCTCGTTTTTCAGGTCAACTGAAGCAAAGTAATCGAACTAATCGTGATCAAACATCGAACAGTTTTAATTTATTTTTCAGCGATAGATCAAACAGTGAAAGCCCCGCATCAATACAAAATACTCACAGTTTTTTTTCGAAAAGTTCAGTCGAGTTTTGTCATTGCCTTCAGTTTTTTTGTCAAATCCCAGCAAGTTTGAAATGGAGAACCCTGCACGGTGCTGTTCAGGATCCATTCCTGATCGGGTGTAACCTTTTGATCGCAAGGAAAGTCAAAGTTGTAATCTTCACACAATGCTGGCTTCGTTGCGTTGCGAACATAGAGGCGAGTCACATTTATTCTATTTGTGTTGCTACCAATATCACTCTTTATGTGAAAGTCCTTTAGCAACATTAAATCAATTAACGAGGATTAAATGAAAAGGTATTGTGGTGTGTTGGCATAATCGTTGCCTTTTCACTACATTCAATTGTGTGACTGGTCGAAATCAAAAGGTATTTGACTGTGTTGTGTTCCAAGGGTCTTTAAGGCGGGGCTGACACAACAATTAAGTAAATCAAGGTACTGTATTAAACCAATTAAGGTGTCAAAACGCGCGACATTGGACTGGCTGTAAATGGCTGTAATTAGCAATTCTTTGGGTGCTTTTCTTCGTGACTGCATTAGCACATGGGATCTGATTCAAGGTGCCAATAAACTCAATAGTGAAATCATTTATCTCTAGTAAACGCGCTTGTTGAGTTCCGGTTCTTGCAAATCAAAAGTTTCTTCGCGGTACAACAGTGCTTGATTTCCGCATTTATCAGGAAATTCGAGTTTCTATTTATTTTTAACGAGGTGTTCATGTGAAACGCGAATACTGGTTGAATCATTGAAAAATTATCGCCGTCTTTCTTAAGATGTAAGTTCTCTCACGTGTGAACCCACATTATGCTTACCTCACTAGCGAGGTACCTGTAGCTCATGAGCAGAGAAAATTAGAAGACTTCTAGTTCGAATAAACAAGAACAACTCAAAGTTTTCTTCGCCCCGATAAAGCTCGCGACCAAAGGTTCAATATACTTTGTCATGTTTTATCTCCCGCACATGTGGTGAAATTATATATAGTCTCTTGTCCTTATATCATATCATACAGCCATATCTTACATCAAACGTTTTTGTATTGTTCAGTTGGACGTTCATACATAACAATCGAAATTGATTATCAATTCCGATCAAGTTTTTTTAACTTTTTTCATGTTCGAGTTATCTTCAAAATAAGGGGCCAACCGCATTAGACTAAAGTTACCAGTTATTTCATTCATTTCAGCCAGGCAGCATGATATCCTAGAAAAATGTCTGCTTTACATTGTCCACTTTTATATTCCCATTACACCTTTGTATGACGACAGTGTTTTGAAAGAAAAGGCAACACTTGTGCATTTTAAAATCTCGTTTACAGAGATCAAGAATTTCAAAAATCGCATCACTGCTTTTAAAAAACATTAGCCTATAAGAAAGAACTCTCTATGAAGTTTAGTGTGATCAAGACAAAATTCTCCGGTTTTCTTGAGAGTTTCTTCACTAATCATGTCTCCGTCAAGACCATTTTCAAAGTGCTGCTGTAAATCGAGGCGGACATTGAAGTCTCATTTTTAACTCTCTCTTCTAAGCGACTGAATCTTTCATATTTTCAATACTGTGATTTGAAGTCTTAGCTTTTGATAACAGTTTCATTTAGTATTGGATGGACTTGTTTAAGAAGTAAAACCAAGTAACGCAGAAATGCAACTTATGTAATTGTTCACCAAGAAGAACCACTGCATTTAAAAATTGCAATGTTCCACGGAGTCACAACGGTAATTATTGATAATATCTCTTTCAAAATAAAACTGTACCCTCTATTTGGATGTTGACAGTTTTGCGTCAACTATTACAAGATGAGCGAAATGCTCCGCTGTTTAAAGTATAAGGACCTTTCTTCCGGGATAGAGTGTGTACTATTTGGGGATAGCAATCTTCTTGAGTACATGCCGGCGTGAACGACACACACCTTACATGGTTACAAACGTTATCTTTGTCGTGATTGGTCGGGGTGCACTCTCAACGCCGACGAATTCGAGGAGGAATCGTTCGATTGCTATACACTGTAGTTTTATAATCCACGTTAATAGGACCTCGGGTCTCATAGTTTTCACGAAGGTACATGATCATAGTGAATTTACAATGACAAAGTTTTCATTTTCAGATTCCGATGTAATTAATTAAATGACTCGTACGTGAAGCTATTCGGAAACTAAGTTGCGTCACAACTTTTCAAGCAATTTATTTGGTGTGATTCTTGGTGTAAATACCATTTTTGTTTTGTTAGCGGAATAATTACGAAATCACTTACACCACAGTGATGAAGTCTCAATTCCTTTGTCTTTGCTGACAATCGTTTTGCTTCGGGAAATCTGTGTTCACAAGTTTTATTGTCTGCAAGAAATTATTTGTCAACTTTTGGCTTAACCAATATAAAAAACAACGATAAGCGAGGCCTTGTGTGCCATGAAGCAGGAAGTGGACAGGAACCAGCAACCAGCAACTGCAGTTGGACGGTCTCGGATATTTGAGGGCATAAACTCAGAGAAAACCAATGTGTGCAATTAGTCGACAGATGTTTTCATTAAAAATCCAACACTTGTTCACATCACCAAGAGTAGGAGTTTCTTTCAAATCAACTCTCGTATCATGTTTTCCCGTTGTGTTGAAAGCGTTGTTGTTTTGTTTTTCTTTTGCACGACAAAGTAATTAAAGCCACAACGAGTTTATAATCCCTTGGGGTGTGGCTTAAACCAATTTCTTAAAAAAAAAGAATTGAGGTAGCAGTGCACCCTTGTTCTGTTGATTTTTGTCGGTAAGATTTCTAAGGGCTAATACCAATAATTAGAGAAAAAGCAATGAATAACTGAACATAAAAGTATCTGGTAAAATGATTTAACAACTCATTGATCTCTGAGGTTGCGATCTACAGCTATTATTCTATAACGAATCACCCAAAGTACAATTAACGCCTGGACAGTAGTAGACACTTTAATTCAAAGGAGTTCATTCCAACCACACCTCTTTCGTGAAATGCAATGATTTCATCCTGTACCGAAGTTTATTCAACGGCATTAGGTTTAGTTTTGTTCTTTAGCGATGTTTGTACCGAAGAATTTAACTTGGATGGACGCAAAAGTCTTACACAATTTTGTTACGCACGGCGTTAGAGTATAAATTTCCTACAACAAAAGGAAACCAGAAGTACATATAAATATTGTAATATTATTATGTATAAAATCAATCACAATCCAGTTTCATGACAAAGAATTTGAACCATTATTTGGTAGAAATATTTCTGTAGGAGCCTATTTACATCCATATTGGTATCAACATTAAAAAAAAAAGTCAAATTCTGCGCACAGTGTCTTTATCGGTTCATGGGGCAGGTTCGCTTGGTATGACCTAAAAATGAAAGAAGAAAATTGATAGTCAGCGACAAGTAACAATTCACGGTCTATTTGAAAATTATTTAGCTTGTTCTCAGTCTGTGCACTTAACGAATAAATGTCCAAGCATGGAACAGCAAGTTTCTCTCTTATTAACGAAGTCTCCTTCCTGTCTTGGGATTCTTAAGAACATCTGACACTGAATAAAAGTGCCCGGTGCCATAAAATATGAAACCTTTCTTGAAATTAAGTGGAAGTACAGAAAAATCGTGGTTGCACTGAGAGAGAAGTTTTCACCTGACCTGACATTGGAAATACTTGATATTTTAGGACGTTTAAGTATTCTGTCGGAGCTTTATTTCACTAGAATAACCATCAACACATTAACCGTGGTAACCCAACAATAAGAGTAAACTAGAGTTTTCGATATAAACAACTCGTTGAAATTCGTTTAAAGTTTAAAACAATACCAGAAACTTAGGTTTTTCAAATAAAGAGCACCAAACAGTTGAGCACAAACTAAAGGTGTCTTAAGATGCTTAGAATATCCTACCTTCTTGGTGGCAAAGGCCACATTTTCTTTTCCTTGTTCCTCCATTGTTTGTCGATGCAGATCTTCCAGGTTTAAACTTGCTGTTAGCCGATGATGGCTCTGTAGTGTCACCCCATTCAAAGAAATCACAGCCCTGACCTCTGGGTTTAGCACAACAGTAGAACGGTCGACCCTTGTTCGCTCCCTCTTTGGAAACTGTGCGACTGTAAAATATGGAAAAAAAAAACTCTTAAAGACGCGACTATAGTAACTTTGGAAAGCTTTTTCTTCTTTGGAGTCATCAAGGTCGGTCCTCATTTTTCAGTCGCGTATTCGATTCGCTTTTGTGAATGGTAGGATCATGAAATCATGTGAGTATTTTTCTAGGTGATCAGCTATTTAGCTGTTTTGAAATTGCGTTCATCATAGTAACACTATCTTACCTGACTGCTGGTTCACTACAGTGACAAGATGGTCCAGATTCGTGTGCATCCAGTGATCCACTACAATGTTAACATAACCCAAGATAGCATTTTAAGCAATTCTATTTGAGGCTTCACTTCACGTAGAGATGTAATATTTGACATTTTAACTATGAAAGTTATTCGGACTGAAATACAAAAAGGTACCTGGTTCGTGGAAAAGTTGAGTTTCTGTCAGAATTAAATCCTGAAAGTAAAATTGCATTTATTCGTCAATACGTTTGCACGGAGGGTATACATATTTGTAACCACAGTTCAAGATCTACATGAAGAAAAGTTGCAAGATATACTGACGATTTCGGTAACTTTTTGAGCTTACCGAGAAAAAAAAAATTCAATTCAATTCATCAAATACATAATCTGGCTATAATCAATCACTTCAATATTCACGAATGAAAACTGATTTTTGATCAAGTGCCAGCCACACTTTTTCATCTTACATATGTAAACTTGCTGGAGAACAATGCACATGATTACAAAAAAATTGTGAAATACCTGTACTATTCCTGTTTAAGTTACTGGCTGATCTCAGAGGAGCGGTTTGTCCAAATGTTGAAGACGAACTACTAGAATCATCATCAGCCCATAAAAAGAAACCACAGCCATTGTCTCTGTTTGAACATTTGTAGAATGGCCGACCTGAGCACAAAATGTCAAAATTGAAATATTAATCATTTCAGATTGCCCCATATCTTTCGGCCTTAATTTTTAAAACATAACACAATTAAACAACAGTGATCTTAACTCACCTTGATTAGGTCCATCTTTTTTAACAGTCAGCAGCATTGCAGGCTGCCCACAGGTACAAACAACACAGTTCTCATCACCTCTGACAAACAAACATTCAGATATGACCACATTCTAGCAAAACTTACAGCCTAACCAGGCTAATTCTCCCAGCACAGCTCTCTCCCATCACTGATAGTGACTCCACTGAGAAGGTTCTTCCCTGTAATGTGGCTATTATTTAACAAAATTTAACTAGGCCCAGAGCTTTATATGTCTATTCAACAACGTGACATACAATGAGAACACAGCATTGTTGTGTTCTCATCGTCGTGCAAGCTCATATCCCAGATATCAGAGGTTCTTTGAAAGATTTTACACTGTTAGAACGCGATGACAGTGTATACCTGATGTGAACTTGACGGTAGATGCTCAATATAATCATTGCTGCATCTGCTTTGCAAATGTGTGCATTTCTTAGTTTCCCTTGGTTTCTTAGTAATTTGGTTGACTGTGGTACTTACCCATCGCCAGAGCCAGCTGAAGGAAATTGATTAAAACCTAAAATTGAAAAGAAACGACTTGAATCTTTTGCCCCAAATCACTCTATTAAGCGCTGGTTTTACTAGACGCGAGTCTTCCGTAATTGACCGTTAAACCTGACATATAATCGTTCAGTTCAACAAGTACCTCCTGCAAATGATGTGTTGTTTCCACTAGTTTGCCCCCAACTTTGACCAGCTGGTTGAAATCCTCTTCCTCTTTGAGCGGGCGGTCTTGCAACTTGAGGTGTTGCAGCAGGTCTGTTGGGCACCACTTGACCACGCCCTGTGGTAAGTCTGTTACCCCTGTTACCCCTGTAACTGGGCTGAGGGGTTTGTCTTCCGCTTCCTCTTGTGTGCGAACCACCTACGTGTCGAAATTTTTGCGCGTTATTAGAAAAAGCCTACACCAAAAAGTATAACGAAGAATCAAGCTCATAAATTGTCTTGAAACTCGGGCAACAGGCGGTATTTCATGCTGTCATGAGACCAACATTTTAACCATTTTTATTAGCAAGAACCGATACCAAAAACTATAACAAAGAATCGAGCTGATACATTGCCTTGAAACCAGGACAACTAGCGGTATTTCATGCCGTCACGAGACGCCATTTTAGCCAAGGGAAACAATGAGCTGATACCTGATTCAGTAGGGAGCCTTGTCAAATCCTTTAAATCCAGCAGCTCTGTAAGAGTTCCATCGCATCCACCGACGCAGCCTTTGTAACTACCAACACAACAGTACAATGGACAGGTATGAGCGTTGGAAAAAGAAATGGTCATGAAAAATAAAAGAAATTCAAACCAGTAAGAAATAAAGGACCAACTGAGATTTAATACTTTTGTTCAACATTCACTGCTAAGTTAAGGGGAAAGCACAAAAGTTGGCATGACATTTTCATGGCCCTGTGCGCTAACATTTTGTCACAAGCGTCTGACGAAGAAAAATTTGAGTCCTTGATGAATGATTGAGCCGTGGAGCTTCCAATTTCACAAGAACTACCCCACAGAGTGTGTGAGAGCGTCCTGCCAACAGCTGGGATCAGCAAATTTGAAAACATACCATAAGGTGAGGAGTAAGAAATAAGCATTTAGTGCTCATTTATTTAATAGAAAAGATTGTTAAACATTTGTCAGGAATGAGGACAGAGGAAAAATCTGGGTTCCCTGTGAGGATTTAACTCTTGAAATTGCAACTAAGGTAACACCAACAATAGAAACACTTTGTGAATCAAAAGTCAACTTACTCCAGTGGCATCATTGGTGGAACAGAGCCTCTCTTAAATTTGAACCTAATTTGATGTACATCTCCAGGTTGACACTGCTGACATAGAGACTCATCAACTGAAGCCTCTAAAACAAATTTAGGGAAGAATATACTGGCACGACATCTTGGATATCCTTGACAACCGACCATGTAGCTGCAGATTGATAACATGGGAAAACATCATTAGTAAATGAAACTTCAGCTCAATAAATATTCCACTACTACTTATAGATTTTGTGGAGCCAACACTAGCCCTTTGAAAAAATGTGAGCATGTATTTATAAACAGTTTGAACAGGAGCACTTGTGAACACTTGCTGATAAAATGAGCTAAGTACCTTCCATCTTTGGTCTTTTTAAGCACCATTTGTTCTGTTTTACATCTTGGACAAAGCCGCATGGGTTCTGTTCCCCTCTCATCCCCACTACCAAGAACTTAAGTGGAAAACAAACAAAAAAAAAGGATAAGGCAAAACAAGAAAAGTCTGTGGAAAGCTGAATAATTCAAGGAGAAATAGTTAATGAATAATTACACTAGTGTTTCTGTTGTAAGGCAAGTTATTTGAAGTGTTTGGCATGTACTTTATTTCTTGCTTTAATTACTTAGTTATTGTCATCCTGCCTATTTGGCCATTATAATCATAGGTGTAGAGATAAAAATACAAACCTTCGTCAATGAATTCTTGAGGATCTCCAAAGTACGGTCTTAAAGCTTGATCCAGTTTGACTGCCTGTGGTGAAACACAATGTCACAGAACACATCTGTCTTAAAAGCTCCAATTTCACTTGGAAACAGTGGACAGGCAGAGCCAACTCATGGACTGTTCACAGCTGAATCATTAGTAATATTATTATTTAACAATCTAAAGATCGATCAATTCTTAAAAAAATCAGCAAATTAGAGCAGCCCCACATGATTTAAACCATTCATCAAATTAAATTGAGAGGAATTTCTTTGCAAATGTTTAAAAGAAAAAAAAATGTCTTCATTTTCAAGTTTTCATCTGCAAAGTAAAGGAGGGCTGTAAACTGACATAAATTAAGGTAGCAAACCTCTTGCACAGCTTGGACAAATTGTTCCTTGTACTTTGCTATTTGTTCCACAAGTACATCTAAATGACAAAGTTCACCAATCAGTAGATATTGCAAGTTTAAAGAGAATACTTAAATTATGTCAGTGGTTTATAATCTGTCTCACCATCTTTATTTCTTGTTCCTTCACAAATTCTGCAAAAGAAAACATAATTGGCTAATAGTTTAAGCAAGTTACATACTTAAGTTTTTCCTTTGTTATGTTTGCAACAATTATTTTTTAGTTTGTATCTTTGTATATTGATGTTTACCAATAGACCAATAATTGCTAACTTCACCTCACTTAGTTGAAGACCAAGAAGTGGACAAGGTTTGTACCCTTTTTGAGAATCAAATTTCAAAGACTTTTTCTGGACTTACGTTGATTTTTCCAGCACTCAAAATTTCACCTTAAACCAGTTCATTCCTAAGATTTCAGAATAAATTCTCCTTACAGTCTGTGTACATTTTTTATAACATAAATTCTAAAAACTTTGTTGCTTGAGTTAAGCATATTTCCAGGACTTTCCACAACTTGTAGTCCTTTTCCAGGACTTTTCACCCCTGGGAAATGTCAAAGTAAAATTCCAGGTATTCCAGGACCTGTATGAACCCTGAGTGGAAGAGAAATGAGAAAAAAAAGGGTATGTGCGAGCAGTGGAGTCTTCCTGGTGTGACTTGAGAACTTTACCTCTTTAAATCTGCTTCAAGTTCAGACCTTAGTCTTGGTTTAGAGAGCTCAAATCCCATCAAATCATAACCTTTAAATAAAAATATGTTAAGGATTAACTTAACTTTACAATTCTTCATAAATGAGGAAAATTAACCAGAGAAGTTAAATACTCTATCTCTACCATAAGAACAGGATGGTCACTAACAACATGGGGGTCATGTGATAGGATCTCATTGTACCTTCCACAAGTCCCATTCCCAGCTGTCCTGGTAAGAAGGTCCCATCTTGCTGCACTCCCACATAGCACCTGTTCTTGATGGTCTCAATATGCTCAGCATGAGTGGCATCTGTGCCTGTAGCAAGAAGGATAAAAGACCTCAATTAACTTTTCCCTCCACCCATGATTTCCACTCTCTACTTCTAGCGAGATGTGAAGCTGTCATTAGGTCAGCTGATTACTTTTGTAACAACAGAAACTATTTTCTCCCTTTTTTCTCTGTCCTTTGGATAAAGATAATTTTGTTTTTCTTCAGAGATGGATAGATCAACATCTTGGAATTCCCTCAATGAAGACAACAATGACAGTAACCAACAACAGTCCTTTGCACTTCACCACTGATCTGGATGATCAGACAAAATCATTTGTAAATACTCTTGAGTTACTCCTTACCTATGCCATGTTTCTCCATCAGACCAATCAAATCAGCTTCTGTTAACAAAGGAGGTGGTTTGGTTTCCCCATCAATCATCTGCAAACAATATTAATTGTACACTTTACACATTCTAATTTAATAAATCAACATTATGGGAAAGAAGCCCAATTGCCACACCCAATTTAGTTCAAAAATACTCCATGGAATAGGAAAAGAAAGGCCAAACACTCTTTGAACTTTTTATTTGAGAATTCTGTTACATTACAAACCTCAATAGAACTTGGCTGAAACTCTTCACCTTGATTGTAAACTGGGATTGTCTTCAAAGAGGAGAGAATCAATGCAAACGATTATCATGACGTAGAAAGCTTATGCAAAGAAGACAGTCATTTGACCAAAGAGCTAACAGCAACACTCCACAATTGGTGTAAAAACATGATATTATAATTTAAAAAGTTCTTAAGTAATTTTTCTTTGAAAAAAGGAGGCCAAATGTAAGTTAAATCCTGGAGAAAGGAAACTGAATTACCTTATCACTCCATCTATCATAAGGATAAACTTCCAGATAGTTCCTTGCAATGATCATAAGTCCTGTGGCTGTAAACTGCAAAAAATGCACATCAAATATTAAATGCCTTCTTCTACTGGCAGGAGCAAAGGTTTTTTTTTCAAGCAGAAAAGACTTTTCATTGACACCTTGGTGCTCATTTTCTGACTTGAACTCATGATTCAACAAGCTGTATAACACAGACCTTCTCTCCAGCAATTTCAATTTCCACATTAGTCTCTTGACCCTTGGCATCCTTGAAAAAAAAAGTAATACATTTTCAGTAACTGAGAAGAGGATTTACAATCATGGTAGTAAAGGCATAACCACAAAGATAACTTACACATGAATACTAAGCAATGATATGATCATAGGAAATTATGTGGTGCTCCCCCTTAATTCAACCCAAACCAAACCATTTCCCATGGAATATAACAATGAAAAATGGAAAATGTACATGGCTATTCTTCGTCTTGTAAGGCATAAATCTGAAGTCTATAGCTCTAAGGAAGAAACACAATAAATTAAAATAATTTCAAGACAAAGGAATCTTCTTACCTCAGAACAGCAAGCTAAGAAGTGCCTCACTATGAACTCGTATAATCTTTTTTCATTTCCCTGTAAATCAAATTAAGCCAAATGGACACTGTGTAGCAACACTTAGCCAGGAAAAAGCCTTAACTAAGGATAACCTTGAAATATAAAATATTAAGCTGGCAGCAGATCTGGGGAATACTTATGGTTTAAAATGCTATATTGGTTGATGGTACACAACTACTGTACATGTAAATAACTTATGCACTCACTGTTAACTGATGGACCAACACCTTAAATTCAGCTCTGTGTATATCTAAAATAAGCTTATACCATTCAATTTGTAACATGCAGTTTCCAAAATGTAACATCTGATAGCTCTGATGAACTATGGTGGAATATCCCAAGGGGGGGGGGGAAAATTATTGACAGAATTACTGTCATTCAGAAATCCTTCAAAGTAGTGTCAAATCTCTGAGCATGTATTGGCATGTGATAAAAAAGCAAACCTGTAAATTGTTTGTATGCTTTGTTGGATGAATAGGAGGGTGAGCATTGTCTGTTTTGTTGCCCTGTCGAGGGCTGGGGCCTCGTTCCAACACGCGAGCTGCAAAAGCTGAAAAAAAAAAAACAGGTCATTACGCTAAAGTTACAGTAGTTCAACCTTAGAATCAAGACTAGTGCTTTGCAATGATATCAACTACATAAGATAACTTAAAAGGTACTTACAAAATGATGTCAGTGAAAATTATTCAAATAATAGTTACAACACAGCTTATAGGTTAATGTATCAATGGCACTGAGTAAATGAATGACAAATGAAAAAATGAATGAATGAAAATATGGATTTCCATTTTACCTCCCCAGTTTCCATCAACAGTCTGATTTTGAACAAGGGGCCGCAGGTCCAATGACTTTGGAAACATGTTGGTTTCTGTGCGAGGATAGCTGATGAATCTAATATACAAAGTAACAAAGGTACTCTACATGATTTTTATGTCTGTTTTCAAGAATTAGGAAAATCAGGATACAGTTTGTTATTCAATGACCTTATGATGGGATAAATGTTCATAATGAAAATTTTTGATTCATTATTTCAGCTCACAGCCAGTGGCATCATGTGCCAAGCATAAGATAGTGCAAAAATAGGTTGATACCAGTACTTTTAATCACATCGAAACTAAGAGAGTACCAGTAACTGTATTAAACATGGCCTTCATCAGGGCACCAAGAATATACCATTAGCTCCTTTAACTAGAAATGCCACTACTACCTACCCCTGATTGTAGAGTTTTTCAGCTATTTTCATCGTCTCTTTGGAATTTATTTTCAATTTTCGAGAGGCAAGTTTCTCAAGTTCCTGCAAATGTATTGTGCATGTTCTCTTAAGTGAACTGTACATCACCCAAATGCACTAGATTCCAATGTATTATTATAAAGTCTACATAAATATTGTGGAGGTGTGGTGGCCTCATGGTTAGTGCACTCGGCTCTGGATCGGGTGGTCCGGGTTCGAGCCCTGGCCAGGGTCATTGTGTTGTGTTCTTAGGCAAGACACTTTACTCTCACAGTGCTTCTCTTCACCCAGGTGTACAAATGGGTACCAGCAAATGTGCTAGGGGTAATCCTGCGATGGACTAGCATCCCACCCAGGGGGGAGTAGCAATACTCCTAGCCGCTTCATGCTAAGAAACCGGAGTTAAGCACCAGCCCCATGGGCCACTTGGGCCCATATAAAGGCTTACTTACTACTTACCTTTAAGTAAATATTGGAAGGTGTTTTTGAAGAAGTATTAAAAATGTAATCAGAAGAACCACCATTAAAAAGAACAAGGTGTCAACTCACAAGCAATAATGATGGTTCAACTTACCACAGTGTCTAACGGAAGAGGTCTCCACTTACTCTTGGGACGAGATGATGTGGTAAGAACCTTTGCTGTAGGATTCTGGTATATGAGTAAATATAGTACTGATAATAATAGTAATAATAATGATAGTAATAACAATGTTTTTTTGTTGTCACCAGGGCAGGAAAAAGAATCCCCATGGAGAATTGAACCTAAGATGACATCTTTCTTATTCTATTACAATATTAATATTATAATTAAAAAAAAAATTTTTGTCCAAAAAGTGATGGAAATGTAGTTTATATAATTTTTAATAACTAAGTTTATTCTCCAGTTACAAAACCATTTAAAATAGTTTAAACAAAAACTTGCGTTATACCTCCAAACACATCTGATAGATGACCAGACAAGGCAAGCGGTGAAAAAGTCTGCCTCTACAAGGATTTAAAAAATTGTAACAAGAAATATTTTGTACAATTATGCAATTAATCAAAACATCATGGATGCTAAAACTCAGCCAAAACCCTCACAAAGTTAATCATAGAAATTGAAAAAAATTGAGTTCCATTGTACCTCTTCCAGCTGAAATCCACTTTTGTTTCTTCCATCTCATGAGAAACTAATTAAAAGGAAAAAAAGGTCATTTTTTTTTGGCTTAAAAAAATTTATTTACCTGAAAAACTTAGTTGTAAATTTTACCACCCCTTAAAATATAACATTTTCAAAAACATTTCACGCACAATTACATAATTATCAATACATAAAATAACTTCCTACCTTTAATTTTGTAAAATACTTCAGGAACAAATTGCTGGACTTGTTTATACTGATTGGCAATCACAAAAAAATTATAGATTTAAAACTAAAGAAATAGAAATAACAATACTTGGTGACTAGACTTTCTAAAAAGCAACAAACCAAAGCTGCAAAAATTCTAAAAGGAGATTAACTGCAAATCCATTTTAGCTAGGCTTTTTGAGAATGGAATGTTTGTACAGTATGCTCTCTACTTCTGTTTACAAAGTTTAGATATCAACATTTACTTACTCTTTCAACAACAAATCCTAATGTTGGAAACTGGCAACTTCCTATAGGAAATGAAATCAAACACAGCAAACTTTTGATTAAAAAGTCCTAAAACTGAATGAAGAAAATCCAGCTACTTCATGTTGAAAAATCAAAACATCATCTCTTACTATCATAATGACAACTAATCAAATTTTCTTTTCCTGAATATTCCTTTGCTGATAACTGAAAAATTTCTCCTTTAATCTTTGATTAGCATTTCCATCAATGCACAAATACAGCCCACAGCTCAATGATAGAGCATTCAAGCAAGGCCATACAGTCATATAAATTCAATTTCTGTTAAAAAACATTAATTTCTTTGCAAGTGTGCCTGTGTCACTAAACTTTCATAAATATTTTGTTTCATCCAATGCACTGAATGAATTATTTTATACCATAAAAAAGCAAAGGCTTTAATAACAGAATATGTTGTAAGGTTACTAGTGATATGTTAAAATTGATGCTTACCATAACTGATAAGGTTATCCTTCAAAACATCTGGAAAAACCTTTTGCAGTCTCAATGTCTGGAACCGAGTAAAGGCAGCTCCTAAGGCAACACAGATAAACAAAAATCAATTGTTTTCGCAAAATAAGCAAGTAACAACACATTAAACTGTGCAATTATTGTAACATGTATCATGTTTCTTCAAAAGAAAATAGTTTGTCATCACTTCATTCTGTATCAAAACTGTCAATGAAGGATTGACCACAGAAGACCAGAGTGCATAAAAAGACAAATTGTTGAGGTTAAATCCAGTAGAAGAAAAGCTAAACTAAGAGATCTGGCTAAAAAATGCACACTGGACCTTGCTTCACTCAGCTCTTAAATCAACTGGACCCTTTCTGGCAAATAAAAGCCTGTTCAAGATTATAATAACAACTCAAGTCTAAGACTAGTCCTAATGCAGTTAACAAGATTTGTTACAACACATCTCATTTAATGTCATCCTCTACTGTACATGTACAGTATAACACTGGACTTAATGTAAGTAAAATTACCACAAGCGACAAAGAAAAAATTACCTATCCTTAGGTCAAGTTCCATCCTAACATCTACTGCTTGAGACTGTAATAAATCAGGTTCAACAAGGTTCTGGACGGCTCTTGAAACTGAGCTACAATTGTTGAAACAATGTAATTAAAAGTAAATAATAGTGTTCTCCACAATGTAGGTTGGTACCCAAAGAGAACATCTGAAACTTTTAAAAATTCATCAAAAAATACGCTGCAAATTTCCCATTATGTGTTACAAACTTTCAATTTAAGTAATAATAAGTACATCGCTAAGGGTGATAAAACTGCATTTACTCTCCTCAAAATGGGCCTGGAAGTGAAAAAAAAAATGCTACACAGATGTAGTATCAAAATAAGTCAAATAAAAGTTTAAAATTCCCACTGTTTGTATATTTTTAAAAATTTTGCGAGGAAGAATTCATCTAAAACAAAGGTGTCGCCAGCTACTTACCCAGGAGTAATTTCTGAAAACTTTGCACGATAAATTTGGATATTAGGACAGACTGCAAAAAATTAATTGAAAGGAAATTATGACATGACAAAGGTTGACTTCTTTTGTATAATATACACAAGCTTGTTCAAAATAGCATGATGTATTACTAGCATATAAACAAACAATGCAAGAAAGATCTCTCAATACTCTAAACACTTTAGTCTCTGCTAGGCTTTTGGTTCTCTCTTGTTTTTCCCCAGCTTACCCTACCTCCCCCCCCCCCTCCCAGTATTGTTTGTACCCATTAGCTGAGTGCCTAGTACAGTCACCCACAGGGGAATGTCTAGGTGACTTCTTAATACAAGTTCACCACTTGATACAGGTTCCAGAGTGAAGGGTTCCATTAGAAACGACAACAATAACATCATTTCCTGACATAATATACCACTTAATGTGAAAAAACAAAAACAAAAAAACACTCAAAAACACCACTAGCATTGATTTTGAGATATAAACATGGGCTAAATATACTTTAAAGATTACAGTTAGTTTTATCTGAGTGGTTCCATTTTACGTGACTGTTCAATATAGGTGAAAGACAATAAAAAACAGACTTTTGGGACCCAGTAAAGAGTGACCATGACCACTCAGTAGAGGTGAAAATTACAGTGTTTACTCAATATTTACAATTTCAAAAAACTCACTGCAATAAAAATGAAATTGCTTATTGTTCAAGTTTGGAATAAGTAACTTACCATTTTGACAAACAGTTATAACTTCAAAGCCAATGTTTTCGCCTTCTCTGTCACAATCAGTCCATATGATCAACACCTGACAGCCTCTCACCTCTCTTTCTAAAGTCCTCTGTGATTGTCATAATTGTACAATTGCACAAGACATTAAAACATATTAAATAATGTAATTTTTTGCATGAAAAGACTAGGGAGTCTTTTTACAGAAGGAATGGACAAAGGTAGTTGTGGGATCAGTCTCTCACCTTAATAGGCAGATAACTTTCTCCAACATATTTTGTAACTGGAGCACTAAAAAGGGCTACAGGAGCACAACTATACCTAAAGAAAGAAAAAATTAGGCCCACAATTTTAAAAATTGTTTAGTTATCAGAATAACATAATATATTCTTACCATTTTTGATGACTAGCTGTGAAATCTAAAGTCATCATATGTCCTGACAGAGATGTCATCACCATTTTAGCATTCTGTTTGAAAATTAAAATAAAAATAATTAAGAATGCCATCCCTTGAATGGGGAGGTGTGGATTGAATAAAGTATTTTTATAAGTAACTTTCCACATAGCATCAAATTCTCCTTGCGTTTAACCGAGGAAAACTAGATCATCTGGAAGGAGAACCTACCTGCCCATTGTGACCCATTTAATTTAAGGCTTTTTCTTTTTTGAGCACTGTTCTCATGAGGACTTTTTTCTTTCAGTACAGTAAAGGTGGACTTCCGGTTTAGTATTTCATGAGGCTAAATATTAATACTTACACTTCCCAAAATGTTGTAGTCGAATTCATAAATCTTGTTGAACTTTGAGAGACCTTCTCTCTGTGAATGATAAAGAGAAAAAAGCTTGGTAAAGGTACAGTTAGGTTGTGCACTCTCAAGTAATGTAAAAATATTGTGGAACCAAACTTGAAGTCATTACAACTACCAATCAGATAAGAGAGACACAACACAACAAGCCAATGAGAACTGGCCTCAAGCACAAGAAACCATGAGTGGCCAAGTCACAACTGTCTTTATTTTTTGTGAATCTGATTGGTTTGAAGACACTGGCAAAGCTTTTATGAACTAATAACATTACCAGTTTTAAGAAGGGTGCATTAATTTTTAATTCTTTTTTCATACACTGTATCTCAGTTTGATGATTGTCATTTATTTCTAATTTGACGTTTTTGTGGAATATATCATATTCTCCTTTTTTTTTCCTTTTCTTTTAGGTGGTCTGCCTTTGAATGGGGCCTATGACTCTTTTGTAGACTACTCTAATAATGATGTTGTTTATTGTCACTGAATTGTAATAAATAAATAAATAAATAACAAAGCAGAATAAAGTAAAAGCAATGAAATCCTAAAGCTATAGAGGGTTTTGCTTAACCAGGATGTACTGACGAAAATATTTACTACAGTGGCAATGTCCCGACAGAAGCTTACAGGATCGACCCCCTTATTTTTGTTTTTTTTTTGTTTTTTTTTTCTGTTTTGTTTTGTTCAGTTTGAAACAAGCTAATAATTGCTAACAGTGTTACATAATTATAAAAATCTGACACTTTACCCTGAAACTGTGTCCTCGGGACATTATCCTAGACAGCTCTTTAGCCGCATCATTTTTCTCGGCAACATTCAAGATGCGCAATGGCCTCATGACTAATCCTCTGTACCAAAACCTTCTCGTAACGTCCAACACTCTGAGGAATTGATCTCCGTGTTCAGCACTAATGAACGACGGGGGACGCAAAAGTTTCTGAAACTGAACTGTGCGTTGCAATGTCATTTGATCTTGAAACGAAGAACGGTGCCATAGCTTACAAGTATGTTATTTCTTCAGATATATCTTTAAAGTACCAGCAAGCTTTACATAGTCACATGAAAAGCATCTGTTGACCAAAGACTGCATTTCTCTCTCGAGCAAATCATCCGCCATATTTAAATCAGGGCGCTAAAATGGCGCCATCTGCAATGCTTCTTGGGAATGATTAAAACGTTCCCAGTGTCGTATGGGATTTATTATCCAAGATGGCGGCTAAATTTAACGATACTAAGTGGAAAATAATATTTCTCTCGACAAATTCTTCCACGCAAGGACTCTGTTCGAGTACAAATGTGTGTTATAGAACCTCCTTTATTCTGGAATAATAAGAAAGTTGAGATACAGGGATAGGTGCAGGTAGATCTCAAGAATCCAGTCTTGATGTTTTCTACGTCGAGATCGCAGAGGCAGACTTTTGCTGATGGTGTGGCAAAATTAAAATCAAAGTCTGCATCACCTGTGCAAACAAAATCTACGAAGAAACAACCAGAGGAGAAACGAGTCCAATCTTCAACGAGTGAGAGGGAACTGGGAAAGCTAAGCGTGCGGGAGATTGTAAGTAACTGATGTTACTAATAGTTGGCAAAACATAATATACACTAATGTACTCTGCTGCATGCCAAAGTACAAATTTATAAATCTTTCAATTTCAGATGTACAGGTTTATAACTGAGATTTAAACTGAAAGTGTATTTGAACATATAATAACAATGATTGGTTTGAGAAAGAGTTGTAACTGTTGAATACTTTGTCACTATAGTAAGAGCTTATCTAGCTTGATAAGATCTGATGAACTCCTCCTTCCAAAATCTCCTCATCATCCGAATGTTTATTAAAGCATCAGTACCATAATGGAGGTAATTTTTTCCTGTAACAACCAACCTTCAAGTGATTCTAGCATCTTGCACAACTCTCAAGTCCGTGATCACTGCCAGGTTTATGTATGACTGACCTTGGAATTTTCCTGTAATGTTTGCTTGTACTAAATTTGACTCATGAATGTCAAAAATGTTGCTGTTGTTAAACAATCGTGTATACTATACTCAGCTTGAAAGATGTCAAGAAGTTGACAGTGGAAGGGTTTTTGAGATCAATCTGAACAGACAATCTCTGGAACAAGTGCCAAGCCTAAAGGAGGTAAGTAGATTATCTCATATATAATTAAACAAGATACACATAAACACATCCCTTTATTGGCAGTTGAAATATGCATCAATTTTGTTAGTCATCATTATATTATGGGACTTTCCCTGTTCTGTCATAAAACCCAGTTAGAAATACACAACAGTACAGCTGTTTATAATTGTGAGCTGATAAGTAAACTAAGAGCTCTTAGATTTGTTTTAACTTTATCAGATTAATAAATTAACACAATAGAAGGATAGGACAAAAACTTCAGACCTGTCTTTAGATGTTTTTAACAATGTCACCTTGTTTAATTGCTACTTTTGTTCATTTGCTTTATTCAGTTTCCAAAACTTAAAATCCTGGATTTGGGATGCAACAAAATAAAGCACGTTTTGCCTGGTGACCTGGAGAAAAATTGTGTAAGTTGATTAACCATGTCATCATAAGAGTGCATATAATTCTTTCAAGGAAAAGCAGATTAATTACCACAAATAACTTCCAAGATATAACAATGAGGAAACAGGAAGCAACAATTATTTTTGATTAAGATGTCAATATAATAATGCTATAATTGCTTGTCTGTATTCAATATAGGACACTACCTTTGCTGGAAACAGAATGTGCATATGCACAACTTAATTCTCTTTGAAGTTAATGATTTTGTGTGCCTTGGTCTAGTAGCCAAGGCCAAGCTTTGACCAGTCAGAAATGTTGTCATGCCACCTTTTTTGCTGGCTGCCCCTGCTTCTTTCTAGGTTTATTTAGAAAATCTATTTCTGATATTTTAGGATCTTAGAGAACTAAAGCTTTATGCCAATGAGATTATGGAAATCAGTGGTTTAGACAAGTAAGTCTGTATGTTTTTGGAGCTAACTCTTTTATTTCATGCCACAGGATTGTGACACATCAGTGTTTTATTCTAGAAGTTACATTAAAATATCGTACACACTTTTTTAAGAGTTTCATTTACAAGTTGTCCAATATTACTAGTAATTTTAAATGATATCACATTTTGAATGTTTTTTATTTTATTTTATTTTATTTTATTTTATTTTTTTAATTTCATTTTACATCCAATTCATTGATTTACCTCTATAATTGGTTCATTTTGATATCACATTTTGAATGTTTTTTATTTTATTTTATTTTTTTAATTTCATTTTACATCCAATTCATTGATTTACCTCTATAATTGGTTCATTTTGAGCCCCATACTTAATTTTTCCTGACAGATTTTTCATAGAAATTTTGGCTTAAGCTAAATGTCTCATTGTAGCAGATGAAACAGAATTTTCAATTTATGACTGTCTAATTTCTCTTTGTCTAGTTGTAAAGAACTGAACAATCTTCTTCTACAATATAACAAGATTAAAAGCATAGGTAAGCTCACACACTTCAAGCTACAAATTTGAAATGTTTTTTAGAATGTGAGCAAGTAACCTTTATTGGTTTGCTAACCCTTTAATTCCCAAGATCTGATTGGTTGTTTTCCCCTCCAGTTGCTATACATGTCCTTATTAATTTGTTATGAGAATTTGATATTGCATCAAGATAATTTCTGCCTGATAAGTTTGAGAATTCTCATTACCTGTTTGCTTGATAATGTATGAATATTATAGGGAGAAGTTATATGTTAATCACTTCTGGGAGTTGAAGGGACCCCCTAACTCAGTTACAATACAGTTTGTAGGTATTATCATCAGCTTTCTTAGACCTCTAAAAAAATGACAACTTAAACTGAAATTTTATTGATCGACATTTCATGATGATCTGTTTTTCTTGATTATTTTTAAGGCAAAGGTTTACAGCATGTGAGAAAACTCAAAGTTCTGAGGCTTGATAACAATCGTCTCTCCAAGATTGACTTCAGGGAGATTGGTTGCTGCTCACAAATAACTACCCTGGACATTAGCTGCAATAATATCACAGATATTTCTGTAAGTTTATTCAATGAGTGACTTTTCATTTCTCCAAAAATATTTGGTCTTTTATGTAATTATGTGGATCTTTAAATAATTCTGTGAAATTTTATTTCTGCTTTCATCAAATATATTTAGTTACCACTCAGCACATCATGTCTAAAATTAATTTGGCATGAAACACTCTTTTATGCTTAAGTCATCAAGATATTTCCATCATTTAACATACTGGAGCTTAGAAGTCAGGAAGGAGGGGGGGGGGGTGGGTGGGTCACTGGAATTGTTTTGGCAAGGCTCTATAACTTTGACCCTGACATCTTTCTTCATCACTACTTGGAGGTATGCAAAGTGGTTCTGCTAAATGCTGTTAAGGCATCTTGTTCACAACAAAGCAGTCTGCCAATCCCAGTTTATGTCAGGTACCAGTAAATATTGGTAATTGGTTAGACCATACAAATACATTGATAGTTATGTCATTTGCTTTTGGCAGGCCATCAATGCCCTTCCAGCACTTGAAGAGCTGGATGTCTCAAACAACAAAGTCAGCAAAATTCCTGATTTAGGAAGATGTAAAAAGGTAAGAAGTTAAAAAAATATGGTTTGACTCTCTTTTTACATGGAAGTGCACTGTTATTAAAAGATAATTAGATTTACGTTGTTGTATAAAGTCACTCACCAATTTCTTTTAGATTCAAGAACTTGATGTCTCAAAAAATCAAATCTCAGATTTATCTGGATTGAGGAACATCTCTAGTTTAACTGTAAGTATTTGGGAAACTGTTACAGTATATTAAGGAGCTGCTCAATCATATCATTTTGTAACAAGTTTTCTTTTTATCATTAATAGATTTTAAGAGTGGAAAATAATAAAATAGTTTCTATGGATTCTCTGGGCAAGTTGAGGTAAAGTTTGTTTTTTCTTGTTGTCTCATGTTGACTAACAGAAGAGTTGTGATCTTTTAGTTCTCCAAAAGTTCACTGAATTTTCATCAATCTCACTGAAATATAATTTTATGTAATTTGCAACACCAGCAATTTACATTTACTTGTAGTATTAGATGTATAAGATGTCTTTTGATTTCAGCAGTAATGAGACTTTTATTATATTGGCAGGGCTCTGCAAGAATTGTATCTATCAAACAACAGAATATCAGAAGTGAAGGTTAGGTTTATCTAGTGGCTTTGTGGAAGGTTTTTTGGTGTATTTCTTGAGCACTAAATGCTGCAGTAGTACTGCTAGACAAATTTTATTTTTTTTTAATTATATATATTTATATTGACCACAACACTGTACATTTTTCTTGAATCAATGCTCGTAAGGGGTGGAGAACCAAGGGAGTAAATGTTCATAGAATTAACCCTTTAAATCTCATGAGTGACCAAGACAGAATTTCTCCTTACAATATCAATACAATATCAACCAGATAAGTGATGAGAATAAGGAAAAATATCAATTTGGGGATAATTAGTTGATCCAATACTAAATTCTCTGAACTAACATTATAAGAATTGTATGGTTGGTAATGAGGAGAATTAGAAAATTTGATCTGAGAGTTAGAGGGTTAAAGATAATTCCTCTATCTGCAGTAAAGTCCTCCCAGGATTGGTTTACTTCAACTTGCTGTATTTCTATTGCAGTCGTTTGCCAGTCAGTTTTCATCTTTGGAAATCTTGGATGTGTCTAACAATGCCATTACAACTGTAGAAGAACTGGTGATTATCAAAAAACTTTGTTTAATCCTCATATTGTTGTTTATCCATTCACTCACCAGACGATCTAGCTGATGAATAATTTTTAAAGCAATAGTGTCCTTTGTTTCATTACAGTTCACATTGTCAAGCATTTCTACCCTTGTAGAGCTAGCTGTGGCAGGTAACATTTAGCTAGTTGTTTCTTTTTTTTGTTCCCTCAAATAGTGATACTAACTTAGGTTAGTCTCCCATGACAATTCAAGGAATTCATGTTTCAGGTTACTAACTTAGTAAACAACAAAACAGCTTTAAAAAAATGGTTGATTTGTTCTTTCAAAATAAGAGTTTTTACAACATATACTTTTTTTTTTCAGGAAATCCATGTGAATCTGCTGACTCATTTAGGTAAGCTATTATGTTTTCCTGATACAAGATAAAGCAGCCATGTTTTGCTTAAGTGATGACAGAATATATCATAAAATTAATGCAACATTAATTGTTTATAATGTAATATAAGTGTTACTTCAGATCATATGTTAGACTAAAATATGTTTGGCAAACAGTTAACAAATGATTTGGTTGAGCCATTTTTGTCATCCCAGTGGAAGGTTTTTTTCCTTAAACTTAGTTTTTCATATTGAAAAAGCAGGGAAAATGATAAACAAAGTATAATGCTTTGAGCTAATTTCAGATCTTTTTATTAATTTGCTCTAACTTATAATTTTGTTGTAAAGTTGTCATCGTCAGATATTTCAAAACCTTCCTTCATTGGAAATCCTTGATAAGGTAAGTCTGGTTTATTGAACTTTGATGTCATTGTTTAGTTTCTCTTTCTCCTATCTTGGGCCTTGTACTTATTCTATTTAAAAGCTATTTCCCTTCTTTTCATGATAATTTTTGTCACGCAGGTGTCACGCAAGAGACCAAGTACTGGTCAGTCACGCGCGCCTCCTCCAATGAGGCCCATGTCTGCATTACAAGGTATGGAAGCTTTCGATTTGAGGAGGGTTGCGTGTATTTATTTTTTTACAAAATTTTGGATTGAATCTCACAATAACCATTATCGATGTTTTTTTCCCTTTTTTTTTCAAGTCTTAAGTGCGAAACAAGTCGAGGAGCAGATTAAAGCAACAGAACTTGAACAAACATCTTTTGAATCGTCTATCGCTTCAAGGTGAGAAAGCTTCGCATGGTACTTTTATTTCTTCGCTTGAGATCTAGAAGCGATTATTGATAAGTTATCTAGCACGCGCTTGGAAATGTTCATGTTATAATGTGTTGTAATGTGTAGCGGCCTTGCTTTTTTTTTATTTCCTGCAGGTTCGATATGGTAAAAGATCTGTTTGAATCTCTGCCTTTAAAAACGAACTTAACCATACGCGACCATCCTGTATCAGGTAGAGGGACGCATTAATTACATTGAGAAAAAACTGTCTTATTTATCTATTCAACGCCCAAAATGTTTCCTTTCCACGCGACCTAGATCGAGAAAAAACCTCTAAGAGATTTGTCTCTTTGACTGAGGGGTTTTGAAGCGATAAGGAAGGCTGCGTTTCCAAATACATGTGGTTACTTTGAACAGAAAGATTTCATGGTTTACTGTTTAATAAGAAAATGAGACGTTCGTTTCCAACAAATGACGCTTTTTTGAAGGATTTGTTTGAAGGATTTGAGTCAAGATCAGGCCAAACTCAATTTTTTTTCCGAACGATGAAAACTTTTAAAAAACGAGTCTTTTTCGAATTCCTTGAATCGAAATTCGACATAGAAGAGCTCTACAATTAACTTCATTAATCATTTTGTTACTCTTGTTTCAGTGGCGTCTGCGTTGGACCGAGAATCAAGTAACTTTTCCCGACCCGGGACGGCTGGGGAGGGAAGACCTGGCAGTCGATGCAGCAGGTCAGTGTAACCCGAGAAACGAGAGTTTTCTTGAGACAGAAAAATGTTTCTGATAGGAAAATTCCCATTTACCGAGGCGCCAATTCTGAGCCACTTGGGAGACCTTTCACTGTGAAAAAGGAAAACACCTCGCTTTATTTTTAAGAGATGTTGTAGAGATGTGAAGCTATCGAGGTATTTTTAAGTTAATGAAATTCCTCGCATAGATGAGTTGTTGGTTTTACTTTTATTACAAATGATCAGAAAATGTACGGTTTGGAAGTAATTTTTCTTCACTTAACGAGATCCATATTGCTTTCTGATGTTATGTTTAGCCGCTCAAGAATCGCTGAAGCCAGAGCATTCGCCGCCGAACACTTTCATCCAAAGGACAGCTGACATTTCATAGAATTTACCACAATCTGTCGACTGGTATTTATTGTACTCATTGTGCAACAAGGAATTATTTTACGAGACGTCGAAGAGGCCAAGATCTTCTATCTAGTCTAATTCAGGACTGGTGAATTATACTGAATCTGCCTTTGTTGTAAAATCCGATGGAAGTCCCTTGCAACAAGAAAGACAATATTAATGGCTGGCAATGGACGATGTTTAAGGAAAACTTTTGTACAGAATGTTTGAAGTTGTAAATATAAAGTTCCCTTTGTTATTAAAGGACGCGAGAACACGTTTCGTCATCAGTTTGGAATCCCTATGTCAATTTTTGAGATGTGAACTGTGTGAGTCGAGAAGGGGGATTTTAGTCGGTAAATGGGGAGACGTTAGGCAGTCGAACGCCTTTCCGTCAGTTCAGTGCTTCACTTGCTTTTTACGGCAGAAATTACAATACTCAAGTTTATTTCAAACTTGAAAAGTGATGTTATTTACAAGTATTTACAACATCAATTTATAACAAAATTTAGAAACTTGAAAATAGAATTAAATGATCCCGGCTGATCAAAGGAAATGCCTAGACTAGATTAGAGGACTAATGTAAAAGAAAAAAGGAAGTTCCTAAGGAACATATTGAAAACTGTTACTGATTATGATACTTTCAAATTGTAGAGGAAAATGTATATCAATAGCAACCCCCTAACTCGATAATACGTGTCTCCCCTTTATTCCAGCAATAGACTTAAGGGGGCCTTCGAACTGAACGTTATAAGAGAGCCTGGGACTGCGATTAAAACCTGATAAATTTTCCGATGTAGGTGTTTAGGTGCCAAGTAAACTAGTTTGCACCGTAACGTTACTGCTTGGATCTACAATAGAAGCACTTTACCCACCATAGACCGCTTTTCGATCGAGTGTCATGTAATCAAAACCAAAGTAAGAAGAAAGGCCATTCAGAAGAATAGGAAATTCTTTAAGAGCCGATGAGAACTTATAGTAAAACAACCAAACTGCTTAAAGCGCGGGAAAACGCGGGCGATCAAGCCGTCGTTGGCTTTAGTTTTGCATCACAAAGAAAATAGGAAAAAAAAACCAATGCTATCTCGGATTACTTTCGACGCCACTGAAATGTTCTTTAATCGAGAAGCAAAACGACTTTACACTACCCAAACTTGGTTATTTCTGTTCAAGCGTTTACATTAGCTTTCCATGATGTGGGTTGATAAAATGTTGGATCAGAATCCCAACACTCGCAAATATCGACTGTGGACTGGACGGCGAGTTCGTTCTCTTACGACCTGTTATCACTTCACCAGTTTATCTTGGTAAAAAACTGTAGTTTCAGTCCACCAAAAAGAAATTATTCAAGGGTTTAACGGTTTTTCTCAATTGTAAATTGATAGAAGGTTACTCTAAAAGAGCTTGTCACAAAATTCCAATATCCTTAGATGAGCAATGATCAGCCAATCCAAACGGCGATTTCGAAACAACTCTATCACCATCCTTGTTAAAAAAAGTTCCTCTTTCACATTATCCATTGTAGGTGATGGTTCATCAGGAGGCCCCACTGTTCATTCATACCTTTGGTGTAGGTTCACGGCAGACATTTAGGTCTTCTGTGGAACTTTGGTTAAAAAAAAGCTCCAAATCCATAGAAAAATCCCAATTTTTTTCCACAGCTTGTTACTCACTGCCATACCTGACACAAAAAAGGAAAACACAAGAGAGAGAACAAAGATGTTAAGAATCATTAACTGTGAGGTTACGCCATAGAATAAGAGATAAGATGCTCCTATATAACAGTTTGGCTGTGCTATCGTAATCATTGCGCAATCTTCAACAAGAATTGAAAAAACCAGCTGAACTTCCAAACGTAAAGTCTGCTACGCAACCATAATTGACGCTGCTACGCAAAGCATTCCTCAATATGCGTGAAAAGACTATCCAACGGCTGCGACGAAGTGTAACAAACGCACAATGTTGCGTGAAAACTGCTGACACGTACTTTTTAACAAAACTGATCTTTACATAGAGCCCATGGCGGCGCTCGAAAGTACGAGCTGTGCAAAGTTCACACCATTTAAATATGACCAACCTTTACAGTACTGTCTACTGCGCCGGAAAATATTCTTCCTTTTGTTACAGCCAGAGCAGCCACGCTTCCTTGGTGGCGGAGAAGAGTCTGGACACAAGTAAAGCTCTCCAAATTCCAGACCTAAAAAGGAAATTACCAGAAAAATTATGTGAAAATCATCTTCAATTTTGGTATCAGTGTATATGAAGTTCCCTTTAAAGTATATTTTACACTAAACTCTTCCAAACGCGTCTCTAAAAAGCGTAATTGTATTCAGTATTAGTTTCAACCTCTTTTGAGAATATACTCCTCTCCAGAATGATGATCATAATAAAAAATCTGTAGTGAAGAAAATGACTCCCTTTACAAGAAGGGGAACGATCCTTACAATAACTACTGAAACTTTTCAGTTAATCCAACCTATGTGTGCCAAAACTGAAATAACAGTATGGAGTTGGACATTTTTATCTACACCTTGAACAAACCAACACTACATCGTGCGATGGTTTGGAGGGAGTTGTGAAATAGATACCACAAAGCGATGCTACATACGTTCTGATTGGCGATAAAGCTATACTTTATTTTAACACCAGTAAAGCTTTAAAAATCTTCAAAAATTATTGCCTTAAGCTAGTGATTATTAATCATTGTCGAGTTCTCCCAACATCTCGCATGGGATATTTCGTAAGCAACATCATAGAAAGCGTCTACCGATGAAGTAGACGACATGAGAGAGATGTTAGGATTTACCAATTCAAAGAAAGAAATAATAATCAAATTACCCTAAGCGATCTGTCGTAAGAAGCACTGAACAAACGCGTTTGTCCTGGAGCACTCAACACGGCTAGGCCGTACACTGTGCCAACATGACCTGCAAATGAAAAAAAAGAAATAAAAAGAACTTAGTGGTGCCATTTACTCGGAGATTTTCTTTTCTAGTTTATTTTTGTATCATTGTGCATAAGATCATCATTTTCTCTATCTCTTTAACTTCAGGCCGAGCAAAAGAAGACGTATTCCTTGTTATTCACAGATTCCATGATCGCAGTTGCACACTGTCCACCTGAAATATTACATACGCGAGAATCGTTCTGGGTGACCTACGTGACGAAAAAATGCTGTAAGTGTTCGCCGATAAAGAAAACAATAGTAATAAAATAGAACAACATTTTTACAACTCCTTCACTGCTTTGTTCAATAATACCCCTGTTTTTTGTCGTTTCTGCCTTTTTTCAGTTTCTTTCTGTTTTGATTTGGTTTTTTTCCGGTTATGCATTCCCTGACGTTGAGCACGTAGCATAGAGAACGTCAATTGTCCTCTCCTAGTTTGAGAAGCAAGACACTCCCTTCACTTGATAAAACGATTCTAATAAACGCTGATTGGTGAGCTGGTGTAACCTAAGAGGAGACCACGTGACACTCCACAAACATAGAAATCGCAGCGCAAAACATAACGGTCATCATTTCATCTTGACACTGCTCTGTGATAGAATTAGGTCAGTGGAAAAGAGAGAGAAGAAGACGCGATATGGCCGATTGGAACTCAGACGAAACATTGACAGATACATTGGACACTCCAGTGTTTAAAAAGCAACGACCCCGCGCAAGCAGTACATGCTCTCCGGAGACATACGCACAAGTAGAAATGCAAAGACTTGGCAGGCGACAGTCGAGCGAACCAACTCTATCGGTTGAACAGAACGAAGAAATAAACAGTTGGATAGTTCCGAACGGAAGGAAACGAAGCTCGTCGCATAGTGTAGTGCCCTCTGATGAGGTCGATGATTACTTTATCAAGAGGAACAGCAAGGCGCTGACTGAAAATGCCAAGAAGTTGTCACAGGATGAACTTCACTCGCTGGTGCTCGACATTTTCAAGCCACTGGATTTTTATGAAATATTGTTCGATAGAATGAAAAAGAACGACGGTCAAAAGGAGAAAACAGATAAACAAGATTGAGTAGCCGTAAATACTCAAACATTGCGGCATAATTTTCTTTGATCGTAATTTCAATTCTCTTATTTTAAAGACAACTACAGTGAAGAGAATTCGTTAAAATATTTTCCCCGTCAAAGATAGACGGGGTTATTCTTAAGTTATGTGAGGCGATTTAATCATTTCAACACTGTTTTCATAAAAGCTGAGCAAATCTCAAATGTATGATGAAAAAAAGGGTCGGTCCGAAATTAAATAAATGTTGTTGCAAAATACTCAACGACTGGTGACTTCTCGCAAAATAACTTCATTCAATGTAATTCCACTCTCTGCTTGGTAAAATGTTTTTAATTCTTTTACACTGCGAACGTAAGTTAAAAGTTTTATCATGATCGCTGCCTAAAAGTTGTTTATGGTTTGGTTACGTTAACTGAACATTAATAACGCAAATTTCATTTGTAGTGGTCGACAAAACGATTCGTTTATGTCAGAGTTCGATAGTTAAAAGGAAAGGCAGGGAATCACGCGAAAATAGCCAGGGCGAGTATCAGGAAAGACCCTTTCATCAAAGCACATAACACACACACACCAGAGAGAATGCTTTGGTAAAAGGAATCTTCAAGACCCATTTTTCTCGCACAAATCACAAATAAAAATTGCAAGTACACTGTCGCTAATCCAGCGTAGGTTATAAAAATCCTCCACTCATTTAAATATTAAAATAACAAGATTCCGTGATACGCCTCTTCGACTTAAGATTTACGTTTGAAGCCGATACTGAGACGCCTTCCTCGGCATGCCGAATTCGAAAAGCATTATTACGAAACGAAAAAAAAAATCGCACAATGCTTATTATATAATCATGGAAAGGTGCATGAATTTCATTTATTAATGAATTCTTCAACTTTTCGTGACATACAAGAAAACAAGCGCCCTACCAAGGGAAGATAATTTGAACGTCGATAGCTCCAAAAGCTTCTCGACCTCCCTGGGTTAATTTATCGCAACGTTCAATCGTTTTTCCGTTCAAATTAATTTTGCGGACTGTACGGTCCCGATCTTCTTTTATCAGGGAGACCAATTAGGGATTACTCGTAAGTTATGTTGTCATAATACGAATAGTGGGCTAGAGCAGTCATACAGCTAAACGCAAACGTTTCTCGAATTTACGTGATTGGGATTATAGCTTATTAAACACACGTAACACTTAGTGGTTAATAAAAGGAATTGGAGAATTTGAGCGAGAGCGGAGTACAACCGACCAGTTAACTTTGCGAGAGTTTGGCGAAAGGATGAAGGAGTGAAAAGAACTAGCTCACTCAAAGCAAATAGCGCGGCGCAATAGGAAATGATATTTTCAAATTTCTTTCTAACATGCGAACGGAAGAGAAGAGATATTTTTTCACAGTGCGGTAAAGAGGCACATGTTCGACCCCTTATTGTAATTCTAATTTAGCATTTTGATACGTCATAGTGAACGCCTGTGTACTCGGCAGACTTTTGAGCTGAAATCACGAAATTATTAGTGGAATGAACGGCTCTTGGCATTAAAATAACTTGATAAGACAGAGAGGTATTCGTCGAATATTTTCCGCCCCCAAATCTAGACAGCGACAATTTTAAAGATCACAAAACACTAAAAATGAATCGTTCACCCACCGTTCAAAGTTTCCAAGTGTTTGTGAGTGTTGACATCGTAAACCTGAATCAACAAAATTATAATCAGCACCATGATCATGACTACAAATAAATGACAACAGGGCTCGCAAGGAAAGGACCAATTTTTTTTTTTTTTTTAATGGCGACCATTTTACAATTGAAGGTCGCCAAAAGGCGACTTTTTGAAAAATTGAACTTTGAGCCCTAAATTAAGAGGACAACTGGCCTGGACATGGCCAGTTGTCCGATAAAAAGAGCAGCAAACTCACGCGATTTAGCATGACTGGTTGAACTGCATCTTACCTGTATCTGGTTCTCATATGTTCCACATACGATGTACTCCTTAGTGACTGCTAGGGAATACACACTGCCTCCTGAAGTCTGAAGGACTCGCACACATTCCAACGAGTCCAGATCCCACAACTGAAAGAGAAACCAGACACAGAGTCAGCTTGAAATTTAGGCTTGCATCGGGAGGTGCATGGAATCAACCCAAACAAGCTGCATCAGTTGGTTTGAGGCTCTGCCTCGGCAGCTATTAAAGTAATAAGTCCCTCGACCTTCAGCTCTCATTCTAAAGCCATCCTAAAAATAACGTCCCCAGAAATCAGCGTCTATCCACAAGCGATAATAAATCAAATTCAAGATAAGCTTTAACTGTCAGATTTTCTTGCTACTGCTTAAAAAAAAGGAACATTACATCCAAAACGAGAAGAAATTTATTTTCACAGATTATTATATTTGTCGAGTTGTTACTGGGCAAACTAAATCCTCATAGGGTACCTTGATAGTCTGATAGGAGCCACTGAAGAGGTGCCTTTCTGAGGCTACTAACGCGCGCACCCAGTGATTGAGACCCGTAAGTTCTTGAATGAGTTCCATGGTCTGCAGGTTCCACACCTTCGGGGAAAAAAAACGTGTAAACTTGAAAAACCTTGAGTCTTATTTTCTTTTTATCCCACCGCTCAAAGAACGATTGTTCAAGCTGACTGTAAATACCTTGATTTTCTTGAGGGATCCACTGAATAACATCTTCCTCTTTGTCACCAGAGTACAAACCGGATTTTCGTGACCACGAATTGAATCAAGCAGTTCAAGCTCCTCCAGGCACCAAACCTAACAACAAAACAGTAAGGTCAACAAACAGCTCGAATCAGACGAATTTTTTCAATTTAAAAACTTAATGGCTAACAAGAAATCTTACATTAATGGTACAGTCGGCTGACCCACTGTACAACTTCTTCCTATTAAGAACAGAAAGAAAAAAACAATGTGAGTTGTTGAGGTTGTGTGAGGATGGATTATTGCAGTAAAAATTCTCAAACTTGCACGGCGGAAAAAAGCGGATAAAATAAATTAAGATTTCAATGGTATCAATATTGAGTAAGAAGGAGACGATAAAAAGCTGTGGAAGAAAAAGAATTCATTTAAATGAAAGGAGGGTATGTTGCCTATGAAAATCGTGAGTGTTTAAATTGCCAAGGCAATCAAATACACGAGAAACACCCACCACATCAGAAAGAAAGATGTGACCGATAGAAAGTACAAAAACTTTGCGCTAAAATATTGTAGATAAAGGAGATAGGAGCAAAATTGTTTTTTAAAATCCTCAGTAAATTTCTTGCTGCAACCTACTCGTGAGTACACAAGGCCAGGACAATGCCGCTGTGTCCTTCAAGGGTCTTCACACATTTGTATGTAGTTAAAGTGTCCCACACCTTAAAAAAACAAGAACAAGAAACTCCCTCAGAGGAAAAGATAAATCTAAAACACTTTAATCAGGTTTTAACTGACGTGAGAAATTGTTATTTTTAGAGGTTAAAGCCAAAACAAAGGAAGTTTCTCGAGTTAGAATTTGATATTTTTCATGATGCAGGATACATAAATAACGTTTTGAACACTTTCAGAATAACGGGTATGAATCCCACATGTGGCTATCACACACGACCTTAGCTGGGTCTAGCTTTACTCTGGTCGAAAAAAAAAAGAGGCCTTCTCCACATCCACATGTGCTTCGCAGCTAAGCAGACGAAACTCATGTTATAATCTCACTTTGTACAAAATTTAGAAATTTGCTAGAAAATGTAGAAAGCAGGTCATCATTTTGCCAAATGAAACAAAAATTTTGGAGTATTTTGGCATAACTAAGTGCTCCTTAGAGCAGTATTTCCACTATTAACAGAGACTACAGCCATACAATGTTTTGTTTATAACATGTCGTGAATCTCTTTATTAAATCTTCATCTCCTTGATGATCTGTACCTTACCTTAATTGTCTTGTCAGATGACCCACTAAAGAGCCATTCACCATGTGTACATAAAGTCCAAACAGGACCCTGAAAAAGAATACAAAGTGCTCACAGTGAAAGCTTCATTCACAGTTTAAAATATGATCATGTTGGTAAATTATCATTTTATGACCAAACCCCCTTATAAGGAACGAAGAAAGGACCCAATAACCTTCACCATCCCCAAAATCCCAGTTTGCAGTTCTCTTGTTACCTGTGAGAACCAGTTCATTAAAAAATAACTAATTTCGTTGAATGATTTTTTCATGAACTGGTTCTGGTGGGAGGGGCAGGGGGTGAGGGGGGGAGGGGGGAAAAGTGGGTTAAAAATCCACCAATAGTTGTGTCACTTGCAATATACTGCTTCACACCTCAGTTCCTAGTAGCTTAGATTTCTAACACATTCCACTCTAAGGAAAGTTTTCAAGAGCATGCAAGCTTTACCTGATGGCCAACAAAAGTTCCTTTACACTTAAACAATGGTTGGATATCAAATGCTGAAAGAAAACAAATACATCTAAATCAGTAATCTTGGTATTATCCTTTTCAAGTTCCTGGAAAAAAAATAAAAGTCTATCAAAAAGAGACCTTCAGTCTAAAGTTTATTTCAACAAACCAGACATGACTACTTACTTCCCACACCCCAGAGCCTTGCCTCTACGTTGGCCAAATCAGTCTGTATTTTACAATAATAATAAGAAAAACAATTCATCAAAATAGAGAAACCAAAGAAAACTTTTATTATGTCAGTAGTGATCCTTATTTGCACATGGTTAAAATATATCATAAGTACAATAAATTCTAGCAATTGACAATAAAGATAAAGGACAAAATAGTGGCATAACTTTCACCAGCCATCATCTACATGTATGTACCTGTATCTGGGAAACACTTTGTCTTGAATCCAGTAGGTCTGACGACAACTTTGTTTGGCTCTCATCTAGAAGATCTGGAGTAATAACAGTAACAACACCACAAGGATAAATTAAACAACATCATCTCTTCAACCTAAACACAAAGCTAGGATTTTTCATGTACCTATTCTGATGTCAACAGTTTTTTCCATCCTGTCAACTCGCTCTGTCAGCTTCAGTATCATTGCCTTCAGAAAAACAATTTCCTGAAAAAAATTACACCAAATAGAAATAATTTAATGGTCACCCAAAGCACAGATATTGCTTGTGTGAGACCTGAATGAACATGAAGTACATGCTAAATTTACGATAATTTTACTTTAAAAAGATCTGAAATGAAAAAGTCCTATTCATATTTGCCTTTGTTTCAGATGTGTTGTCATTGACCATAATGTTAAAATAATATGAAAAACAATTCACTAAACTAGAAAGTCTAAAAAATTAAGCAAGAAATACAAGTGACAATAAATCAAATTTCATTATACCTGGTCTTTATCTTTCAACATTGTTTTAAGTTCTTCCATTCTCTTGTCGGTATGTTGCAGGAATTCCTGACATAATTGTTAAAAATAAAAAAATGCCATTCACCATACAAAGGTTTTCAAAAACTAAAACCCATGGTGCACCACAAAAAAATTGAGTCAGTACCTTGACAGCTTCAAACTTGCACGTCTCAAGATGAAGTCTGACTTCTTTGTGATTGCCTTCCATGTGGCAGCTAAAAACAGGTGGTTGAAAATAATTAGACTAAAATTAAAAAGAAAATATCTCAAATTGCTAAATTGAAGGGAAACTTAAATATAAACTAAAGCTAAAAAACCCTCTCAAAGGATCTCATTTATCTAATAATTCTCCTTACTGTCTGCTATACAATTCTTGTGATTTTAGTTCTGAGAATTTGGTATTGGATCAACTAATATTCACCTAATGGCTATTTATCTTTATTCTCATCACTTGTCTACTTGTGCACCATTTGAATATTACACATTGTGGATTGCATAGCATATTGGTTAATATGATATTATTTACCCATATTTTTGGTGTGGACATTTCATGTGTTCACAGACTTGTAAATGATCCTCAAGATCCTGATGAAAGTTCAAAAAATGGCACCATTCAGTGGTTTTCATTCAAAAACTAAGTAGCACAATACCCTTATGCAAGTGATTTAATGTACCAGGCTGGGAAAGTCATTTATGAAATTTAAGCCCCTTCAAACAAAATAAATGCCAGTTACCAGCAGTCAATTGCTGCCTGTAAGACTTCTAATCATTGTCTGTTAAGCCTGAGTTCAGGCCTTGCATTGGTGTTTGGCCTTATGGCACAGCTGGCTATCCCACCTTTGGCAGCCACATACAGAAAAAATTATTAACACCCGTCCCCAAGTGTAAAATATAGAATTATCTGATTCACTTTATTTTCAGGTTTTTGTCACTTACCATCTTTAGTAGAGTAGGACAATGCAAACTGTTTGGACACTGAGTGGGAGCATACTGACAATTTCTCTCATGCTCACTGCAACACAAAATGTATTCAGCATCATTTTTATTGTGTTAACACTCAAATCCTTGAAAGTGATTGCATCTTATCTCTCCTTTCAATATCACCCCTGAATCAAACAATAAGGTCATGGGAATAAAGGAAATGATAATCAACTGAAGAACCTCTTAATTGTTAACCCTTTAACTCCCAGAAGTGATTAACATAAAACTTCTCCCTACAATATCCATACATTCTTCAGCAAACAAGTAATGAGAATATTCAAACTTATCATAGAGAAGCTGCTATCTTGATTTAGCACCAAGTTCTCATACCTAATTTACAAGGAAATGTGTAGCAGCTACAGGGGAGAATTAACAATCAGATCTTGGGAGTTTAAAAGGGTTAAACAAATTCTCCTTGCCAATACAGTAGGAAATGTATAGAGAACAGTATGGAGAATATGCATACTGATGTTATGGTGTAAAGGGTTAAAGAAAAAGCTGTGCAAGTAGGAAAAGAGTTCCTCATGCCTTACCATCACGAATAAACTATTTACTTCTTCCTTGCTACTACAACTTTGTTTATCATAACACAACCATGACTTACTGCCTATTGGAGAGCTTGAAAGTCACAGGGCACCCACTTGGATTCACTTCATAATCAGTCAGGGATCCTGTGGAACTTAGTTTACAGCCATATTTACAATGGATGTATAGTTCACCAATCTGTTCTGACACCTGAAATATAATTTTAGAAATCAAACATCAGTCGATGAATTCTCAATACACAATGAGAAAAACAGTACCACATTATAAGTACTAAAAAGTGGTGACAAAAGTATTGAATAATAGCTGCATAGTGGCTTTACTGAAGAAAGGGAATACTTCTTTCTAAAAGAGTCTGAAACTGAGGGTCCTGAAGAGATTACTAACTTGTTTATGAGCAAATATTTCCAATATAGGGATACATGTTGTTTCGAAACACTGAGAACATGTTGGTTTCACATTAACCGTTTGAACCCTTGGAGTGACTAATATCTCATTTCTCCTCACAATATCTCCCCTGAGTCAAACATTACAGTCACAAGAATAAAGGAAGTGATCACCAACAAAAGAAGCTCTTGCTTGTTGAACAAATTCTCCTTGTCAGCGTATTAGGAAATTTATAGAGAACAGTATGGTGAATATACATACTGATGTTATGGTGTAAAGGGTTAATAATTTAATAAAGTGGTAAAATAAATAAAAAAATTTAAACAAAATATTCTCTGGTGATATAAGTGATGATAATAATCAAAATTTTCATTTGATATACAGTATGCATGTTCTCTTCCTCACGAAAATATCACTGATAATAGTTCTATACTTAAATATCACAAATATTTTATCTTTTATACTCACTGCAAGGTTGACGACTACTATTGAAAGTTTGTTGTCATCAACAGGGCATTTTTCACATGATCGTGAAAGAACGCAAGTTCGACAAAATGTGTGCTGAAAAAAAGAAAAGGACACAATAAAGATACAACTTAAAAGAAACCTCTAAATCAATAACCTTGACAACCAAAATATTTTATTCTGATACATTATTGAGCTATGATTCTTGTGAAGCTTGAACTGTAAATTTGACAACCAGCCTATGTTCATTATGTAAATTAGTTCATGGGCTTGTGATAAGAATGAACTTTAAGATATTTTATCTCACAAAGATGTACATTATTCCTGAATTAATTCAAACATCCTTGACTTGTACAGAGCTGAATTGATTTGTGTCCATTCCCCTTAAAATCGTAACCACACTAACATCAACATCTTTGATTTCAAGATACAAATATTAAAAAAAGTACCTGTCTGTATCACTTAATAAACTACATTAACATCACACTTCTAGCAAAAGCAGTTTATGTTAATGGTGTAAGGTAGTCCCTCACAGTTTCGTGAAAACTTCGTTTGAAAATAGGGTTTCACAACAGTAAAAATCTAAGACAGCTGCCATATATTTATGCAAAGAATAGTCAGCATTCTCTACCCAAAATAATGCCTACTCTGCAGGCGAACATCATAACAGTGTTAAAGTCACATAGACACAAACCTTATCGATTCTTCTTTATACAAGGATTATACACCCTAATCATTACTTAACCCTTCTTCTCCCAGGAGTGACCAAAAATGTCAATTCTCCTTACTTAATCAATACATTTTTCAGCACAAATGTTATGAGAAGAGGAAAAATTACAAACATGGGGACACTGTCTGACTTATTTAGACTGTAGATCTTTGAAAAGAAATTAGTATGTATAGTACACAGTGTGGAGAACTGAAGAATGGATCTTGGGGATGCAAGAAATAAAAAAAACATGGTTAAACCTTTGAATATAGCCTGATCTTACCCCACATGAAGTAATGACAGGATCTTTAAATACACGTTGGCACAGGATACAGAACAGTTTTGATGATGGCTCCTCCACAAACAAAACGACTGCCTATAACATACAGAAAATAGTACAGTGTACTTATAGCAAATTAAGTTACTAATACTGTGGTGAATCTGATTCAAAAGAAATTGGTACTTTTCCATCATCCACATCCACATCATTGCCTAAATATGATTTTCCATAGTTCCATACACTTAAATGCAATACTGTAAACACAAAACTCCTCAGTTTTTTTTGGTTCTGCTTGAAATTGAATCAGAATTCTTGTTTATAAACAATTATTGTTATCACTCAAATTATTCAGTAATACTATTTTCCACCATTTTACATACTGCAATGGAAAAGTAAGAAACAAACCTCTTCGTCATCTTCTGTACAACTTGAAATGGAATGATGGGAACGAGCAGATATAGTTGAGGATGTCCTGTGATGGCGTTTGAAGCAGACGGCATCAAAACTTCCCTAAAAACAAGAAATCTGTGATTAACATACTGCTACAGTTAGGTGGAAATTCTTAAGGAACCCAGAGTAGGGCTCCAACAATATTTGTCCCCAGTGGTAGACTATCCATCAGGCCACAAAGGCCTGAAACTGAATATTTATGAATAGTACCTGATCTGAGCCAACCACACCATTAATGTCTCCATCTCGTCCTAAACTTGTGCTGTTACTTGAGGCTACACATGTCATACTAGCAGAATTCCTGTTGAAGCTACCATCATGTTCATTTTCAACTAAATAAATAACAAAAATGTCATTCATTTGCTCAGTTTACGAAAATAAATTCATTTATAGTTTAGCCCTTTTACTTTGTGAAACTTTCCCAACCTTTTTAAAACACTGTTACACCACAAGTTAAGATACATGAAGGAAATATTTTCTCATCAATACTGGATAACAACACCATATTCTCAGAACAAGCTAAAGAATGGCAGGAAAAATGTATTGCACAAATTGAGTGAGTTAACTTCCAGATCCTTGGGATGCAAGGGTAAGAAGGTAAAAATTTGAAGAGGACAGACACCATGGTAAGGATAAATTGTCAGTGGTACAATTTTAAGCTTGATTCAATGTTTCAGTTTTGTTAGAGTTTGTTGTGCTTGATGACATCACCAGTTTTATGGCATTGGAAGTAAAAGTAAAACAAAACAAACTCAAGATAGAATTGTTCCACTGACAATATATAAAGATCAATAAAGGGAAAAGCTGATTCAAAGATATGTTGAAAATAAAAACACTCTTCAACACTTACACTGTAGTATTTTGCATTATGAAAAACAGTTTTGATTGTAAGTAATAAAAATTAGAGAAGCCTTCACGTCTAAGAGTACACATAAGGAAGACTTTTTCCTGTTTCTCTTTTAATGCTGTTGTAGCCATTACTCAATCATAGCTACAGAATTTTTTTTTCATTCAATTCTTCCTTACAACAAAAGAAAATGATTATACATGAAGCCACTGACTGATCCTTAGGGAATTTTTAAGATTATCTCAACTACCTTTTCTGGGACATAGTGTTATAGAAATAGTTAGTTTTATCAAACAAGAATTTTCCAAAAAGCTCTAAGTTGATAAATAAGAGATAATTCATAATTGAGGTGATCCACTTTTGATCCCCAATTCCTGTGGTATTTGAAAAATTTCCTTTTCTGCTCAAGAAGCTGAAGGCAGAGCAAAGACACTCACACCAACATTTTCTTTTTATTATTTTCATCATTTTTGATCATGGAACATTACCTCTTGTTATAGTTGTCACAGGAGAAAAAGCAGATGTTCCAAATGTGGTTTCCATTCGTGCCTATAGGAAAAATGTGTCACAATTTTAATTGAACTGTTGGGAGCCATCTTCTAAAAGACCTAAAGAATCAATTATCATTGGATGTGAGTCCTGTAATTAATAAATTGTCACCTGAAGTGCAAAATGAGGGGACTAGAACAAATTTTTCTTTCTAGAATATCCACATATTAGAGGAAAATCATAACAATGTTTTTTTTGGCAAAAATTTTTTGGAAGGTCTTCAATCTTGTAAGACAGAACTGCTTAATATGATGCTAGCGATCAAGTTTGTGAAAAGGAAATGCAAATGAGATAGTTTACTTTAAAGAGAGTGTGTTTTGACAATGGAATTGCATTGTTTAGCTGTTTGATATTCTGATGGTTTACTGCAGTTTGCATAAAAGCAAATCAAAAAGGGAATAAACCATGCTCACTAACCCAAGCATAAATTTGACCTCATTCAGTGTGACCAAACTGTCTACTGACGACCAATATGGATACATAATTTGCTAACCTAAACTTAGACACGTTGAGAATTTAATTATGTTTAGCCAATGGCATATTCAACCCCTGGGCTTATTCATTATATGGAAAAAAGGAATGATTGATGTTAAAAGCTATGCAAGGAAATACCACTCACACACAGAGTTTTTGATTCTTGAATTCAAATCAAGGACATTATGGTGTTTCTCGATGTAATATAATTGGATCCAGATGCAAACATAAAAATATAGTTAATTTTCATACATTGATCTCAGCTTGTACACACTCTAATTTTAAGTCGTACATCTAAACTTAGGTATTCTATTCATTGCACAAAAGAAGGGAAAAGAAAGTTGTGCTTAAATGAAACAAAACATAAATAATGTAGACACCGTACGTGCCGGCATATTAAATTACTTTCGAAGATCGAGTGATCGCGGAAAACTTGAATGTTTATTTTGGACTACGTTACGAAATAAACTCCACAGGAAGGCTTAGAACTGAATTCACAGAAAATTAAAAATGTTTGGAAATCTAATTCTTAATACACCACAATAAACACTGGACCAACACGGGAGAATAAACCTAATTTTAAGTCTATATACATGAAGGTGATCACACAGGGTAAAAACATCTGCCTTCGATAGAGTCAAAGTAAAGTGCGCGTTTTTACTGCATCTCAGTTTGTTATTGAGCTCTCAAACAATTTCTTAAGGAAAACAAATTGTATATGCAACAGTTTTTCTTAATCATCGACTCTAGTTACCTTGGTGTTAATGGATTCGTAAGATCGCGATCTTACACACTCCGATTGCATATTCCCAATGATCCCGGACATTTTTCGGAATGACAAACCACACGGCCACCAAACTCACGCGAATGATCAACTATCTTGCAGGCCGACTTGATGGAGGATATGCTTACTAAACCATCCTGATGGCAATGATGGTTGTTCTTGAAAGGTTTCGAGAGGCTCCAGCAGATATGTTTCATATGAGAACCACAACAATATCTGGCGTCTGTGTTCCTTCAACACAGAGCTTGTACTCCAGACGAGAGACTTCCTATACCCAGGTCCTCTGCAACAGCTGCGCGCGCATCGTTCGAAGACAATTTGGCGCCAAATATAGCGCCTGATTTCGCAATTCCGCCGATATTCCAGAAGGTGGCTGCGAACGGGTCGCTCCACGCTCCTCCAACGTAAGAAGTGTTTGTGAGGGTTTTTATGGTATGAACGACGATTGACGCATATGAACTCATAAGAATAGTTTAAGCGGTGAACTTCGGCAGTGACAGAGAAAATAAGGGGGCGCATTCCTCCCGCGCTTCCAACCCACTCAATGCTTTGCGCCTATCACAGAGGCTGAGGTATAAGCATTCTCTCCTCTCCTACCCCCCCTCCCCACCTTACCGCCAAGGCATTGATTCACCATAGTTTTGTTTGTATGATCAGATAAAAAAGAATTCACATCAGACACCCCTACACGATCATCATGTATAGATTTTTTATTTTTCACATTGTGACATTGTTTGGTGTAGTAGAGTTGGATAATAACAAACATCAATTTACGACGATGAAAAAAATAGTAATATTACCTTACTTCTGCACGTACGATACCAATTTAAATTTAACCGGGCTGACGTCAGACAGACACCGACAAGTCACAGAATTTGATTAAATTTACATTAAAACTGTGTTATGTACAATGGCGCTGTCAATATATTTACATACAAAGCTAAAGCGATTTTTCGTCTTGTCTAGCTCCTTCAATTTTCGTTCGTATTCCACTGCAGTCCATTGTCAGTTCAGCATGATCCATCTTCAGACGATCAATTTTCGCTCGTAGATCATCGCTCTGCAAAGTAAAGGAGGAGTTTAAAAGTCCGTATTTTCGTCACAAAACTCGGGTCAATACTTCCTAAAGTATTAAACCGAAATCAATCCGCATTTCTTTTTTTTTTGAAGGAGGATCGAAATATTCTTTTAAGCCTTTCGTGATTTTGATGTATGCTTATTCGTTTGCTCGCTTTAACTTGCGTCAACTTGGACACTTCTCGCGTTCACTAAGGCGCTTCTCGCGTCAACCCACTCTTGCCAAAGTAGTAACGAGTTTCAGGACGCCATTGGAAATCTTTGGAATCAATTGAACATCGACTCTTTAACGGCAAGTCCTGTCATTCTCTTTGCCCCTTTCATAAAAAATTTCCATAATCTCTGGAATCAAATTAAAAAATACCGTTTGGTAAAAATGCTTTACAACTGTTCACTGGCGTACATGTACTCTGAAAGTAGTTGCACCTGTTCTTTCCGTTGCTCGTAGTCTCTGAGCAGCGGCTCGTTTCCAAGAAGTCCACACTTTTGTCTAAGCTTGACATTTTCTATTCTCAGTGCATCCCTGACTTGTTTTGTTCTTGTTAATATATCTCTTTTCTGTAAAAAGAAAGGAAAAAAGAACGCAAAGGATGATAAGATTGGTGACAGAAATTTACAAATAATATCAACTGTTTTGCGCCTCAGTCGTTTCATATACAATTTTTAGCACGAAGAACACATTCTACGAAAATTCATGATCGCACTCATCGCAAGTGGCTTAACTACTCGAACTTATTTCGTTTTCTGTAGCTTGAGAAATCAGTGTACAAGAACATTACACGATAGCCCGGCCAGCCCCAAGCGTCAACCATTTGTCCACCGGCTCTGCTATGCTGTAAATTAATTAAACTCAAGTCATAACGAACCTGTGCAGCGTGTGCTTCGACTGATCTAAGAATGTTTCTTTGGTCACTGTTCTCTGCCTGTACAAACTGCAACTTTTCCTTCAGATGCGTTAGGACTTGCACTGTAGTTGTGATCTTCTTGCGAAGTTTCAAAAGCTCCTACAACAAAAAAGGCAAGTTTTCCGTTAGGTAAAAACTTCGTGAGGTAATATATATGGTTCCTAGCTGTACATTTCCAAGTGTCCTTGTGTTTTGAGGCATGGTGGACCTGCCATACATGCATGACGTGTATTTCGTTGGATGCCCGCCAAAAGAGGATATTTCATGTTTCAGCTCATTCCCAATGAAAAAGTATCGGTATTACGTAAATACCAGATTTAAGGTCCTCTCTAGTTTTCCGTATATGCAGAGGAATATGTTACTACTACAAAGGGTTCGATAGAGTTGCAACCGAGACTTAGTAATTATTGTTGGTTTGTTTTTATATGAGCTTCGTAATAAATTAACACACAAAAAAAAGCGCGAATGGCCCAAGTAAATTTGTGTGAAGATACAACTGTTGCGACCAACTAGGATCAAACCAATGACTTACAATTGATAAGGGCAACAAGTGTTAAAATACTGCTAACAGCGTTAAGTTTCCCAAGCATATATCCATCCATTAACTAAAATTCAGTTGGTATTTTGGGCTCGGCTAACCACGTTATTTTCACTCTGAGTGTTGATGTTTTCTTTGATTTCCACCTAAAAAAAATTTGATACTCACCTCATTTCGTTCTTCAATCTTTTCATTATAGGTCTGGTTTTCAATCTTGAGCTGCTCAAAGTCAATTAAGTGCAATCCTTCCGCTAGCTCCTCCTAAAAGCCACAAAAATGAACTCAAATAAGTAGAGCACTTTCTATATACAACCCGTTGGATTAAAAATCTGAAGTAAACCTATCCAAAATGTTCTCACGATATGTTGCTGAGCACGATATCACATCGAAAAAGGAAGCAAGGGTCTAACGATTTTGCAGCCTCGAAAATGACATAGGAAGTTTTAAATAATGTATCAGATGAATGCGTAAAACACAAGTAACTTTGACATCACTATTTTGTATGACGGCTTTGTTTTGCGTTTCTCGAAGTCCAGTAAAAAGTGAAAGGAAAGTTCAAACGGAAAGAAAAGAAATCAATTGGAAATCGTATTTTGTTTGTAATTGAGACCAACCTTCGCTTTCAATTGCATCTCTCTCTTTTTCAGCCGGTTTTTCAGCTTTATGTTCTCCAGTCGCACCTATTAAGAAAAAAACACACAAAAAAAAAACACAGGCATAAATAAAGTTACAGACCTTGTAAGCAATGTCCTAAGTACACCTGTTTGAAAAAAAATCAGCACTTGTAAGGGAAAACTTATTAGTTGAAAGTCCATGTTATTACCTGCATAACTTCTTGTTCTTTTTTAAGTTCTAACATCTGGTATTGTTCAAGATCCTGTCAAAGAAAAAGCCAGGGAAAAAATCAAGGACGCTGAACAGTTATTATACAGATACATTCTCTGCAGTTACTAAACTGTTAAGGACTGAAAGCACTTCGTGGAACACTTGAGTTCTGATATTTGCGGTCTAATTTTTAGGAATTACCACTCTCAACTTACATTTTATTATCCTTCAGTAGATAAATGGTGCTAAACCAAAGTTAACTCACTTAGGACAAGTGCAATTATAGTCCTTTCTCTGACAGGCTTAATCCAAGTTCGCATCGAAACGCAACTGCAATTCTTCCAATACAGTTTCTTCACGACATACCCCGCTCTCCAACTCTTTGGCATGCCAAGATGATGTGACAGTCTCTCGTTTAGTGTAAATCCCACGAAAACATAATTTATCTCTACAACAGATATACACCGATAACGATGACCAATGCTCCTGTTATCTTTTTTTCCCCTTTTTTTCCCTATCATCGGACTGTTTATCATTATTTCCTTACCTTGGGAGGAATTGGTTTTCCAGATCGACTGTTGATTGCTTGTTTTGCAACATCACTCTTAAACATCATAAAGTTGTCACTGAAAGAGAATTCAGTTTGTTGACGATTTTTGTCTCATGTTGTTATTCCACCTACATTTGAACCAACTCAATTGTATCGTGACGAATCCAATAGCGAACGGAGGGTGACAACATTCTGTGTCAGAAAACCAGCATTCAATTGGAAAATTCAAATTATACAAGAACTAATGTCTATTTCAAAGAGGTTTGCCTTTGATATACCTGGCTTGGTTCACAATTTCTTGCCTCTCCAGGCATTTTGCTTTTAAATCTTCAATCTGATCCTCATAATTTTTGGTTTCTCGTCTTTCTTCATTTTGGAGTTCTTCAAGATTTGCTGAAAAAAAAAAAAGTTATCAAATTATTACCATCAAAACTGTGATTAAGCTGTGTTAAAAAAAAATGCTTAAGGAAGGACTCTTTCAAGATAAGTGACAAGGTTACAAGTTTTATACCACACAAAAGACCACCAATCTAAGTTTCACAGTCTGAATAAATCCAGCATGAAATAAAATCATTTTCAAGATTACAGCATTTTGTGCTTCTGACTAACACATATATTTGAGGTATCTTTGTTCCTGATCTGTCACATTCTTTTCTATCTCCTGCTGTCGCTCATCACTCTAAAGATAAAAAAAAAATTCAAAATAATTTCAAGGGGGATAAAATTTTTTCTGGAAACACAGAAACCAAATATTATATTGCCATAGCCAAATATTAGATTATTGATTCAAGGCAACATATCTTAAAATATGTTTCCCATTACATACCTTTTTCTTTTTGAAATATTCAGCCAGCTTGTGTTGAAGCTGGGCATTCAATGATTGCAAAGCAGATCTTTCCTCCAATGCTTGCTGCAAAAATATAGTAACAGACAAAAATAACTTATAAAGAATTGAGGAAATGTCATCTCTCACATATATCACATTAGGCAGTGTGTAAAAACTAATGAAAGAGCAAACATGTAAGGAAAGTCTAAGCACAACAGTATATTACCTGGTAACGTTCAATAAGTTCTGCTCTGTTGTAGATAGGAATCTCTGGTTCAGAATCGTCATCATACTCCATCTCATCATATTGCATGGCATCTGACAGACAAATGCATAAGTGTGCATAATTTTCCAACTGTGAGGTTCAATATTAATCATGTTTATCAGTGTTTTTTATCAGACTGAGACAAAGTTGAGGCCCATAACATCCCATAAAGGAAGAAAGCAAAATTTTCAGCTATCTGACCAAACAAGCTTAATCAAACAATTCACTAGACTACCCATAAACATCACTGGTACACAAGAGTTTTGAGTTGAAAAGAAAAAAGTAGGCCCATTGCTCGTGCACCAGTATAGTAACCGGCCATTCAATTTAAGAACTTAATGCCCTTTGAATAAATACAAAAACTCAAGTTTATGAGCATTGAAATCAGTTATCACCTGACTCAATATATGTATCCATCTGTTCCATGTCAGTTGTTGGTTCTGGAGACTGCGGCACTGGAGGAGGAGGGGTTGAAAAAGCATCAGGCTCCTCCTTACCATTTTCCTCCATGATTGTCCTCTGTCCAGTGGGTGTTCCCTCTCTAGACAGTGGCTGAGCTACCTCCACAGTAGGACCGTCATCAGTCTCTGGAATGCCTTCATTCTGAAAAACAAATTTAGTTATATGATTAGATAAGTTAGAAAAAAGGTAGAAAAGTTAGAAAAAAAGAAATTTTAAAAAAATTGTTCAAAATGAGTGGAATAATCTGTAACTTACCTCTGGTAATGGAGCATTTTCATCCTGTTCTTCCTCAAACTTCTGGCAACAACAACAAAGAAAATTAAGGGGTCAGTTGTGAGAAATCTTCAAGGACCCCCCTTCCCCCCCCCCCACACAGTCACACTCATCTTTTTATCAAATTATTGGATATGAGTATCATAAAATTCTAATTACTTAAGAAATAGATAAAGATTTTCCTTCAATGAGATAAAATAAAAGGAAAGTGTGTACAAACTCATACATTTTCAGACAAAGAGGAAATGCCTTCTCTCAGTGTCACTGCACTCACTTACTTCAAGCTCAATATGATCCTGTCTCTCCTCAATTTGACTTGGATTTTCTATCACATCTTCTTTTTCTTTGCTTTCCCCTTCCTCTTGCACCTGATTTGTCTCATCTGCTGCTGCAGCATCAGCTGAAGTCTCCTCTGCACTGCCTCCCTCCTGTGGTAACTCATCAGCCGGTTGTGAGGGTGCCTCTCCAGCTACAGTGTCTCCTGAGGGAGGGTTCTCTGGTTCATTATCTGTATCTTTGGTTTCTGTAACTTCACCTTGAGAACTGAGAATGTCTTCTGTAGCCGGAGCATTTTCCTGAATTTATTACAAGAGAAGATGATAAGTAAGAAATGAACAAAATAATCACCTGTAAGTTTTTAACAAAAGATGGTGATTTTTCAAGTTATTTATCAAAGGTTATAATGAAGAAAAATTTTTAAGAAGAAATAATTTTCAGTAAGACATCTACAACCCACTAACCTTCACATAACTTACAAGTACATTGTGCAAGTGGATGGAGTAAAGAATTTGCCTCAATCAAACTTAAAAGAAACTTACCCCCTTTATTGACACTAATTTAAAGGGGGTAAGTTTCTAAAGATCAGAAACTGCGATGCTGGAAGAGTATAACAGGGTAACTTTGTATTATCAACTGCGTTGATAACGTAAATTAGCCACCATTAAGAGTTTCAAAACTGACGTTTCGAGCGTTAGCCCTTCGTCAGAGTGAATGAAAGCCAGGATTTATCTTGTGTTGACACTAGTGTACTATCAGAAAACACCAAAGTTAATTAGAACATTATCCTTCATTTAAAATCGGTGCTTACATTTTAGGGTTTTTCCAAAATCCTATTTTAAATGCATACAGATTACTTGAGGAACAACAGGTTATCTTCTAATAATATGAACAAAAAGTGAAAATTTAATGCAAAATGATAAACAAATTAACGAGAAATGACTCGTATCGATTTTAATTTAAAATCTCGACCCTTCTAACTACGGCTGTAGCATCTTAGCTAGCGTATTTTTATCCTGCTTCACACTGACTATTGAAATAACAGATATACGCGAATAAATGCCTTTCAAAATTTAAAAAGGTCACGCTTGTATGCTCGGAGAAGAGAATATGAACAAAATCCAGTGAGAGGAAGAAAGGATTTTCATCTTTAAAGCGCTTTCAACAGCGGTTAAAATTTTGTCTTAGAAGAACTCACACGGATTTTGTTTATTTATAATCCAAAAATTGTGCTACTTCTTAAAATCAAAAGTAATTATCGCGATAAAGATACTCACTAGGGTAACTTGCTCTTGATCCGCCATATTTTTCTTGTACGCTTGCTGGCGCACTGCTTAGCAACGATATAAACTCATAACCACTCCCTCTCAGTGAGCGCGGCTCGGGAGGACTGGAAAGTAGCTCGTTTAAACGATGGCAGGGCGCGAATTTTGTAAAACTTTTGGCGCGCTGCTCTCATCAACAAAAGCTTCATCAACGATACTGTGCAGAGCACAAGCGACAAAAACTTTCAAAATGTCTCTGGTGACAATTCCAGGCATGGATGTTCACAGCGTTGTGAATTTAAGAGGTCAAATTCAGGTGATGTAATGTTCAAGATGGCGTTTTAAAGCTATAATTTGCGTTCATTGAAATTTACAAGGTAATGAGAGCTCATTCTTTGTGTTTTGTCTCTTCATCTTGCAGGTCATCTTTGGGCCAATGTTTTCGGGAAAAACGTAAGTATAAATCTATCGCTTTCACCGAAAAATGCTTTATTGTGGCCGTAAACTCAAGGTATATGTGCGGTCACACTTTTGCACGTGTTTATGCTATGACCTGAATGGTTCGTCTTTTAGAACTGAGTTAGTCAGACGAATCAAGCGATACCAAGTAGCAAACCATCCGTGTATGGTGATCAAATACGAGAAGGACAACCGCTATGACACAGACGGTGTAGCAACACACGATAGGTAAGATCCCTATTCAATCAAACAGAGAGAGGTTGAATTATGAGACATTCTAACGGAGGCGCCACTTGATTATGGAAACCTACAGTTTACCTGGATGCCATTGGAATATTCTTAGCGGACACGTAACAAGTGTGACAAGTAGTGTAACAAGTGCGTTCACCTAGCTAAAAGGCGCACAGGAGATTTATCTTCAGCTGGACTTTGACTGCAAATATGCTAATCGCCATCCTCAAGATCACGCGAACTGTGCGTACTCCAACATGAAAGGAATTTTCAGGGAAAAGGAAGGTGTTGCATAAGCTCTCAATTAATTAATTGATAATTTGCGAAGAGATCCTTTGTTTTCGGCTTTTCAAAGTAAAAATGTATCTGTAGGAATTTCAAAGTGGAGAAAAAGCTAGTGGGTAGGGTGCGGTTCTTTTTTTTTTTTTTTTTTTTTTTTTTTGTGAGCTAAGCAGGGTAAAATCCACTCTGATAATGAAAAAATATGTATTGTGTATTTTTCAGGCAAAGCCTCAGAGCCTCTGCTTGTTCAGTGTTAGCAGATATCAAGGAAAAAGCTATAGATTATTCTGTTTTGGGAATTGATGAAGGACAATTTGTAAGTCTTGCATTTATCATTTTTCAAAGATTGTCTGCTCCATGCAGGTAAACAATGTTAATCTTTTCGTGAATTTGAAACCATTATTAACTGTTATTCATATCCTTTCCATAGTTTCCAGACATTGTAGAGTTCTCAGAAGAAATGGCCTCTCTTGGTAAAACTGTTATAGTTGCTGCATTAGATGGAACCTTTCAAAGGAAGGTTAGGAATATATTTATATGCAATGAACCCTTCAGCACTTTAGAGTATCATGTTTAAATCAAACATTTGTGTCATAAATAAAGGAGATGAGGCTCTAGATTGATAAACAACAGTTAATTACACCCTCTTACTTCATGAATGATACACAGATATAGGGATAAACTTTGTTCGTTGTGATTATCATCACAAGTTTATAGGATCTTGTAAATAACTTAAAAAGAAACATTTGTTCAATCTGAACAGGCTTTTGGAGCTGTGCTGCAACTTGTTCCTCTTGCAGAAAGTGTTGTCAAACTTAATGCAGTCTGTATGCATTGCTTCAAAGATGCTGCATTCACCAAAAGACTAGGGGAGGAGACAAAGGTATTAAGTATTGATATTAATAAGCTTGCTCTGGTTTCCATCACATGAAACAAAGAAATAATATTGCTACTTTCCATGGATGGCATGGTAATTTATCACATGTTACATCCTACAGTAGCAGTCTGACAGCTTTTGGTGATGAATGTCCATTACCCTTTCCACCCTATTCCTTGTTGGAGGCTGTGTGTCTTGTGTCTCATACAAAAACAAACCTTTATGACCCCAGAAATTAAACCCAGACCTTGCTATTTTAAGTCAAGTCACTAGTGTGCTGATATTTTAAGTTACCATGTTTCACAGAATTATGGTCAAGTCGCCAACGGTTCAACTTGCCAACGCCAACACCAACTCACCAACATATAAAATCAAGTAGAGATGTAGGTAAGTTGGTCTTCAATCCAGCACAACTTATTAGAAGTTAAACATAAAGAAAAGTAAAAGATCTTTAGTAAAAATACAATTTTTTTCTTTCAAAGTTGATAAGTTTTTAAGGATCTCAAGGCAAATAAAGCAAGGGGAACATCACTAATGACCAAAAAAGCTTTAGACGTAAATGAGCTATAACTTGTTCATGTCTGAAGCTTTTGCAGTCATTGGTGATGTTAACCTTGCTTTATTCGCCATGAGATCCTTATAAACTTTGTTGGAAGGAAAAAAATTGTTTTTTTTTTTTCTAAAGATCTTTTACTTTTCTTTATATTTAACTTCTAATAAGTTGTACTGGATTGAAGACCAACTTGCCAACATTTCTATTTGATTTTATATATTGGCAAGTTGGCATTGGCGAGTTGAACCGTTGGCAATTTGACTGGATACCATTTCACATGATACTTATGAAAAGTGAGCTAAGAAATCATTTTTATATTAATTGTTATTAACTGTTTCTTGAGTAAAAAATAATTTCTTAGTCAACAGAACACATTGTAGCCCACACTTCTAGTGCATTAATAATGTCAGAGGTTTTTAGTTAGCACCTAATTTGTTTTATCCATCAACCTTTGGCAGCTATTTTAAATTGAGTATTGATACAATTATGGTATTGATGTATGTTACAACAGGGGCTTACCTTCCAGAGGGCTTCAAACATTAACCAGACAATTTGGTCTATGATTGCATCCCCAGGTTGAGGTTATAGGGGGAGCGGAGAAATACATGGCTGTTTGTCGTGATTGCTATCAGTTCTCAACTGTCCATCAAGTGTTAGGTGGGGCTCCAATAAGGGGGAGCTTTCATTAATCATAACAACTTATATTGTGTTAAAGCTAATATTTTTTTTACCTATATTCTCATTTGAAGCTTTGAACAATGCACATAATTATAGCAAACTTAAAACAGAAATCGTGGGTTTAACTGCCAAGCAGTGATTTCAGAAGTTTTATAATAATTTTATGGGAAAAGAGAGTAAAACAATTTGTTTTTATGGTCAGTTTGATCATGCTGAGATTTGTCTGCAAGTATTTGTAAATAGCTTTGTTTACATGATCACTGCACACACAAAAGATATTTAAAACATTAAACAAAGACGTACATTATTGCTGAAGGGACAGCATTATGAAGTTTAAGTATAGTTTTGTCTACTACTACATTATCGAAATTTGGTAGCTCTATTTAAGGAGCACTTTCTCCTGGCTGAGTGTGTCTGTGACTTTTCATACATTTTACCCAATTCTTAGGCCACAATTAAATTATCTTTTGTAAAGTCAAAATTTTGTCTTTTGATAAGGTTGCCACAGATATGAAAAATAAAAGAATTTATTGTAATAAGACAGATTGCCATATAATTTCATAAAAGTTTGGGAAGTCTCTGTGCACTTTCATTGAAAGTTTGACATATCATTCAATCACCTTAATAAATTAATGGAAATTCTTTGGATGTCATTGAATTTTAAGAAAAAGAATTTAGATCTCATTTATGACTCCCTTTCTGAGCTGTGTGCTTGTGATTCTTAGCCTCAATGCTTTCTCATTAGTCAGTTTGTAAAGGATTACATGTCCCTGGAGCCATGGAAGGCTTTTCATTAAGTAGTTAGAGACATTTTTACTGGTTGCATGTTAATATTCAATCAAAGTCGCTAAGTTTTATTAATGTCAGGTATCTTTATAATAGATTTTGAATCATTCTCATTTCACAATATGTAAAAACTTTTTTGTAATAAAAGCTACTGAAGTTATTCTTGAAAGTAATCAATTGAAAGGACCTTTAAAGGGAATGGATCCTTTTTTAACAGAGTGCACTTTCAAATTCAACTGGAAAGACAGTGGTATCTAAAAAAATGCAAGTTTCATTCTGTTTCAAAATAAATGTTGAAAAGGTAAAGGAAACCAGCTCTGGAATCAGATGTTTAAATTATTGCCTGTTTTGTTTTTTTCTCAGATACTAATAAAGAGGCTTATCTTACTCAATACCAAGGCCTTATTTATAAAATTAAAATAAATTTTTGGAGTACACTTTTCTATTACATCCTGTAGATGATTGAAAGAGTAACGTGACAATTTCAATGTTATCCAGCAAATAGGTGACAGAACAGACTGTAGAGCAACTTGGAAGGAAAATTACAGGATCAAATGCAAGTCTTCACTGCTAAACTTTAACTCTAAAGATCTAATCGTTAATTCTCCTCTCTAGCCACAACACATTACCTTGCAAATTAGTTACAAGAATTTGATGTTGGATCAAGATAATAAGTTTGAGTATTCTCATTACCGATTTGCTGGATAACATGGATATTGATATACATTCAACTCACTATCTCTTTTCTCATTGGCCAAAAGCATACATTGAATTTTCAAAATCAGCACCCAGGATGTTAACTATCTGCAGGTTATAAAGTAATCATATCGAGGACACTAAAGGTCTCAGGTAATCTTGTCATATGTGATTGCAGTGCACGATTTCTATGGATAATCATGTCAAGTTCGTGCACTTTGTGTTGCTTTCTGATTTGTATATTTTTACACAGTTAGAAATAAATTATCAGTTCCACTTACTGTCTGGCCATTTTTTTTCTGTTTAATATAAAATGAAACAATTATTAGATTCCATTTTTGTGACATTCAGAATCATCAAAGTCTCAGCCTTCATTATTGTGGATCACTAAAACCTCATCCAATAGTTGTTTATAATGGGGAGAAGTTACAAGTTAATCACTTCTGGGAGTTACAGGGTTAAAATCCTTGGTGGGTTAAGAGGGGCAGCTTTGTTCAAATGGCAAGAAAAAAAAAGAACTTCTGCAAACATTCTCACCTTTAAAAGGTTCATTTAATGATCAATTAAGTCATACTTCACAAATAACTCTTCCAAGCAGACGAAGCTTAATAATTTATTATTTGGCCATCAAGGCTTGACAATCCATGGTAGAGAATCTGGTCTAGATTTTGTCAAATAAAACAACTTCGGCCCTAACTTTCCATAAGTTGTAATACCTCATTTCAAATTTACATTATTTTCAACAATAAAAGAAATTGAGGTTTGTTTGAGTACCCAACATTCCAAGAGACTGGGTGGCAAGAGCAGTTGTAGCATTTACAAGAAAACTCATAAAAATCTCTTCTTCATTTTTGAGATAAAAAATCACATCAAGACAAATTTGAACAAGATACTACTACCAGCAACTTTATGTTATACAACAACACTAGGAAACATACTCCACCAGTTAACAAAAAAAAAATTACAAATAACTTTACCTCACAAATTCTATCCAGTGAGAAAGTAGTGAAAAGAGAGACTTTGAAAGAGGAAGGTTACAACAAACAACACAAACTTCACTCAATTTGTTCTGATGGAGATTTAAAGAACCTGGAGGTGAGAATAAATTCTTAATTTAGCTTTTTACTGCCAAATCTACAAAGAGATCATCACCCTTGACTGAAAATTTTCCAGGAGCAATCCTGGCATTTTTAACGCAAGTCCACCCACGATACAAATCTACTATTATTAAAAGAATGATAAATTAAATAGACCTTACAACAATAATCTGAGTGACATTTATGCAAGTGGGTCACTAACAGATAGAGAGGTACCATTATTTGTACAAGGTCACAGTCAGGATCTTAGTGGCCATAAAAGAATTTACTTTAATTTGCAATGTTATAACACAATGAAGTTCATTTTGATGGATGAGTGTTGCCATGACCCCTAATACATATCTACTCTAGTCTTACCTTACAGAACAAATATTTTATGCTGTATTATCATCACACTGAATTTCATAGAGAGAAAGACAAATTGTGAAATAATGCCTTAGTCAATATCTGCTATAGTTGTTGCCCTATTACAGTTCTTTTCCATGGGAAATAAAATTCTTGATTTCAAGGATTTATTGAAAAGGTTTCTAGCAGCCATTGTAAAAATTTGTTAAAAAAAAAAAAAAAAAAAAAGGAGTTAAACATACACTTACAATGACTGTAACTAACACTCATTTTACTTACTTATTTTGGCTTTTCAGGAAATATAAATCATTTCTTTATTTTCATTTTTGAACAACTCTGCTCATTTAGAAAGCAAGAAACATAATTTTGGAATTAATACTTCAGTTGTATTAAAATTCAGTGATTAATTTAGAAAAGCAGAAATAGAGCCCTCAAGAGCAAGAATTACCAACCCTGCAAGCCTGAACTCAGCTATAACATGAATTCTTTGCATGCACCAAAAATTGCTGAATATTGCACCATGGGAAATAGAAAGATTCAATGAAAGCCAAACAGCTACAATTTTGCTAAAATAAAACCTGAAACTGTTTTGGCTTTCTTTACTATCAATTCCGTTAATATATATCTTTTTAATTATGGCAAACTTTGTAGTTCCTGTTAGGCCTTAAATTAATAAGTCCCTTGAAAGCAAAACCCAGTTTGTCATGTATGAAACACTTTCAATGTATTTTAGAACTGCTACATTATAATTACCATTTGACAGGGTAAGAACTAAGCATACTTGTATGAAATGTTTACATTTGACCACAGTTCCCTGATAATTTATAGGAATACCACTATTTTGATCAGCAACAATGCCAAACAAAACATCTTAAAAGTACAGCACAACATGTGATGTAGCTTTGTAGCGTTGTGAGGTAGTCACATCCATTATTCACCCATCTCATCAGATATATACCAATGAACACTTCATCATACAGTGTAGATCCAGCCCACTTAGTAACAAACATCCCATTCTCAACAGAAGAATGGCATCTGTACACATGCACAAATATTGTTCAGTCCTAACTTATTCATTCTGATCTTTAACTTCCCATCCTTTGAGGTGCCCTGAACTCTACGAAATGTCACTAGTTAAATAGAGCATTTGCTTCTCTGCATTGGACACCACTCATTCCAGTACAAATTTTTCATCACCTCAGGTTCCCAAAATTTACCACATGTCAGCCCACATTTGTCCAGTGCCCTGACACTTGGTAGCGTTCATATGCAACCTTTGTAAAACACATTTGAGACCTTTCAAAGTATGAGATCAGGAAAAAAGACTGTTGTTTAAAGAATGCACCTTGTCCTGTCAAGTGTGTGTTGACGTGTCAAACACCTCCCATCTGATGAATTCTGATCAGTTGCAGTGTCTACCACAAATGATTGGTGCTTTAACTACTAACTGTACAAAACAATAACAGCAGTAACTTAGCAGCCTTGATGCTTTGAGAAAGTTAATGTGTGCGAAGGCTAGAGCTTTCCTTGATCGGCAGTCTCCGGCTGGGAGGGGCTACTTTTGTATGCAGCACTTGGCTGAGATAATTTTTGACGCTTTATTTCATGTTCTTCTTCACTGTTGGTCAGTGGTTGACTTGTGCTTAATGGTCGCTTGGCACCATTCATTGCCATTGAAACTGCAGCTGTAGTGGCAGCTGGAGACAACACCCCAAGAGGAGAGGAGTCAGGAGTGAGTGTTCCGGTTGTTACTATGGGAAGTGGCAGAGGGTTAGGAACTTTTGAAATCTGTGGTTTGACTGACATATCCTGAGTGCCAGTTGGAGAGACATTTGTTGGTGTAGGAATGGGAGTAAGCAAGCCACCTAAAACAAAAATTCAATCATGAGAAAAGGTTGCTTTACTCATTATGCTGAATGTATTTTTTGTGGAGTGTAGTTGTTTGCCTTCCCATGTTGTCATTTGTGATGTGGTCTAATTCTATTCTCAACTAGTCACTTTAGGCATATAGCCTGAAGAAGATTAGCAGTATGCAGTCCAAACCTGGCCATCGAAAAGACTTTACTACATCCAGGGATGAATGATTTTATTAATCCACACAAATAGAAACTTAAAAAACACAGAAGCACACTGACACACATTTACCTGCACTGGGAGCAGCTGCTCCTGCTAAAAACTGAAGAGGAATCTGCTGTTGATGTGACAGTTGGTGTGGTTTTTGATCTTGTTGTATTTTTTGAACTTGTTGTTGCGTTGGTTGTTGTATTGGCTTTACTAAAGTAGAAATCATAGGTTTGCTGACAGCTGTTTTTGCGTCTGGTTGAAGAGTATTCTCTACGGGTGACTCATCTCCTGATGACTGAGAAAATCCATTCTTCTCAGACTCAGCTCCATCTCCTTCTTTCACAGCCTCCAAGGAAGACTTGATCACACTGACAGGTAGAGCAGCTCCTGCCATTTGTGCAGCAATTGCTTGTAATGCGGCAGATTGTTTGAGGACTGTTGAAGGTAAGGAAGGCACAGGGGGTGGAAGTCCAGATGCTGGGATGATAGGAGGTGAGGTAGGGGTTGCTTTGGCTTGAGATCCTGCTGCATCAGCTGCCTGGGTCACTGTTTTGGTAGGGGAATTCTCTCGTGGTACATGAGTCACTGGAGCAGGGGGAGCATGAAACTGAAGGCCATGAGTGGGAGATGCTGGGGCTGACCTGAGAGTCAAATGAATAAATCACGAAGCAAAAATTTGTTTTGCATATGCAGCATAACCCAATGTGGAACTTTATTTACACCTAGCACCTGTCAAAGCCTCTGACATCTTCATAACACAATTCTCCCAAGATTTTGTAGAACAGAGCTGAGAAGAAACAGGAGATGGCAGGAAGCAACAAATACATTTCCTCTTTCCATCAAAATTGACAACCATCCCACCCTTCATTTACACTTGCAGGTTCCCCTTCCACACAATTGTACAGTCTATAAACACTATCTCTATCCAGAAGATTTTTAGATTAAATGTTAAAATTTTGTTTTCTGAGCAATATTTGAAGGTTAAGGCACATCAAACATTTTCCCTTTAAATACATACCTGCAAGACAGTTGAGAGAAAGGTGGTCTGAAACATGGTACACCTCTCTGTCGACGTTTGCGGAATGCCTGCTCTGCCAGCTTCTGCTCACATGATGGGTCAATCCGCCAGAAAGAGCCTTTTCCTGGTTCATCCTGAGCACGTGGTACTTTCACAAAGTAGCGGTTTAGGGATAGGTTATGACGAATGGAATTCTGTTGATGATTTCAAGGTGCTAAAAGTTTCTTAAGGGCCTATTTACACGGTACGACTTTGTCGCATGCGACAAGCTTACGACAGGCTTACGACACGAATTGTTTCATGTAAATCAAACCTACAACTCGCTTACGACTCTTAAGTCATGTCGTAGGCCTGTCGTAAGCTTGTCGCACGCGACAAAGTCGTGCCGTGTAAATAGGCCTTAAGAGTCCTCAGCATATTTAAATTACCAGATAATATTCAGCTTTGAAAAAAAAAAAACCCAGCCAAATTGTTGGAGCTTAAGTAAAGAGCTTAGAAAAATTAAAAGTGTAACACCATAAAATTCCTTGGGTTTTCTGCTACTTTTGACCAACTACATGATTTTGACAAAAACTTATCTGATTTTCTTCTAAGAAATGGTTTATAAAAAGGTTCTTTGCATTACAATTTAGCATAAGTTACATTACCAGAACAAAGTGAAAATCAGAAAACACAACCATATGCCTTAAATAGTGAAGCTCTACTCAAATAACAATTGAAAATAATTTATTGTCATGAATGTTTCAGTTTAAAGCAATTGAAGCTGTTATTTATTCTATATTCTTTATTATCTAAAAATTTGAAGCATAAAGTTTACCTGCCAGCCTTTGTCGGCACTGCGATAATATGGGTAATTCTTCGTGATGTGAGTGTAGATACCACTCAAAGTCAGTTGCTTATCAAGCGCAGATAATATTGCTTGCACTATTAACTGAGCATATGAGAAGGGTGGCTTGCCGTCATCTTTACTGCCCGCCTCCCCTCCAGAGGGGTTGGGTTTATCTTCCTCTACGGTAACTTGGACGTCTTGCGCAGCTAACTCTGCTACAGCATGTAAGTTTGGAGCGTAGGCGTGATTGGCATCTCCACGGGGACTGGTAGGACAGGAGTTTGGCACACTGCAAGGAAAAATAATATGGATTATCATGAAGCCTGTGACATAAGGGATTATAAGGGATTATAAGTTGATCCAATACCAAATTATCCAAACTAACATCAGAAGAACTGTATGGCAGACAGTAAGGAGAATTACTAATGAGATCTTGGGAGTTAAAGGGTTAAAAGACATAACTCACAAATCATGTCACAAGGAAGTAATGAGAATTGTCAGAGAGGAGAAGCAACCAAGGTTCATTTTAATACAATGACATAATGGAAAGTGAAATATAATACTTTCTCTCAATTTCACAGTCATCTCATATAAAATGATTTTAATACTCATTGCAAGGTTTAAATGGTAACTGGACATTTTAAACAAAAGACTTTTTGCACAAGTTTTGGACTGTCCACACAATTCTAAGTAGTCATTTCACACAATAATTTTAAGTGAAAAATATCAATATAAAAGGTATACTGATTGATACTGATAAGATATTTCACTGTCACACGTCACTTTCAATAAGATCCAACGACGAGAATGTCAATATTTATTTACGTAATAACTTCAACTAGATCAAAATGCTTATGAACATGATCACTATTCTCACTTGAAGAAAGGAAAGGTTCAAATCTTTCTCTCCATGAATACTGTTGAGTTTTGACAGTACATCATCTACTACAAACATAAACATGATGACCCACGCTAAGGACACTGTGTTAATTCCACAAGTAATTGTCACCAGTCCTCCTTCCTCTGAAGTCAAAGTAAAAACCTGCCAACTGTTTCACTTTTTATTAAAAAGTACTAAAGACCTATTAACAAAATTTTTGCGTAAATATGTAAAATCTAAGTAATGTCAATTATGGAATTTTAATTATAATAATGAATTGATAAATTCAAAGATTTGTTCCTTTTCATTTGTTCTGGTCATAGTTTCTTTAGGATTAAGTTGTAAAACAATGAATAATTTTTTTTTTAATTTAGAAGTGATTTAAACAAGTTAAGTTCACATCAGATTTTTTAAATATTTGACACTTCAAAATTTATTCAGTAAGAAAATGTTTAAACTCATATTAAACTTACTGACAACTTAATTCCACATTTTGGTTATGCTCAAAATGAATGAATCTAGGACTCAATAAAATGCTCTTTTCATTCTTGAAAAAGTGTTTCCTTAATGTATTATTATATTGAACAATTGTTGTTAATTAATAATGTTAGGTCAAACAGATGAAAAACAAAACAACAATCTAGCCACCTTTCACCTTAATCTTTCATTATGATAATAGCAACTGTACAAAACAATACTCTTGGAGAAATTTCCAGACAAATAAATTATAGGGTATTTCAGCATGTCTTAACATTGGAAAACACAAAATTATAAACCAAAAGACACAAAATATCACGCAGCACCCATGCAACCCAATATGGCTGTAGAAAGGGAAACTTTTCTGGGCTAAAGAAAACTTTTGAAAACAATAATTCAATCGTTTTGATTTCTTACAACCTCAAGAGTCACAACTGTAGAAACTTGATACAATATTTGTTTTTCAACAGTTTTTTTTCCCTGGCACCGTACTCATTGCTTAGAAAATGAAAGCTGTAGCTACATGCTAATTTGTTTGTTCTTCCAAAGAAATGTATCTGGCTACATGAGAACAGAAAAGATGCCCATATTTTGCTACAAGTAATATTTTCCACAGATACCATTGATCCATCATTGTTTGAAAGACTTGAGGACAATCATTCACAGTACAACAAGTGTCAAATTCTACAACAATGACGCATTTGCAACATCTGATCATATATTTGTCTAACTTGAACAAAATAGTAAACATCAAAGAAAATTACATCTGCACATTGCTAAAACATCAATGACATCGTCAAGTACAAAAATAGCATATTAGCTGTTTATTTGTCATCTTTAAATTAGTAAACTTTTAACTTCCTTCCAAAACCACATACAAAACAAAAACAAAATAAGCAATATTTTTTCTCCAGCAAGCTGATCAAATATTCTGCTTTGTGCAATAATTTCCTTACAGTTCACTCAACTGTTAAAAATATTCTGTATTAGGAAATTAATTGAGTATGGTTTCAAAACAAACAAACAATACTCTTTGACTTCAACTTTCATTTTATGATCATTTACTGTTATTTAACTGAAAAACAAAGTCAGTTCAAATCAAAATTTTCAAGTCTAATTATTACCGTAGATCTCGTTAAAAAAAGGACTTCATTGATTTTCTAACCAGTTCATCAGTTCTTAAAGAGGAAATCAAACCAGAGAGATCTCAAACGAAAAGCTCCCACATCATTTATTCTATACGCGTGCTATAAGGATAAATTGTACAAAATGTTGATGGTATCTGTACAAATTGTGAACTCGAAACATAAGACTTGAGTAGGTGTTTGCTTTAACAAAATGGAATTGCTTTGTGATGAGAACACGCTGTAATAGTCCCTCGCTTCTAGCTCTGTCATATCTTGCCAGGATGATGCCGTTTCTTTTTTTGTTAACCTCAGTTATAGCAAAAATTAGATAAACTCTAGCATGCGCAGACAAAACATGAAACGGACAATGTGATGTAAGTAACCTCACCGACCGCATGACCGATCAACGGAAATACATTTCCATAGCAAACGCGATTGCGAAATACGTATTGAAATCATTAAACTGAGTGGTTTAACTGCTTCGTTGTCTGTGTGCACAAGGATAAGGTCAAGAACAAGAATCTTGCCTCATGAGTTCAGTAACGACAAATGAAATGTCTCAAGCCCTGGTGAAACGAACGCCAAAGGCAAGAGATTAGGCTCTTACTAAATTTAGAAACTAAAGTAACCAACGCACTTGCAATTTCTACCACAACACGTGCACATGAAAACAAAATCATTCTGTTTTCTTTACCACTTCGCGATCTACGGATAGTTCCCTTACTCAGATAAGAAAATATTCTCTCACGGATCAGGAAGAAAGTTGACCCCAAATCTCCATGTCCGAATGCACGAAATAAACACAGCCTTATTCAACAAATGAGTAAGCTATATTAGCTCTTGTGTCAAATCATTCGTTAACTTTCATAAAACAGTCGCGGAGGGCATCAAGAGATGTAGTGATAAAAGTGAAAACACACGTATGAAAATCGTAAACTAACACAAGCACAAAACAAACTTATCGTGAGTGAATGTGCTACTCTTGTGACCAATGCAGTTTATCGACTGCTGGTAAGGAACACACACACACAGAGTAGCATACAAAGCAACAACTAACTTTAATTGTTCCATACCTTATAGTTCCTGTTGGAGATGGAATAGGAGAGGCGAAGTTAGAATCTGATTGCGGGATGTTTATTCGCAGAGGTGGTAAAACCTTTGTTCTTGGGGGACTCGGTACGCGTTTCGGAGTGTTGTCACCAACGAGCGAGGTGAAACGAACTTTCACATTCGTGGATGGAAATCGCAGCACACAACTGAAAACACAAATTATATCATTTTAACCCAGCTACATTTAAGTACAATATAAAATTATGCCTGTCGACGATACGAAGCGTTAAACGACAAACTGTAAAAGTTTGTATACATACACGTAGGGTAGTTTCAATGGAGGAGCACCTCGTCGATGGAAAACACCGTCAACAAATATTCCGTTCTTCCCATTGCAACTGAGATAGAATTCCTGATTTTCGAATTTTATCTGCAAGTGCTTCCTCGAAACGAAACTGGAATGGCCCATATTGACGTCTACGCTCCCAAGACTGCTGTTTCGTCCGATGATAATCCGACTTTGCCGAACCAAATATTCGAACTCGCGACCTTCAAGTTTAGCTATTGGAGTCACAGTGTTGACACCAGCCCACATTTGCTTCATAGGATTAATAGTGCCTGATTTTAGAGCTAACAGGGCTAAAGCATCGCTTTCCTGATCTCGAGTAGGTGAAGACATCTTCGGCTGACAGCCAGATTCCAAATTGCCTTGCTTTGCACAAGAAAAAGGATCAAAAGCAAAACAACAACATAGCACGAGGGAGCTAGAAACATACGGGATTTCCAGTAACTAAAAAAACCAAACATGGACACTATTACCTTATATGGAAGTTATATGTTCTTGGCACGGGTGGGTCTGTTTTGCTAAGTCATTTCAAGCTGGAAAGCCTGAACTAATCTCTCCAGTTTATTGAACATTTCCTCTATAATTTCGTGATTATAAGATGGTGCATTGCATTTGAGTGTGATATATATTTGGGTGAAGTTTATCACTCGGTGATTTGTTGTAAACGGTTGTTTACAGTGAATCAATGACATCTTCACTTTGGTTTCAGACAGGGGCATTTAAATTTAGAAAGCAAAACAAGAGCAGACGTCATTTTTTAATTAAATTCAATTAACAGGCCGCTACACGAACCGGTCATACAATGTTATAAAAAAAATTCTTAGTCCTTGTCTGAAAGGGAATGGACGAGAACTGTACACAAGAAACAAAGCTACTCTCAGCGGCATGCCTCTAATGTTTTATTGACTCCTAACGCGGATCACATTTCATGCGCAACTCAAACTCATTCTCAAATGCAAATTCATCCTGTCCATATCCATCCGATTGTGAATAATTGCGGTTTCAATGAGGGCTCCAGAGCTAACCACCGACAAATTTTGTTCATGTGTACGTGCAAAGAAAGTACAAAAATTGAAGTAACTCTTTCTGTTCAACCACGCGATGATGTTTAATTCGTTTATCCCGTTCGGTTTTAGGAGCGCAAATGGAGAACAAACACTGAAGGAGGGGACCAGTTCACCAAGCCGTGACTCCATTTTGAGAGAAGGACAAACAACTCGTGGTCTAAATAAGTTCATTTTTTCATGTCCGAACTTCCGGACAATAAAGATGTCTTGAGGTCATTACCACTAGCCAAAACATTTCCGTTATTTTCATTTCAAATATTTGGTGAATCATGAGAACTGTTTTGACTACTCTGGGTCAAAAATACCACACCGAATTAATTTTCAATATGACTTTTTATTTATTTCACAAACAATTCTATCAAGTAAATAGTTTCACTCTTTAAAAGTGGCTCGAGAATCAAGGTGACAAATGTAACACTGAATACAGCAAATTTAGTTAACAATAGAGACCTTGAAATTAATAGTCAAAATTCTTTCACACAATTTTGTGAAACATCTGACGAATTCTGCATGAATACAAAAAATAAGTTACTTTGATATAACAGTTTTACTGAAACAAATCAATAAAAGGAAGGAAAAAAAGTGAAGTAAGCTTATTTGAGGAAGGAGCTAAGAAAAAAACCCACAAAAAATATAAATAAAGATCACTAAGAAACTTTTTTGCAAAAAATGGCTTCAAATTTTGCGTCGTGTAAGTGGAAATATCTACTTCTGCTAAAGGATTGAACAGTTTTCTATCGCCATAGTGCAGTGATAAGAAGAAAGAGACAAAAACTGAATAAGAAACAAACGGAAATCTTAAACAGAAAAGAACCATAGCATTATAAGAAAGTTGGTATCGTTAGTACGCCTTCCACATAACATCCAACTTAGTATCAGGTACAAACAAATCTTTTCATGTGAGCAGAAAAAAAACACAGACCAAAAGTTAAAATCATCAAGTACTTTGAATTAAACACACTTGTTCACGCGCTTAGCAACAAAGCAACCCCTGCTAGTGTCCATTTAGCAGGAGACTCCTTAGTCTTCAAGAAAAAGTTCCACACGTACGTCGGGCCTCGTTGTCGGGTCTTGTACACAGGACACTCATACACGTTCTTAGTTTCTTGTTTATCGACTGGAATGGCCCGGATAAACATCACAGGCATACCAGGCGTTAGCTCTTTCAGTCTTGATTCTGCTATCATACCAGTTTGCGTGTCCCATCGAGCGCCTTCCATAAACAGACCGTGTACATAAGCCCCTTCTCTGGGTGGACTGTTGAAATCTTCCTTGTTTTTCTTGGTGACATCCACCTAATGAAATAAATTAGCATCATTAGTAAATAGTGACATCTTAAATCTAGCGTGGAAGATTAACGACAATACAGATTAACGACAATACAGATTAACAAAATATTTAAGAAAAAATTGCACATCTCGGGGCCTTGAGTATACTGTTTCTTGTTTAGCACGTTTATTGATGTCACTACTTTATAAATTAAGATACACCTCAGTTTTAGAAAAGCATAGGTTTGATCTATAATGTTCTTTTTTCCAGTTACTTGAGAAAAGTAATTTTCAAGAAAGAGTAGTGTCTTTCACGCCATCAATGCTTTGAAAGCCCTTTAAGACACGACTTTACAAAGCGCACTTTTTATTTCGGCATTCAGCGCCACAGTAGGAATGACAAACGAAGAGGACAAAGAGTTTTCCATGGCAGTGGCGATGGAGAGTCCCCTAATTCCACGGCCTTAAGCTTATGTCTTTTATCACACTGAAGACTGCATAACAGTGAGGCCAAACAAATCCAAGGCACAACATGCAATGTATGAAATTCAACGTTAATACAAGTGAAAATATAGAATATTCGGGCATGGTTGGTAAGAGAAAAACTCAGTCAAAGATTTTAAATATTTTAACCCGGTGCATAATTTTACCTGGAGTGCCATCTTGTCCAATGGCCACTCGTTCTTTCGCGCCATGGACTGCTCGATGGCCGTCAGGAAAGACTGAGGATTGAAGAAACCGGACAACCAAACAACATTTGGGAGACAGAAGTCAGATGTCCAGCTTTCTAGCTCTTTAATTCGCAACAGCAGGTCCACAAACCAAGCAGCTAGGCCTGACATGGATGGATAAGCACGGCGCGTCCAGGACTCAGGAACGTCGTCCAGAAACAGAGCATTGCCAAGTTCTTCCATGTCAGCGGTGATGGTCAGCTCACCCTACAAGGTACAGAGAGATATTACACTATATGTAGGAAACCCCATGATAATGATTAATTTTGATTAAACAACACTCGGCTAATGATGGGTGCGAATTGAAAAGTGAGGAAGGCAAACAACGGGAAGATCATGGTACAATTTGGTTACGTAAACCACGTTGGAAGCGCGAAATATTGCGTTTAACTCGCACGAGAGTCGGGTGGGAAACGAGAGTTGTGCTAGAGGCATGTGGGTAGAATTTGAGACTCGTTCTAGGCGAGTGCGATTCAAGGCAGTAAGCTACGAGTTTTCGGCACGAATGTTTCAGTTAGAATTCTGCAGAAGTATTCTCATCAAAATCAACCTTCAAGTGAACTCTTCGACTTTTATATCGGTTTTCTCTAACATTAGAATTAATAAGGGACATACATGGTAAATGACAACAAAAATACAAGGCGCAAACTGATCAGGTCAAAACAACATTTCATTATTTAACACAGCAAGTCATGCAGTAGAACTTACTTTGAGACCCAAATCTAGTTCTTTGAGCGAACGTTTGATCTCGCTTGTCAAGATATTCATCCGCTCACATTCTTGGAAGGCAACTACAGTGTAAGGCGTGCGATCCTCTACACGAGCCATCATTTCCTGCACGTTAAACTCGTCTGGCAACTTCTCCAAGACTTCATCCAAAACTTGTTTAACCTGTAACAAAACCAGGTACAACCAGTTGTCAATTTACACCCAAAAGGCACACTCCTTCTTCTTAAAGTCAACACTCACCCTCAGGAAAATATCGCTTTGCAACTAAGCAGTACTTAGAAGCTTATTGGAATAAATGTAATGTTTCCTTGAAACAATACATACATTACTCTGATCGTAAGTTTCCTCGTTTAATGAGTCGAAAAGTCCAATTCTCCTTAAGGAAAACACGAGAAAAGCAGAGGATACCATAAAGGGAACTTATATTCTAATTACCTTTTCTTCCCGAGTCTGTCCTCCACCTCCTCCCGCACCGGCATCTCTGGGCTGCATCTCCAAAACAGTACGGAACAAGTTGTCTGAAGTTTGAGTCAAGAAACCAATCTCAGCATTAGGGTGCAAACCGTAAAGGTAGGGGCTCTCTGGAGGTAACACCTCGTCAATGTAGGTATGGTACGTCTTGTAGTCTGAGTTAGGAGGGATGGGAAATCCCGGAGCAAGGTTCATCTCACCCTCAAGCTGCGGAAAGCAAACATGCGTTTTATTAGCATCTAATTAAGAGCTGTATCTCTCTTTCTCCTACAAAGTTTTCTGGGGAAGGCCGGTAGAAACATATCCACTGGATATGCATTTCTAAATTATAAAGTATTATCTTTCTTCTTAACAAAATCAAAACCTTGAGGGAGAAAATCGAAATGACAATTCTCAGTTTCAACCATCATGCCTCAAAATGGATAAAACAAACGAAGTAAAGAAATTTGTTTTATCTGCAGATTGAAGAGAGTTACATAGTCGACTATGGACGTCTGAATATCAACTTTTGGGAAAATGTTTCAATGTTAGATGCTGACTTAGGCTAAGGCTAGTTACAAATCTGAGATATTTACTGGTAGTTGTATCTCACCATATCTGGTTTCATGTACTCCTCCAAGTAAGTTCTACAGAGTCTCCTGTCCCAGTCATCTGTGATGTGACCCCCGTACATAATTTCACCAAATAGATAACGTAGATCGGTCCAAGGTACCTGAAAGTCACAGGGAAGGTACAAAGAAAAGTGGTAAGCTGTAATCAATACCGAGTGTACCGCTCAAACTAAACTGGTGGAGTTTATCTCCTTTGCAATTCTATTGTTCCGTCACATTTAACGTGGCTTTTCGTTAAAAGATGGTATACCAATCCCAAAACAGTGTAATCAAGAAGTGCTAGCGAACAACGGTGGGAAATTATCAAATCATTTTCATCAATGTCCCGTTGATCAACACATCAAGGCACATTTGTAGACAGCTCAGATAAAAAGAAATTGTCTACGAAATATCGGTATAGAAATGACAAATCACACTAGTTATAACAACCTGCCAGCCTGAGCGACAATCATTCCACAACCAAAACTGCGATTAGAATTCTTAGATGCGACTCGGTAATTTCGAGTAGCACATGTGTGTAAATATGACTCAGTGTTTCAGTTACCTTAGCATTAGCCTCGAGGTAATTGTACAGTACATTTACACTGATTGTTAAGTCTCCAGTGTTGAAGGGATATGATCTGTTCCATCCTTGTGGGCCAAACTTACGGCGCTCTGCCACACATGCATGGAAATAACATAGTGCGAATAGAATACTCTTGAATTCATTCTCACGGGCGCACATCTCCAGTGTGTCCTGATAATGGAAAAGAAAGAATAAAGAAAACAATGATTTAACATCAGAGTTTGTTTTTAAAGGAACTCTCACTAAGCTGATGGCCCTCGACGGTCAGTACGTGAAGCACTAAAGGGTATTACTACTCCTCTGGAGGAGAAGCAAATCCATTGGGGTAGACTACCAGCATCTGTAATTAGCTTTTTAACACAATCCGCTGCTGGTCATGTTTTACTCACGAGTGTACAAGAAAAATATGAAAAGCTGACAACACTCATCGCACAAATAGCCAGATCAGGTTTCAAATTCGAACCTCTTCACCCGTTGGTGTCTGGCGCGCTCCACGTAAGACTACCACGCCTCCAACAGAAGAGAAACATAAGTATTGGCCGAAATTGTTTTCATCTTTACTTTTAGGCGAATATAAAAAAAACTGTGAATTAAGGAAAATATCTTAGTAGTTTAAAAAAGATTCATTGCCTTAATAACAGCTCCTATTAGACCTTGTGCTTACCTGGTTGAAGTTGTCTAAAGCCTGATGTAAATTGGCCATCATTCCAGTGGGTGGTTCATTGGTTATTTTGATGGAGGATTCCAGAATTCCTTGCGGTATGATGTGAGAATCAGGCGAACCAGCTGGCTCAGCCGAGATGTACACTCGATAGTTCTCATGACTTCCCTCACTGTATGCTTCGAGCTTCTTCTCCAGAGTTGGCAGCCATTTCTTTACAAGATGTATATTCTACAAACAAGAACCCAAACAGAGAAATTTGTTAATCCACAACAGAACTGGAAAATCTCATACCAGTGTTATAACCTCATGGTTTAGCTTCTGATGATCACGGAATTAGGTGCTAAAAACACTTGGATGACCTAACTAGGCAGCTTAAAGGAGAAGTAAAAAATAATGGTGGTAAACTGATAGACACGAAAGAGTTCAGCGTAGAAGAATTACCTGAAGGATAACCCAATGACCTTCCTTAGCGGCTAAGTCCAAACTCTGCTCTGCGACGATTTCTTGACCCTTTAAATTCGAATAAAATTGATTAGCATGATAGCATCATTATAAGGGTAGCCTTATAATGATGATTAGCCTCACCTGCCCAAGTGACACGTTATGGAAGTTTTTGTTGTCAAACGTGAAGCCGAGTTTCTTGCCCAGTGCCTCCACATCCTTCAGAGGATCGACACCAGGAGATAAGATGAAGAAGATCGGGGTCCCAGGTCCGCTCTCTTCGTAAGACTTGGCGAACTCCACTTGACGATTCTCCACATATTTCGCACCCATCTTTTCTTCCACGAAGCCGCTGTAGAAAGGAATAGCACAAATGTGAGCTTAATAGTCGCATAATTTAGAATAAAATAAAAATACCGTACAAGTAACTTAGTCTAATTACTACAATTCAGAAAAGACTAACAAGATCGGTTCAATCATGAAGGGAATTCCATTATTGGTCAAAACTGTTGAACCATATTAGCCAATATCTATATTGCATTCCGTTAGGTTATTCAGTCGGTATTCTTTTATGTCTGGCTTCTAAGTCTGGCCAAACACCTCCAAATAACAACCATGCTAACAAAATCACTATTCATATGTTAAACCGGCCATATGGAAACTCTTCATGTCGCACAAAATTACTTTTTTTATAAATTACCTGACAGCATATGTCATTCTGTCCGGCCTAAGAGCTCTCATCATGCAAAGCTTCTGTAAGGAAGTCTTGTTTTTCCATTCTTGAGGGAATTTTTCCTTTTCCGGACATTCACTCTCCACAAACTTCTTCCATCTCTTAGCCGAGCCTTCAATGTCGCGATCCAGGTTACGGAATTCTTCCATGTTACCCAGAGCCTGCGGAGAAAGACGAGGAGATATCTTTAAAATCTCCTAGCTAAAAGTATGGAGAGAGTTCTACGGTATTTGCATTTACGTTCCCTAAAGATATTAAGCCACCTCCTACTGATTCCAAGTGGAAGAAGTTTGTTCGTCCGTCAGTCTTTGTGGTTTTCCCGCGACAAAGCAACTAAATCTAGTTTTTAACTTACCTTAATTCCTCCCCAACACAGATTGTTGAGGAAATCAACTGGACTCGTAACATTCATAACCGCTGGGAACCGAAGAAGGAATTCTAGCTCATGTGGAACGATCTCTTTTTTCATCAGTAGAATCTGTGTAAGGAAAATGCAGAAGACAGATTAGAGGGCAGTGCTTGATAGGAAAAAATTACACGCATAACTTTGTTGGAAAAAATTTCCAGTTTTACGCCAGAACCACTAATTGTACATACTTTTGAATTTCATACCTGGAATGCCACTTGAGATGTGAAGATCAGTTTGTCTTTTTCAAACAATCCCCGAGTGGTGTAGATGAACACGGAGAATGTGATGCAATCGATCAAGTTGTTCACTCTGATTTTTACTTCTTCTGCAGGTTCAGCTTTATCAATGGCCTTTTGAAACACCACATTGAATGCCTAACAAGTGATTGAAACGCAAGAGCAGTTTTGTTATGGAATGGTAAGTTGGAAAAAGCATGTAAATGTTTAAATTCCACTCTTCAGATAACATCGCGCCCTAGCTTGCCTCGGGTTATCCGTAAAAAGGTGATTTATACTTTACATGAGTAGATTCGCCGCTTAAACTGCGACATGAATCGGACGAAAATTCTTCTCAAAACAAATTGTTTTGCAACTGACCTTAAGAGAAAACTGGTAGATCGGATTGATCTTATTCAGGTCATTCAATATGAAGTACAAAAGTGATGATCGAGCAGCTGCTGGTCTGTACTGTTCACGGGCTTCGTTGATTTTTATCTCAGTGTTTTTTCCTTCTGCTACTTTGACTTCGATTTCTGCTGCTGTTCGTTTGGTTGTCTCAAGGTTCTCCACCAGAGCGTAATCTCCAAGGAAGTTTCCTCCAGCAGCAGACAGACGAGCCAGGAGGGAGTCTTCCAGTTCTTTGATTTTTATGGTAAATTGGTTCATTTGTTGAGTCAGGTTGGCCTATGTGTAAAGAAATACACAAACAAATTGGAAGGTTGAAAAGCAGGATTCTATTCTCGTTTAAATTCAAATCCCATCCTCCTTAATCAGTTTCTTCACTAAGAAGATCGTTCTTGACCGGACATATCACAAACGTCTCTCATTTTCCTGAACTTTTAAAACTTTCCAGCTGCTAGAAAGTTTAAATTAGGAGAAGTTCCATACTAAAAGGTCCGCTAGGTTACCGATATTCTGTTCAGCAATTTCTGTTACCTTCGTTTCCTCGAGATCAGGCCTCTCCTTGCGAACAACATCGGCTAGCAGCTGGTCCTCCAGGCCTTCACGTGTGACTGTGAAGTTAATCAGAGTGGTCTGGGCCTGCATCTCGGGTTTGTAATGAGGATTGGCTAGTTTAGTGTGAAGGATGAGACGGAAATCTGGATGATATTCGACTTCCTTGTCACCCATCTTGATGTATCTAAAAATTAAACAGTCATTTAACTCAAAATTGTTTATTCATAACTGCAACAAGTTCGCGCTAGTTTTTTAGACAAATCACTGAGTGAAGTAAAGCCAACCCTCACTATCAGCATTCAATTCTAAATCTTTCAGTATGACACTCAAGGCTCCTGCAAACTAACATACTCTGTTATAAAACACACCTTCCTTTCTTGATGGTGTTTCGTCCAACAAGTGCATCCAACACTGGGTCCATGTTCTCACCCATATTTTCAATCAGTACACAGTCACCGTTGGACACAGCGCGCTCGATGGAATCCAGATACCTGTGAAGGAAACCTCCAATATTAGTGTCGTATATTTTGCGCTACTGTTTGATTGGAAATGGCCTCGTCATAACTGTAGATTTAAAAACGCCTCAAGTGCTGGAAAAAGTGACCTTCATTCAGCGAAAGAATTTGCTAGAATATTTGTCCACGGCCAGCTGTTCCGAGAAAAAAAAGAAAACCGAAAAAAAAGAAAAGAAAAGAAAAGAAACAAGGAAAGGCAAACAAAAGAATGGTTAATAAGTACCCCTTCTGTCCCAGTCTGACCACTCTGAGTTCCTCCCCTTCTCTCGTTTTGATCCACTTCACTCCTTGTAGCTGTGGATCAATCATTAGCGGCCATCTTTCGCAGTTTGTCAGGATGGTGGCGTTCTCAGTACTCATGCGGTCGCTTGGTAGATTCTCGTTATTCCACTGAGCGATGGTTGCGTTGTCAGTCAACAAGGTAAGAGGATCGAGGTTTTCAGTGATCTTAATTGGAACCTGAAGAATTAAGAAAACACCTGTTAATACCCTGATCAATATTTTACGAAAATTGTAATTAATTTTGGTTGTGTTAGGCTTAACGTACCGACTGTCCTTTGAGAAATGGTAGCCACTTCTCGTGCATGAGGTTGTCTCGGTATTTCCGTGTGAAGCAGCCGACGTATGAAACGAATGCTGTAGTAAGCAGCACATCACCAGGTAAGGTCTTCTCCTGCTCTTTGAAGTTCGCCACTGATTCGGCCCAACGGACATTCTCCGAAGCCAGGCCGCCGACTAATCGATTAGCCAGTTCGATTGTCATTGCCGTCTGTTCAGCTTCTTGCTGGCACTTTAGTTTCTCGGCAGTGGCCTAAAATAGCACCAATTAGGATGAGTATAAGTTTTAGACTTCTAGGCTACATTTGAAAAGACCTCTCCTCGAAAAAAGAAAAAAATAATTCTCATGCTCATGCTGTCTAGTCGGCAGCAAATAAGTGAATCCTTATTTTTAAACGTCACTGAAGGGTGCTGAAACATTACAATTTGTCGGTCAAAAAAAGTTTAAAAAGCAAATTAACAAGTAGCAAAATTGATGAAAAAAACAGTCAACTTGTAATGTTCATGTCTTCGGTTTTTACCTGGAGGAAAGCTATATATCAATAACGTGCACACGACGGAATTTTCTGCAACGTCAGGCGATAACTAAAAAACACCAAACTTGACCCCTACGATACTTTTGAAGGGAATAAGAAATGCCCCTTGGTACTTTTGGCGTGCAGTCTGAACATTGATGTGCGCTTACCTGCTCAAATGAAGCCGTCAGCTCAGCCAAGTTTTCATCCAATTCATGGATCTTAGCTTTGATCTTAGCCAGTTTCTCCTCTGCAGCAGCAAGTTCTGCATTTGCAGCGGCTAAGGCCTGTCTCTTAGGTTCTACGTCACAAAACACGTGATAGAACTTGATGATGTTAAGTGCCCAAGCACAGATACCAGCAGCAGCGATGGACTTGCTACGGATGAAGTCAGGTTCAAACTCTGGATCGTCAAGATATGGCTGTACGGCCTTTAAGTTGTTTTCATGAATGTTCTCTTTGTCGTAATTTATCAGGGAATCCAAAAACTGATCGACCTTTGATTCAAAATGAAAGGCAAGTAATAAGTTAGTTCAAAGTTAGTTTTCCATTGAGACTTTATCTTGTAAAGCTTAGTTGAGGAAGTTTGCTTTCATATGTTAACGCCTGTTAACTGATACCTTTAAGTATTATCGTCGTATTTTTCGGCATGGATAAGATAATACTGAGTTTGCTGAGAAAGGTTACATATGAAACACCTCTGCGGGATCAGGTTGGTGTGGTGACGGTCTGCTTGATACCACAACGTTATTCCATAATTATTCACATCAAAATCTGGTTTTAAAACACCTCTTTGTTTCAATTCCTCTTCACCCTAAACATTCAACAATATTGACTATGACACGCAACAGTGTGTTTTTTCAGCCTTCAATCTTCATTCCGCGAGACTGTAAGAATGCTATCCGGTTCATTCAGTTCTGAGTTGAATTAGACCAACTATCAAATTTATACCTTAGCCATCATGATTTTACACTGCTTCCAGCTCTTGTCTTTAGGAATCTTATTCGGTGGAGAGAGTAGAGCCATGACAGCTGCTGTGACGTTAGCAACAGCCGTTGGGGGCGACCCAAACGACTTCAACTCGGTCAAGTTGTTCTTGTTCAATGTGTTCAAAGCCTCCTGAGCAGCTTTCAGCGCAGGCTCTGCCTTGGCTAAGTCCGTTTCACACGATTTCTGTTTTTCAGACACATCCTTTGCAATGACTTGAACTTTCTTCTCTTCTTCATCAGCGATGGCCTTCTCTTTGCTCACTTTCTCTGTTTCAACTCCCACCTTTTCAATGAGCTTGTCTGCATCTTCGTTCTTCTGCTTGAGTTCGACTTCTTGTGAGGCTAGCTTTGCTTTCAAATCATCTACTTGAGAGGCAGTGCTCTGTAACTTCAGTAGACCATTCTCCAAACGCTCAGTTTGTTGATTCAACTCCAACGCCTTCTTTTTGAGAAGATTCCGGTATAAAGTGATCTACAAAAAGAATAAATGCATGAGCAAATCATGTTCAAGACAAACAAGTTTTGAAAAGAGATGACGGATATATTAAATCTGCTTGCTTTGTGTACAATTTGTGTACAATTTCCTTTAGCACCTGGAATCCCAAAATACCATTTATCTTAGAGCTGGTTTAAGATACATAAAGAAGTAAAATTAAAACCGAAATCAGTAATAGTAATGAAACATTTCTCTTAAATTTCGAGTGTCTTTCGAAACATGTGATAAAACCGAATTTCATTGCAAGTCCAGGAACTCCAATATATCACTTGCACCTTGGCCTTAGATGTTCGCAGTTTCGGAGAGGAGCAAAAATACTTTTGGCGGGAACATACCTGTTCCAAGAAGCTCTTTGGGGTGGTGTAGTTGTAACGCCTTTCATTTGCCAAATACAACTGACTCTCTTCGTTCACACTGGTGTGCACAAATGACATAAACTCCGCCACAGAAGGTTTTACATCGTTCTACAGAAAAAAAAGGCAAACGAGGTAGACTACGCTTGCAGGCTATGATCAGTTACAGAAACTTTTAAAACTTATTTCATACCAATGTTACTTCGCTGTAAGGTTTTACTGTCGAGGGGATTGCCATGGGGACTTGCTTGATGAAGGTTTTCGAAGAACGACAAAAAGCTGCGATGAGAAAGTTTTACCACCCACAACTGCTATTAGTCAAGTGGAAGAATCATTAGAAAACAAAACACTTGTTGCACATGGCTTCAATCGCAAAAGTGAGGGAAACTCGAAGTTCGTGAATAATAAATATCACAATTTGTCAATCTGTTGTCCATAAAGTTCTTAATCCCTGTCATTTACAGAGCATTATTTAAACAGTTTTAACCATTATTTTAAGTCTATTATTGTAAAATGTTGCTGTATTGTTAATCTACCTCAAGCTGCTCTAAGTCATCAATGAACCTCTTGCTGACAGACACCAAAGCCTCCTGAGGCCACTCGTGAAACCAGTCAATTGCTGTGCAGTTTGTTACAGCCGGGAACTTACGACTCCTTACACGCAACGTAGAGCCAACGGGAGAGAAACACAGGACAACTTTGAGATTTCTTCGCACTCGCTCAATAAAAAACATCCAGCAGTTTTCCCTCGTGTCTTGTAGTCCAGCGCCTTTCACTTCATTCCTGACTCCGGAGATGATATTCTCGACTTCATCATCTGCAAACAGACCCGGAATCTCCCCAGACGCCAGTAAGTCATTGATTAACACCAAGAAGTTCTCCTCTGGAACTTGTGCATCGGTCAATAAAAATACAGTGCCGATGTTCTTCAATCCTGCCTTGGTACACAAGTTTGCTAAGTCGAGCTAGAAAAAGTTAACAAAGGGGAAAAAACCCATTAGGAATCTGGCACGATTAAGCGTGATTAAAACGAATTTTCTTTACCAATCTTCAATTATCTCCTTTCATACTAGATACCAGAACGTGGAGGTAAGACAACGTTAACTATTCGCGTTTGTCGTTGTTCAACTAATGCACTTCATTCACGGGAAATATCTATCTTAAAGGCGAGGAAAAGATTAGTAAAAGCGGTTCTGATCATTCACAGGATCCCACAAGTTATTTGAAATTCCTTGAGCTTTCACACAATTACACACCTTGAGGTCAGGGATGCCATATCCTTTCCTCAGTGTTATTTGGAACACTTCTAGAGCACTGATGAAAGCAGCAAGACGAGCCAAACTCTGTTTACCACTGCCACCCACACCCACTAATAAGGCGTTACCACGGGGGGACTCCAGAATACGGTTGATACGACAACTGTAAAACAAAACATGCAAAATGGTAAGAACAATAAATATTTGGGAAACTCTCAGAGCTCTTGGAAAGCCCCACATTGAAATAATTTTAAAGTATCGAGCACCTAGATCATTGTAAGTCCGGTAACAAAACGTTTAAGGCCAGGATATGACGAGACGCTAAAGAAAGCCCAACGATGGAGAGCCGGCGTAATGAAGGAAGCTGCTTATCGCCGGAAATATGGCAAGGACAAGAAATTGGATAAATAAGTACAGAGATAAGGGGAGGAAGACGTCACGAAACTGATGAAATCGATGGAAGACCAACCATATGTGGAAAAAAAGCGGGAAAATAATTAACTGTGTAAGTACTGTTAATGGTAGGAATTTCATAAATCTTATGGAAATCGCGGAAAAACGAGAGTTTCTGCCGCCCTTTCATCTCACTGCGCACTCTGACTTGCCATATAGAAAATGTTCCCTTGAAGAGAACAACTGACGTTTTTTCAACTTACACATGTTGCATGGCGTCGTCAAAAAGCACAAGGTTCATGACCGCGTTGACTTCATTGTAATTCTCCAGTGCTTCTGTCAGCAGTTTATTCAATGACTCCCAGCCTTGTACAGCGAGGTACTTAGGTTCCCCAATTCCACTTGCAAAATGACAGAACATGTTTGGCTTGGAGTACAGAGCCTCTTCATCGAAATCCTACGTAGAAAGAAGCACATTTAAAACACAGCGAAACTACCCCCAAAGTTTTTGTTGACTTTTCTAAGGTAAGAACTCATTGAGACATGAGTCTATAGTCTTGCAAATGTTTCAGATTTCTAATAAGTAAAATGTTTGATAAATTTGACCGGAAAAACATTTGAAAACCGAAGTTTTCATCTCCATTTTTTATGATCCAAACTCGTCTCAAACGAAATACAGATATAAAAACAAACCTCGAATATCTTCTTTGTGATATCTTGCTGGATTCTGTCGTAGTTCTCCATATCTTTGTCTTCTACAAGTTTGTCTCTGTAAACTCGGTCACACTCGTGCATCCACAGCCTAACAAGATCCATTGGCGTCTTGATACATTCAGCTGTGGAAAACAGGATACCCTACAAGAAAGGAAACGTAATTAATCATGACACAGTTCGACTGCAAGAACCCAAAGAGACAATATTAGCCACCACATTAACCTCAGCGCCTTTTTTCCTTTTCTACAATTTCCAATCTTTTCTTAGCAGTTTGGACAGGAAAATAAGACAAATTCTTCCTTAATAAGTCCTCTTGTCCAAAAACTTGCTGAGTTTTGCACAATACGCATTACTGAGACTGTGTGGGGTTCAAAATCTCCCAGACAAATATCGTTGCCAAGTTTTATTTTGCTGATCTTTTGACAGACACACTTTCTTGCCAAGTATACCAGTCAAAGAAAATGATACGACTAGGCTGTTCACATCACACAACGTTCAGCGCGAGGGAAAAATCCAGGAGTGAGCAAAATAGACTGCATCATAATCAACATTCACACCGGTACTCAAATTGATTTAATTTTCTCGCTGAACTAAGGCTATCTTTCCTGTGGAGGTTCACAGAGGTTTACGAGTTCAGCAACAAACTATGGTTTTGACAAACCTGGAAGATATTGGACAAGTCACGCAGGTTGAAAACATAGTGGAATTTTACAGCTGTAGGAAGGAAGGTTGAAGTGACCTGTGTTGAGAAAAAGAAAAAAAATTAAGTTTGCCTCGTTTTGTAAACGAAGCCACTTTCCAGATCTGAGTTGCGGTCGATAAATTCTTTAGTGTATATAAATGAGCAAGCTGATAAAGCTGAAGAAATTTTTTAGAAATGTTCGTTCTTTTTAGCCCGATGTCACTTCCTTGAAATGCTTTTCTACTAGAACATAAGAGTTACGCTCGTGGGAGATAGATGTCTCATGGACGATAGATGACTTAAATAATTCTTCAAAGTAACTTGTGGACTGTCTGTGCCACGAGTACTGAAATTCAAGAAAAAAATTCAAATGGTTTAGTAATAGGGATGATGGAATACAACACACCTTCTGGTTCATGGCTAAAGCTGCATCGACAAGTTTCTCAGCATTCTTCTGTACCGCTTGAGGGAGACCCAAAGCGTTGATGTGTCCGTTCAAGATGCTCAGGTAAATGGTTTTCAGGGCATCGAGTCCCGGGAAACTTATTGCGAACACTGCAAAATGGCGCTGCAGAGAAAATAACGTAACCATTAAAAGTCCGGCCGACGTTCTAAGAAAATTAGTTAGGATACATCCCGCTGTACTCTCTTACAACTTTGTCCACCAGAACTTTCCTAAGTCTATAGCTTCAATCAGTTTCTCTAATGTTTAAAGCCGTATTTCATTTTGAAACGTCTTGTATTGAGCTTCAGTTGCCCCAATAGCACGACCTTTCTCTCTAACATTTTACATCCAGATGTACTCTCTTACAACTTTCTCCATCAGAACTTTCCTAAGTCTATAGCTTCAATCAGTTTCTCTAATGTTTAAAGCCGTATTTTATTTTGAAACGTCTTGCATTGAGTTTCAGTTGCCCCAATAGCACGACCTTTCTCTCTAACATTTTAACATATTTGATTTAATCTAAAATGGATACTAGACACTTTAGATCCCATTAGCTACAGACCTGTAGTCGAGGATTGATGGTGAAGCTTCCTGCTGTAGGATTCATACAGGCGACATACTGACAATTGTGAACTTCTTTAAGAGACAGCTTCGCTCTGTCGTACCAATGAGTGTAGTCCAAATGTTGTCTGATGAGGGTGTGTGGTTGTACTGTTCCATAAGTGTCCACCTGGATTGAAGGAAAAGAAAGAAATTACCCAAACTAAGTTTCTAGACACGTGCAGTACCAACAGTAAAGCGCGGGAAAATTGTTACTCAGCGAAAGCGTCGGCGTGGCGGGAAAAGTGGCTTGTAGCGAGCAAGGCAAGCGTGTTAAAAAAACGAGAAACACGGCACCCAATCGGAAACGCGGAGTAACGCGAGTGTTCGCGAAAAGTACCCATACTCATTATCCAATGCAGAGTCTGTACATGATTGTCCAAAAAAGCATACCTCGTCTTTAGTTGGCTATGCATGAAACAAATGTTTATCACTAAATAGTGATTAAAACCTCACAGATAAAACTGACCACTTTCCCATTAAACAACGTACCATGGGCATGTTCATGTCGTCGATAAAGTAGATCAGTTTCTTGGTTCCAGGCGGACCATAATTTCGTCCAGCTTTCTTTTCCAGTGGCTTTTCTAAAACGGCCTGTAACATGGCTGACGTCGTGTAGTAGTTAAACGGTACGTTTGTAACCATTATGTTATCAGGGTCCATTGCTGCGAATTTGTCGCCAACTAACACGGTCTTACCAGTACCCGCACTTCCTACAAGCATGATAGGTCTGCGGTTTTCCATCAGCAGATCCATGAAGTAACGAACTCGAATGGTTTCCTGGGTATGGACGAGCACGGCCTGGGAACAACAAAACATTTCGCAATCAAATTATCTCGTGGAAAATTAAAGTAGGGAAATGAAATTGGTTAAGCTCTTGACAAATTGCAGTGAATGTGAAAGGATTCAGTTCATATACAAGTCAACCGAAATATCCACTGGCTGGCTACAGGTCATATCGAAACGTTACCAAGGCTGAGACCAGGTGGTACAGGCGACAAACTGTTTTCTTTGGGCGACATGTGTGACTTTTCTTCTAGGAGAGCTTTGAGAGCCAGGCATCCTAGGCTTCAGAGATAAGAGCTTTTGGGCACCCGCTAGTTATTCTTCTAAGAAAACAACTTTGTTTAGGACACAATTTTGTCGGTTTTCTAACCCAACCGCTAAACACTGTAACCAATTAAGACCCTTGTCAAGCCTAAACCATAATTAATGAAGAAAACTTATACTACAACCTTGCACAAACGTTCGCAAACCCTTTCTAAAGGTTGTCTATTAAGAATCTTTCCTAAAAAATAAAAAAATAATCACACCTGCAATGGCATCTCGGGATCAAGCTCGAACTTGGGAACTTTTTCTGTCCATGGCACGAATTTCTTGGTCTCGGAGTCGATAAAATAATCAAAGACAGTACCAGCAGAGGGAAACTTTATGGTCTTGAATTCAGTCACCCACCATTTGGAGAATTCTACTCGATAATCAACGAGCTACGGAGAGAAAACGAAATATTACTCATAGGTTTGAACGTTCACGCTTCACTTTCTACGAGTCAATAAAATTTCACGACTTTCCATAGCCCACAATTCTGAGTGAAACCGTCAATAAAACACACCTGATCTTGAAACATGGCTCCGCCAAAAGCCCACACAGCAGCGAACACAAAATACAACTCGTACAGTTCCTTGTTACAATCGGGTGGGGTGTTGGTGGGGTTCAACAGACACTCCAGAAGGTAGCAAAGCGTGGTCACCATGGTGATGTCAGGAACGGGCGTGATTTTCTTGAAGCGCACGCGCAGTGTGTCCAAGCAGATGGGGACGTACTTGTCAAACAGGATTTGCAGGTTGGCTTTCTCTGACTGAACTTCGCGAGTATCAATCCAACTGGAGACGTATCTGAAATAATACGAGAAAAGTTTATTTCGCGAAGAAAGAATATTTTCAAGGAATTTAAAATTTTGAGCGAAGAGAAGTTAAAGTGGGGCTACTTTGATAACCTTCCTCAATTTTAGCCTAAAAATACATTTCATTTTTCATTTTCATGATAGACCAGTTTGATACTTATTTCAAGTTTGTTATCTTCATTTTTCCGCTGTGCATGATACAAGCTTAGTGAAAAAACCATGGTACGATCAATACCCATAAGTCTTCATTGTCACCACGAGAGATTTAAATGAAAACCTAGACGAAAATCTCAAAAGGCAAACTAAGCGGATAAAAATTTCACTAGTTGACGCAACCGGCTTTTTTTTCTTTCCTCTCCTTCTCTGGAATACTCATGCTACACGCAAACTACCGTCTACAGTACTTACGGATTCCATCCAACATCAGCGTAGTTAAGGAAGAGGATACCGGCACGGGACACAGTTGCAGGAGTGGCTGTCTTTAGATGACCGATCTCAAACAACAATCTCATGGACGGAGTGAGAGGAACACGTTCATTACTGGCTAATGTCAAAACCTAAAAAGGTATCGAAAGGAAAAATTTCAAGCATATAATCTACAGCTGGTTCAACAAAATCTTCGAGTGTTACAAAACCGACTTCTTATGAAAACTTCCAAAAAACATCTTCATCTACAAGTCGCCTTAAAAGCTTACTGGTCCTAGCGACTTTTTCATTTTCAAAGATTACCTTGTTGTCGTCCATGACAGTGTTCAAAGACTCGATCCACATAGGATCAATGTCTCCGTCAAGTACGATCCATTTAGGACTGTCATTGTTGATTGAAGCCAAATCACGCATAATGGTCGAAAACAAACCTGAAGAAAAATATGACACAATCAACGTCTGTCTCGAAAGAAAATAATCGCCCTTAGTCACTTGATATCAGGCAAATTTGTGGTGGTGTGGCAATGTCTGTCGGTGACAATTCAAGACTGTGATTCTTTTCTTTTTCTTTTCTTTTTGGTTTCCTTCATGGCTTTTGTGCCTTGGACGCTCTGTAATCCGTTCAAGGTTTTAGTGTCGTATCATAAGCTCTAGTTATCAAATAGATATTGGGGCACCGTGTACATCGTTTTTTTATTACCTGCAAAGAATAACTAGCATTCAAGTCAAAAAAATTGCAACCCTGATAAGATCCTGCTGACTAAATATTCGGTGCAAAGAACGTTCGACGTTTCTGCCTCTTCAGTGCGCGACACTCCCATGGTAACCTCGATGATACTCACCGTCTTTCCACTCCCTGGTGGCGGGATTAATGAATCCGAACAACTCATCAGCAGTGACAGCTTTAGGGTTGATATCATGTAGCATTGGCTTTCTCTTCTGGTTTTGGTAAGTCTTGTTCAGGGTCTTAATAACCTGTGTTTTGCCTGTACCCGCTGGACCGAGAACAAACACAGAATGCCTTACAGCAAGTAACTCCTCAAGCTGTACAATCTTGAGGATAAAGCTGTCTTCTGTTTGTAGTTTAAGATCCTGGAAATAACAAGAAAATTTAATGTTCCAAGATTGTTTGCACAATAATCACTACATAGCCTATGCATCTCGCGTGCACAGAATTTGAAGAACAAGTGCCGGCGACTCCCTTCTTTCTTCGTTAAATTTTCTCGTACAATCAAGCTTATAACAAATGAGAATAGAGGAAATGATCATCACGGATATGTTTCCTTTAAATAACACTCAGTTCTCTAGACCAACCGACAGAGAAATCTATAGTCTGTGTGAAGAACGTACAGATCTTGGAAGGGAAAAGATAACAGCACAATTTTCCAGCGATCTCCTTCTTTTCGATAATTTAAGAACAGGTTTACTCCAGTAACCCTACACATCTTTCCCAAAATGCTATTGTGTTTCCCAATTGGAAATAATTTGACATGTGAATTGAGTGACTCACCAGAGCTGACTTTTTCACTAGAGCTTCAAAGTCCATGTCACGCTTTCTTGGTACATCCAGAGCTGGGAAAAGGTCGCCAATCAATCCCATGAAGACGGGAACATCATCCGTGACAATCTTAGGGATATTGAAGTCACGCAACGCACGCATCAGCACCTGATCCTCAGGGCGATCCCTGTCACTTCGCTTTAGAGAACCAGCGACAACCAGAACAGATTTGATAGCACGGAGACCCCAATCGTAGTGGTCCTTAAAACCACAAGGAAAAAAAGCCATCAAAAAAGAGCAAGAGGCATGATTCCCTTTAGTCCAATCACAGAAAGGCACAGGCGTGCGACTGCACATGCGCAGTCATTAAATCACTGTTGGTTTGACTTTGCTCTTAATTAGAAAAAAAACCATACCAAATCACCAGAGATACTATTGACACTCTGACTGTAACTTGTAAAATCAACTTTTTCACCATCCGCGAAAGATTCGAAAATACAATCTGTGCTTTGCTTAACCAGAGTCCTACCTGTTTAGATAACAGTTCCTTACAGAGTGAATACAGAGTGATGAACTTGCGGGCCAACCCTCGGGCCTCAACGAATCCTTCAGCCACCAACATGATTTCACAGATCAGTTCAAAGTCAGGAACGACCATAGCACACGGCCTGAAAAAACACAACAAGGAAATATATAACCATTCTCTGTACAATTTTATGTATCAGCTCAGATCCTAGTGCAGACTCTCCCTAGGAGGAATATTTTAAATCTACGTATCCCATTAAGAGAAACTGAATTCTAATCACGCACCGGAACAAAGCTTTAAGATTTTCAGGCAACTCAGTTCTTCCGGCGTATCCAGGATTCATGGTAATGAATAAACCAACAGTAGGAACCAAAACGATCTCCTCTCCCTGGAAGATGAACCTTTTCTTTTTGTCTTTGATAGCGTCCTGGATGGATTTTACTTGAACTGCGACCACGGACAGCACCTCAACTGAGATGCGGTTGAACTCGTCAAAACAGCCCCAGGCTCCTGTTTGTGCCAATCCTTTGTAAATGTTGCCAATGGACTGTCAAAGAAAATGTTTCTTGAGTTACTCTTAAGTCCTTTAAAAAAACTGGAGTGCCATCATTATTGCACTGTAATGCATACCTTGTAGTCCATCTGTTCAGAGCAGTTGAACACGTACACCATAATTCCCAGAGCTCGTCCCAGATCCTTGGTAGTCTCGGTTTTACCAGTTCCCGCGGGACCGGCAGGCGCACCGCTCATGGTCAGATGAAGAGACTGGGTCAGAGTAATGTAACATCTAGAAAAGAAAAACAATTTTCAAGTTCCTTTCGAACAAAAGCTTAAAGTGATAAGTTTGACCGGAATGCACTTTTTTAACTCTAAAGCAGTAAATTTTAATTTAAAACTGAGCCTTCGTTAAGATTACGAACACTCAAGTGATATGGAATTGCATTTTGCCAATGATGAAACTTTAACGAAAATATAAGCTACAAGAAATGCTCATTTGACCTATTGACTGTTTTTAAGTGGACTACTCTCTCAGTAGTCATTGAGTTTTAGTTCATTTTCTACCCAAACAAAATACAATCGTGTTAGAAGTGACGCATGATGGGGAAAGTCCAATAGGCTATAACAATTATTACAACGCTCACAGTTAAAGAACTACTCGACAGCTTTTCTCTACGACGTTTACCTGTCGGTTAAGGGTGTGATCACCAATCGAGGCGTGTTTCCAAGATATTCATAAGAATACTTGAACTGTGCATCACAAATGTTAGCGAAGCAGTGAGAGACAGAATCATCAAAGCGATGTCTAAGCTGACTCAGCCACAAGAAAGCTTGAGCATTTTCCACCTTCTGATGAATTAACTTCGCCACCACATCTCGAGCGTGCACGTCAATTGTACAGATGGTCATAATTTTCTGACGATCGCCTTTGGTCAAGTCGCCGATCAACATGTTGATCAATGTTGTCAGTTGTGAAACCTAGCAGATGTAAAAAAGATAAAGACCATTTTTCAATTAACAATTGGTTCATACGTCAACGTGCGTTCATCGAAATATGAAGCACGCGGGAAGCTTGGAGAGCACAAAAGATGGGTAAGAGTTGCTGTTTTATAACATTTTCAACCCGATGGAAAATTTGTTTTTCTCGAGGGACTTGTTTACTGACGTCATGAGCGTGCACAATAGGAATATGAAGCACGCTCGCGCAATTGAATTTGATTAGACAAATTTACTAGCTATATTATAATATTTTTTGTCCTCTTTTATTTTACCTGATTTTCATATAATTGAGATAAACCAAAAAGGATCTCTATACATCAAACTTGTCAATGTAATTCACCCGGTTTAAAAAAGCACTATACTTAAAATTCTTGAATTTAAGACCAGTACCTGTTTCTTGTAATAATCCTTCAGTGCATTCTCGTATCCCTCTTCCAGCCTTCCAAATGCCAGAACAACTTCTGTGGTCCACCAGATTTGAGTACCACACAGGGCCACCTGAGCTGGGTAGTCAAACAGCCATTGATCTCGAGGCTTCTCTTCATACGACACCACAGCTTCTGACAGCTCGTGACGGACTGTAGCGCGCATAGCGTCCATAACACGGTTCAACCAAACTTCCACCTACAGTAAATCAAATATTCACAAATCTTGACTCTAGTGATGACTTTCGTAACGAAAGTCACGACTACCGACAAAAGTTCCTCTCAAGACTACTCTCAACGGGAGGATCCGACTACACGAAGGCACAAATCGCTTGGAACATTAAGCAAAATTCATGCTAACTTTTGAATTTAAGAATTTAGGTATCAGCTTAGCTTGAAAGTGCACGAGAAAATCACAGCATTTTGTAAAAATTAGACAAAAAAGGAAGTATTTTCAAAACTCAGATCGCTACGAGAGCTTTGTCAGGGTAGTTTGGGTGTGTGCCGCTTAAAAAAAGTTAAAAACCAATGAAGAGATGAAATAAGATAAAAATTGATGATGGATCGATATAAAAAAAGGCCGAAGAGCTTAAATTCATTTTAATGTTACCATGGTCCTCAAAGGGGTAATCAGCGAAATATTATAACACTCTTACAGAGAAGTAACTTGAAACAATATTTGTACCTGTCCAGAACAGTCACAAGGCTTGTTGAAGTCCACATATTCTCCTTCCTTGCTGTACATTCCAACCGCCTCCTTAGTCGGGTTACCATCCTCGTCATCGACAAACTTCAGTTTCGCCATGTTGTCAAACAGTTTGGAGAGATGACGACTGACCTGTCGAACAGAACAGCGAGTATCGGTTTAAAATTACGATGATAGTGATAAAGTGACTACTCTGTAACGAGTAAAAAGAGCAACTCTCAATTGTCTATCTAGAGCAACTTTCAGTGTCGAGATTGCAACTCTCAGATTGCATTCGTTTTTCTTGGCTTCGTTCTGTGGTTGGTCCAAAAAACTCGCGCCTCTCTCTCTCAACCAATCAGATGCAAAATTAAAACCAATTGCGACTTGGTCGCCCGCGTTTTCCCGCGCTTCAGGCAGTTTGTTTCTTTTACGTTGAGTTCTAATTGGCTCTTAAAGCTATTTTCCTTTTTACTGATTGGTCGTTGAGATTTGTTTTGGTTTACGACACTCTCTGCGCTCTGAATAAATTCAACATTGCAATGTTTTTGCTCTATTTCTCTCTACGATTCTCTCTACGATTGATCCGTAAAATTCGCATCACCCTGTAACCCAATCAGATATAAAATTTAAATCAATCAAAACGTGGTCACCGGCGTTTAACCGCGCCTCAGGCATTTCACGTTTATTCATTCGGAGCTCTTATTGGGACTTTGAGTTATTTTCCCTTGCTCTGATTATCGTTTACTAGGTTTGCCTAAAACCTTACCTCAATTGGTTGGTTGCCCTTGGAAAGAATATCCAATAAGTCAGCTGAAGATACGAAGTAAAACCGTGGGAAAGCAAGACGTTTGGTCTCCAGATACTCAGCGAGGGCTTTCTCGCACAACGACAATCTATAAGGTAAACAACACATAGGTAATTTCTGGTCTTTGAGGGGCTCAATAACTTTAGGTAACCAGACCATAATGATTTCAAGACAAATCAAAGAAGTCAGTTGAAGCTAACAGCATTTGTGTTAGAGATGAGTCTTACCGAAAACGTCAACTTTAAATCAAGCTTAAGAGTAAAACGAACCTTTCTTGTAAGTTTTCCAGCTTTTCGTACAGTCCCTCTCTGTTACAACAATTCACAACGTTTGGGATTTCAGCGGCTTCCTTCATCAATTCCTAAAGCAACGGTAAAGCTAGGCGTTAGTGTAACTGTCCTTAAGTCCTACCTGATCCATATGTAAAATGATCCCCATGGATTTGCAGTCCCTTCTTTCACTAACCTTAAAATCAACATCGATTCCGTCAAATCTCTTAGAGTCCTCTGGCAGCTGGTTACGAATATCTTCAGATCCAATGAAAATACTCTCCAAGTGAGACCAGGTTCTTTGGACTTCAAACCAAATGGAGATTACAGAATCTGACACAGACAGCTTCTTTTGCCACATGGAGACTTCCTCCAGAAAATGTCCAATGTACTTGGATGTGATGAGATTTTGAAGTTGAACCTAAGTGAAACAAATAAACGTAAACTCAACTGTCCCTTAGCATTAAAAAAAAAAAAAATTAGAGCTCAGCTTTGGGCATCTGTTTATTGGTTTCTCCAGCCCTCCAGCCAATTATATATCATTATTTCTTTACCTGATTATCTTCAAGAGTTTCAATAAGTTCTTCGCTTGATTTCAATAACGGAATACCAGTTCTCAAATGGCTCTCGTATTCAAACTCCATCTGTGACCAGGTGACATCCAACTCTTTGAGAACTTTCTCCATTCCCAGTTCTTTGGTGGCCTTGTCGACAATTCCACGGACTTCATCTTCAAAGTTATGCAAATTTAGGGCGAGAAGATCAGCCAAGTTGGTGTCGTCATTCATGATGAATTTTACCTGCACAAAACACAAAGTACTCATGTGAGTTTCCTCAAATTTTCCACAAAATTGGAGTGATCTTGTGTTCAATGACATGTTTCGTGTTCCATAACCAAAATGGAGTGAACCACGGGAAAAAGTTCTGAGTTTGAGTTTTTAGTTCCCAGTTTTGCAGAGCAACTAGTGATAAAACATTCATTGGTTCATATCTATGTATGATTCCAAAACCAAAATCCTACCCTACTTAGACTTATTACGTTTTGTTGCGGAATGAACATTCCTACATGCACAAACATGCACAAACATGCAGCACTTACTTTGGTTGCTTGCATGAGCTGTTGCCAATGACGGTCCCTGATTGCCGGATTCTGTAATTCTCCTACAGCCCTTAATGACGTCACCATGTTCTTGACAGTAGAGTCCAGTCCTGTGAAGGCGTCCCAGGCGCGCATTTCTTTATCCAGGCTTCGGATCTCCTTAACAAACCTTTTACATTCCATCTCCATGTTTTCCACATTGATATCCGCCCATAGCGTGAACTTCCACTCTTCAATACTGCTAAGAACAACTTCAATCATGTCCCAAAGTTGTTTGAGGAGTGACACTTCACGACGGCAAGCACGAAGTTGTTTATAGTCTGGGAAGTTGACCTCAAACAGGCCGGCGGATTCAGACAGGGCATTCATCTCCTCCTCCATAGCACAGATCTGGAAGTTCGCCTGCAAATGCCACAAATATTGGTAAATTGGTGATTAGACGAAAGAGATCAAGTTCTAAGGTATTCCCTTTGAAACAGAATAAATGGCGAAACATTAAAGCAAGGATCACTCCATCATGTCATTAAACAAAAAAAATCAACAAACTTGCGAGAAGTATGTCTTTTACTACAAGTTCCCGTTGCTAACCTTATCTAAGCGGTCGTAATAATTCTTGGAGTCAAACTGGAACGGAGCTGTTTTCCTGAAGTCCTCTCTAAATTCGTGCTGTTTGATCTGTGATCAACAGAGGAAAAAGGAAACATATATTGAATCATTGAGCAGAAATTGCAAGTTGAAGCTAAAAGGAGGCACACTGTCCCTTACATCAAACTGTCCACACTTTCTTCTGATGATGGCGACTTCAGACGCCTGTAGAGGAGCCACTTGCTGTTTGACTGTTACTGCGATCTTCTTGGAGTTGTTCCACTGCTCTGGAAGTTCCTGTGGATAAACATATTATGAGGTTTCTCTTGCATGTTTACCTTCAACAAAATCTATCACACATAAAGACAGCTTCCCCTTGATTACAGCACTTTCAATACTTCTGTCTTGGTGTTTCTAGTTACCTGAAGCTGCGTATGTACTTCCTCAGGCATTTCTTGTCCGTACGTCTTCAGGAGTTCAATAGTCTGCTTCAGTGGCTCAAACATCTCGTCAGTGACTGTCTGTCTGTCCTTGACAGCCATCAAGTGTCCCATGACAGCCACTAAGCCATTGTAATCTCCTTCCTCCACAGGCTGTGTCAGACCAACATCTGCCACTTTGATGAACTCTGCTAAGTCATTTAGGCTGCGAAAAAAGAACACAAACGTACCATGAGCATATAATCTAACAGACCTAGTTATAATCTTCCCTAAACTTTTCAAACACCTTGTAAAGAAAGGTCATAAGATCTAGCGCAGAATTTCCTCAAAACTTAAATTACCTGTTTGTGACATGATCGATGAGGTGTTGCTTGAACATGTAACTCCATCTCTTGATAATATTCAAGAGAGCTTGTTTAAAGGGCTTGGCGTCCACACGGAACCACGTGTCAAAGATCTTTGTTCCCTCTACTTCGTCCACCTCGGCATAAAGCTTTTCGTACGTGTCGATCTATAAGCAACAAGATCAATTTTTTCCATACACTGTAATGTATATATGAATGTAATTCCCATAAGAAAAATTAGTGAATTACGCTGTGCATAATTTCCGATTCGCGCTAAAGTCTCGAACAAGATTACCCTAACAACATAGCAAGTTTTCAAGATGATCTCTGTTTGTCAGTCTTAATGGCGATTCTTTACCTGTTCTTTGAATTGCCCTAATGTTGGCGGACTCTCAGGGACTCCTTCTTCAGCGTGGGCTTCAATCTCCTCAGCTGTCAACACGTGGTTGTAGAGCAAGAACTGTCTCATAAACTCATTCCGATCGTCAAGCCACAGGTACGCAAAGGCATCAAAAGAACTGCGGTATTCATTCGCCTTGTTCATGATGCCTGTTACACGGTCCATCAGGTCTTGGCGCATCTCAGACAAGTCAAGCATGTCCTCGACATCGTTCTGTAAAGGAAGGAAAGAGAGAAAGTATATTTTTGTTTTGTTCAATTGAATAGAGTCCCCAAGGTTACGTCCACCGTGCTATTACAACACTGATTAAAATATCAAGAAATAAATTAACTCAAAACTGCTCAGAGTATCTTGGGTGTGTCGTGGTTTCTGTGTCCAGGCATGAATGCTTGAACTTCTTGATTTGGAATTCCTAATAGTCCTTACAATCGTAAGCCATTATATTTCCTATAGAACCTATTTTCCTCTGTTCTTTCATATGCCATTTCCTACCTTAGAAATCGATTAAGCATACTTTGATGTAAAAGATAAATTAAGGAAACTCAAGGATGCCCAAAAGAGAAAATACATTCAGAAGCACCGCCTTTTTCTTTGGTACTAATACGAGTCTCATTTCAAGTATGTTTGAAATGATGATATTATGATTTGGCCGAAAAATTAAAGTTCTAATGTTAATTTGTAGCTTATATATCACAATCAACGGATATTAATAAAATAAACATAACCATCCCCAACATCAGAAAGGTATGTTAAATCATTCCTCATTTCAAATGAAGTAAAGTTTACTTCTTATTGTTTGTTTTACCTGGTAGTGTTCAGAGCCGTTATGTTCAGCCAGTCTCTTGACTAACGAAGCCATCTTGTACACATCATTAACAATTCCTTCCACAAGTTCATAAAAGCCGTCTGAAACACCGAAATCCAGTGATGGTATAAACACCATTTCAGGCTGTTGCAGTTCAAGTTTTGCCTCAAACAGTCCTGTAGTGTTGTGTTTAGGATCAGTATTTTCCAAAAGATAGTTCAGTGAGCAGTGAATGCAGTTGAAAAAGCCATCAAGGACCATGTCATCAAGATAGTCCACATACGCTCGCCAAATGTCGGATGAGGCATCCGCTTTGAAAAGTTCGAGGTTATTCTGAGGGATAAATTCAATAAAGTTCTTAAGTCGATGGTAAATGCTTAAGGGAAATAAACCAAACATGAACAAAGTACATATACCACCCCATCCCCCTACATGTACCACCCCCTCCCCCTCCATCATGAACTCGAAAATAAGTTCATTTGCCTTCTTGGAGTAAAGTAGGGCATCAAAAATAATAACAGTGGTTAACTAAGCTGACAACCTACCTTCATCAGCTCGTGGATTTTCTCTCCAGCTTGCTGGATCAAAGTGTAGCGTTTATTAAGGTTTGCTTCACTGTCCTGTTAACAAACAAATAACTTTTTAACGTTGTCATAAAATAGCTCTCTTCTTAGTTGTCCACGTTGGAAAAAAAACAAAATGAATATACTTATGAACACTTACACCCAAATTGATTAAGCATACTTTATGTTATTCTGTAGGAATAGGAGAAGGTTTTATACTAAATTATTTCAGACACCCATAAAAAGGTAAACAGAACCAACGAGTATTGTTCCTGCGCATGTGTACCTCTAAGTTGAGTAGGCCCTCCTTTTTGCCTTCCTTTCTCTCGTACAAGGGAGCTTCACACCATTTAGTCATTAACTGACCCATACTCTCCACATTGTTCTTGGCAGCTTGTACACGTTTCTCCAAGTCATGCACCATGTCTCTTGTCTTCTCAATGTATTCCCACGCACCTATTTGTTAAAAAAAAAAAAATACGTGAAACAACAGCACCGGCTTGTAAATTTGAGGCAGAAGGGGAATTAATTTGTATTAATATTCCTGTTGGAACATTGACTTTCCCATAGTGTGTTCACAACAGAAATGTAAACCACGGCAATCTCAGATCATTTTAGACTCTCAATCGAAATTGTTCTCACACAACCACCACACGGCCGTGGAAGCTTAGTCATTGTCAAAATCAATACTTGACACACGAAGTTTACATTATTATTGCACTCGAGAGATTTATCACACCTTCACTGTTCCAGTTCAAAGTTGTCTCAGCCTGTTGCAGTTGACCATCTATTTCCTGCAATTGTCCTTCCACCAGAGGAAACTCAACATCAAGAAGCGTTTCTCGGACTTTGTTGTACCAGGCCACAGTCAGGTCCAGGTTGGACAAAAACTTGTGGAATGTTTCATTCCGTGAGTAGATGTTGGTTGCGCTTTCAGGAATATTTTCAAGGGTTTCGTTTTGCGCAGTTTCCAGATACCTCACTTCACGAAGAACAGCGATTAACTAAAACGAGGAAATAAAAAAAACAGAATTCAGTTGTTTGCTAAGACACACTCACGTTTCCCTTGCCGAACAAAGAAGTTCCGAATAGGAATTCTCCCTCTGACTGCCACATGTCTTCTTGTGAATTTGACAAGAATTTGATGTTCGCTAAAAATATCACCGATTGGTTTGATTCATGGCCTTCTCTGTTCTCACCACGTGTTTGTATGATAGTATAGTAAAATCGCCAAGAGAAGTCGTGTGTCCATCAACAACCTAACTAATCCGATTCGTTTTTGGCGCCGAAAACAAAACTATAGCCAGACTGGAAAAAAACAAGAAAATATAAATATGGGAAGACAAAACCTTAATAAAGAGATAATACAGATCAACGAAAGAACAGAGATAGTCAAGAGTCGCAGACGATAGGTGAGGGCTGCGTACGACAAACTTAAGGTTACAAATGCATAAACAGTGACGGAGCTCCTAAACTCAGAGGATACAATGTAAGTAAATTTTAAGCGTTTTTTAACTAGCATCCGATCTAAAATTTCTACCCAAAGTATCACAAAAGTCAAACTGTAACATGCGTGCGCAATTGAACACTCTTCAGTAGTATGAAAGGAAAAAAAACCTCTGTGTGGAAAGAAAAGTTAGATTTAAGCTTGGAGTAAGGAAGACAGCACATTTTGATCAAGCGATGTCAACTCAAGAATTGGCTCATTTCTTAGTGAAAGTAGTTCATACCTGTGGATCAAAGTTCACTTTGATAAGCTTGGTATTTGGATCTCTAATGACGAGAGGCTTATCCAGATTCCCTTGTGAAATGGAACCAACATCATGGGTCCAATCAACATACACCTTTTCTTCATATCTGAAAAAGACATATTTTTTGTCAAGTGGCTTGAATCTTACTGTCAGATAAGGAGTGACTCATAGGGTGCAGAATTTTGATTGTTTCTGAGTGACTTCCTGTAACTGAAATTCAATAATAAGATGCTTTGACCAGGATTAGGGTTGTGCTTGGCAATAATGGTATTGGGTGGTTTATAAATGGTACAGAGTGGTATACTTTTGAGATCATGCCTCAAAAACGCTCACGTAAAGACAACTCGTGTACAAAATACTCACGTGTTCAGCAGCTTGGCCATCTCATCAAATTTGTTGAAGATCATCATAGCTTCGGCAGTCTCTAGAGTACTGCAAAACCAAACAGCGTGTTACATTCGCATTCAGGTTGTTCAATAAAAAGATAGAAAGATGTCTTAAGAATGAAATCAAAACATACGCAGTTAAAAAACGCTTTAGTAAAGGTGAACGTCACGGCATGAATGGGAGGAAAGTTCTTCATTTTCGACTGAGATTATGAAAATAGTCATGAGAGTAAGGCTCAAAATACCAAGAAATGCAACGACCATGTTTGATGTACCACGTTTGGAGGTGCATAGAGAAGTGTTTGCATAGTATTACATTTTTGTAGCACAACAATGATCACAATCTGCAGAGACGAGAGAAAATCACAGAGACAAACACTACAACTGGGCGGTTAAAGAAGTCCAAACTATAACTTACAAATGTGTCTGTGCAATTCCTAATTAAAACAGTAGCAAGGATAAGGATAATGTTTAGAATGACGTACAAGTGGAGAAGTTGTCACATGTACTGACGGCATGTTATCACAAAAAACGACAAAACATTTCAGCAATGAAGCAGTGAGAGAAAGATATTAAAGATACAAATTTTAGAGTTATTTTAAGGCAGATCTTTTGAAAAAGAGCATGGAAGTGTCATATTACCTTTCCAAACCATGAATGATAGGAAAAACACTATCTGGTCTTGGATGAGAAGTGAGCAAGAAGCAGTGAGAACAAAAGCAAGGAACATGAATGAGAAAATTCTAACAACTACAAATGATGTAATGACACTCCAAATCATAAAAAGACTAGACAGAAAGTACACAGAAAGACAATATCACAGGTAAATGCCAGCAGAAGCTATAGAAACCAATTCCATTAAGGGGAAGAACTGTCAGTGCTATGAAAAGTAAATGAAAAATACCATATCAAATGCCTTGTTGTCAAAAAGAGTTCGTTATAACTCTACAATGAACTGCAGAAAACAAAGCTTTTTTTTATCAAGTTGTAAAGAAAGAATATGGTAAGAAAATGACAGAAATTGAAAGAAAGTAGATCATGAATATGGTGGAGGTGCAGTGGCCTCATGGTTAGTGCGCTCTACTCCAGATCGGGTGGTCTGGGTTCAAGCCCTGGCCAGGGTCATTGTGTTGTGTTCTTAGGCAGGACACTTTACTCTCACAGTGCTTCTCTTCACCCAGGTGAACAAATGGTTACCAGAAAATGTGCTGGGGTAACCCTGCGATGGACTAGCATCCCATCCAGGGCAGAGTAGTAATACTCCTAGCCACTTCATGCTAAGAAAACCGGAGTTAAGCACCGGCCCCGTGGGCCACTTTGGGCCCATATAAAGGCTTTACTTTTACTTTTCATCAGAAGGCAAAAGCTTTGTTATGTGTTGGAAGATCAACTATAAATGGATCAAAGACAAATGACAGTCTTTCATTTTTTGAACTGTATATGACATGAGGATTGCCATGCAAGACTGAAAGAAATTGATCGTAGTTGCAAAGTTAATAAAAGTTAATTGAGCTTACCCATGATTGACTGAAAGCTTAAGCGCATGCATTGGTTTAGTGATCCTTTCCCTGAGTTCTTGTGACCATTTGAGAGCACCTGCAACAAGAGGCATGTTCTTGTTTATTGGTGGAGTCCCATCCTCATTTGCTGTCATCATTTGCTGATCAAATATGATCTTAGCTTCATCCAGTTCTTCTTCGTACATCTTCAGCAGGATGGGATACTTGTATTCAAAGTCTGAGTGAATAAGCGGACGGTCCAGCAAAGAACCAAAACAGTCCAGAAGCTAGAAGGTTTGAAAAAGATTCAAAATGTTCAGTTTTGTTTGGAGTTGAAAGTTTAAATGTGATGCTTACTAACCAATAGCATTATTCAGCAATATGATGAGCTGTAAGTTGTACCATTACCACTAGAATAATTCTGCATTCTCATGAATATCTGACTACCTAACCAAATCCAAAATCCACTGGCCCTGGGCTGTCACACGTAACTTCCTTTGCAATATACACACACATGCAGTTCAGCACTGTTATTAGATACCCTACTAAACTATCCAAACTGAAATTCTTGAAAAAACTGTTGTAAGATCCAACTGTAACTTGCTTCTTACCTTCAATGCAGCCTCTGTACTGGCACAGTCATCAAATCCTTGGCACACAATGGAAGCAAGTCTTCTATCCAGGTCAGCTATTCTTTCTCTAAACTGGTTGTAGTCTTCAACAAACTCCTACATAGAAGTAAAAGGAAAAGAAGCCATACTAAGAATAGAATAAAACCAACCTGAAAATGAAGACCATGATCTTGATATAATTCTACTCTGTAGAAACTGTAAAAGCTACATGGATAAGAGGCATTTTTTATTTCCTTTAGGCAAGGTTCAGAAAACTGGCAAACTATGTATATGCTGTTTACATTTACCTCTGTACTAAAATTCATTCCAACATTAAAGTGCATCTCAAACTTACCCGGTTGGTTGCATCTAAGCCGTCATAGGTTCGATTACCAAACACGGCAAAAATCTCATTGAATTCTGAGAAGATTTCCACAACTTGATGACTGAGCATCTTTCCCTTGATACCACCCAATTCTACCTTCTCTAGCTTAGAAAATTCCATAGTGGTGGCAAAGAGGTCCTTGATATAGACAAAATAAAATCACACATTACATTAACAACACCAACAACAAAAAAGCCAGGGTTTGAAACTAAGATTATCAGATTTCAAAGTCAGCAATCTGTTGGAGACATAGTTACTCTACTAACCTCAACAGTTTTCAATCTCAAGATAAACTGATCCATTCTGGTAAAAACTAGTTCATTGGCAAATTCCCACTGCTTAACTTCTTGCCCCTCCTTGAAGAATTTTTGGATGTTTCCTCTGACATCTTCAAAGGTCTCCTTGAAGAATGAACAGATTTGAACTGCCTTCTGGGTTTTCTCATAAGCTTCTTCTGCCTCTGATTTGAAGATTTCTGCAGGATCCAAGTATGTTCTTGCCTATACAAAGAATTGATAATAAAAAAAATGAAGGGTGTGGAATGGGGAGAGGCTTAAAGATTAGGGTTTAATAGAGAGAGGGGTATACCATTATACCATTTATAGTAAGCAACTTCCCTCTGGCTATGTGTGGCTTTAAAACAACTTGCACTAGAACAATTGCATAAAATATGGTTTCATTATATCATATGACTCGATATTTTTTTTATGATTGCAAAGGTGAAAAAAGTATGTTTTAAGAGTACCCAATTATCAAGAATTGGTCCATATCCAGTTGCAGCAACAAATCTCAGTTTAGCTGATTTTTCCAGACTAACTGTGACTGACAAGCATTGTTTTAAAAAAGATCATAAAATGTTTGGACAAGGGCCAAACTCTATAATTATGTACATTTTTTTTTCAAAACTGACAGTCAAATGGTAAAAACAGAAATACACAGTACAAAATCAATTTTTCACCCACAGAAAAATAAATTTAATGACTGAAATCACTTGTAAAAAAATACAATTAAAAGTTTCTTTAAAAGTTACTTACCATTTCAATCAACATGTTGCAGAGCTCTTGCAAAAGAACAATCATTCTTGGAGCTCTGCAGTAGTACTTTGAATTTGCCCAGATGAGACCAACTGTGTGTAGAATGGCAGGAATAATCTTATCCAACTCTGAAAAATCAAACTGCTCCATGTCATCGAGCAGGCGACGCAAAGGCTTCAGGTGAATGTTGATGTCTCTGGCTTCTTCAAGGGCTAAGAAAAACAAAAAAGTTAACAAAATTACTAAGTACTGATAAGTACCTTGCACTACTCATGGCATTACTTTGAAACAGTTGTTTGGTTTGTAAAATATAAAAAAAGTTGCAACCTTGGCAAAAATTTACTTACCAGCAACAACATCCTTATAGATTTTCTTGAAGGCTGGAAAGTAGCTGCTCTGAGTTTTTTCCAACAGTTCAGCCATTCTTCGAACTTTCACATCATGGAGCTACATGGGTAATGAAAAAGCAAATTGAGATTTTTTTTTAATAAAAAAAAAAACTCAAAACTTTAATTTACTTTCTTCACTTGTTTACAGAGAATAAATTATTGCTTTCTAAAAGCCTAGTTATATCTCCATGTATCAGCAGAAAAATCAAAAGAGCTGCAATTTTACTCTCTGTAATTGCCTCAAGTCTCCATTATCTTACAAACCTCATTTCTCAGATTTGAATGCACTGACCTGTTCAAAGATGCACTCCAAGTTATTGGCACGAGCTCTCCAGAAGTCAAGTTCTACCAGTGGTCCAGGATTACGACCTTCTATCAGTGGCTGAGCTGAATTTCTTTTCAGAACACTCTGTATCTGATGTGTCCATTCAATGATTACTGATTCAATAGAATGAACCAAACCACGATCAAATGGTTCACCCCTAGTTAAAAAAAAGACAAAACAAAATGGTTAGTTACATATCAGGCTCCAGTTGACTAAAGATTGGATATTTCACTGTTAACATGTAACAAACCATTGGACACTGAAGGATATGCAGAAATTTTCTCTTTGTGGATGGCTTACACTTCTTGTTATCTGTAGTTTTTCAGTTTGCCATGGTAAGAATTTAAATATTTATCACAAGTGCTATGAGTATACTGTGGGTGCGACTCTTAACCCTTTTAAAACTTTCAAGATCCGATTGTACATCTTCCCTCTAGCTGCTACACTATTCCCTGTAAATAAACTACGTGAATGTGGAATTAGATAAGTTTGAGTTTTCTTATTACCCATTTGCTGAATAACGTGTCAACATTATCAGGACAAAATTAGATGTTAATCTTTTCAAGGAGTTAAAGGGATCCACAACTCAAATCCTAACAATTAGCTTCACCACCACTTCGGTGGAGGAAGGGTGAAGAGGGGGGGGGGAGGGGGAGAGGAGGGTTTGGGAGGCTGAATACATTTAGAATAATTCAGTGTGTTTTTTCCTTTAAAGTTCACTTCTTTGATTTTGCTTGTGTGATAAAAAAATCATGCCTTTGTTTGACTAAGTGGAGTAAAAAATAGCATTACCTGGATGCATTCTTATTACAAAATATATCTACATGTAAAAAGAGCATCCAGAGTCAACAATGCACTAAATATTTATAACAACATCAAAATTACATGATCCATAGACTAACTTTTCTTCAGCTTCCACAGCATCAGAGACCTGCTCTGAACCTACTGGAAGTGGTAATAATGTCTTTCCTTTCACTTGTCCAGCAATGACAAAGACATTACTTTTGAGCTGATGGACATGGCGCAAGACATCTTGAGACACAACTGCAGGCCACTGTTCATGATTACGAGAATTGGACAGCAAAGGGACCAAAATCTGACAGATTTCGAAGAAAACATTTGATTAATAAGAGAAATTTTCTTACCCAATGTAAACAATGAAATTAATCCCTAACTCAAGTGATAGCCTCTAGGGATTTACATAATTATTAACTAAATTAAAGTTTAGCTTGAAGTCCAGCCCAAAACTTTTACTGAGCACAGTTTTCTGCCATTTAAAAAAAAAAACAAAAGGTCAAACTTAATTCCATCCTCAGTTTTCTATTCCTGGGAACAGTTGTCTATTTTCAAGTTTCATGTTAGGTAGGAGTAAACTTCATGGTCACGGTTGGTTAGTTGTTGCGCAGTTTATTTTACTACAATCGAGAAATTTTCACGACGTGAAAACCTGCGAAATGTTTGGTGCATAACAGTTTTCTTCGATTAGGATAGTAAAAATGAAATTACAGATACGAAAAATGTATACCGGTATGCTGTAATGTATCTGTTTTGAGCAAGACGTGCAATCAATCTAATATAACCATTAACAACTGTGGCGCTCAAACACGAGTCTAAAATTTCCCGGTTAAGCTAGGATCTTTCAGTGTGCATGCAAAATATAGTGCTTTAAACCCAGTTACTTAACAAGTAATAAGTTAATTTGTAAGTTTCATGGTTCCCAGGGACCGATCCATCGAACTACCAAAATGCAATCACTTGCTAAGTTTGCAAAACAAACCTCGTCTACAAGAGCTGACAATTGTTCCAAGGGGGAATAAGACAAATCTCCATAAGTTAAAGCTGTTTTGTAATTATCTTTTCCAACATTCATGCCTTTTTCCTTCTTAGAGAAATAAGCAGCTTTTGCCTTCATTGCCGACGGAAAATCAAACGTTGGTTGAAGCTGTCCTGCATTATTCTGATAGATGACGAGAATATTATTCTCTGGCTTTTCAAAGAAGTCCAAAATAGTTTGTCTGTATTCATCGTTTCCTTGTAACTTAGCCCATTTGTCTGCTTTCAGTTTCATGGACTTTAAGGTGTATTCTGATATGAACTCGAAACGAACGTCGTTGAACTCCATCCTCTTTCTGTAGCTTGACTAGTTGTGTCTATGTTAAACGTATTTACAAATTTACAATCTTTTGAGGTCTGGAGATCAAAAGGACTTTTCCATAAATATCACTTGTATCGTATCTGAAGGATTTCTACACGCATTTGTCGGATTTTAGCCCTCCAAACTGCTAAATTTCTGGAAAACTTGCGGCTTCGTAGGCCAGCCCTTCGTCCTTGCCCGAAATCTGCAGATACTCTTGGCGCAAGGTTACTATGGAAACGTAATGTTTACCGCTGTTCCTAGGGCCGCCATTTTGGACTTTTCCTCAAAACTAAAGCATGGGATTTTGCCCTTTCATTCAAGTCGTTAAGTTCTCGTTTTACTTCCTCACACCCAAATTTATTCTTCTAATATTATAAAACTTATTTTTTTGAAGATTCAAAAATAAGAACCTGTGAAAAATCACTAGAAAGTTTTCAGGTCAAGTTTCCGAATCCTCTCTCCCCTGGATGGTAAATTTTCGTGACATTCCCATGATGCAGGGCGGTCAGAATATAAATAAACATGGCTACATTGTTAGTCGCTTAACAAAATGTTCTAACCGCAATAAGGAACATATTTTATTTAATGGGTAACATAAGCGATGTCGAAAAGACCATTGAACGAAAGCCCAAAGAAGCACAATTATTATATGCCGCTGAAAATGGGCAAGTTGATAAGTTACAAGCCCTTCTTTCCGAGAAGGACGTTCAGGTAGACTGCCCAAATAGTTCTGCTGTTACAGCTTTATTTCTGGCAGCGAAAGAAGGACACGATGAATGTCTCAGGCTGTTACTTGAAGCTGGAGCAAAAGTAAACGGCATCGGGCTTGGTAACACAGCACTAACGCCGCTGTGGGTAGCGACTTACGCCGGTCATAAAAACTGCGTGGAAAGATTGGTAAAAGCAGGTGCCGATCTCAATACAAAGTTTCCTGAAACACCTTTGTTTATTGCGGCACGTGAAGGAAAGGCAGACTGTCTCAAGATTCTAATAGAAGCTGGTAGTAATGTTAATGTTAAGAACAATCGAGGACAAAATCCAATGCATATTGCTTGTTCAGAAGTTCACGAGAGCTGTGTAGAACTTTTGGTAAGTGCAGCGACTTTGAGTGACTTACATAATCAAATATTTGGCTCGGACTGCGAAATTATTACACCATAGAGTGGCAAAGTAGCAGGGGGGGATGCACTGCACTCAGGGAGGGCTTGTGGCCAGTAGTTGATTATTGTAACCCGGAATAATCCTATGGTCAGTTTTAAGTAAAATATTTCTTTCAAGGCAAGGGGTCCTGGCTTGTCATTCGATCGCCTAAGGCATTGTTTAATCTATCAGCATCTTGGTATCTTGCTCTGAGTAACTTTATCGGATCAATATCAGTATCTGGGCAACTACCCACCTACCCCTCCCCTAACCCAGCAACAGTCTATCGATAACAACTTCGGCTTAATGTTGGGTTAAGGGAGGGGTAGGTGGGCAGTTGCCCAGACACTGATGTTGATCCACTTTATCCTTACAACATAAAATTTTCCCTGTTTTGCGTCATCATAGGCAAACACAGAATGTGAATTGGATGCTATAGATCAGAGTGGTTGTACTCCTTTGCACCATGCATGTATCAATGCACCAGATGGTCACAGTTCAGTCAAGGTATTTATAGTTACCTTTCGAACTTTCTTTTAATAAATCATACATGTGAAGCTTGGTTTAAGAAATGAATTTGAAAGTGATCTTTGCAGTAATGAACACTGTCTAGGCAGTATTTAAAATAAGGCCTGAAAAAAAATTCAGGTCTGTATGGGATTTGAACCCAAGACCTTTGCAATACTGTTGCACTGCTCTACCAACTGAGCTAACAAGCCCACTGGGAGCTGGTCATTATGTTGGTTCATATTAAACCTGTGAAGTGATGACTAAATGACTGTAAGTATATGAAAATCATACTTGTGAACTGCAGTTTAAGAATTGAATTTGAAAGTAACATTTGCAGTAAAAGTTACCTTTTTATTGGCAATAGTTACATTTATACTACTGACTTTAAAAAATAATTATAATAGAAGCAAAGTACTTTCAAGAGTTTTTCTAGACAGCTTAAGAAGTAATAAAAGCCCTCAACCACAAATTCTGATGTACATGCCTTGGATAAGAAGCTATGACATACATTACATGCTTTTTCTTTTACTTGTTGATAATATTCAATTGTTGCACAAAGGCTTCACATCAAATCCCTGGGGTTCATTCAGAATTTATAACTCATGTAAATTTATGGAAGAAAATTACAGAAGTCCATAACTATGCTAGTATTTTTAGACAACTATGCTTTGATACTTAAAAACTTGGCACAATTGCAAAAGAAAGGCATCTGTGCTGGACTCCATCAAACTCCATAGAACTCTTTAGTTAGGGAAACATTTGACTGTGATCTTTATTATAGTGGTCATGTATAATGAAAACATTGCAAAAGTTTCAAGACTTTTTAAGTTGAAAGGTTGTAAAATTTATGCGAAGGTTTTTTTCAACATCTTACTCTAGGAGTTTTCAGTTTGTGTTTTTATGTGGAATATTTTCAACAAAGCAGTTACTATGCAAAGTAATTAGAGCTGATCAGAAGCATTTTAGACCTTAGGAAGGAGAATGGTGTAATGTGACCTTTCAAAATTTACTGTGTAAAGGTAACACAAGAATATTCTCTCAATTGTCATTTAGATGCTTGTGCAAATGGGAGCAGCAGTAAATATTTCTTCTAGATGTTGGAACCATGCCACATCCTTGCACTACTGTTCACAACTTGGAAAAATAGAAAATGTAAAACTTTTAATAAAATATGGTGCAAATGTGTTCATAAAAGACAAATGTGGTCAGACAGCAAGAGACAGGGCTCAGAAATACCCAGAATGTGAAAAACTTCTTCAACAACAAGAAGGTGTTTCAAAACCTTATCCTATTACTCATTGCATATATTTTGTACAATTTTTTGTAATTTTTGCTTGTGGTAGAGTAAACCTCACTGTTTCCTTTTTAATCCACTATTTTTATGTGTGTTTCCTTCTGAAACAATAATAACAACAACAATTGTTATAATGGTTTCTCTAAGTTATCCACAAATCTTCCCATAGAAGAGAATATCATTGAAATGCTCCTTCCCAAATCTCATACAGAAACCACTGAGAAGGACCTTACTAATATCATATACTGACTACCTGACACATTTGATTATTATTATTATTGTTTGTTATTATTATTAATCAATAACTTTTACCCTGACACACAGCTAGACCATCAAGCTTGCTCCAGTTGAGTTGCTGGTCACTCAGAGGAACCCTGGGAACTAAAGGTCTCAAGAAAGTACATGAACTGCCAATACCGCTGACTCTCAAACAGTTTTTACTATAACAATGGAATATTTTACACATCATCTAAACAATTTGTTATTCAGGTGAAAACTGATCCATCACTGCAAAGTCTATCTCCTGTTACACAAAGTCATAGTAAAACCAGGCAGAGTGAGGGAAAACAAAACTGATACTGTCGCACCGTTTTGAAGTTATGTAATCTGAACTGAAGGTCTTCTGAGATAGTAGTGGTTAAAATATATTGGAACAATGGGTAATCCAGTACTACACAGAATATGGTTTCATTTCCGTTATCTTTCGAACCATATTCACTATTGCGTTCCCTTGAACTTTCTTGGCTATGAGACCTGCAGTCGGGCACGGTTACAAAATCACTGAACCTCTGGCTGTCAAATTTTACTTTCACAGAATTTCCATTAGGATGTACTTTCAAACTTCCTATGTGTATCAGATGATAGTTAAGAAGTGTTACTTTATGAAAAAAATTGATGGTTTTCTTTTTGACGATATATCAGAAGTTGGTTATACTGTAAAGCCCTGTTCAAACGGTCATAATAGTTAATGAAAGTTTCAACTACCACGCGCTTGAACACGAACTATCATGCACTGTCATTGACTATGATGTAGTTTGGGCATGTTCCAATTTGACATGATAGTTGATGATAGCTTTTACCGTTTGTACGCGTGGGTGATTGTGAATGATAGTTTTTACGGTAAGCAGTTATGTCAAAGATGGGCCCAAACCGAAATAGCAAAGGGTAAAATGTAGTTGTTAAAACTTCGCAGAATGTCTCGTAGTTCATTCTCATCATCCCCTGGTAGGCTTCAGTATCTTCAACTCGCAACTTATTGACTGAAATTTCAAATGCCACCGAAATTGCAGACCTCAGCACGCGCGATATTTTTTACACTTACGCGATCTCATTGCGTGATTTTGTCAACTATCATGAACCGTTTGAACGCAAACCTGATAGTGGATGATAGTTGAAACTATCGTCGACTATCACGACCGTTTGAACGGGGCTTAAAAGACATGTAATTGCATCAATCTCGACGCTTTAGCCTTATTCAAATGGTTATGATAGTTGATGATAGTTTCAACTTTAATTCACTATCTTTGACTATCATGTTTGCGTTCAAATGGTTCTTGATAGTTGGTGAGAGGTAACAAAATCACGCAATGAAATCGCGTAAACAAGTATGGGCGAACGAATCGTGTTATCACGGAAAGCAGTATTTATGCTTCTTTTTTGAAGATTTAGGTCTTTTTCACAATAGAAGGCAATGAAATACAAAAATAAACATTAGAGAAGGGTCCTCGTGTTCATATTGCTTTTCCCAAGCAGCAAATAGAACAAGATAAGGGGCTTATCTGGAAAACGAGTCGGCATTCGCCTTTTTTTTAAGTTTTCATATTAAAATATTGAATGGAGTCAGAAAATGTTGTCTTACTCTGTATCTGGATATTTCTTCCCTTTCACCTGCTCTATCAGTTACAGTTCTCATGAACGAGTCAAATAATAACATTTTCTTTTTACGGGTTTTCGCTTTCGTCGCCCAGCACGCGCCATCACTAAAAATAACGATCTCTGTTTTGAAAACATAACGGATTAGGTTAACGGACAGTTCACGCGAATTGTAAAAGTGGTTATTAATGAAAGGTACTTAGTGGTGATCTAGAAATTGAAGGAAATATCTGTCTACAATGGAGAATGATAGCTCCCCGGTTTTATTTGAACGTAACATAGAGGACAACGGAACAGCAACGGAGGAATGCGCGATTGGTTCAAACCCAGTTTCACCTAATTCAAATGATTCACTGATACCTGAGAAAAAAGATCAGCAGGATTCAAAAACTGACCAGAAACCTTTGAAAAGCTCAGATGTAAGCTTGAATTTGAGTGATGATGTCAACGGAGACCCAGTTTGGCTGCAAATCGATGAAGAAACTGTCTTAAAAGTCGAAGAGCATCGTGAAATGGGATGGAAACAAGAGTTTGTCGAAAGGGTAAAGAGAGCATGCATCCTCGGTATAGGAGGAGTGATTTTCGTTCCTATTATCACTGGTGAGACACTTCTTTAAAAAAATTGTTTTTTCTTATACTTTCAAATACTAATTTAGGAATTCTTTAGTTCTTGGTCACAAACTGAAGCTAATTTGACCGACTGTCGAAAAACCAGAAGAACGAGCAAAAAAAGTTGCTCTATTCCGTAAATTTCAGAAGCACATTAAATTTTTTCATAATCAGAAAAATCATATACAACTTTAATCTGAAACGTGACAAATTTTACTCTAACAGCAGCTGGCGCAGTCAGCCCTCCTGTTCTCCTTGCACAAAAGTGGACGAACGGACGAGAAAAAGGTAGATACTCTACCATTGGCTTGGGCGTTTTGGTTGGGACACTATTTCTCCCGATATTGGCACCTTGGGGTATCTACGAGCTGTTTAAACGTTTTTATACAATATTACCGAAGAAAGTTGATTATTGGATAAATCGTTGGAACGGCGATGGCACAAGCCCCCTTGGGAAACACCACTATGAAAATGGCTCAGTAGAGTTCAAAATTCCAGAAAGCATTGTTATTAACACTTATCGGGCTCAAGTCTACAGTCCTGATCTAGGAGCTCCGAGCACAAGTCAGCTTGTGACACCCGATAGTCACATAAATGTGGATTGGTCAAATGTTAGCGACCAAGAAGATGTAAACGAAGCCCAAGTAGAACGAGTCAAGGCGTTTTTAGAGGGATTAGAATACAACATCGGGCATTTCGACAAGGTGGAAGAATATTACCGAGAATGCTGGTTGAATGAAGGACAGGAAGTTTTATCTGACGTAGAAGATGACGACGGGCGCCTTGACACTCAGCTGTTATGTGTCAGAAAAGTTGTGTCCGACACTTTTGTCAATGCAAAAACAGCTGAAGTAGATTTTAATATGTGCGAATTTGCCGCCGGCCTCTGCAGTAATAGGTGTTTAATTAATCAAAGACCTCATGAAGTGAGTCAAGCATCAAGAGGAAAAGATACTGATGGAACTTTAAAAGGCGGAAAATCTCCAGGCAATTTAGAAGAGAACTTTTCCGAAGCTCAGATAACAACACAAGTATCGGACAAAAGTTGTGCTCCTCTGAGTGAAGATGTCGAGGGCCTTCCTGAAATGAGACCAAAAGATCAAGTATCAGATGGCAGCGGTGCTCCCTTGTGCACTGATACAAAGGACCTCCCTGAAAAGGGACCTAAAAAGAAGGCCAAACGAAGACGCAGAAAGCGAACTGGCGAGCAAGTGTCGACAAAAAATCACACCAGTTCTACGACAGGCGAAGATAATGACATATCGCATTCAAACCCTACGACACCGCTCTTACAGCAAGAGGACAAAGAAGCAGAGAGAGCCACTGAAGTCCAAGAGGACAAAGAGATAACACCTGAAAAGAAGCTTGGAAAAACTGGAAATGCAGCCCGAGAAACCAACACTCCTTCCGCAAACCAGTTGGTGAGAAAAAATGAAATGTCTGAAATACTCAGAATTAACGGGCAGTTTGAACTAAAGCCGAGCGATGAACCAAAGCGCTGTCTTTACATGGCTCACTTTAATCACATTGATTAAAAGGACAAGACAGAGAGGCACATAAAACTGATAAATATCGTAAAAAAATCGTAAGTTTGTTGGAGCGTGACTTGAGCGTGACTTGAGCGTGATAGGTCTAAAAGTTCGGTCACAACGTTTAGTTTGTGATCATTTTTCAACGATACTTTTTGTAAAACTTATCTTCAGCAATGTAAAGTCGCATTTGCTACCAAAATTTTGTCATCTACGAAACGGCAGTAATTTGGAATATTTTATCTACACAAGTTTGAGTTATATCTACTTTGATTGCGTAGGTTCATAATTATTTATTTTTGGTGTCATCCTGCATTCTCAAAATTTGGAAAAAAATGATCAGAGTCTAAGTATAAGTTGTCCAAAGTACCAAACGATTTTGACGCGCAAAAAAAGCTTCGAAAGCCCTCAAAAATTGCTAAGTGGTTTATCTTTGGAAAATCAAGTATATAAGGGGGTTTTCTATGAAAGCCAAAGTTGCAAGGTTGGTTAAAAATAAAATAGGTAAAAAAGATGGTTTGATTTCTAGCGTTCGAAAGTGAAACAAACTTAAACGTTTCTGAGTTAAAACTCTCATGCAAAGAACGCTATGTTGGCACACACGCCTGGCTGTTGGTGCGCTGAGAGGACTGGTGACTAACCTAACGTTGTGTTTTCATCCATAACTATTGAGACACCTGTAACGCGCAGGTACATCGGCAGAACTCTAAGCAGTAACTAAAAGAGATTCCAGAGTAACATCATGTAAAACTTTACCATTTGTCTCTTCCTCTTTGGACTGAACAGACATTGATTATAAAAGACTCTCCCTCAAGAAGAAGGATTCCTCAACAGAATAAATTAAGAGAGTATATTAGAGAGGGAAGTCCAATCGCCTGTTCATGCAGGTAAGCGACACTGTTCAGGTTGACATCACTCGAAGTTATGAGCTGTTGATCTTGTTATTTTTCTTAGCGGGTAAAAGGTGCTATTGTCATATATATTTCTATCATATTTACCTTCACTGCGTTATTGAATAGCTTATCAAAAGCGAAGTTTTTCTTACTTTTGTGGAAATGTAACGACAGATGAGATGTTTAATTGGCAGTGATTTCTAATTTGTCTCCTAAAAGAGCTTATTGGGTTAATCTCTTGATTTTTCGGGTTGTTTCATGGGCAATTGAAGCCATTTTTAAAATCAACGGCAGAAGAAGAGCTTGCAGAGAACGGCTCTTGTCAAACACCTTAGATTCATATTGATCTGTCAATGACAGTACGAGTTACAGGTTGTACGTCGCCGCAGTTTATCTGACCGGGCAATGACTCAAGTTTCTACAGCGTGAAGCGACAAAAAACATGGTTAATCTTCTCAGACGGGATTAGTGCTAATTCATCGCAGATTATCCCTTGGTGAGTCCATTTTTAACTCCAGGATGGAGAAAAGCACTGCGAGAGAAAAGTAGCTCGGCAATAAACGCAACTACTTAACTCGGCTTAGGCTCGAGCCCGCAGATGTCGATCATGAGTCCAGCGCACTTACCACAAAATATTCCCGTCTCCCTCGGTTAGTGAAAAGTGGTTGGAAAACCTTTTCCAGCTTGGAGTCAAGCGTTTAGAATAACTTAGAATTTACAAAGGGACCATTCAATATAAGTGAATTTTATGAGACATACAAACAATATAAATTTAATTGACACCATGAGATACCTATCGATATCTAAATTGATTTTTTAAAGAAAGATTGTTTACTTTAAAAAAAAAATACCTGATTCACATTTTTATTCTGGTCACAATTTTTTTTAAGTTGGAAGTCACACCTGAGAGACATTGTCTTGGTAGTATTTTCTCGTGTATAAAATTACATGCAGGGTATAAGGCATCCGCAGTCGTAAAAAAAAGATAACACCATGCATTCATCTGCGTTCCCCTTGACTTTATAGAGCCATATTTTGGGTTAAATACAATCTAATAAAACGTAACTGATTTGCGTGATTTCGTTTGCCTGATTCCGTTATATTTCAGTGATCGATGTATATTTATGTTTGCTTAGGACATAACTATGCTCGCGCCTGCTCTGATTGGTCAAAATTTTGTCATCGTGACTCGCAAACGTTTCTTTTGTTATCATAACATTCCGCGTGACTGAACACGCTGGTTAACTTGTGGAAAGGGTGGCTCGAAGTTCAAAAATATATACATATATGTTTGTCTATTCAGGTGCTGTCCAAAATTATGGTGCGGTTAAGTTTCGGTCTACATTTCATGGGAGATTCTGGACTGAAATTTTCTTTTTACTCCAGGAACGTCCGTTTAACAAAAGATCCGCCCCTTCATTGTCAAAATAAAGAATTACAACCTCTAATCAACAACCCACTTGATTTAATTAATCTGAACCTCTCAAGGTACAGTACGGCTCCTATGATTTACATGATGTAATATCTTGAATTCCTAAGTTGCATTTTCATCGAAGGGATTTCCTTTTAAGGTTGTTTTTATTTATAAAATACTTTTTTGATCATGATCTATGTAAAACAAACCTGTTGGAAGCGCTTGGCCTAGATTAACACAAATAAGTCAATACGTGATTTCCTTAAAAGGCGTTTAGTGTAGATTTTTAAAAGCAAAAGAAAACTTGTAACTTTGATTTCAAGGTTTACTATTTTCAAAATCACTGAGTGATAGAGAGATTACTATCTTACTTGATTCGAACATAAAACACTCAAGCACAAATTAATCACGGCCACTTGAAAAGTAATTTTTTTGAATGAGCTGCTGGGCAGAGATTACGAAAGTGTATAGAAAAGTTTATATCATGAGAGTGCAGAAAGTAAAGACTATTCATGATGAAAAAAAAATAATCAGATGAGAATTATTGAACTAAAAGGACTATTTATATGAAGGCAACAAATTTCCTTAGGTGGATTTAATTCAACAAGTACAGAGCATTAGCCAATTATATTTCAACACACCCGTTTGGCCACCTGTTAAAATGGTCAATTGGTCATCTTCTGAGAATGTCGTGCATTGGAAGGTGTCAATTGAAAAAGGTCCCTAGCATATCATTATTATGTGCTCGCGGTTTATATATTCATTCACTTCCTCGATTCTTCGCTAGAATTTACACAAGAACAAAACACTTTTCTTGAGTGAAGGCCAATGGTAAATGCTTTCAGCAACGATTTTTCCTGAGAGATCGATTTTTTTTTGTCGGGGCGTTGAACTCAGAAACTGAACTTTGAGTTAAAATTGAGGTCAACAATGTTTGATACGGCGATTATTCTATGCGGGGCGTGATAAAATAAGGTCAAGGCCGCAGGCTGAGTTGTTTGACAAGAAAGTTACAGGTGTGAACGAGGTTATGTTTCGGGATTTCGCTCAGTAAGCTCTAAATGATACACATCTAAGTGAAGTATGATATGGTTACCGCGATCTAACCAGTAAGATATGGATCTGGTGTACCATGATAGCTCTCTATCACTCGTCGCTAACGAGGAGTGTGGAATAAGATCCTGCAGGCCTCCAAGAATTGAAGAATTCCCTCCTGATCTGTTCAACCAGGAGCAGAGATTTTACGGTGGAGTTACGTTTCATCTTCTAGTTTGCCTCCATATCTTTTGCGCTTTGACTGTTGTCTGCGACGACTACTTCGTGGCATCGCTGAACCGAATCACCAAATGTTTGGGTCTTAAACCAGATGTGGCCGGTGCTACCTTCATGGCTGTGGGAAGCTCCGCACCGACACTCTTTATCTCAATAATATCGACATTTTTCACAGAAGGAGACATCGGCCTCGGAACAATAGTTGGCTCGACTATATTCAACACACTTTTCATCATAGCCTTGTGTGGTATTGGCGCTGGTTTGACGATGCGTTTGAAATGGTATCCGCTTTTTAGAGATTCTACCATGTATGTAATTAGCGTGATCATCTTGATGATTTCGATTTACGATCGGAAAGTTCATTGGTATGAAAGCGCCGCGTTTTTCATCTCATACTCTGTTTACATTATTGTGATGTATTTCAACTCAAATATTGAGGAATGGTCCATGAAACTGAAAGATCGGATAATAAAACCCAACGCCGAAGCAGATTCTGAAGTTGATGAGAAAGGTCAAGATACTGAAGCTGAAACTTTAGAAAATAATTCCTCCCACGAGGGAGAAAATCGTTTTAAAACACCAAAAGGATTTTTCTCAAGGATAGTTTGGATTTTCACTTTACCTTCCATAGTTTTATTTTATATAACAATTCCAGATTGCCGTAAGAAGGAATGGCGAAAATTTTACTTGGTAACATTCACAGTTTCGGCCTTCTGGATGGGTGGGTTATCGTACATTTTAGTCTGGATGGTTTCCCTCGTGGGATTCACTTACAATATCCCAGAATGCGTCATGGGTATGACATTCCTTGCTGCGGGCAGCAGTCTCCCAGACGCCATCGCTAGCTTGGTGGTCGCTAAACAAGGAAGCGGAGATATGGCTGTATCAAATTGTATTGGCAGCAATGTTTTCGACATGTTATGCCTTGGAATTCCATGGATGATCAAAACTACTATAATCACTCCGAGCAGTGTAGTTCACATCCAAAGCGAGAACATATTTTTTACTTCAGGGATTTTGATAGCTAGTATCATTTGTACAGTGTTACTGATAGCTCTTAACAAATGGCGGTTAGACGAGAAACTAGGCGTTATTTTTCTTGTTATGTATTTGATTTTTCTTGGTATTGCTACATTTATCGAAGTGCTGCCTTGTTGCTGAGCGCAGAAAAACGGGTTTTGAAATAACCCATGCTAGCCGTAGGTTAACAGATATGGCTCAGTGGCGGAAATCGAGAAGATTTTGATATGTGTCAATAAATCAACTGTTCATTTAGTGGCGGAGTATTCTATTATCTTTTCCTACCATGAACCCTCAACCATGTTAACCCCTGAATACTCAGAAGGGATTCACATCTAAGGCGTATGATTTTCGCGATCTTTGGGCATTTATCGAATCATGATCACCTGCGATTTAAAGCTTTCGTCACAAATTAACGAAAACCAGGCATAACTTAGCAGCTCATTTGTTGAAAGCGATGAAAAAAACCGCAAGGCAGATTTATGTCTCTAATTCTCTTGACTTCCCTTAAAATTGTTCGAAAGTTTAAACCACAGCTGATCGAGACTAAGGTATCAATTGTGATCCGTTGTCTTTCAAACTTTTCTTCATTTCAGGTGTAGCTTGTCCTTAGAAACAGATGACAAGATAAAACCTTACAACAATGGATCGACTTCCCAGGAAACTCAGCGTCCTTCATCATATTCGTCACGTTAAACGGCACTTCTTCAACTGTAGCAGCCACAATATTATCAATGTACTGCAATATGAAACGCTGTTCTCACTGCAGCAGAGGCGAGAAGGAGCCGTTGTTATACACACCCTGGTATGCCTGTACTGCTTTGGGGCACTAGCAGTTTTGTGTGATCATTATTTTTGCGCGTCACTTGAAAAACTATGCAAACGGTGAGTAGTATAGTTATCTTTGGTTTTTGGAGATGAACGAAAGGGATACGTTTTTGCATGATGTGTACATTTCAGCCTTTTTACATCTTTAGATTCAGCAAGCAACTGAAATCTTTGAGGGCACACAGTGTCTGAAAACAAATGTAACTGGCTAACATCACTACACTTTTTGCTTCTAGAGTTCACAGATTAACTGTAAAAATGTCCAAAAAGTAATAAAAAAAATTGTTTGCGTTAATTTGGGAGGTACATTTACTAAGCTTTAGAAGTAAAAAACTGACGTTTTAAACTGATGTTCAAAATACTTTTTACTCGCTTTAGACTACGTATCCCGACAGACGTTGCAGGCGCAACATTCATGGCTGCTGGTAGTTCTATGCCCACACTGTTCATCGCAATTGCGTCCGTATTTATGGGTGAGGGTGATATAGGCCTGGGTACTATTATTGGTTCAACTATGTTCAATATCCTCTTCATATCGGCCATTTGTGGGCTGTGTTCTGGTATCTCCATAGCTCTTCGGACGTGGCCGCTTTTGAGGGATTCTGTGGCATACACTATACATCTGACCGCTCTGTTAATTGTCATAGAGGATAACATAGTTCACTGGTACGAAGCCTTGGTGTTTCCATTCTTATATCTTGGTTACATAATAGTTATGTGCTTCAATAAGAAACTCGAAGGTTTGTTTGAGAGAGTTTGCGAAAAGTTTTGCCATTTACGGAAGGGATTTGAAATGGTCTCAATGGAGGACCCCCACGAAAATGCCGTTGGGAAAGGCAATGGTCAAGAAGCCCTGGAAAAATCCGGGGAAGAGGATTTAGGAAACAACGAAATTATCACCGACAAAGAGAATGAAATGAAAGACACTGACTACGCTAGAGAAGGGAAGGGAGTCAATGATCCCGATACCTCCTCTTCTCAAGCTCATGGTTTTTCAGAAAAATCTCCGTTCGAAATTCCTAAGAGTTCTTTTCAACTAGTGATCTGGGTGATCATGTTACCTGTCCACGCCCTTTTCTTCCTCACAATGCCCGACTGTCGTAAGAAAGGTTGGGAGAACTGGTACCCAGTCACGTTTGTAGTATCCATCTTATGGATGGCCCTCATATCGTACGTACTCGTGTGGACTGTGTCAATCATAGGCGAGACTTTTGATATACCAGAATGCATCATGGGACTGACATTATTGGCAGCTGGTTCTAGTGTCCCGGATGCTATTGCAAGTCTTGTAGTCGCTAAACATGGAATGGGAGACATGGCTTTGGCTAATTGTGTTGGTAGCAATATCTTTGACGTCCTCTGCTTAGGTCTTCCATGGTTTTTAGCCACGACTGTTGTTCATCCGAAAAGCGTCGTTTTAATTCACAGTGGACATGTAGTTTATACGTCTTTGTGCCTGTTTGGCACAGTTTTAGCGACATTATTCGTGATACACCGAAATAGTTGGAGATTGGATAAACGTTCGGGAGGTATACTTTTGTTAACCTATATTGTTTTCTTATCAGCGGCTGTCATTTTAGAAGCTCTTCCCGGGGGGCCTGGAGGTCAGGGAGATGGGCCTAAATTAAGTCCACATCACCCAGGTCACCTGCCAAATAAGGGCCTAGGGCATCACAAAAATGCTCATTTAAAGAAAGTCACGTGACAACCGATGGTTACTGAGTGAATCACTGCGGGCGTTTTTTAACCCTTTAACTCCGAAGATCTGATTGTTAATTCTCCCCTCTAACACAATTATAGGGAGAAGTTACAAGTTAATCACTTCTGGGAGTTAAAGGGTTAAAAGTTTCCTCTTGGGAGGTCGATAATCTGCTCCCGAATAGAATCTTTGCTTAGCTACAGTCATTGCACCACGGCTTAGATGCCAAAATATCAATATCAAATTAGTTGCTCGAAAAGAGTCACTCTCATAAAATGCATCAACTGCTGCGAACCTCAACGGTATTATAACAGTAGAATTTACAAGAAAACTCGAAAGCACCTAGAAAAAAGAAGTACCGGTATTGTTTTGGCCAGTGGAAGGGTCTGTGTATCAACTGGAATTGAAGCAAGGCTCAGTTGGTATAACATAATCAATATTATTATTATTATTATTATTATTATTATCATTATCATTTTATTATTACACAGCTGGAGGTATGGGGCAAGCAACTGCGAAATCTATGTAATAGGTAGAACCAATGTATTAGCCGGAGTTAAATTAAATGAAAGAAGAAACTGGTAGCTTAAAAGTATTTATTCGGATTTTTTTTTCGCACATTGACAACCTAATATCTCTTCGTATACTCTTTATAAATTCATTAACATTGTTTTTCGAATGAATTTCCTAGAAATAATAACATACTTTGTTGTTGCTTTTTTTTTTTTACTCTCTGTAAATCAAGTTAAATTAAATGTCTGTGTTCTGCGCATTCGTTAAAAAAATGGAGAGAAAAAAATAAATTATTTTTACCATCAGATTCAGACATTGTAGTTACATACAAAACTATAGCTTAAGAGAAATTCTACAGAGTTTCCCAAAACTATTCTAACGCTCAGAGGTTCTACATAGTCAAACCTTCTGATTCTTGTTATAAAAGCCATGTGTTTCTATGATACTTTGGAATTTACGAGGAGAGAATGGTGTCACAAGTTCGTAACAGGAGAGATAGAGAAGCGTTTCGGTCTCTGTGCCACCTGAAAGAATGAAGCAAAGTCACATAAAGAAAAGCTACAAAGCAGGAAACACTGTTGTGATAAACGTCAGACACTGAGTCATCGTAACGGCAAAGGGGGCTGTTTTTTGGTTCTAGAAGACACGCCCATTTCTAACATAGTTTAGCGAGAACGGGAGGCTTGCGAGAGGCTTCAAAAATTGTTTCTGACATACCTTCCGCTGTAAACTTCTGAATCCGGGCTTAGGATCACAGGTGCCACACTAAAAATAGTGCAGACAAAGTTTTCTGGTTAGTTCATGAAACGAAGAGCCTTGTGAGCAAAGCTCGGTCGCGAAACGTTTTCACTCCCTATGTGCAGTGCGCGAAATTTCAATACTGCGCTCCCAGGCACGCAAGTGTTTATTTTGCGGTCCTCAATAAGAGGAAGTGACTGCCTGGTAGGTAATAATGTGACACAGAAAGGTTCAAACGTTGCAGCTCTTGTAAACAAGATTTAAACACATCAATCGAGCCAAGGCTCGAAACAGGATCTTGCGATCCGTAGTACAGCGCGTGAACCGTATGACCATGGCGGTTCTTCTTAGATTTTGGTAAAAGAAGGTAAAAAAATGGAGAAAACGTTGAGCAATAAAAAGCAATATTAGCAGCTCTTACTTAGGTAGTTTTAAAAGGTTGATAAGTTCTTGCGCTCGCAACAGAAGATCTGGGTAGCAGTCTGGGTCTGAAAGAAGCTCCTATCAAAAAAAGGAAACATTTTTGTTAATAGACAAAGGTCCGTCCAAACAAAGATGAGGTAAAGTGCATGATTACTTAAAAAAGCAAGAGAGGGCGACGAGCATTCCACCACAACAAGTAGAAGACGAAACAAAACAAGAACCAACTCACGGGTTTTTGCCGCACCACTTTGCTCAAGCATAAAATAGCTCTTTGGATTACATCCTGACATCTCGAAGCAAGCTAGAAGAGAAGAAAACAAGAATAAAACAAGAATCTCTTTCACTCCTACAGCTAAGGTCGTAATAAGTATTCTTTACAACAGACAGTGTATTTTTAAGTAATTATTTCTGGTTTCGTCGATTAACTTACATCAAATTATCAACAAAGATTGTACCTGCTTGCCATCCAGGATCAAATTGTATGGATAAAGAATACTAAAATCTATGAGACGATGTTCTAGTAAAACATCCAATTTACCTCACTTCACACTAAATCAAGAATAGTGAAAAGTCATAGAAATACCTCGAAGAAAAACTACATTGATACAATTAAACTGATAAGGTACATTATCATTTGGCTCGCAATGCACTCAGTCACCTTGGATCGTGAAGTCGAAAAGTGACCATCAAAGGAGAGCGATAAATCAGTTCTTGAGAGAACCGAGATACAATAAAAAAAAACTGCAACATTAACTAAAATCTCACCTTGGCAAGTGTTGTCATTAAAACTGAGACAAGTCTTCCGCTAAAAGACACCTGAGGAAAGAGAAACAAACTGTTGAGTGGCAAAATAGAAAGGAGAGCTGATTTACTATTTACACTTCGCAGCTTATTTCCTCAGTCCTTAGTAATTACGAGGGAGGTACTTTGCTAAGAAGGGACAAGTTCACTAGAAATGATGACACATACCTTTCGTGGTGCGCTCTGCCCTAAAACTTCATACGTCAAAGCTTCAAGTGCCTAGTAAATAAAAAATATAAATAATTAAATAAAAACAGTGATAGTTAGAAAAGCTTCTAAATATTGAGTTAAGATGAGCTGCGCCTTGAAAATTAGGCAGAGTTGAAAAGTTCTACAGATGAAAGAGGAAATATTATTCGCTTAGTCATCAAACAGAAAATGATAAAGTACCTCAAAATATTGGACGATATGTTGCACCGTGCATCCACCATCATGTGAGGACGACGCAAACTCGCCAATCACCCAAACCTAATGTCCAATAAAATTATGTCAAGTACGTCTTCTTCTTTAAGGCAGCAGCTAGATAAAAAAGCTCTTAAACAGAGACATTAACAATAATAATAGCCACAAATAAGCTGATTAGAGTGCTTTCAATCTGCTGTCAAACAACTTGAATGGATTTTTCTTCATCAGCTAAAGTTCCCTTTTTCTTGCTGTTCTACTTACCAAGTGAACAAAGAAGTTCTCTTTGGACGGCCCAAGGTTCTTAAGGCCGCTGACAAAGTCCATGATGTCCTGTTGAAACCTGACAATCAGGTTTGGGTATTTTTGACACAATTGTACCAATCTCTCTGATAGCAACCTATTAGTAAGTATATCACTGGTGTGAGCACCGGCGTTAATCAAGATTTATCAAGATTTTACGACATCTATAGCATTAATGGACGGCTTTGACCAGTGGATAGGAAAGTCTTGTCCCGCGATTGAGTTCATCCCTCTTAACTCGTTCCTGAGTGACGTCACATTGCTTTAAAGCCGAGCGAAAAACATACAGTGATTTGACACAGGCTGTGTAAATATTTCCTATATAAATCAATTTTTGATTGGTGTCGTAAAACGCAGTCAAAGTTGGTCCAAAGTCCAATCATTACAAAGGAAAATATCACATGTCAACTTTCTAGAGCGCGGGAAAACAGCAAGGACAAAAACACAAATCTTTTCAGTTTTGCATGTGATTGGATGTGATTGGATCCGTTTTCCAAGAAAACTGCAGGGCTTAACTCAAAAAAATAAATATCTCGGAATACTGTCGACACTAAATTGAAAATTGCTCAAAGCACAAAGAATACCCACTCGTGAATTTCTTTGCGGTAGTTTTTCACATGATAAAGAAGGCCGACTCTCTCCAATATAACTGGTACCATTCGGCTAGCAGTCTCTTCGTCTGCCTCTTCCAGGATAGTCGAAAACATCACGCTAAGGATAATTAAATTGCAAATATTATAAAAAAACTTACTGAGGAAAAATAAAATAAAGGAGGAAAACGCATGACTGCGCTCAAAATTATAAACCTCCCTGCACGATTGGTTCTAAATCAAATGCAACTTGGCACGATTCTTTAATATATTTTTTAAAAAAAATAAATGTGTCAAAACAAATTCAAAGTGAAAAGAATTTTCATTTTCACGGTATGGCCTGCGGTAATGATTTAAGGGGAGGGGGGTGATGTGAGGATTATTTCTAAGATCAAAATTTCATAGGCTCGATACGTTTTAAGCCAGAATCGGGAGCTCCTTACTTCAATAAAACCGGAGAAATTTGAGCAGATACCACGACGCGAGGTTGCTCCAGCCTGTCTTGTAACAAATGGTGAAGTGTCGAAAGTCTGCAAAACAAAGGTTAATATGTCAAATAATAAAACAACATCCTAGTTTTCTGCCAACAGTTTCACACAAAAGTCTGATTTCCTTTATTGCACGGCTTTTGGAGCCGGCGCATTCTTAAAATCACTCCCGACCGATAGTTTTCTCTTTAAATCAAAACTAGCACCAGTCTTGGACGTGTCATCATGCACTGCTGGGCAGTAACAACCCTGAAGAAAAGCCACTCGTCCTCAAAGCAGTAAAATGCATTGGTAAACGTTCCTTCATCTAAATATTAATAAATTTGTTCTTACTTATCTATAGTATCGCCCTGTCCAGCTTCAAGTCTCATGATAAAACTAAACAGAGGTTTGTATTCCGGCTCCAAAAAATAATCCACAGAAGACTGACTGAACACCATCTTATCTCCACTGTTTGCTCTTGCTGCCGGTACCAAAGAAAAAATAAGAAATTAATTCTTCAAAGCGTTCTTCTCTTTACATTTTTTGATACAATGCAAGGTCCCTTTTGGTTTCGTTCATGGAAGCGGACCTCCTCCTCTAATGGCACACTTTTTCCGTTGAGGTTCTACTGTACTTTTCAAGAGCGGGGTTCTCTATGATAATCTTTGTTGTAGCACCTGTAAATTGTGTTCATGGGCGAGACTCTTCACTCTATTATTGCCCCTCTGTGTGCGAGAGAACAGTGCAAGAGCTTTATTTCCGTTGTAACCTATTAAACTGGAAGAGCCCTCTGATTGACTCGGGTTACCCACTTGAGTGAAAGTTCTATGAATTATCAGGCGCAGATCAGTATGTTGGTAAAAAAAAAAACACTGTCACATACACTACTGACATACTGTACCTTTTGTAGCCCATGATGTACACAGAGCAGCGGACAAACAAGGCAAATCCAGCAGTGTGTGAAACATCTGTAAAAATAATCAAACATTGCTTAATGACTTTTAATATATTTCTTGATTGAACAAGGGAAGAAATTTCAACAAAAAGTACCTCAACAGCTGTGTTTTCGTTCAGCATGGCTGGAAGCATTTCCATGAATTCTTTTACATATGTGCGAGGATGCCAGGCCAAGATCTGCACAGAAAAAGACAAACACAGTTACAAGGGGGTTTTTTAATTGAGTGTCGAAAGTATTCTGGGATTGCTAAAAGATTGCAATTGTTCTGCTTCGCTAGGCTTTGTAATTGGCCCAGAAACCTCGTGCTACAACGACAACCAATCACAGTTGTTTTCCAACGTTTAGGGTTGGTCATGGGTATTTACTACTCACTGTCTCCTTGTGATATTCCCCTTCAACTTTTGATCGAACGTTGTAATTACCAGGGCTTTGGTTCTTTATTCCAAGTCGTTGAAAACCATTTCCAGTAGTCTCAGGCTATTAACTTAACTTTTTACACTACCAGACGTGATCACAAAGGAGTTTTTTTTTTAAATATCACAATCTTTTCCGGCGGGAAAATGATGAGAAGAAAGAATATTTATCCATTAAGGAAATTGTCTGATTTTTGAAAACCAATCTGACAGGGTGGAATTCGTGGAAAATTCATGGAAAAACGAGCAGAAAATCGATAGGGTTAGGGTTAGGGTTTGCAGTGAAAGGATAATTGCAGTGTACCTTTGAATAGAAAGGGATACTGTAAGCATCTCCACTTACCTTGAACAAGTTTGGAAAATACTTTGGAAGAATATTGGTTGAAATACAGAGTTTCCTCAGGTTTTCCAAGCAGAAGAATACAACATCAAATGATAGAGAAGAACTACAGAAAAGACAAAAAGATGTAGCCATTCTTAAAGTCAGACTGATAGACCTTTAAAATTAGTCAGAACTGGTCAGTGAAAACATTCAATTTATAAATCACTATGCCTTTTTGCAGAACTTCCATGTAATTATTTCTAGTGACACAAAATAGTGGATAAAGTTTGGAATTTTTTTGTTCTGATTGGTCAGTTCTGATTAATAGCAGGGTTATGCATAGGACAAAAAGTCACTTTTAACAGCTGGTAAGTACTCTTGACTAACATTCCCAAACAATACTAACATGACCTGTACATATGATCATATTTATCTAAATCAGACTTGTCCCTGACAGTGATGAAAACAAAACTACCACGCATAGAGTTAACCCTTTAATTCCCAGATCAAAATTGTAATTCTCCTTATTGTCAACCATACAATTCTTTTAATGTTAGTTCAGAGAATTTAGTATGGGATCAACCAATTATCCCCAAATTGATATTTTTCTTTATTCTCATTACTTATCTGGTTGATATTGTATTGATATTGTGAGAAGAAGTTGTCTTTGTCACTCATGAGAGTTAAAGGGTTAATCATTACTTTGGAAAATGTTCTAACAGAAAATCTTTATGAAATAAGGAAATTATTTGGCCCAAGAACAAGTTTTCAAATAGCCATGATGAAATCAAAGTTTCTTTTTTTATTTTGTCTTATATACTTATGAAAATCATCTCTTTGCAAGATCTTAGGTAACCAATGATGTTATTGTTGGTCCAATGATTCTGTGAATACATGGCACAACATACTTTGCATAATAGGAACTTAACACTGGACCCAGCAGAGTCTTACAGGCAGGTTCAGGATCAAAAACAACTGTCTCACCTGCAACAAAAAAGAATAGAGAATAGGAAATGCCATTTGAGAAATCAAATAATAATGATAAATTCAAGTACAGTCAGAAATAATTGATTTTATTTTTCAATTTTTGTACTGCAGGGTCAAAAGAGACCCAAATTTCATTTGTTAAATTCTCACATTGGAGCTACCATATAGGTCTCATTTTAATGGCAATTTTTGTGCTTGTTTAAACCACACTCCTCTCCTCTCCTCTGAGCCAAACTGACAGATGTCTGTCCAACTCACCATGGTTCAGAAGAAACTGTACCACAGGAATCAACACTCTTTTCCATCTGTTGAAATCAGAGGTAACTCGAGCATAAAGTCTTCTTATAATCTCGATAAGTTTGGGAATCAAAGACTTGTCCATGGAGCATAGAACATCTAAATTGTAGATAACTTCAACCAGACACTGTTAAGATAATCAAATGATCAGTCATCCTACTGAAATCTACCATTTATTGTAGAAAATCATTAGATAAAAATATATTCTAGTATCAAAGCCTCTAACAAATGTTCACTTACAGCTTCAATTAACATAGCATCCTGTTGCTTGCTTGGTTCTATTGGAAAAAATAATAAATTTTACATGAAAATTTCATCATAAATTGATAAAATCAAACTTAGCAACAAAGAGTTTGATCATGGTAATCCTGTATGCAGTTTGGTTTTTCATGGGAAAAAAACTACCCTTACTTCTTTCACTTTGTTCCAGAAGCCTCAAGCAGTATTCACAGGCCCTCTCTTTCAGTTCTTGTTCACCACTTTTCACTCCATGAGGACTTGACGGGAATAATTTTGAGAAACTTAAAGTTGACAGACTTCTTTTATGTTTTCCTCTCTTTGATGTATGCTGAGCCTGGTCCTTGGTACCAGGCTCTTCAGGATCATGTGAAAAACTTAAAGGAGTCTGGGGTCTAGAATCACTACCACTTGACAATGACTGGTCATCTGTGGGGATAGTCAGGGATTGGCCAGGCATAGGGGACTGACTTAGCAACTGGCTCTCAGAATCTTGTGGAGAGGATCGCGACAAAGGAATAATAAAACCAGTGGATGACTGCGAATCAACAGAGATATTATCCATACTTGACTGACTTTGGTTCAAGGCATTTTGAGAGGGTGAGCTGGAGCGATAACCTGGCTGACTGAGATTCTCCACAGAGCCTGAATTTGAGGCAGTTGAAAAGATCAGTGGTGATGCACCTCCCCTTGGAGAATTAGAATTTGAGATGGTATTTATAAACTTGAGATGCCGAAGCCATGATCGCAACATGGAAAAGCTGTGGATGTTTAAGATTTGGTCAGGAAAAAAGTACTGTGCTGTGGAACAGAGTAAACAAACAAACAATGATTAGTTAAATGTAGGTCTTTTTCCCATGACTGCAACCAAAATGTTTGCTGCATGGATTGCTGCTCTCTCAAAAGCTACTGATAGATATAACAGATAAACAAAATTGAATATGGACCAACTGGAATTTAATGGGGCCCCTTTAGACCAACTGGCCTAAGTAAGTAGGAATTAAGGGGGTAAGTTTCTACAGAAACTGTGGTGCTGTGTCAATGGGGGAGTATAACAAGATAATTTTAGTTTAATCAACTGAGTTGTAAAGATGATGTACATTGGCTACATGAAGAGTTTCAAATCTGACATTTTGAAGGTTAGCCCTTTGTAATTCACTCCCATAAAGGGCTAACCATCGAAATGTCAGCTTTGAAACACTTAAAGGTGGCCAATTTACATTATCAACTCAGTTGATAAAACCAAATTAAGTAGGAACTAGTTTGGGGTTTGCATTATCAGGTACTAAAACTAGACTCATCAGGTATCTTTAACAGTCATGTAACCACTTAGACTGCTGGATGGAGAAAGTAACACAGGCCCTATGGGTCAGAGCAAGTCTCTTTTCCAACAAAATAAACTACACCATGTCCTTATATCAAGCTTCACAGTGAAGCTTGGCGCACAGTTTATCAAGTAGTATATATTTATATTGTTTGAGAACAGACTTTTATTAGATTAAAGCACTACAAGCGCATTATATAAAAAAACAACAAATCATTAATAAATTTAGACAAATGAGCTTACCAATACTCAAAATGGTAAAAAAGTATCTTGATGATGTTCCATCGACCTCTGTAACAAGTTGGTACTATAAAAAAAATGACAGGTGTTTCATTCTTTACTATAGCTGAACCACATACATACCATAACAAGGAAATACCAAAGACTGTCATTTTAATAGAAGGTGCTTAAATGAAATAAAAGTTTAGGCTTATAAATCCTGTCAAAAGACACATCACACAAAGGTTGTAGTTTTATGTTCAACTAATGATGAATGACAACAATAAATTAATACAGAGCTATTTTATAAAATAAATATATATAATACAGTTTCTTTAAACATTAATTTTGTTCAAATTACACTACCAACCCCCTTTGATTTTCCTCCTCCAAATATCTGTCTCTGATAAGGATTTGGTGCTGATACTGTGCTGGCATTTTTCAGCCAATTTGCCATTTGACGACTCACTACTCCGGCATCATCTGTGACATCAAGTAAACATGTCAAACATTTCATTGTTTTCTCATTTTCAAGTTAATCTACTTCCTTTGTGAATACAGTTGAATTACTGGAATGAGTTTTGTAAGGTAAAGATCTTGTAGCTTGTAGTTTTTCTAACTATGATTAAAAGCTTTCTGTTACTTAATACACTATTTTTATTATCTTAATGAAGTGTTTAAAGGAAAGTTGCTCAAATTGGATTCTGTTTGTTCATTACATTTAATGCAAGTCAAGTCTAGAAAAATTTTAAAATACCAAAAACAGCAAAGGAATTAAAAAGAATAAAAAATATTTTTGTTAATGAAAAATTTCACTTCCAAATATATACTGATACAAACCTTGTGATATCAAGTTGTCATCTGCATTTATTAATAATTGTAAAGAACCTAGTGACAATGTTTGTAACTCCACAGGTACCCCAGGTTTTGTTAGCCATCTGCAAGTTAAGACCATTGCAAATCATATTAAGTACTTGTACATGTCTTAGCATCATTGGGTCACAGAACTATTAGTGAACAGAATGAATCTCATACCATCACTTGTCATTATTAGTTTTTTGTTACTTACTGTACAAGTTGTGGAATGTATTTTGTCCAAAAGCCTCGCTCCTGGCCCTAAATAGTGAAGCACATATATGTCCAAAATAACAAGTGATAAAGGCTTTCACTTTTAAAAATCTAAAGCCCTTATAAAATTTGTTGTGAGGGGGGAGGATTAGAGTTCACTCTGATTAGTGTGTTAGTACCAGGGAAGTGCATGAGTTCTTAAAAAAACGTCTATTAAAATAGCTTAACATAACTAAACAATTAGGAACTATCAGGGAAACTTAACAAATGGCTGCAGCAGGGAAGGGAGTGGTCCTGTTTTAACTTGCACTCAGTTCTAGAGGAGAAGCAAAACACCTAAACAGCTTATTCCTGCAAAACCATTGAGAATTGAAGATAACTTCTAACAACTGTACTAGTCAGTCTCAAATTCAGACATTTTTGCAACAGTCAGATGTTTATCCAGTTTTTTTCAGTTTGATGAGAAGAGTCTACTACCATTCATTGTTCACATTCACTCACAAGAACTGATCCATGAATTGATACTGGGATCTTAGAAGTGATTGGGTAATATACTGCTTCATTAAATCACTCACTTTTTACAACATACCTGAACCCATGCCAAGGGTAATATTATTGGTATATTCTTCTGCTCCACTGGTGGTTCCACATTAGCAATAACAAGCTGACTTGTTGGAGTTATCTCACGTAATATAGCACTGCACAGAAGTCGTAATCTTTTGGGACCTTGTTGAGGTTCGCCAGCAACACTTTGTAGCTCATTAATTAATTGATTTGACAAACTGGTGGAAGGAAAAGCACATCAAATAATCCTGTTTTACCCTATTGCTCCCAAGATCTAATTAGAAATTCTCCCTTCGAGATGTTAGACCAGCATATTACATGAAAATAGTTCGGAGAATTTTGTAGTACATCAACATCCAGAGATTCCAACCCCATGTGATGGAAAATAGGGAGTGATTATTAGTGCCAAAGGCGCAAGCTTCTAGGGGGGTCAGGGGGCATGCCCCCGGGAAATTTTGCAAATTTAGGTTCTCTCAAGTGCCATTTCCTGAATTTTGGCATCATTCCGGCCTGAGTTATAACATACCATAATGCTCTTCGCGAAGAAAGTAAGTATAAAATGAGTGTTTCACAGTGACAGATCGCCAAAAATTCTAAAGATTAGCAATTTTCCCCTAGTTTTCAGAATTTTATGATAAATCGGGAGAGCGGAGGCAAGACATCAAATCGGGAGACTCCCGATCAAATCGGGAGGGTTGGAATCTCTGAACATCACACCCCTCCCATTGATAAATGTGTCTGTTTCCAACGATTTTTTTTTCCGAATAATTAATCGATGTGGTAAGGATTCGGTAAGTCACATGCTGACGTAAAACTTATACCCCATTCACACCAGCAAAACATGTTTTGTTAAACTGGTTTTCATTGAATGAAAATTATAAACAGAGAACTGAAAAACTTGATTTTCCATAGGATTCAAGTACTTGCTAACTTGCCTTTCCGATGTGCTACATTCAAGTCAAAAATATTCGGTTAAATAGTTTCTATGAAGAAAAAAAAAATTAAACTGTGTTTAACAAAACAACTTTTAAACATGTTTAAGCTTTGGTGTGAATGGGGCATTAGATTTGAATAATTGTATAAGCTTAGGTACAATTCAAACAAAGTTCGACTGACATCGTTCACAATCTTTAACTTGATTTCCATCCAATGAGTTGAAATAGAGATAAAGGACTATTTGAAAGGAGGATTATTTTACAGTAATTACCTTCTCCTTTTTCTGGTGGCAGCCAACAACAAATAAAGTCGCCTTAAATTGTTTAAACACTCATTGCCCCGCTCACGACTCTGCAAAATTCCAAGAACTTTAGCGCAGAATTCTTTGAAGTCAGTGTCCTGTAACAGCCTATAAAATGGACATAACTCTCATAAATACTTAAAGGTATCGAACGATACATGGTTTATCCAGCATATATTCAATCATCATATGTTACCGTGCTTGTTTCACTACGGTAGAAGGATCTTTAAACTGATCCGCCATATTGAAAACATCCGGTTGAGGATAGCCGCTGGCTATTACAAAGTATATTCCAAGGCCCGTAACACGGGTCTGCAATGCGTTCAAAGAAGAAAGGGTTTTAAAATTTACCCAGCCACTAAACTATGAGATAATGTTTAGAACAAATAAGGTTTAGTGGGTACTTTAATGGTTAAAAATTTAAAATCCAAGAACTCAAATACAGGATATGATATACGCATCTACCAAATGTCCATCGATTTATCCTTCCACCTTCTCATTTACAGTCCCCCGCCTACCAAACACCTTCATAAATAACTCGTCCCCAAGCCTGAGGGGTTTTTGTTGTGGCTGATACTCGACAAGCTTTGAAATAACAGAAAGTGGTAAGTGTGCAAAAGAAGGCTTATGATTTTATAAACTCAGCTTAGCCATTTTCAGTTCATTTTTCTCGTTGCTCAGTTATAGCAAGCTGTAGTTCTACCAATTTATAATAAGTATCCATTCAAATTGTTTCGAAAACGAAACCATGAATGTATTCTCCTGCAATAACACCAAATTTTCTTGACTAATGTACAAAACTACCTCACCTATTTCATCTTAGCTTAGCCATGACAAACCCCATTCATTAAATTTGTCGTGTATTTGAGATTTGTTTTGTTTGTCCTTACTCAGCCGGAGTGATTCTGTGAGACAAGAAAAGATGACTAGTAATTTGCCCTCCCTTCCCTCAGAAGTAATTGAAAAGATAGTTGCTTTCTTGCCGCTGCCAGACGTCTGCATCTGTATGTTGGTATGCAAAGAATGGAAAGTGAGTAAAGACTGTCCATATGAAAACTTTTGGTTTTAAAAGTCTCCCTGGCAATTATTAAGATGTGACAAAAATTTGACATAAGTTTTCCAAATCCCAACAGGCAAGTAATCTCTCTATGGGATACATTTGTCTCTTGTTCTGTAATAATAGCAGAAGATCTTACTATCTTGTTTTAAACTTCTTTGATGTACCTCTTCAAATCATCTATGAACTGTGTCAAAAGAAATAACAATTACTACTCACTTAAAATTAAAGACTAGCTAAAATAGTCATGAATTTTTTTTGTGTTTTATTTTTTATACATCAGGAAATGTTTTCATCAGAGCAGTTTAGTAAAAATTATGTGCTCAACCATTACAATTTTGATGATGAAGAACAACCTAGTGGACATCTTTATGCGTGGTCTGACCCAGAGGAATGGTTTCATTACTGGGATGACAATGAAGATAATTCCAATGTGTGGGTGTTTTCTAATCATCCAAAGCGCTGGAAATGTGGCATTGTTCATTTAGCAAGTTACTCACTTGTCTCAGACAAACAGCTAAAGTATAAAAGTTTCCTCCGGGCTGTGTACATTTTGAACAGAATAAAGAAGGCTGCAGAGGAGCTTGGACTGGATTGTGGTAAGTAAGACTAGGAGAAATCAGGGTTCATTTCCAAGTGGATGCCCCAAATATTCCAAGATTAAATTAAAAAAAAAAAAACAAATCACAACAACTATACTTAGTGATTGGCTGTAACCTTTTCACTCCTAAGAGCTTAAAGTTGATTTTCCTTGCTAATGGGTACATTCCTTTGTTATCTGGTTCTGAGTCAAGAGTATTTCCCTAGTCAACAATCTTCTCAGTTTATTCTCATTGCCTGCCAGTTTACAATGTATTAAAAAAGGTAAGGATAATTTATATGGTGGATACTCCTAGTGTCAAAGGTTTAAAAACTTGTGTCCCTTTCATTTGTAAATATAACACCATTTGTGATTTTTTAATGTGGATCTTTTCTTGCTGAAGTGTTAGTCAAATTGTTATGGCTGCTTTGCTTTTTGTTTTAACTTTTTCTTTATAGAAAATGAGCAGTGAACGTTGTCTTATTCAATAAGGTATGTTTTTTCTGTAATAGGTGCTTGGGCAAATGAAGGCTCTGGATTGATAGAAACATGCTTATTTCCTTGGGATAAAGATTCCCTCCCCACAGCTACAGATATAATTTCACTTTATGGTTTCAATCCTGAAATGCAAAAGAACCCACTGGTGAGGGGTGAAGGTGAAGACAAGGATAGTGGTGATGAAAGTAGTGATGATGAGGAAGATGGAGGCTGTGTTCGTTGGAAGTCTTTGAGTACATCATATGATGTTGATGTGAAGAAAGCTCATGCTTTCTTTGACTGGATGAAGGAAATTTTTTCCCCTTATATTCAAATTGGTGTAGGTTGTGATGCAATGAATCCAGTTCCTTGTTTCATTTTGGCAAAACTTGCTCCAGGTTGGGTGGGGGGTATACTTTCTTCATTGGCTCTGACTTAGTCTAGTTTGTGCATGTATTATTAATTAAATTGAAAGAATGACATTGTGAATTAGATAATTAATTTAATTAATTTAATGCAAAAATACTTCCCATTGAGAGAAGTTACAGCTAGAGTTAATCCTCACTAACAGACAAAGACTAATGTGTTGAGGAAGCAAAATACACTACACTGCAAATAAATACTAAATAAACACATTATACTATAACAAAAAAGACATATGCACATTATACAGTTACTGGAAATACATAAATCTATACTTTACCCCAATGCATTCATATTTAATCTAAGTGAATCACATGCAATTTCTAGGGGGGGAGAGGGGGGTACGATTATATTAAAGAAAATCATGAGACCATGAGCACTTTACCAAATAGGTTCTACATGTTGTTAAAGTTGTTTCATTGAATAAATATTTAGAAAAGATTATTTCTGAAGCTAACAAAATTTTGTGGGCTAGATGAGTCAAAATGCTAAAGGCAAAAGGCAGATAACATAATCAGGATAACCACATGAGGTGATGTACCATATGAGGTAAATATTCTACATCTAACTTCACAAACTAAAATATTTAAAATGAGGATATCCATTGGGCCTCAGTTTCTCTTAGTGTTTTAAATGTGTTTGTTAAAAAGCAACCAGGAGCTGCCTTTCTCTACCACAGGTTCATTCTGAAACTCAAAAGTAAATATTTAGGCCTCTCAAAAAGCAACCAGGAGCTACATTTCCCTACTACAGGTTCATTCTGAAACTCAAACGTAAATATTTAGGCCTCTCTAGGTTTAAAGTAGACCTTTTTTTAAGTTAGACAAATCTCATTTAAAAATTGCGGGTGACTGAATGTAGTAAAAACTAGATTTTGATACATTAAAATATTTAGATATTCCCTTGAAATCTTAGATGGAAACCATCCAAATGTTAATTAAATAAAATATACCTGTTATAGATTTTGCACAGGGTGCAACAGTGCCCACATTTCCATAATCTTAATAGTTAGGTTTATTTTTGTGTAGTCTTGCTGTCAGGGTTAGAAAACTGTCAGCTCCTGAATTATTTTGGGAATTTTGGGCAAAATTTGAGCTATCTCCTGTGAGATTGGGGATTGACCACTGATGTCAGAAGTGATTTAAAGTCTAACGACATGTCAATTTGATTGATGTTTTGTGGAATTTAGATCAATATTTTGCAAAATAAAAGCTTCTTTCCTCTTTAGTTTATACATTAAGTCTTTTATGATTGTGTAGTGTTCACAATCTCTACATTTTATGAAATCACATATACCGTTGCACGCCGCAGAAAAGGTGCTGCTTTTTCTTGCGTAACATGGATTATCATGGCTCTCCCAGCATCAATTTTATGGCTCCATAGTGTAATATAAAAAGTATAGTTTTCAATACTTTTTATCTTACAGCGCAAGCTTTCACTTTACGGTAAAAGTAGTACTCCCTGCGCGCAAAGCGGAGGCCCATTACCCCGGAAATATGGCAACTCAGCAAGCTATGAAAGTAGGTTGTAACGCGTGATTACCGTAAGTCAGTCCGAACTAAAAACCGAATTTTTTAGCGCGGGAACTTGTATTGTGGGAAATTCGGACAAAAAGAGGCAGTGAAAACAAATAAACCTATTAATCACTTCAGGTAAGGCTAAATTTGTAAATATTGAAGCGAACTTGTTAACGAACAAGAACGTGGAGAAAAAACTCGCCCAATCGCATTTCTCAGGGTTGTGAAATTTTTCTCTCAACGGTATAGTCAGCAATTGATACTTTATTCGTCGGTAACCAGCAGCAAATATACATTCGCAACTCCTGCCTGAATCTTTGACTTTGAAGAGTGTAAATGATCGGATTCAAACACGAGCTTAAACCAACAGGTATCACACAGGCGTGGTAAATAATGGACCCATATTCCACCAAGCCAGGAACGTGATAGGCAAGCAAGTATGAAGTCACATCAGGTAGCCAACACAATGCGTGAAGCACCGTCACTGTTACTGCAATTTTCGTGATTCGCTTGCGTGATTTGATTACGACTAATGAAGTGCCCGAAATTATAGATGGGCCCCAAAGAGTTTTCACAGTCTTTGCGTATAGAACAGCCATCAGTACAAGAGGAACTGAAAAGTCCACAACGAAGGTAAAGACGGTGTAAATCTTGCCATATACAAGTTTAGACCAGTTTTCAAAGCATGATGAATGATTTTTGTCATAAATCATTACGGTCATTGGAGGAATCTCGGAAAGAATGGCAAAAATCCAACCACATACAATAACCATTATTAGTTTTCTCTTTGATAATTTTCGTGCAATGTTGCCAGTTCGAGTGGCATAGAAGCGTTCGATGGCGATCACAACATGCATGACAGTAGCAGTACACCCTCCAACCCACATAGTGAACCCCCCGGTAAACAGCTTACAAAGCAAGGTTCCAGCCCATCCATCAGGGTGGGTATATACAGGACGAAGCACATATTGAGGGATCAGAGATGTTGCCACCAGAATGTCGGCCAGTGCTAAGTTGAGGAAAAGGTAGTTGATTGAAGTCTTAAACTTCGAGCGAATCAAAGCAAGTACTACTAGCAAGTTTGGAATCAAATTTAAGATCATTAAAAGAAAGAAAACCCCCGACAAAATATTTTGCGTCCTGTCATTTACCATCGTGGCTCAGTTCAACGAAAGTCTTGTTTTTCTGTAGAGAGAAATATATGATTAGTTCTGGGTAAAGGATTGGAAAATCTGTGCTGCGCTCATGTTTAAAGGGGAAAATTAGACTGAGTTTTTTTTCGGATCAACTGAAAACGATTTCATCGAAAAACTTCTGTTGTGTCTGTCAAATTGAAGCGAACGATTTACAACATTTGACACTTAATATGTCTACGCTCTTCCGCTGGCGAAACAAAAAGTTTGATGGTAAACCTTACCTTCTCGATCAGTGATTGCAGTTGAAAGATAATTTTGATTTCTTTCCTGCCGTGTCAAAGATGAAACAATTTGAGAAATAATCCCAATCAGCTGGTAAGCCTCCAATATATTATTCAATTACTAAAAAGTTAATGTACAGGACAGGTGTTAAAACAAAAGGCTGTCTTAATTCATCAAACGCAAAGTAAATCTTTTTAAATAAGGAACGAGTAATGAAATAAAGATATGGCAAGCAAATTTTGTGGACATTTTAAAATTAGCGATGAAGCTACGTCAGTTTTGGATCAAATTTTCAAGTTTTTTTTTTTTTATTCATTACATCATCATATTACATTTCTCAAATTATTCACAAATATTGTTCTGTTTAATTTTTGAAAAGTAAAAATTGGAAAAAGAAACTTAGCGCTTGCATCTGTTAAAGGAGAGAGGTGTGAAATAAATGTTTGGGCGGTCGTGTACCATCCTGTGACTCCCTTACCCTACAGCGAGTCTTTGATCACACTCATTAAAAACCAACCTGACATCTTACAGAACGCGAGTTGCCAATTAACACTTTCACGACTAGAAACGTTGCGTGTGATTTAAGACTAATATACTGTGTAAGTATCATGAGTGTATTACCATAGAAGATCATTCGCAAGTGCATTTTATCGTTCACTTACTCCACCTATATTTTAAACGCGTTTGAATAAAAGCGAACGGTTTGATCCATCAATGCATTTAAAAAATGAAGTTACAAGTTTTCTATAAACCATTGTATCTATACAGCATGTCATTGGTGCACTAGAAACAAGGCTAAGCTTTAATCAAGCAGAGGCTCTCTTTATCAATTCTTACCCCTTTAGGACTGGTACAAATGCGTATCTTGGCATCATTGCCGGTTACGGTGTTATCTAGGGACTAATTAAACTATTAATGAACAGAACATGTTAGGACCCCGTGGTGGGTCTTTCGTTTGAGAACCGTCGCTTCCAATGCATAGTTCAAACCACCCCATCGGCTTCACAGCTTTGACACCTATCGTAGCTAACAGAGCATTTGATTTGATTTTGCTCGAGTAACTGTTTCCCCTGCAAATTTCGGAAATTAATCAACCGAACCAAGTTATTATTAATCAACCTCTTTCAAGTGACAGCACTTCATAAAACCATAAAAAAAATTAACTATATCAATATCGTTTTCTCTACAGGAAGTCATTCAAAAATGCGCACTTAAAGAAACTTGACAGGGCTTGAGTTTTTCACTTCGAGACCGGTAAAGAGATTATAAAACACAAAAAACCAAGAGTGTCTTTGAAAAACACAGAGCTGTCCCTGGGCGTTGAAAAGCGACTAGAGACATTACGATTCTCTGAGAATATGAGTGCGACCTTCTATTAATGAAACAATGGGCAAATCGGAAATGTGATGTAAAAAAACGCAATAGCCATCGTCATTTCAGTAAGAGATTCTGCAAGAATGGGGTAAGGTGGAGGAACAAAGAAGTTACCTCCACAGTAGCCACAGTTTTATCACTTTTCAATCAGAAAGGTACCTATCTGGTTATTGTTACCAAATACAATCGTGCTCCATTTTTACAGTCATTAACAGGACCATGAAGCTTTCCAGAGTAGACATCTTTTCTAAGTAATTCCTTTGAGGATTACCGACTACAACTTCTCTCTGAAGTCATACACTCTTCAAAGAAATTGTTTAACTCTCCATTGTTTGAACACACTTATGCTCAAAGAGTCGCTTTTAGGAGAAAGTGATTCCGCGGGAATACAGCGCGGTATTTTTTCTTGTAAGTCAAAGTCAATAAAAGCGTCCTACACTATGGAATACTCGAGGGATTTTACACAAATCCCTGTTGTATCTACAGATCCCCTCTATGCGGACGAGATAGAATTTTTTTTTAATAATCTGTTAATGAGGCTGTAATCAACTCTCTAAAATAACGCCGTAATTTCTTATCAGTAATTACACTTTTAGTCATGGAATGAAACCGTTGCATAGGACGAAGGAACATTTAAATTTTCGTTTGTAGGTTCATTTTCTGTGCAATGGCCGCATATTCCTTGTGTCCCGAGGAACCTTTCTGTTTGACGTACTCAAGTGTGCGCATCTGTTGAAGTAACAAAAACAAAGAAATTAACAAGGCCATGAAGATTTCCACACATTGCCGATGGTCATTTGGGGGTTTGCGAAGATTACTAGGGATTACCGAGGTTTTTAAACGGAAAAGTAATTGTACTTTCGTCCATCGACCTAAATGACAGACTAGGAAATGAATTTTTCTTGGACGTAACATGTTATTCATCAAGTTAAATCTACGCGTGGATGCAGCCATCATCTAATTTTTGCTCTAACACTTTTATAGCGCGTTGCACTAACGGCTGCGGTCAGCGGTCATAGTAAGCAACTGTGTCCGCTGGTCTATGAGCTCGAAGTCTCTTTTAGTTATCATGTGTAGTTAGAGTTCTGAAAGTATTTGTACTTACTGTGTATTTTGTATTCCCATAGCCATGTTTCTGAGCGAGATTCCACAAGTTAAGGGCCAGTGTAGCTAACTGAGGTTGTGAGAGATCAGCATGACACAACAGCCTTGAAAACAATACAAAAAAATTGTCCAGTGAAGTATTCTAATGAAAAAGATTTATATCCTGTTGAACAACACTGACATCCCAACAAGAAAGCATCGCATTTTTTTTATAGTAAACATGGACAAATTCAAAGCGTTTTCAATCGCTACCTCAGAATAGACGAAAAACATACGGTATTTATAAAAGTTTTTTTTTCTGGTTTCAAAATTGTGCTTCTCCTGTCAATAGGTGCACCATGAAAGAGACCTCTAAGATCCACTGCGACGAAGTTAATTATCATTCAAAGACAAACATATAAACTAGGTTCACTTTTGCTGACCTGTTGAAGAACCCAATAGCTATAGCGGTCTGCTTTTTGAGCTCCTAACAATAAAGGACATAACAAGACTGTTATAGTATCTATACAAACACTGTTCCTGCCTCAGCACAAACAAGTTTTTTCTCAGTTGATTATTTCTGAAGCTAACAAAAATTTGTGGGCTAGATGAGACAAAATTCTGAAGGCAAAAGGCAGATAACATAATCAGGATAACCACATGAGGTGATTTACCACATGAGGTAAATATTCTACGTCTCACTTCACAAACTAAAATATTTAAAATGAGGATATCCATTGGGCTCCAGTTTCTCTTAGTGTTTTAAATGTGTTTGTTAAAAAGCAACCAGGAGCTGCCTTTCCCTACCATAGGTTCATTCTGAAACTCAAAAGTAAATATTTAGGCCTCTCAAAAAGCAACCAGGGGCTACATTTCCCTACTACAGGTTCATTCTGAAACTCAAAAGTAAATATTTAGGCCTCTCAAAAAGCAACCAGGAGCTACATTTCCCTACTACAGGTTCATTCTGAAACTCAAACGTAAATATTTAGGCCTCTCTAGGTTTAAAGTAGACCTTTTTTTAAGTTAGACAAATCTTATTTAAAAATTGTTGGTGATAAATGTGGTAAAAACTAGATTTTTATACATTAAAATATTTAGATATTCCCTTGAAATCTTAGATGGAAACCATCCAAATGTTGATTAAATAAAATATACCTGTCATAGATTTTGCGCAGGGTGCAACAGTGCCCACATTTCCATAATCTTAATAGTTAGGTTTATTTTTGTGTAGTCTTGCTGTCAGGGTTAGAAAACTGTCAGCTCCTGAATTATTTTGGGAATTTTGGGCAAAATTTGAGCAATCTCCTGTGAGATTGGGGATTGACCAGTGGTTTCAGAAGTGATTTAAAAGGCTAACGACATGTCTTGTGGAATTTTGATCAATATTTTGCAAAATAAAAGCTTCTTTCCTTTTAGTTTATACATTAAGTCTTTTATGATTGTGTAGTGTTCACAATCTCTACATTTTATGAAATCACATATACTGTTGCACGCCACAGAAAAGTTGCTGCTTTTTCTTACATCACATGGATTATCATGGCTCTCCCAGCATCACTTTTATGGCTCCATAGTGTAATATGAAAGGTATAGTTTTTGTTACTTTTTATCTTACAGCGCAAGCTTTCACTTTACAGTAAAAGCGGTACCCCCTGCTTGGAAAGCGGAGGCCCATTACCTCGGAAGTATGGCAACTCAGCAGGCTCTAAAAGTTGGTCGTTACGCGTGATTACCGTAAATCAGTCCGTACGAAAAACCGGATTTTTCAGCGCTGGAAGCTGGATTTTGGGCAGTTCGGATAAAAAAAAAGCAGTGAAAACAAATAAACCCATCAATCACTTCTGTGACGATAGGTTTTCGCGCAAAACTGAACTCTAGCGGAAGACACAACAACAATAGGGAAAAAATAGCTCAGTAGAGACAACTCGGCAGCGAGAACGGAAACTCGTCACGATTTTCTGGTACACGACGATCCACTTCAAGCGAGCTTTTACGGACGTCAAGGATAAGACAGCGTTTTGGTTCCACAGTAGACTTTATTACTAGATCAGGCCAACAACTGACATGACCTCTAGCGTACACAACTTCGTAATCAAAGTAATCGGCACGCAGTCGTTTATGTAATTGAAAAAGCTTTACAATGTACTTGCTTAAGTATGAACTGGTGTGAGGTTCTATTGTTCACTAAATTTACAATATTTGACGAAGGAAACAAAAGAAGCGGAAAA